CCCTCGATTTTTCATCTCCCTCGTGTGTGCTCCCCTCGCTCCCCTGTCCACTGCTGCTGGCCGAAAGCGGCAGTGGGTGCCCAAGTCTTAGAGATGGCGCGGCATACAAGCAAGCAAGCTTACATCACCGCCGCACCATGGCATACCGTATTTGCCCATAATCAAATTGACAAGTTGATGGTTTGGATTTTGACAATTGGGGCAAAAATGACTTGTGGACGTCTTTATTTTAGTGGGGCTAGCAAATTGGGGGGAAACATTCCGGTGCCCAGGATCCTCACCACGCCTGTCCAATCGAGTCCTCCACAGCTCGAGCCGCTTTCCAAGCAACCAACCGCTTATAAGTTGTAATTTCGGGGTGTTTGGCGCATGTCAAAGAAATGGGGCTAGGTATTTGCCACCAAAAAATCCAAGTGGGGCAGAAAATACTTTTGCCTTGTCCAATGAGGCTCGAGATAGGCTTCCAAATGCATGTCATGAACTTTTTGGGCAATACGGCACATCATACCTGTGTTTGCACACACCTTGGCGGTGTGAAGCATACCTTATCTATGGACGAGCTTGCGGCAGCAGCGGCTGGCGAGAACTTACTTGTTTGAGGCTTCGTTCCTTAGCTTTTGATCAGTCGGACCCCACCCAACACACTGTCCTACGCATTTTTTGTGGCGCAGTTAATGTGGCGTGCACACGTACAAGACAGCATCCAACCGCCTGGCTGACCTAGTTGGATGGCTCGGGTGCAAACATATTTGGCTGGGTTACAAGTGGCGCAGCGACTCATCCCACCCACCGAATCGACCTCAGCGCCAAAACGAGCACGAGGGCTGAGGGCAGGAGGGTATACGTGCATGAGGGCTGCATGACTGGGCTTCCCACAGGGGGCAAAATGACCCCGGTGGGGATTGAACCCACAACCTTCGGATTTGGAATCCGACGCGCCACCATTACGCCACGGAGCCGGAACGGCTAAATCTCATGTACTTCATGAGGAGGCAACCTGTCGTACAGGGGATTCCAGTTGATGATGTCAATTCTCGCAAGCCACGCTCTATAAACGCCGCACTGGGAAGTACGACGCAGTTCGAGCTTGGATTCCAAGCCGCGACGGGCCCCAGCATTCATCCCCTTCATTTCCAAGCCAAAAAAGTGGTGTACGACACTTTGCTATTGGTCTAGGGCAGCTGCTGACCGCACGTCACAGCACCCCCACTGTCCTTGGGCTGAGGGCTGCTACATACCCGCACGCAGATTCTGTCCATTGGTGTTGGACGACCTTGTCCTTTTGTCGTGTTGCTGGCCCTGTACTGCTGGGGGGGCAGGGAACGAGTCCAGAAAAATAAGGGCTGCACGCATCCACGGTGTCTTCCATGCACACCATGATAGATGGCATGCTGCCGTAGGTATGGTCCATACATGCATGTATGCACACACACAGCGCCCATGCATGCTGGATCTTTGCGCAGCAAGGAAGACTGGAATAAGCAGTGTACTTATAAGCACTCATCTTTTTCGTTAGCACGCAGGAGCCTGGGAAATTCGTTTCAGGTGGCACGATGCTCGCTGGGACGTACGGTATGCATGCCAATAAGTAAATAGGTGCCCATCGGTCAGAGAGAAAGGAATAAGGACGGGTCAAGTCATAATAAAGACGCTAAACGGATTTCAGCGCGTCCGCCAGCATGTTACAGGGAAAGACGAGTCCAACAAGGCCACGCATGCAAGCCAGAATGAATGGACGGGCCGTACTTCCTTGCATGCATGCACGTGTGGCCGCCGCCTATGTCCGGTATGGGTCATGCGGTGCGTGCTGACTGCACAATGGAAGCGTATCCGCATCTATGCATGTATGCATGCCAGGGGTGCGTGGGGGACCCGCAAGATGGGGCATCCCCTATCTACGCACCCGTGTGCACAGGATGAGGATGGCTGTCTTACATTCTTTCAGGTTAACCACTAATAAGAGGATGAAAATGGTCTGTAGAAGCTCTTCGCCGTGCAGATCGCACGGTAAGCTGTACTATAATTTCGCCAGCCATGCAGCCAATGATCTCATCACTATTTCCATGCCCTTCCCCCCTACCTGCTGTCTTCCTCGAACCCTCGATTTTTCATCTCCCTCGTGTGTGCTCCCCTCGCTCCCCTGTCCACTGCTGCTGGCCGAAAGCGGCAGTGGGTGCCCAAGTCTTAGAGATGGCGCGGCATACAAGCAAGCAAGCTTACATCACCGCCGCACCATGGCATACCGTATTTGCCCATAATCAAATTGACAAGTTGATGGTTTGGATTTTGACAATTGGGGCAAAAATGACTTGTGGACGTCTTTATTTTAGTGGGGCTAGCAAATTGGGGGGAAACATTCCGGTGCCCAGGATCCTCACCACGCCTGTCCAATCGAGTCCTCCACAGCTCGAGCCGCTTTCCAAGCAACCAACCGCTTATAAGTTGTAATTTCGGGGTGTTTGGCGCATGTCAAAGAAATGGGGCTAGGTATTTGCCACCAAAAAATCCAAGTGGGGCAGAAAATACTTTTGCCTTGTCCAATGAGGCTTCGGATTTGGAATCCGACGCGCCACCATTACGCCACGGAGCCGGAACGGCTAATTCTCATGTACTTCATGAGGAGGCAACCTGTCGTACAGGGGATTCCAGTTGATAATGTCAATTCTCGCAAGCCACGCTCTATAAACGCCGCACTGGGAAGTACGACGCAGTTCGAGCTTGGATTCCAAGCCGCGACGGGCCCCAGCATTCATCCCCCTTCATTCCCAAGCCAAAAATGTGTGTATACGGCACTCTGCTATTGGTCTAGGGCAGCTGCTGACCGCACGTCACAGCACCCCCACTGTCCTTGGGCTGAGGGCTGCTACATACCCGCACGCAGATTCTGTCCATTGGTGTTGGACGACCTTGTCCTTTTGTCGTGTTGCTGGCCCTGTACTGCTGGGGGGGCAGGGAACGAGTCCAGGAAAATAAGGGCTGCACGCATCCACGGTGTCTTCCATGCACACCATGATAGATGGCATGCTGCCGTAGGTATGGTCCATACATGCATGTATGCACACACACAGCGCCCATGCATGCTGGATCTTTGCGCAGCAAGGAAGACTGGAATAAGCAGTGTACTTATAAGCACTCATCTTTTTCATTAGCACGCAGGAGCCTGGGAAATTCGTTTCAGGTGGCACGATGCTCGCTGGGACATACGGTATGCATGCCAATAAGTAAATAGGTGCCCATCGGTCGGAGAGAAAGGAATAAGGACGGGTCAAGTCATAATAAAGACGCTAAACGGATTTCAGCGCGTCCGCCAGCATGTTACAAGGAAAGACGAGTCCAACAAGGCCACGCATGCAAGCCAGAATGAATGGACGGGCCGTACTTCCTTGCATGCATGCACGTGTGGCCGCCGCCTATGTCCGGTATGGGTCATGCGGTGCGTGCTGACTGCACAATGGAAGCGTATCCGCATCTATGCATGTATGCATGCCAGGGGTGCGTGGGGGACCCGCAAGATGGGGCATCCCCTATCTACGCACCCGTGTGCACAGGATGAGGATGGCTGTCTTACATTCTTTCAGGTTAACCACTAATAAGAGGATGAAAATGGTCTGTAGAAGCTCTTCGCCGTGCGGATCGCACGGTAAGCTGTACTATAATTTCGCCAGCCATGCAGCCAATGATCTCATCACTATTTCCATGCCCTTCCCCCCTACCTGCTGTCTTCCTCGAACCCTCGATTTTTCATCTCCCTCGTGTGTGCTCCCCTCGCTCCCCTGTCCACTGCTGCTGGCCGAAAGCGGCAGTGGGTGCCCAAGTCTTAGAGATGGCGCGGCATACAAGCAAGCAAGCTTACATCACCGCCGCACCATGGCATACCGTATTTGCCCATAATCAAATTGACAAGTTGATGGTTTGGATTTTGACAATTGGGGCAAAAATGACTTGTGGACGTCTTTATTTTAGTGGGGCTAGCAAATTGGGGGGAAACATTCCGGTGCCCAGGATCCTCACCACGCCTGTCCAATCGAGTCCTCCACAGCTCGAGCCGCTTTCCAAGCAACCAACCGCTTATAAGTTGTAATTTCGGGGTGTTTGGCGCATGTCAAAGAAATGGGGCTAGGTATTTGCCACCAAAAAATCCAAGTGGGGCAGAAAATACTTTTGCCTTGTCCAATGAGGCTTCGGATTTGGAATCCGACGCGCCACCATTACGCCACGGAGCCGGAACGGCTAATTCTCATGTACTTCATGAGGAGGCAACCTGTCGTACAGGGGATTCCAGTTGATAATGTCAATTCTCGCAAGCCACGCTCTATAAACGCCGCACTGGGAAGTACGACGCAGTTCGAGCTTGGATTCCAAGCCGCGACGGGCCCCAGCATTCATCCCCCTTCATTCCCAAGCCAAAAATGTGTGTATACGGCACTCTGCTATTGGTCTAGGGCAGCTGACCGCACGTCACAGCACCCCCACTGTCCTTGGGCTGAGGGCTGCTACATACCCGCACGCAGATTCTGTCCATTGGTGTTGGACGACCTTGTCCTTTTGTCGTGTTGCTGGCCCTGTACTGCTGGGGGGGCAGGGAACGAGTCCAGGAAAATAAGGGCTGCACGCATCCACGGTGTCTTCCATGCACACCATGATAGATGGCATGCTGCCGTAGGTATGGTCCATACATGCATGTATGCACACACACAGCGCCCATGCATGCTGGATCTTTGCGCAGCAAGGAAGACTGGAATAAGCAGTGTACTTATAAGCACTCATCTTTTTCATTAGCACGCAGGAGCCTGGGAAATTCGTTTCAGGTGGCACGATGCTCGCTGGGACATACGGTATGCATGCCAATAAGTAAATAGGTGCCCATCGGTCGGAGAGAAAGGAATAAGGACGGGTCAAGTCATAATAAAGACGCTAAACGGATTTCAGCGCGTCCGCCAGCATGTTACAAGGAAAGACGAGTCCAACAAGGCCACGCATGCAAGCCAGAATGAATGGACGGGCCGTACTTCCTTGCATGCATGCACGTGTGGCCGCCGCCTATGTCCGGTATGGGTCATGCGGTGCGTGCTGACTGCACAATGGAAGCGTATCCGCATCTATGCATGTATGCATGCCAGGGGTGCGTGGGGGACCCGCAAGATGGGGCATCCCCTATCTACGCACCCGTGTGCACAGGATGAGGATGGCTGTCTTACATTCTTTCAGGTTAACCACTAATAAGAGGATGAAAATGGTCTGTAGAAGCTCTTCACCGTGCGGATCGCACGGTAGGCTGTACTATAATTTCGACTCTTGCCACCTTGCTTCACCGCGCCGAGTAAACCAGGGGAGCAGACGGGGTGGGCTGGCTGGCTCGTGCGAACCTCATCAGCAGTGCCTCCACCGACTGGCCGGGAACCTGGGAGGAGGGACGGAGGGCGTGAAGAGGTAGGGAGGGTAATGTGTATCAATACTCAAAACAGGGTAAACGCTGTAGGAGGGAGGAGGGAGGGCGGAAGGAAGGGAGAGGGGGGGGAGGAAGTATTAGGGGCACATATTCCGCATTAGGCGGTGGGAGGAGGGACGAAGAGGATGTGGGGATGTTAAAGAAGGAGGAAGTTAATCTCCCATGTTGGAACGGGGGGTAAGGGAAAGGAGGAGATGAGCAATGGGGGTGAGGGAAGGCACTACCAAACCCGTAACGGACTGGTGCTTAGGTTACCTGGCGACCTGGCGAGGGGGTAACCGGGCTGGCAGGGGGGTAAGACCTGGTTCGACTGCTATAGGGCGTGCCACCACCCCACCACCCCACCTTGATCCCCGCCAGGTACGGCTCCAGTGCACTCCACTCCCAGCGGGGACGTCGGAGGAAGAGCGCGGCGAAGCGAGCAGCAGGGTCGGCGGGCAAGGAGGAGGCGGGGAAGGGGAAGATGCGGGCCTCGGGACCGCTGCCTGAGGGGTATGGGAGGCGGGGAGGAGAGAGGAATGAAGGTTGGGATGGCAGGGGAAAGACGAGAGAAGTGGTTCGTTAAGAGAATGACAAACGACGATGGAGAGAATGGGTAAAAATAAGGAAAACTGACGAACTGGATGACGAGGCTTCTCCATGGGTTGCTAATTGGCCCATCCCACCTCACCCGTATTTGTCACGCCAAAACAACAAATGGTCGTTTACCGTAAAGACGGGTGGTGGGCAAACGGTCCTTGAAGTATTACCTTGTCACCGGATATCACTGTACGACACCTTACATGTGTCGTACAACCATTCATGAGTAACCACGTACAAACCCTCCCCCCTCCCTCCACACACACACGCACCTTCAACCAGCGCCTCCGCTCGTACCATGTCCAGGGAGGGCTTCATGCCGTGCGGTACGGCACGCGACCAGGCCGCCAGGAACTCAGTCAGGCCCATACCCCTGCTGCTGCTGCCCCCAGTGGTAGCGGTGCCGCCTGCCCCTGTCCCTGCTCCTCTTCCAGCTGCTGCCGCTGCCCCGCCGGTACTCAGGAGCTTCTGAGCAAAGTGCACGCAGACCTGCAGGGGGTGGGTTAGGAACAAAGTTGCACAGGTAAGGAACAAGGTGATACTGGCAAGGAACAACCTCCCTTACCTTGGCCTCGTCCAGCGCCCACACGGCGCCACTACCTGCCGCCCCATCCTCTCCTCCTCCGCTGCTGCCGCCCGCTCCTGCTGTCGTACTTGCCGTACCGCTGCTGGCCCCACTCCCACCACCTCCATCCACCCGCTTGCCGTACACTTTGAGGCAGTGTCGTACAACGTCCGGGTGGTAGCCGTCTGACGCAAGTGAGCCCGCCACCACTTCCTCGCGTACGGCACAGGTGGGCATTCCCTCCTGCTCACACCTGCGTGTGTTCGACACGTAGATGTAAGGCATATGGATATAAGGGAGGGAAGAAAGGTACAATGAAACCCACGTCTTGACTTCTACAGCATGGTGTAACATATCAGTTACGTTGGATGGATGACTGGTACCGGTATCTTGGATTTTTGACAAAGCATGCTGGTACAGTGTGTTTTGCTCTCGTCAATGCAAGGCCCAGTCGTCTACTCGCTCCAATCCGCAATCCGTTTCTCTACGTCGACAAGCAGCCGCTAGCGACCAGACTGAGAGCTACCAATTACAAGCTACACGCTAGCTACGATACATAGATAGGTAATGGACCAGGTATTACACCCTGGCGATTACGCATGCTAAACCGATCGGACTGCAGTTTAGGATATTCATGATGGGGATAAGAAAAAGCGAGATGTAGTAGGGACTGCTGCCAAGCCCATGGTTGACCAATTGCATTATCTGCCCCCCCCCTCCCGCCTCACGTGAGCAGCAGCAGCTCCAGCAGGCCCCCCAGGTAGCTCCCCTCCACCGCCCGCCACCTGCCGTACAGCCGCATGGCGCCCTCCGCCTCCAAAGCGCTCAGCAGCTCACCGGGGCTGGCCTGGGTTAGGGCGGTGGGGGGTGGGTTGGAGGGGGATGGAGGCGGGGAAGCGGGGCAGGTGGGAAGGGGTGGTACGTAGCAGCGGAATTGGGCGCGGGAACGATTGGCCTGCCAAGCCCCATCGCTTGTAGGCCACGGAACAACCCAGGTCCCTGTTCGCTGCGGCTGCCTGCCCTCCACCCACCAACCCCCCAGCCGCCGGTCAGGCCCCGGAACCGCCTTGGCTCCCCTCCACCGAGACACCCACTTTCATTCCCACCCTTCACCGCTTTGGCTCCCTAGCCCCTTCCCCGCCCCCCACCCTCACCTGCACCGCTGCAAGCAGCTCCTCAAACGTGTACCCGCCTGCTCGCCCCCCTCCACCTCCTGCTGCCGTACCGTCCACCTCCATCTCCTCCCCCTCCTGCTCCAGCCCGTAGGGTCGCTCCCACAGCATGGCCCTCAGGGGGCCCATGCGGGGGGCGACCTCCACTAGCTGGGAGGGGAAGTGGGGAGAGGGAAATTGGGCAAAGGGAAGCGGAGGATTGGGGGAACCAACTTGCTCAGGGCATGGGCTACTTGACAGGAAGGGTACCTCCGCTGGCTGGTGGGGAGTGTGAAGGGTGCGGTGTCAGCGCTGCATATTCGACCTCCGCCATCCCAGCCAGCTTCCCCACTTCGCCGCACACTCAACACCACCGACACCCCAGACCCCCACCCTCCCGCCCCCTCCTGTTGACGCCTTATCACTCAGTCAGCCAGTTGTTTCCCCTTTACCCTCCTCCCCCTTCACCTCGATGTGCGACGTGTTGGTGGCCTCCACCAGCACCGGGGCACCTGAGGCGGCTCGGAACTGGGGAGGGTGGGAGGTGGGGGCAGCAGAGGGATGACTAGTGTGGGTACACGCGTAAAAGGGGGGATGGTACGGGGGAGAGGGTTGGATGGTGGTGGGGAGCGGATGGCCAGAGAAGGCATTGGGCCGTGAACGTGAGGACCCATTCTACCACCCCGCAAAACAACCCGCCCCCTACTTACCCCCTCCCACTGCGTCATAAGGCCCTGACCAAAGCCAGTATTGGCGAACCGCTGCCCTCCTCCTGCGCAGGTGTCGGAGAGCGGACGGGGAGGAAGAGGGCTGGGGGAGGGGTACATATGGGAACGTGGACCAGACAGGGTGCTATGAGAAAACCCATGACGAAATAAGCCTGTCGTACTTGACTGCCTACCACTCTGGAATGCCGTACCCAAAGCGCCAGCCATCACCGGCCCTAACCCTGCCGTACGACTCACCCGTGGTCTTCTCCTCGGCCCCCTCCATCCCCTCCTGAGGATGCGACATGCGAGTGTGGTAGCCCCCGACAGTGTGGGGGTGTTTGCCCACCACAGAGAGACGGCCGCAGGAGAGGGCAGGGGGAACAAGGGCAGGGTGACGGGTAAGGTAAAGGGCAAGGAAAACACAATACCGCACCGGGGCACGAGCGCAATGGATAAGCCGGAGGGCCACCTAGGTACACGTCATCACTTCACCAGGCCGCCATACGCAGCGTACATGCAGAACCGTATGGGCCATTGCGGCCCCTTGTAGTTGTGCATTGCTTCCTCCAACGGCCATAGCGTCCTCTTTCCTTAAACCCAGGCTAGGATACCAAGTACTGATTTGTCCATGTCTGGCTAATGTAACTAAACAGAGTTGCAAGTTTTTGCCGTACTAAGCCCTCAAGCCACAAGAACACTTTTCCTCTCACCTTAAGACTTATCTCATGAGCCGTGTTACTGTGAACCTCGCTTACCCTAGGGTCATCTTTGTTCTTCCCCGCCAAGCCCGCCTACCTTTGGCCGCACAAGCAGCTGCAGGTTGGTGGTCTCCACATGCTTCATTGCATAAGTCTTGTTGGAAGTGACGAGCACTGCCTCGTCATCCTCACCACCCTTTACCGCGACACTGTGACATAAAGCGAGTGCGTGCGATTGGGTGCCGGACGACATGGTTAGCAGAGCATGGATGTAACAAGGATTGGATGGTATAAGGCAGGAGTCCATAGCACGGAACCTGGCCGCGGGACTGGTTGTATTAGTAACGTGCTACATGCATGCTACAGAACACGTCATTATCGTTAAACGGATTGGAGTGCGTAAAGCATTCGCTTTACTAACGAGGCGTTGCTTCCACCGCACCCTTTTGCGATAATCTCCGCAAGCAATGCTTCGTCCACTTCAAGAAGACGCAAATCTGTCCGAACGCCATCCGGTGCAAAGGCTAGTGCTCGCGGTTGGCCAGGAGCAAGCCCTAAGGAAGCCATTTTTCGTGATACTCGCCCCTAAGAACCGTCCTAGGCTAGACCCGCCAGAAGTATCTGCCACCCGTAATGCTTCCGGCCGTTTCAAGCCGCGAAGAGCAAATACCAAAGTCGTATGCGCAGTTAGGAAGAAGTCTTACAGGAAGAGGACTTGTGAGTCTGGACTGCTCTGCAAACGTTCGCGATTTAGCTTTGTTAGTGCTCCATCCTTTGTGTATGTCAGTGCATGCGAAACCGCTGGGGAGCGGTCGCGCGCCAGGAACCGACGTGGTTTCGGAGCCGAGGTTGAGCCCTCCACAAACCTATATCCTAAAGCGACACTGTGCCCAGTATATGCAAACGTACATGTTTTGTCTTGTTATCTGGGTATTGATTCTTACCTCTCTTCCTGAATTGTTGGCAATGAAGCATGGAAGTTTGCAGGAGGTTGTCTGACTATTCTGGCCTACTACAGCCAACTACTCCATTGCTTATTGAGGTTCCTCTATTATTCGATGCCATCTCGTATTCGTTGATTCCTCGTCACACGCTCCCTTCTCCTGATGCCCTAGCGTAGCCTGCTGCCATTGGTCTTCCTCCTTTTACCCCATACTCCATTTTCGCACACAATGACATGCTCATTACGCACCCTCCACCCCATTTCACTTCACTGCATCCACCTACCTCCAGCTTCACATGCCCGTGTAAGTGTGATCTCTTTTATGCGTACCCACCGCCACTTCTCCCCACACCAGTAACTCCGCTTGCACATCCTTCGCCCGTTCTCCCGTTGTCCAAGCGGTAATCGTCTTCTGCAACAGGCCCAATCGCCATCACTCTGTGTTAAGGGTCCTGCCGCCTGTCCTCCGTTGGGTATCCGTCCCTACCATGGCTTATAAAAGCCTCCAGTCCGCGCCTTCACCGCCTGCTCTCTGCCCTACCAGCCTCTTTCTTCCCTTACACTCACCTCCTTTACATTCACCCCCTTTGAAACCCTGGATGCCATCAAATTGACACACGCGTTGCACCCCCAAACACCCCACTGTTGCCAAGGTGCATTGCTACGGGTAGTGTGTTACTACCCTATCACAGGAGTCCACAGCCCCAAAAGTCCTATTACACTCTCCCAACACCATTGAAGGTGCCCCATTGAAGTTACCCCCCCACCACCACCACCACCATCACGAGGTTTCCGTCTCTGCTGACCACCCAGATGTCGTAGCGACGTGGGAATCCGGAAACAGACCGCCGCTCACCTACTGCCATAGCTGCCTTTCTTGCCACTCCCTCTTGTTGGTTTTCCCACGTGTTGTTTTTCCCTTGCACTCTTCTGTGCCGCCCACCCTGCCTCCGAACAGTAGTTGCCACCCCCTAGATAGTGCTTGTTGCATCCCACGGGGTCCCAAGGCATCTGCGGCTGTTGTGTGCTTTGCACTGTGGTGCTGGCGAAGGGATGAAGCCTAACTCCTTCCATCAATTGTTTTTCCGGCGTTATTGTGTATTTTGCCAAGTAGAGAATATGTGCGATGCATTCCTCCGCTCTTCTTCTCTCTGCAGCTCCATCTCTGCTTGAGATTACCCCAGCTCAGGATAACCAAGCATGCTACCCTTCTTCTTCCCTCCAACTTTAAAGTCCCGCACTGCAACCACGAGCACCGCATCGCCTGTCCTGCACCAGGCCCGAACAACAACAGAACGCTCAACCCCGTCATCAGTTGTATTGTGAGTGCTATCGTGAGTGCACGTATCCACTTCTCGGCTGGCCCAGCATCATGCCATGGCCGTGCTGTTAACGACAGCGCTTTGGGATTAATAGTGCATTTATGTTATGTGGATTGAAATCCAGTTTCGCCAACGAAGGAAATTGGACATGCACAGACAGCATACAATTGAAATGGCATATCGTCATACCGGTACACATACGTACCGGTGGTAGGCACAGCACAGCATATGTACAAACACAACGTGCAACTCTTTCTGTATCAAAAACACATACCCTCAGCACGCCTGTCAGGCTACGTTACTTGCAATATGCACACCTATTACCATATACCTCACTTAGTAAGCGTACGACGAGTGGTATGTCGTACCAATCCAAGTCGGAGCGACCCACTCCGGCAGTGCCTTTACCACGGCACGCAGCTCGGGTGTGAGGGGCAGGTAGGTGATGCTCAGGTCCACGGTGACCCATGGGTCATCAGCGCTCCTCGCACTACCTTTTCTGCTGCTGTTGCTAACATCACTCCTCGTCCCCTCCTCCCCCTCATCCACCTCCTCCACCTCGAGCTCCAGCGATATGTCCCAAAAGGGCGAGTCCGCGACATGGCTAAACCTTACCATATAGGAGGAAGCGGCAACGGCACGGCTATTGCGACCCCGGCCCTTCAGACCCCCACCCCCACCCCGCTGCTGCGGTGGCAGCGGTACCGGGGGCGAGGGCAGCGACCAGCTCCGAAGCCTCGTCACCCTCACACCATCCGAAGCACCTGCAGTTGAGGCCCCTGAAGCCGCATCCCTTGTGGCACCAGCCATGCTGATGGTGCTGACGGAGGCAGGGATGGTAGTGGTGGTGATGTTGAGGACTCCCCAGCAGTGTGCAGCCGAGAACAGCCGCAGCTGCAACAGCCGGCAGCGCTGGCGGGGAGCGCGGTGGGAGGTGCCAGCAGGTGAGTCCACAGCCACCTCCTCCGCATCTGCCGTACAGCCCTCGTAGGTGCTGCTAGCGCCGCTACCACCGCTGCTGCTACCGCGGCTGCAGCTGCAGTTGACACTCTCGTCCCTCAGCTGGACGTGAGGGGGGAAGGAGGTGACGGTGCGGGTGGCAGGGTACGGAAGGAGTTGAGGGAAGCAAAGGGTTGTGACACGTTGGGGTAGCGGTCCCGGAGGCTCTCGGTAAGGTTCCCATTTACAACCGTCCCTCCCAACCAACCAGGGCCACCCATCGGGCTCCCGTCACCTTTCCTATCAGCTATTCCCAATCCACGTACAACAGGCTGCCACGGTCCAAGAGTCCGACCGTACACACAGTGCTACAGCGTTACAGCAGCACGATGCCGCCTGCCGTACCTTTCTGATGTACGGCGGTACGGCAACGGGCGGTGCGGCGCTTGGCCTCGCCGGCAGCACCATCTTACCCAGCAGCCCACTCAGCGGAAACAAGGAGGCAAACTCGTGGCCGCTGATGCCGAGTACCGGTAGTGACGTCAGCACGCCCCCTACTTCTCCTGCTGCTGTGTTTCCTCCTGCCCCTCCTTCCCCTTGTTCTCCGCCTTCATTGTTAGGTTGTGGCACAGCTGCGGCGTTTGAGAAGAGCCGCGCTGCATTCTCCGCAGGATCGGAGGGTCCCGGGAAGAGTTGGCGCCAGGGGTTGGAGTCGGTGATACCCAGGACGAGCTTTGCGGTTGGGTTGGTTGGCGGTGCCGGTTGTACGAGTGATGATAATGACAGCAACTGTTGCTGGTGTCGGTGGTGCTGGTGGGCAGGACTGCCGTCCCCTGCTGCTGACGTTACTGCCTCCACTGCCTCTGCCGCTGCTGCTAGCTGCTCTGTTGTGATGTCGAACTGTGGGTAGGGTGGAGGTGGGATAGGGGACAGGGGAGAGGATGGTGGGCAGGGAGATGGGTTGAGATGTGGAAGGGTGGGAGAAGGGTGCGAAGGGTACCAGAAGGTGGCTTTACAGGGGTAGGTTTGTGCGAACGACTGGTTCACTGGCAAGGTGGGTGGGCCAGTATTTGCTTATGTAACGCTTACTGGGGAACTACTCAAGCAGGGAAGGTGTTTCTTGGCAGACAGGCAGGCAGAGCAGCAGAGCAGGCGGAGCAAAGCAGAGCAGACACAGTAGCGCAGCGAAAACAGCATGCCCCCACTTTCCTAAGACGTGACTAATTAGGAAGTTGCCCTCCTTCACAGTCCGCGTTCTCTCCCCCCTTACCTCCGGCACCCACACCCCGGTCTCATGCAGGTGTGTGATGGTGAGGCGGCGGGGGGCGGCAGGACTGTACGGCACCACCCGCACACTCGACCACACCGCAACCGCCAACGAAACCGCCACCAACGACCCCAGGAATAGGATAGCCGCAGCCGGTGTCGAGGCACAGCCTGTCGTACCCCTGGCACCGCGCCTGTTGCGGCTGCTGTCGCCCACGTCCTGCCCCTGCAGTTTCCGGTCTTGTTGTTGCATATTTCGCCGCCGCGAGAGCTGTTTGTTTTGTCTCCTCGACCAGCTGCTCCATGATGCCGTACCGCTGCCGCCTCCCTCCTTGGCACCATTGTCCTGCTGTTCACTGTCGCTGCCATCACTGAAATCGTCATCATCATCCTCTTCCTCCTCCATAGTAGCTTGTTCACCTCCTGTGCTCCCCTGCCTCCCACTCCCGCTCCTGCTCCCCACCCGAGTCCCTCCAAACCCCTCCAGCCAGCCCCCCACCGCGTACCCCAGCAGCGGCAGCACACAGCCGCAGCTGGCGCCGTGCAGGGAGGTGCCGTACATCAGCCCCATCACCCCATCAGCCAGGAGGGGGGAGAGGTGGCCTGCAGGGGGGCGGGGGGGGGGGGGTTGGGGGAGAGGCAAGCGAAAACATGGCTTGGGAGATGGGAGGGGCAAGGAGGAAGGGTTTGTGTGTGTTGAAATAACTGTGTGTGTCGGCGGAAGGTAAGTTTGGAACAACGCTATATAAGCACGCAGGTCTACCCTTGACCGCTTCTCCTCCCTCAACGTCTCTAACCACCGCCCACGCCCCTCTCCTCCCTCTCCACCCCACCCCCCCACCCCCCCATCCCTTACCCGTCAGCCCCATCCTCTCCCCCAGCACGCCCAGGAAGGGCCCCAGTACGGCGCTCATGGCGGCCAGCGGCACCACCAGCACCGCCGCCACCGCAGCGGCGGTGCGGGGGGCCAGGGTGGGCTGGGAGGGCGGGGGGAGGGGGAGAGGCGCGGCATGAGGAGCTCGATTGAAGGCGAACATCGCCAGCGGGCAAATGACACAGAATGACACATAGTCGACATGGATAAAAGTATAAACGGTTGGGGGCGGAGGGCTGGAATTGTTAGGTGCTGGTAACATGCAGCCGCAGACGCCTTGTATGTCAGAAGCAGCACCCCCACCCCGCTCCCGCCCCCTTACCTCCCCACTCGTGTCCAGCAGTGTCGCAACCGCGAACGCCGTCCCCGCCGCCAACGCAAACACCCCTGCCAGCCCCTGCATCCCCGCAGCGGACAGCAGGGCCGCCAGTACGGCAGCAAACAATGCGCTGCCGTACACCTGCATGTCATGCATGGGGGCAGAGGGCGGGGTTGGGGGGTTGCGAAGGTGGGTGGGAGGAGGGGAGGGGAGAAGCCAGTACGGCAGTGGGTAATGCCCAGATGGCTGCTGAAGGCGCCATACAATTAGATGGGAGAGGCGCCATACAATTAGAGGGGAGAGGCGCCATAGCACAGAAGTTATCAACCACCACCGTACATTCGCATGAAGCCGCGCAAAAGGGAGTTAGGGGAGTGGGCGACACCTCACACAAGGCACCAGCGCGTGCATAGGCATGACGTATGCACTGTCCCTCCCCTCATCCCCCACCTGGCATGCCACGTAGTGGCCCTCTCCGCACCTCCCGCCCGCCTCGCCCTCATCCCCTGCTGCCACTGCCGTCACTGCTGCTGCTTGACCTTGACCACCTGCTGCTACCCCCCTCCTCAACCCCTCCCGCGCTCCTCCTCCTCCTCCTTCTGCCTCCCCCTCCCGGTCCCTTTTCCCCTTCCGCTGCTGCCCGGCTTCCCGCCACACCCCCAACCAGGGAGCCAGGGTGACAGCGGCGGCGAGGGGGAGGAAGGTGGCGGCGGCGACCCAGGGCTTGCCGTACCAGGGCATGGCGATACCTGGGGGCGGGGGGGGAGGGGGGAATGCACTAGGCTAACCGAACATGCTTTCTGGACTATTCCAACCAGGCTTCACCCCTGCAGCCCGAAGTGGATAACCCCATGAACATTATCCACCCCCCACCTGTCACCATCATGCCGTTAGACGGAACCACGCACGCCCCCTCTGCCGCCTCCCCCAATGCTCCCCCCTTCGTCTCCCTCTCCCCATACCTGACACCGCCGCCCGCCCCGCCCCCAGCAGCGCAGGCGCCAGCAGCGAGCCCCCGAAGGCCGTCGCCGCCCTGCCCGCTCCGCTGAACATACGCAGCATCACCCCGCCGGTGCTGTGACCCTGGGGTGCGAGGTGGTGGGAAGGGGGGGGGGGTAAGCTGAGAGCTTGCGGTGTCCCGGTGTGAGGAGGAAGGGCAGGGGAGGGGTGGTGTAGGCCGCAGCACGCCCCTCCCTTCCACGCGCCACTCTTCAACATCCCCTCATCCTTCTAAACCCACCATGCCTCCAATGCCCTGCATGTTGAACCTGTCGAAAACCCTCTTCCCCCTCACCCCCTCCCCCTCTTCCCCCCTCACCCCCCTCGTCCCCCTCCCCCTTCCCTTCCCCCTTTCGTTCCCCCTCCCGTCACCCCCTTCTCCGTCCCCCTCCCCCTCCCCTCACCCCCGCCACCGCCGCCAGCGGGTTCATCAGCAGCAGCGCCAGCGGGGCGGTGTGCAGCAGGCGGGCCAGCCAGTCGGGGTAGGACAGCAGCCCGCAGCCCAGCAGGTCGAAGAACACGGAGCGGTCCTGGGGGGGAGGCGGGGAGAGGGAGGGAGAGGAGGGGGATACCGTATGCATGAAGGGGACAGGGAGGAGGGGAGGAAGTGAGGAGACCCAAAGCGCATGAGGGTTGCGCGATTGAGGGACAAGGCAATGATTGCCCCGTCAGGGGCCACCTGCAACATCCCCGCTCCCCTCCTCCCCACCCACCCCCCACCCACCCTGACCGCCGCGCCGCTGCTCAGCCGCCCCTCCCCCGCGTCCCCCGCCAGCGCCGCAGTGAGGGCCGCGATGCCGCCCAGCAGCTGCTCACCCATGTCCTGGAGGGGGGAGAAACAATTAAATAAGTGAAACAACGAGTCCCAATCCCATATCCCGACTCTCTGGAGGGGGGAGGGGGAGGGTAGGGGGAGTAGCAGGGTGACCAAACCAAGAAGGGAGGGGGCCGGTAAGGATGAAAGGACTAATGGCTTGCAGGGATCCATCATGGGGGTTGCAACATGGCTGTGCAGCCTTCCAGCTGCCCACATGAGAGAGCCCCCTGGGCTGCTGTCATACACCACACAAGGACAGCACGTACACATGTTTGCATTTCAAGCTGCAGCGCCGTCTCAACAGAGGTTGCACAGAGGGGGGATACTCCACGATAGCAAGGGGTGGGTTTCTTGGTTACCTGTACTCATTACCTGAATAACGTCCAGCAAACACTCTGACCCAGGCTAAAGACCCACAGGGTTTAGGCTCCCTAAACCCCGTCCTGACACCTGCACAGCTGCCCCCCATGCCCCCCCATATCCCGCCTCCCCACACCCTCACACCCACACCTGCATGGCCCCCCTCCTCAGCCGGCCCACGTCATCCAACCGGGTGTGGTAGGCCAGGGAGTCGCGAGTGAAGGCGATGTCTGCCGGGTTGGGAGGGTTGGGGGGGTTGGGAGGGTTAAACGGTTATAGGGATTGAAAGCTGAAAGGAGTGCCGCACTTGCACAGATGTGGTTCGAGTAGAATATGACCCACGGTTTACTCGCATCCGCACCCACCCCCCACCCCACCCCTCCCCTCCCCTCTCCTTTACTTCTTCATCCTTGCCACGACCTGCCTTACGCAGGGTTACCGCTCCAAGCCCCAATGTCTGCGCCCTAGTAGTTCCTCTGTAGAGCACCAGATCGGATGCGCCCTAGTAGTTCCTCTGTAGAGCACCAGATCGGATGCGCCCTAGTAGTTCCTCTGTAGAGCACCAGATCGGATGTGTGTGTTTTACCCCTCCCCCTTTCTCCCCCCATTTCCCTCCCCCTCCCCCCCCCCCTCTCACCCAGCCCCGGCAGGCTGCCGAAGTGGCGCGCAGAGAACATGCGGTAGTCGGTGTCCCCGGGGATAACGCCCGTGTCGAACAAGTCCTGGAGAAGGAAGGGGGAAGAAGGGTGTACGGCAGGGATCTAGGGCTTAGAGATTGCAGCTATTTTAGTGGCATTCATTGTCTTTTTTACTTAACAGGAAGCAAAGGTGATAAGAGGGGGAGTATCAAGCAAAGCGCGTCTCTCCCAAGCTACCTACCTGCCCCCTTCCCCCTTCCTGTTCACCCCCTGCCTCGAACTCCCCCCCCACACACACACCTGTGCAATCCTGGACCCCCGCGCGTGCCTCGCCCCCCGCGCCCACGCCGCCAGCGTCCATGCGCCGGTGTGCTGGAACAGCAGCGGCAGCCCGCCCCCACCCATGGCCTGGGGAGGAGGGAGGGGGGAGGCAGGAGGGGAGGAGGGAGGAGGGGAGGAGGGAGGAGGGAGGCAGGAGGGGAGGAGGCAGGAGGGGCCGGGTGGGTGGCAAGGAAAGCGGACGGCGGCAGGAAGAGGCATCTGGGAGTTGACCAGATGGCGGTGCTCCTCCTCTTTCCGTCCTTCTACGGACAGATAGCTGGGCCCTTCTACGGTTCTAGCTTCCCTCTTCCCCCCTCTCCCCTCCCCCTTCAATCTCTGAGATGCATGTTTTCTAGTATAGAATCTCCGAATGCGCTCACTGCATGAGTCGGGCTATGGAATTGGGACTCGTTGCTGCACGTATCATTATTTTTCGCGTTCCCCCTTAATCCCCTCCTCCCCCGCAGCCCCTACCTCCAGGTTCACGAAGGCCCCCAGGTTGCGAGCATGCGGGCTGGAGGACATGAAGCCGTGGGCGCCCTGGCAGGGGTTGGGAGGGAGAAGGAATAGGGGAAGGCGGGGACGGGTGCCAACAATTTCGGGAAGCGCCGGTGCTGGCTTGGGCCGAATGTACTATGCACTACACGTCACGTTCTGACAACTGCTATCCTGGCCGTCCCCTAGAACCTCAACTCCCTTCGTTTCCAAACCTGCGCAGCCTTGGCACCCCTCGTACGAGTCTCCTTTCCTAGCCCAACCCCCGCACCCACCTGGCACAGGTTCTCCTCCCCGCCGTCAAACAGCAGCACCAGCGGCGCGGCGGGCAGCAGCGAAGCCGGCCCGCTCAGCAGCGCCCGAGCCGCCTCCAGCATCACACCCACCATGCTGGCGTCGTCGGAGGCGCCTGTACGGCATGCGCGGTTGGGTGGGTGGGGGGGGAGGGGGAGGTGTACGACAAGTAAGACTTGGTTCGCAACCCGAAGTACCGAACGGGTACTAGCTAGCATTTCCTTCGTCCTGCCCCCCAGTTGCTTCTATTTTTATCATTTTCCCCACCCGGAGAAGCCACTGCGCTGTCGTGATGCGCCGCTATCAGCAACCCGCGCGGCTGCTGGGGGCGGGAGCCGCTGTCCTTGGGAGAGGAGGAGGTGGCGGCAGCGGCGGCAGCAGTTGCCGTACTGCTGGCATCTTCCGCAGCAGCATGACCTCCATTTGAGCTGCTACTGCCACTGCTACTGCTGTCACCGGTACTGCCATGCCGGGTGTCGCCGCCCTGCGGGTCCTGCTTCTCCTCAGCAGGTGTGTTGCTGCTGCTGCTGCTGCCGAGGAGGGGTGTGATGGTAATCACCACATTCGTCAGCCCCCGGTATGCGTTGGTGAAGGGCAGTCCGGTGAAGTCCATGGCCACGGAGCCGCTCACGTTGTCCTCGCGGTACACCTGGGTACGAGCATGGGGTCGTACGGCAGGGTGTCGTACGGCAGAGTCCAGAGAATCACCAAACCGAAGGACTGGTCCCCCGTCCACCACCATCTCCACCTCCACCCCATCCCATTCATCTTTACCCCCAGCCACCCACCTTGACCTCCACGTCGCGCGCCTCCCTGGCCTCCGCCAGCTGCTGCAGGAGCCGCCCCTGCCGTACGATGTAGTCGTGCGCCTGCTGCAGCTGGGGCATGGAGATCTGCCCAGAGATAGGGGTGAGAGGGTGAGGGGGTGAGGGGCGGGTGGTGGTTGTTCTGCCTTTGTTGAAAACAGAAGTTTGGGAACCGGGGAGGCAAAAGGGGTTAGCTATACACGATGCATCCCGTAAGTGCCTATCATACCCCAACACATGCACTACGTTACCAACTAAATCCTACCGGTATTCTTCCACCCCCACCCCCACCCCCCTCCCACCTGCCTATCCGGCAGCCCCCCCGCCAGTGCCGCCACATGCGCCGCCGCCCGCTCCTCACTGAACAGATGCGGAGGCGCGGAGGCGGGTTGCACGGCAGGTGTCCACTGCAGCCGCCAGTGCGCGAAGAAGAGCTGGGGGCGGGTACAGCGGGTCAGGTTGGGGTTGCACACGTGGGTGTATGTGTGGGGTTGGGTTGGGATGAGGAGAGCAGCGGAGCGGTGGAGGGAGAAAGGAGGAGTGAAGACGGGGAGAGCTGTAGTATTGGTGAGGGCAAGGAACCTGGGCTCCACTTGCGCATAAGGTAGCAGACGGGCTCTAGGGGCAAAGGGCTAGGGGTTGGTGGGAAGGGACACAGGATTGTAAATGCCGCAGCATGTTTCGTTGGAATGACCGGGGTAATGGCATTTGGGAGGATGGATGCAGCGAAGGAGGTGCAAAAGGTTGTTTGTAATTTGTAGTCGTGTCCATAGCTATGCTCGTGATAATATCTCTTCCAGAGGAAACTTACCATGATGGAATAATAGGCGAAAATTCCAAGCAACATTAGGCGCGGATTGGCCCAGGGTACCGGCTTCGCAACAACGCGTTCACCATTCGGTTGCTGTTGAGGCAGGATGCGTGCTCTGGCAGCTGTCAGTGCTACCATTTTGCGATCGGGCTTGCTTGCATTGGCCATTTCGGACCGGAACAGGTCGAGTTGTTAGGCCAGTGGGAAGGTGGGATTAAGCGGGTTCCTTCTGTAGGTGTTACACAAACACACTACAGGTCAACGTGAATTTGTGCAAATACAAGAAGCAACATCCTGAGGGGCGCAGAGCGCAATAGCTCAAGGGCTGATGTAACTCATGCTCACGCAAAACTATTATTTAAGTTACCCTAATAGGGCCAGAATGGGAAACCGTCACAACAGTAAGTGCGCAGTAGCAGCACAACACCATACCTGCTCCGAAACGGCCTCAGTCGGTTTGTTTGTTTTGCGTCGCAGTGCTTGGGCAAGCTAGATTCTATAAGGATTCCCGTATTGATGTCTCGTCAATGGCTACAACAAAGAAGCTCATAAATAGTCCCGAGACGGCGGTTGTCGACTCGCTAGAAGGCTTGGTGCTTACCTATGGCCACCTACAGCGGCTAGAAGGCTGGCCAAAGGTGAGCCACCATGACCAGAACAGACGCGCCTACACTCTCAGCGGGCGGTGCAATGTTGCGACCTGCAAGCTTACTCGCCATGTCTTTACTTGCAACATGAACGGTGTTCTCCTATGAAGCGGATCAATTACAGTCCCACAATTCACATGGCTTCGCAGATCAAGGTTGTAATCAACCGCAACCATGATAAGTCCAAGGTGGCAGTTATCTCAGGTGTGCACCTTGACCGCTGCGCAAACCGGGTCATTAAAAGCAAATACATGGGGCTCTACTCGATATTTTGTTTTATACAAGCACAATTACCCAGACCCCACGGTACAAGGCGGTTGTAAGCCCCTTGCCTCGAACCCTCACCGCTGTCGTATCCCGTCCACCCGTCTGAGCCCTCCGCTCTGTCCCTAGCCATCCCCATGCCCTAGCTGTACCCTAGCCCTACCCAATACACCTCCCTTCCTTATCCTGTCTCGCCTTCCTCGCCAACCCGCTTCCACCCACCCCCCACCCTTCCTCCTGCCTCACCTCTCCCCTCAACAAAACTCAAAACAGGCGGCGGCAGCGGACACGAACCCGCCCACGCGGGTTACGTGGGGGATGGCATGCTAGCAGCGGCGGTGGCGGGGGACGTGTTCGCGGTGCGTTTGTTGTGCGCGTGCGTGTGTGTGTGTGCCCTTCAGCGCCACAATAGGAGCACAGCAGCTCTCACACAGCGGCCCCTCCCCACTCATGCGCTTGCTGCCACAGCTGCTACCCGTCAAGGCTTGCAGCCATGAGCAGCTGCCCGGTCTCTCCTCCCCTGTTGCCGTTGTTGTGCCCCCACCCACTCCTCCACCCAAGCCCGCCACCTCACCTGCTCTCTCTCTATGACCTTTTCCTCTTTCTCCCCTCCCTGATTGGGACTCGGATTGGGACTCGTTGTTTCACTTATTTAATTATTCCTCCCCTCCCTTCCCACACAACCCCACGACCCCATACACAGTCGCCCCCAGCTGATGCAGTCCTAGCCGCCATCCGCGCAGTGACGGGTCCCGCGGGAGCCTTGCTGGTGGTCAAGAACTACACGGGTGAGGGTGGTCAAGAACTACACGGGTGAGGGTGATCAAGAACTACACGGGTGAGGGTGGTCAAGAACTACACGGGTGAGGGTGGTCAAGAACTACACGGGTGAGGGTGGTCAAGAACTACACGGGTGAGGGTGATCAAGAACTACACGGGTGAGGGTGGTCAAGAACTACACGGGTGAGGGTGGTCAAGAACTACACGGGTGAGGGTGGTCAAGAACTACACGGGTGAGGGTGATTACCGTAGTCATTACGCAAGTAAGGAAAACCTAACGGCCGGAAGCAGCAGCTTATTGGAGCTGGGCGCTCGGACGGCAAAGTAAGCGCAAGCAAATACCGGTACCGCCAATGGTGAAGCTGCAGCTGGTGCGCCGTGTGGCGGCTGGCATGACGTAACGTCCGCTTAAGTCCTCATTGTAAAGCTGGCTGACTGGAGGCTGAAACTCTGCATGCGGCGGAGTGTAGGCAGTATGGCTAAGCGGGTGGGGCAAGGGGTTAACAGGACTTAAGAGGGGCTGGATGATGGGGTTGGCGAGGGTGAGGGGTGAGGTTGGGCGAGGATGAGGGCGGGTGTGTTGCTGAGGCAGCCCGCTTTGCCCTTCACTTGCTGTGTAAGTGCAGCGGTCCAGCGGTTAGAAGTGTACCGCTGGAATCTGATCGTACAACCCCATCGTACAACCCGAAGTGTACAACCCCCCACTACATCACCTTTCACCTCCCCCCACTCCCCTCCGTCTCCCCCAGGCGACCGGCTGTGTTTCGGCCTGGCTGCGGAGCGGGCGCTGTGCGAGGGGTTCGCAGTGGAGGTGGTGGTGGTGGGGGAGGACGTGGCGGTGGAGGGCGGGCCGGGGGCGCACCTCGCCGGCAGGAGGGGGCTGGCGGGGACGGTGCTGGTGCACAAGGTAGGCAGGGAGGGGGGGCCCGAGGTGGGGTGGGGTAAGCGACCCAGAGAGCGACCCAACCATAGGAAACCACTAGCTAGGGCAAAGCGATGGGGATGGCTAAGTGGTGTGCGGGGGGAGAGGGTTGGGTGGATGAGCGGAGGGGTGCCCGCTGATGTACGAAGCACCCCCCTCCATGTGCGTGCTATACGCTGCCTCTCAGCTTCTGTGTCTCCCTCCCGTCCACCCGCCGGTGCCGCTGCCTGTCACCTAGCAGGTAGCGGTATCTTCCTTTCTGCCTCCACGACCCTCCTGCCCTAACCCACTCTCCCTCGCTCTCCCACTCCCTTACTCCCTTTCATCCACCCCTTCCACCCCCTCCTCCTTTCTCCACGCCCGCCCCCTTCAGGCTGCCGGTGCCGCCGCCGCTGCCGGTCTGCCGCTGTCCGCCGTGTCGCGGGTGGCTGCAGGGGTGGCGGGCTGCATGGGCAGTGTGGGGCTGGGGCTGAGCGTGGGGACGCTGCCGGGGAAACCTCCCTCCGACAGGTGGGGGGGAGGGGAGGGAGGGGGATTGTGGGAATGAGGATGCGAGGTAAGGTTGCAAGTGGCGAAGGAGGACCGCTGTGGTGAGCGGAATGGAGCAGGACATGGGCGCGTCGGTAGGGCTTCGGATAGTGAGGCATCGTTTGGGCTTGCAGCCAACCCATCCCCGCCCCTGACTTCTTCACCCCCACCGCCTCCTCCCTCCCTTTTCTCCACCGACAGGTTGGGACCCGACGAGGCGGAGCTGGGTCTGGGCATCCACGGGGAGCCCGGGCAGGCCAAGATCTCGCCCGTGCCACCCGCGGACCAGCTCATTCCCCGCATGGTGAAGCAACTGACCCATGTGTCGTTCATGCGCCTTGCAGCACCCTCGGCGCCAACCGCCTCCTCCTCTGCAGCAGAGGGCAGTGCCGAGATAGGGGATCTGCCCCGTGACCCACGGGTCGTCCTCCTAGTCAACAACCTGGGTGCGACGCCGCCAATGGAGATGGCAATCGTCACGCGCGAGGCGTTACGTGCCTTACGGCGTGACGCTCATGCGACCGTTGACCGTTTGTACGTAGGACCGTACATGACGTCGCTTGACATGGCGGGCGTTTCTCTGACTCTCCTGTCGTACGATTTGGACCCAGAATGCAAGAACTTCCAAACTGCGGATGCAGCAAATGCAATAGGAGAGCAGCAGCCACAAAGTGAGGGCCAGCATTCATGGGAGGAGCTATTGGGCCTCCTAGACGCCCCCACCAACGCCCCTGGGTGGCTCCACAAAACCAGTACCTGTACGGCACCTCCACCTGCCGTACCGGGGCCGTACAATCCAGAATCGTACGGCGATCTCCCGGCGCCACTGCCTCTCCCTCCTGCCGGAGGTGATGCCGATGTTGAGGTGCCCCCGCCACCACCTGCGGTCATGACCCATGGGTCAGTGCTGGGTCGTGTGCTGCGGGCGGCGGCGGAGAGCCTGCTGGCCGCGGCCGCGGATCTGGATGCCATGGATGCGAAGGTGGGAGGAAGGGTAAAGAAATGGTTGAGAGGGAAATGAGATCGAGGAATATGGCAAACAGCTGTAGGAGGGTCGTACGATTAGTAGGTGGAGGAGGTAAATGGGAAAGGCGGGAAAAGACCAACGTTAGTCCAACCCCGCCTGCGTTTTTGGGAGCCGTTATAACTTATCTGCAGTCCAACGGGGAGTTCGCATTACGACCAGCATGCTTTGGACATCCCCATGCACGTACGCCCCCATGCATCCCATTCAGCTCACTCCCTTTCCCCCCCACGCACCTCCCCGCCTCCTATCCCCATTGCTTTGCCCTTACCTGTGCTTTCCTATGGTTTGGGATGGCCTCTTCCTCCACCTTCCCGGCCCAGGTGGGTGATGGCGACTGCGGCACCACCCTGGCTGGCGCTGCCTCCGCCCTCCTGCGGCAACTGGGGCAGGAGGGACAGGAGGGGGGCGGGCTGGCGCTGCACTGCCCGGCTGCTGCCGTACAGCAGGTAGGACATGGCGTTAGGGACAAGTACGACTTGTTTTTGCTTGTAGAGGTTTTTGTTGAGGGGCCGTTTGCTTGGCTTCTACCCTCGTCCTTTACCTCTCTTGTGGTTAACCATGCCTGTTTCCTGCTGGCCCGTTGTGGTGTTGTCTTTCCGGCGTGTTGCACTTCTCTTGCAGTGTAGGGTTGGGTTCATCACCCGTGTTCCCTTTTAGGGAACCATTGTAACGGTCATTCATTCACGTACGACTCCTAATTTCCTTCAGCATGGCCTCTGCGACCGATGACGCCAGTATTCTAAATTCCGCCCCGGCCTCTTAACCTCTGGTTCCCCACCGCCTTTCCAACTCAACTCACCCTTTGGTCTGTTTTCGACACTCCCCCCCCGGCGCCCATTGATCCGCCCACCATCCTTCTCCTCCCCACAGGTGGCCCGCTGCGTGCGCAGTGCAGTGGGCGGCAGCAGCGGGGCGCTGTACGACATCCTCCTCACCGGGGCCGCCAGAAGACTCAAGGTGGGGGTTTGGGGTAGCATTTTCGGGTGATTTGCGACGGACTGTAACATCGGAGCGGGGTGGGGAGCCAGGACGACTCAGTTGCGATACACAATTCCCTGTCCCGCCTCTTTCTCTCCCCACCCTGAGCCCATGCACACTAACCTCCGCCCCTCACCCCCCTCCCTCCCGTCCTCAGGCGGGTCCGCTGTACGACACCACCCCTCAGGACTGGGCCGATGCGCTGTCAGCCGGACTCGCTGCCGTACAAAAGTACGGTAGAGCGGATCGTGGATGCCGTACAATGCTCGACGCGCTCCTGCCTGCTCGAGATGCGCTGGTTGCGAGCCTTCAGGCGGGTATGTACGACACCTGACATTCTCCTCTTTGCTTCTCAGCGTCTACCAACATGCAACTAACTAGCACTTTCGTACATAGCAGCAACCAATCCCACGAATTCTACGAAATCCCACTGCAAGGGGCTAACCACCATGAACGACTCCTTCACGCCCCTCCCTACAGGCGCTGACGCCGCAACTGCCGCAGCCGCTGCCGCCGCTGCAGCGGAGGCGGGGGCGGCGGCTACTCGCGGCATGGCGGCGGCGGCGGGTCGGTCGTCGTACGTCCCCGCTGCCGTACTGTCGGAGGTGGAGGACCCCGGCGCACGGGCGGCGGCGGTGTGGCTTGCGGCGGTGGCGGAGGCGCTGAGGGAGGAGGGCAGGGAGGAGGTGGCGCAGAAGTGCTAGTACTAGTAGTGGGGGGAGCTGAGGGGCCAGGGGCAGCCGTGGGGGTGGCTGGTGTGGGGCCGTGGTGACTGGTGAGGGGCAGTCGCCATGGTGGGGGGAGTAGAAGCGGCTGGTGTGGAGATACCGGTAGTGACTGCAGGAGGGGCAGGGGCGGGTGGCCGCAGCAGTCCGGGGGTGATGAGGCGGGTGGGGAGTAGGGAGGAGCTAGATCAGCGCTTGCATGGGTGGTTGGGTAGGTGGTGCTTTACTTGCGCATGGGCAGATGGATGGATGGCCAGGGGGCGGGTCCTGCTGCCCTATCTACCTGCGCACCCCACGCACGGAGTCTGCGTATGCATGCATGCATGGGCGGCTGCGAGGCAGCGGCCCCCATTGCGAAGCAAGTGCGCTACTGCTCAATACGGAAGGGCGTGGTGGGTGCAGGGGCCGGCCCCGAATGCGGCTCCATACACTGCGGCGGGCGTCTACACGTGAATCGTGCCTGCTCGCATGGAAACGCGTGCTGGGAGAAGCTGCGGGCATAAGTCTCTCGGCCGTTCTGGGTACATGTACTTTAAGGTTGAGGCCTTTGGCGTGGATTGATCATACCATGGACGGCACAGCAGGAAACCCGCCGTGAGCCGTGTGACAGGTGGACACTGGTGGCGGGAGACAAATTGCGGGGATGAACAGCGCGTGTTCACAGCAGATGAAGACCCGCTGTTCGTCCCCCATCCAGGCTCGCCCCCCATCCTCTTGCACAGCGACGTCAGACGAAGTGCTGGAAACGACGCGCTTGGGCGTGCCGTGCAAGCCCAAACGGCATGACCCTCTGGATGGCATGTGGGTATGCAGCCGACGGGCGGCTACCGGTATGTAGCCAAGCGGGTCACAAGCAAAGCCGTACCAAAATCCTCAAGCGCTAGGGTATCTAGTAGTTACTGGAAGCGAGGTTAGCTTCCCAAGGACCGCTTTGGGGGAGTGTTGGCAGTATTACAAGTACGTTGATAGAACCCAGCGAGTACCTTCCCGAACAGCATCCCAGGCGGTTTGGCAACTGACTGCATCTCACCGTACCCCTACTTGCCGACTCACGCATCCATCCGAACGCTCCTTCTTCAACGCCCACCTATCAGTTCTGGGGGGCAAGCATGCATCCATACCAAGCTCCTTACCAACCATAAAACCGTGCGCTTCTCTCGCCCTTCGTGTTACCTCATACTATCCTTACGCGTACATACGCAATTTACACCCGTCATTCCACATCCCTGTCCTCTCCTGTCACGCTTCAGTGACGAATGGCTCTCCCAACCTGCGTCCATTGTACGACACGTAAACGCACGTGAATGATTGCCCTCGCAGGTGGGCTTTAGGTAGGGCGTTGGTGTCGGTCCTAAAACTAAGTATGTACATACGCCTGCACATGCTGTACAACGCTGGCATTCGTACGGCTCACGTTCCGTACAAGCATCCCCCTCCAAGGGCTGTCCCCAATTCGCACCCCCACCTCCATCAACCACACCCTTCCATACCATGCCATGTTTCCCCTTCCTCACTTCCCGCTTCCCCTTTGCTCCCCACTCTTCTTAAACTTGCGTTGCATGCCCCCGGCCCCTTTCCCATTCACGCTCTCCCTTCCTGTCCACCCCACCTCACCCATTCAAATTTTTCTTCTTCTTTACCCTCGTCCCCTAGTTCCTCACTTCCCCTTATTACTGAACGCCACCAGCTGCGTGCTCACTCGGGAGATTGCCGCACGGGCGTTATGTTGTCGTACGGCGGCAACCACCGCTGGATCCCGGTAGCTGCCCTCCTCAGTGGTGCTCTCGGTGTAGATACCCAGCACGTCCCAGCTGCCCCTGTTATGAATAGGGTTGGATGGGGTTGGGTGGGATTTGGATGGGGTGGGGTGGGGTGGGGTGGGTGCAGCACAGTGGAATCGGGGAAAGAGGAACGGGCACAAGTGAGGGGGTGGATGGGCGGGGTTGGGGCGACATCTATCATGCCGGTCAAAGCATGACAGGCCCGGTTCCCATACTGAAAGGGCGCTCATTGCGCATGCACGGCTCATACGGTCTGCATGCAGCACTCACGGCGTACTCCAAACATAGTCCTATATATAATAAGCCGTAACAGCGCGCGGCTTCCCTTTTCTGCTTTGCATTTAGCTAGCTAGCAAGGACTCGATATGGGATCCACAACAGCCTATGCTGTCCGCACCCCACCGCATGCTTTCCTCTTTGCCACTATCCACACACACCCCCAGCCCCACGCCTTGACTCACATGCCCCACAGGAAGCAGTGCGAGACGGAGTAGGTGGGCCCGCCCCCTTGCGACAGCCAGTCAAGCGTCTTGCGGAAAAACGAGTGCATGAAGGCCCGCATCTGGGGGCGGGGGGAAGGGGGGGCCGGGGAAAGCAATTACCGGGGATGAATAGAACGTGTATATACTCCGCAGAGGCAGGCTTTATCAGGAACGGGGATTGGGGGAAACAGGTAGCCCTGGGGCTAGCCCTGCTCTAACCACACCCCCACGTGCATGTGGACCCTCACGGCAGGATGAACCCCCATGCTGCCTTACTTCCCAACCCAGACTCTCCGATTACCGGTGCCTCTTATCCGCCATTGCAACGAATCCTACCCATTGTTAGTTGCTCCCATAAAGGGCCCACCAACTTCCGCCCTCACCTGCGGCGGGGCCCATGGGTCGGTGTCTTTCCGGTACGCGCCCCAAACTCCGTAGAAGGGCATGCGCGCAGCCTCCGTGGGCGTTCGAGCGACTGCCGTACCCAGGGGGCTGGCTCCGCCGCCCAGCCCGAATTCCGAGTAGTGCAGGTCGATGCCGCGACGCGAGATGATGGCGGCCACGTCTAGCCCAACCTCGTTGCGCATTTCCTACATAGGGGGCTCAAGGTGGTTGGTGGTTGGTGGTTGACGGTAGTAGCATGGATACAGCTAGGTCAGTGTAGATGGCATGTCGTGCAGTTTCTGTGTCCAGGAATCATGGTCACAGGCGGATGCCTAACAAACATGTGCAGCACGAGCATGACGGGGCAAGGGTAGTACAGTTGCTGCGACACGCCGAGAGCAGGACGTACCCCGAAGAAAGTAAAGGCGGCGTTTTGCAGGGCCTGTTGGGGCGGTGCCGGCAAGAATGTTATAACGCAGACTTTTCTAGAGTGAAGGAACGAACGTTAGAAAAGGCTGGTTCTTGGTGGAATGAATATAACGACTTTAGTTGTACGGCATAAATGCCTCCTTCTTATTGGCAGCTTGCCCTTGTTTTTGGCATCTGCCTTTGTAGTAGCATCATCGAGTGTTTGTTAGGCCCTTCTGCCAGGGCTGTTAGGTGTAGTTTACATATTACAAGTTCGGCTTAAATCTAATTAGGAATCAGCAGAACCTCGCCCCGCACAGATGGCGGACCCGAATCCGCAAAACGCTCCTGCTCAACCAGTACAGCAGCCATTGCCAGCAGTGCCACCTGCGGCGGCACCTGCGGCGGCAGCCGCGGCGGCTCCAGCGGTCGCCGGCGCAGCCGAGGAGGTGCAACTGCGCCTTAACCAGCTGAGGCGCCAAGGCATCAGGCAGCTGAACATGCACGACAACATCTTTCAGAAGTCCAGCAGGCTCGAGAGTGCATGCCCTGACCTGCTGCGGTTCCTGTTCGACCGGATGCGGGACATCTTCGTCAAGGTGACGACCGCGTCGGACCTGCTGGAGCACGTCAAAGACCTGCATGAGGACATCCAGGCAGCGCTGGAGGATTTGGCCTTTGTTGTGCGGTCGCTGCAGGGCTTTAAGGCGGCGTTTGACGGTGCGGGCAAGTGCAAGCAGCACCACTTCGATATGTTCGAGGCCCTGTACGAGGCTGTAAGCAGCCTCGTCGCCAACCCGTCAGAGGACATCCTCAGCGGCAAGGAGCGGCTGTATGACCTGAAGCACAAGACGTTCGCAGCAGCCGCAACGCAGATTAACAAGATTAAGGGTTCCCACCCCCTGTCGGAGAAGAAGGCGGAGGCCAGCACCTCCGGCCGGCAGCCCAAGCAGCAGTACAACAACAACAAGCCCTTCCACTTCAACCCGTACCCCCCCAACCAGGGCCCGCCGCGGTTCCAGGGCCAGGGCCGCGGACGCGCCCCGCACTACTGAGGAGTTAGCTCAGCTAGGGTTAGCGGGAAGCAATGGAGTGGGATAGGGGCAGTTACAACCATACCGCGAGTAGGCGAATAGGAGGAGGAGAATACGCGGTGGGGCTGATTACCCTGGATTTTGTGGCTAAAGGCCTTGAGAAATGGGCTGATTACCCAGTCGGTCAGTAGCGACCTTGAGATGGGGCTGATTACCCCGGGATGCGATATGAGGCTGATTACCTCGAGTTGACAATGGGGATTAGTACCATCGAATCGGAGTCAGGGCTGATTACCCGACCGATTGACACAATTGCTTAATAGAGCGGGAGGCTCTAGCGAACGCAAGACACTCAGATTATGTGTAAGCAACCGGCTGGGATTGTGCGCAAGTCGTACTCGGTGGCAAGCAGACGATTCGCAGTAAACAGCTTCCAATGATCCAGTTTCAATAACTCCTAGCTTATTGGCGCATTATTGCTAGTAGCATTATAGCGGCAATAAAAATGAGGGAGAAATTCCTGCCTCCGTTCATTTTGCAGCCGAAGCAGCAAGCAAATACCGACAACACGAATAGGAACGATAGTGCCTTATCGCGACCTACGTATAGGAGCGGGCAGCAGCGACTAGCGAGATTCGGCCCGCCGCTGGGCTTAGTATCGGCTTCGGCATCAACATCATCGGCGGCGCCGGTCGCGGCCAAGGCTTCAGGCACGACAACAACAATAAATGTTGCAGCAGCAGCGGCGGGCTCGGTGGTCATACCGCCAGTACCGAGGAGCGGAGCACCCATTACGTCTGGAAATTCGCAAGTGGAGGCACGCTTGGCTGCCAGCGACAATGCGCCAGAGCTGGCAGGTGTGGCCGAAGTAGAGGAATTGCCAGACGGGTCATGGGAATATGAATCCAGCAGCGGGAAAACAAGCGCTAAGAAGCCGGCGATGCATGGGCGCTTGCGCAAGAACAAAGAGTTCTGGCTATCCACCTGCCGGTCCTCGTTGGTGACGAAGTTCATTTTATTCGGTTTCCCTTTACTCTTTCTGGGGGCGCCACCAGCGGCACGGTTATTCAATAACCTCCCTTCAGCGGTCCGGTACAAGGAGTTTGTCACTGAGGCAATAGCGGATTTGGTGGCATCCCGGACAGTACTACCTGTTAGGGAACAACCGCATTGCGTGCTACCGCTGGGTGTGGTGCCGAAACCGGGCACGGGTAAGCTTCGGCTTATCCTGGATGCGCGGTATGTGAATGAGCACCTTCACGTACCGTCGTTCAAATACGAGGGCTTGGGGGGTTTGTCGTCGGTGCTAGAACCAGAAGATTTTTTGTTCACATTGGATCTAAAAAATGGATACCATCATGTGGACATGCACGAGGACTCGTGGAAGTATTTGGGTTTCCAGTGGGAAGGTCAGTTCTATGTCTTCACCCAGCTACCGTTCGGGCTAGCACCTGCATGTTGGGTATTCACGAAGATCACGCGAGAGCTAATCGGATCGTGGCGTGCTAAAGGGCACAGGGTTTCTGGTTACATTGATGATAGCATCCATGCGCATCAGGATATGGCCACACTAATAGAATGGCGAGAAATGGTGCTGGGAGATTTGCAACGAGCAGGTTTTATCGTCAACATGGAAAAGAGCGGTTTAGTACCGAGTAAGGAGGTGAAATATTTAGGGGCAATGGTTAACACGGCTGCAGGGACACTGACGGTACCGGCAGTTAAACGGGAACGCCTGTTTAATGCGATAGATAGAGCGCTGGAACAAAAGGACGCATGCAAAGTGCGGGATATAGCCTCAATTACGGGGCAAATCATGGCCATGAGTTTCTCGTTTGGCGATATGTCCGTCCTAATGACGAGGCAGTTGGTACATTGGCAAACGGTTGTAGTACAGCAAGGCAGCAGGTTGGATGATAGGGCGGTACTAGCCCCAGAAGCCGCAAGAGAGCTAGAATTTTGGAAAGGCGCTTTTCCGCGTTTCGACGGCCGCAAACCAATTTGGCTGCCGTCTTTTATCCATACGGTGAAGGTTTTTACAGATGCTGCCGGTGCTGGGGGCTGGTCGTACGGTGGTTGGGGCGGCTGGGCCCAAGACAGGGGTCAACGCCTGATTGCATCGGGGAGATGGCAATTTGATACACGGGGCACGTCTTCATCGGTATTAGAATTGAGGGCTAGCCTCAATGTGATTAAAAGCATTAATAAAGAAGGCAACCTAAGGGGTCAGAGAGTGCTGCTGCACACTGACAGCCAAGTTGCGGATGCGGTGCTCAAAAAAGGAGGGTCGACTAAATTAGACCTCCAGGAAGCGTGTTACCAAATGTTCTGGTATTGCCTTGAAGAGCATATTCATTTGATTTCGACGTGGATCCCACGTGAATTGAATGCGTTCGCCGATGCACTGTCTAAGCGGGAAGAATCTTGTGACTGGATGCTGAACCCACGTGTTTTTCAACAGTTAGCGCAGAAGTGGGGCCCGTTCGCAATTGATTTGTTTGCGTCGCATACCAATCACCAGATGATACCTTATTTCTCTTGGTTTCATACACCCACTTGTGCGGGGGTGAACGCTTTTGCGTTTGACTGGCCAAGTACGTCATGGTGCAATCCACCGTTCGCTCTAATGGGGCGAGTTTTAGCACATGCCCTGCGGTGCCGTACACGCATGGCGCTAGTGGCACCTTTTTGGCCGGGGGCAGCATGGTGGCCGTTACTGGTGGAGAATGAGTACGCGTTTAAAGGTTTCGTGTGGGATTGCATAGTATTACCGCAGGAGGCGGATCTATTTTTTGGGGGAGCGTCAGGTAACACGAAACCAGTGTTCACACCCAACTGGCACACCATCGCGTTATTGTTGGATTTTTCTACGGAATGCCGGCATGTCGTACAAATCCCTGACTTGTAATCCTAATTGCAATATATCCCGACAGTGTACTCGGAGGTCATGGAGGTACTCGGGAGCCAGCTGGGTAGCAGTCTCATGGAGAAGCCGCTTATTAAGGAGTTACTTGCAACGGTCGTACGCTGCGTACAAGCATCGAAAGCAGGCAGCACGTGGAAGGCCTACGCACCATGGATGCGCAGTTTCTGCGACTTTGCGGTAGAGATCGGCGTAAAGCCCTTGGACTTTAACGAGACGCAAATTTCACTCTACCTAGGTGGGGTTTATGCCAGCGCAGAACGGGATAAAGTGGGACCGCAACGGGTGGAAACAGCTAGCGCAGCAGTGTCAGCTCTGTTCGAGCTGGCAGGCAAGCCGTCCCCGTGCAGCGGCAAGCTGTGCGCGGGAGTACGAGAAGCGGCACGACGCACGCTGCGACCCCAGCTCTTGAACCGTGCGGCCGCAGCTGCAGAAGACCTGAAAGCGCTGATAGATAAGCACATACACGAGAACACCCAGCTCAGCGTGCGGATAATGGTCACCTGCATGGCGCTCAGCTTTGCCGGTATGCTGCGGTATAGCGACCTGGCACGGGTAATGGTCCACCACGATTTAATGCGGTTCTACCCGGATCGGGTAGAGCTGTTCCTGTTCACCAGCAAAACGGACCAGCACTGCAAGGGCGCGCTAGTGCCAATCGGGCGGATCAGCGGCCCATACTGCCCAGTTCAGCTGCTAGAACAGCTGCTGCAGGTAGGAGGCTACAAACGCGTGCCGGCGCAAGGTCCTGTGACAGCCCCAGACGGCAGCGTTAGCATCGGCGACGTGGAAGACGTCGGCCCGTTGCTACGGGCGTGCAGCCGGCACGGTCTTAAGCAAGTCGCTGTTCCGCTGATGGCAGCACCCGGTGAGAAGATCCAGCTAATCGAGCCGCTGGCGTACGCGACGTACGCTAAGCGGTTCAAGGAGCTCCTGACAGAAGCCGGAGTGACTAAGCGCCTCACCACGCACAGCATGCGCAGCGGCGGAGCCACGGCAGCAGTGAACGGTGGCGCGGAGCGCGCGGTGGTGCAGAAGGTGGGCCGCTGGCGGAGCAGCACAGTGTTCGAGCTGCACTACGTCCGGGACGACGGAGCTGCAAAGCAGCGGGTGGCGTTGTGCCTGGGGCTCGCAGACCGCTCTGGAAAGGACCCCGAAGGGGATGAGTAACGCGTGGGATGGGGTATCTTTGAAGGTCTGCTGCTACAGATGGCCACTGGTTCAATGTGAAAAAACGCTAACTTTGCAGGGTTACAGGCTGGGGAGACTGGAGAGGACGTTGGTGAATTGTAACGATGATGATTGGAATCCAAGAAAGAACATTGGGAGCATGAACACATGGAGGGTAAGTAAACAGAAACACTGGGAAATGCTCTGGGAACCCGAAACGCGGCTGGAGACTTGCGACAGAGTCTTCAGTAACAGCAGCCGAACTGAACAACCGTATAGCATGGGAAAGCCCCCTATTAGCCACAAACGAGCCACCCCATCACCCCACCGTCATTGGGAAATTCGGGTCGTCGAGCGCCGCGTACGCGCTGATACCCAGGAAGTCAATCCGCTCGAACAGCTCCCGCAGCGCGGCTATGTCCACCCCAGGAGCCGCAAGCAGTGCCCGACCGCTCCCTGCCCCGTTATCGGTGTGGGGGGTGTCATCAGAAGCGGCGCTGAATACTTGTTGTACAGCCGTAGCAGCAGTGATAGCGCTAGCAGCAACTGAGGTGTCAACAGCGGTATCAGGATCACTAGGCAGGAGCGAACGTAGGCCTCTGCCCAAGCCCCCCAGGCCTGTCGCCGCGGTGCCGACGGCGGCTCCGAAAGGCCCGAAGCCGAAGAAGCGCGAGAGGATGCTTGCCGCGCTGCCGCCGCCCGCGCCGCCGCCCGTGTTGACTTGCAGGACCTTGTTGAAGTTGAAGGACACGCCCACCTGCGTAGCGGGAGAGGGAGTGGGAGTGGGAGTGGGAGAGCACGCGGGGTTGCCATCGTCGCGTACAGCGCATGAGAAGGCATTGTTACACGCAGGCCTACACTTGGGCGATTCACCGTATACCCACGCGGTGAGCGGTACGTAGACGTGAGCTCCTTCCTTCTACTACTACTACTACTACTACTACCGGTACTATCTACACCCCCAGCAGCCCCCACCTGGGTAATGCGGCGGTGTGTGGCCACCTGCTGCTCCTTCGCCCCCGCCAGCCGCATCTTGGACAGCAGCCGCTCGCGCATCTCACCCAACTGTGCAACACAAAAGCAGCGCCGTACAAGATCCGTACATGCGTACCGATGGATGCAAGTTGTTTGCCGAGCCTTACTTTGTCTCGCGTTGCATGAGCATGACGCATGTACCTTTGCTACAACCAAACCTGCCTCTACACTGTCCCATCAACTCGAAGGCCCCTTCCCCCTTACCAGCTCGGTATACTGCTTGGGGAAGCGAATCACCGTCGCACTCATCTCACCCTGCGGGGCGGTATGGGGGTGGTCAGTTGGGGTCATGCATGATGAAGATGCATGGCTAGGGGTGCATGAAGCAGTTGCACAAGGGGCCCATTCGCCCCATCCTATTGCGCCTGTTGCTCCTCTGTTCCGCACCACCTGTTTCTCATCATGTGATCTTGATCATGTGGTGTATGTCATCACAACCCGACCTACAAGTACCCCCACCCACCCCATACCTAACCTGCAGTGCCATCCACACGGGCGGCGGGTCCACCCAGTGGGGGGTGTCTGCGAGGGCAGCAGCCAGCGCGTCCACCACCGGATCCAACATGACGTCCTGGTAGGAGAAGCCGCCGTACTTCTGCTTGGGGTTAAACACCAGGCCGTTGCGCCAAGCAGATGTCCTGTTGTTGGGGCGTGTGTGGTGTCCTCAACTCGTCAGAAGTCATTCATCAATTTATCTTGGTCGCTTGGTCGCTCAGCACAAAGATGCTGCGAACCGCAAGTGCAGCTCCATTCTTCCGTTCCGTCAACCCAGGCATCCCCATTCCCCAACCAATCCAGTACCCAATCACCACCCAGCCACCTCAGTTAGCCCCAAGCAACCCACTTTCCGCCGTCGTCCAGGTGCGGCACGATGCTGATGCCCAGCCCCTCCTCCACTGCCCGCCTGAAGCACAGCTCCATGCCAGCCCGGAAGGAGGCGATGGAGGCGGCGGTGTGGCTGATGCAGGTCATGGAGCTGCGGGCAGGAGGGGGGAGTTGGGTTAGCAGGGGAGGTCGTATGCAAGAGTAGCTGGGCGTAAGCATTGGCACACGCTGAATTTGCCCAAGCGCATGTGTGTTCTCGAGTATGCCCCTAAAGCCCTAACCCCGAAGACCACCGCAGGCCCCCAACACATAGTTGGTTTTGCCCCCCACCCCCGCACCCCTTCGCCACCGCTAATCTTCCCGGTGTCCTCGCCCCTCATACCTCTCGTGTTGATACCAGGTTCGGTACTACGACTACTACCCACCCGCGCACCCCTCCCACCCACCTGTCCATGTAGCAATACGCGTCCACTCCACCATCCCCATTGCGGTCTTTCCAGTAGTGCGTGGGCACAAAATTGATCCGCGTACCGCCGCCGTACTGCTTGGCACGGTTGACCATGTCCGTACAGCGTGACGTAAAGGGCGGCTCCTCCTGGTACGGCACCCAGTCGAACTCCCCTAGCACCATGACTGAGGGGTTCAGCTCCGCGGCGCGCGGAGTCATGGGCAGTGTGGGCGCCAATGAGGAAGAAATAGCAGTAGCGGCGGCGGGGGCGGCGGGGGCGGGGGCAGCTGCTCCTGTTGCCGCAGCCGCCGCGGCTGAGGCAGCGGTTGTAGCAGCACCCTTGGCGGCAGTGGCGGCGGCATCAGTAACAGTGGTGGCGGCGGCGGCAGTGGCGTCCTTGACTGCGATTGCAGCGTCCTTGACGGCGTTGGCCGCGGCTGTAGCATTCCGGACGGCATTGGCGGCGGTTGCAGCATCCTTGACGGCAGTGGCAGCGGTGGCGGCATCTTTAACGGCATTGACGGCGGGCGTTACGGCGGCGGCGGCTGCTCCAGCGGCCGTGTTTGTGGCAGTAACGGCAGCGGCTGTAGCGTCCTTGACGGTGGTAACGGTAGCGGTTGTAGCATCCTTGACGGCGGTAATGGTAGCGGTTGTAGCATCCTTGACTGCGGGAACGATGGCGCTTGTAGCATCCTCCTTGGCGGCGGGAATGGTGACGGTTGTAGCACCCTTAGCGGCTGGAATCGTGGCGGTTGCAGCATCCTTGGCGGCTGGAATGGTGGCGGTTGCAGCATCCTTGGCGGCGGGAACGGTGGCGGTTGCAGCATCCTTGGCGGCGGGAACGGTGACGGTTGCAGCATCCCTGGCGGCCGGAACGGTGGCGGCTGTAGCATCCCTGGCGGCGGGAACGGTGACGGTTGTAGCATCCTTGGCGGCTGGAACGGTGGCGGTTGTAGCACCCCTGATAGCAGTAGCGGTGGGTTGGGTGGCGGCAACAGCTGCTTCGGCAGCTGCATCGGAGTCGTCAGTGCCGTCAGTGTCATCGCCGATGCTGGTGACTGCACCCTTGGCGGGCGGAACGATGGCGGTGGCATCCTTAACAGCAGTAGCGGCGGGTTTTGTGTTCCCGGCCACCTTGGCGGGGACCCTGGGGGCAGCGGGTTTTGATGAAGGTACGGGCTGTACGGCAGCTGCTGCGGTAGGAGTGTCGGGCTGTACGGCAACCCTAGCATCCGTTGCGGTGGAAGCGGTTTCGTCCCCGTCCTCTTCGACTTGGTCCACTTCTGCAGTAGGCCTTTTAGCCCTGCGAGCGGGCACTACATCCTCTGCCGCCGCCGCTGCACCAGCGGCGGAGGGCGTCCTTCGCGCGGGTGCGGGTGCGGGTGCGGGTGCGGCTGGGTCGACGTCGGTTACAGCAGCAGCGAGAGTCGTGTTGACGGCAATGGTAGCGGCGGCGGCGGCGGGGACAGAGGCGGCAAAGGGATCATCTAGGGCGGGGTCAGCGTCAGCCGGCGCGGCGGAGAGGAGCAGGCCGAGGCTGCAAGCTAGGAGCGCCGCCAGCGTCAGCGCCGCCGTCACCTTGAGGGATCGCGCCGCCGCTGCCCCTGGCCGCCGCCGCCGGGATGCTGGCGGCGGCGACAACGGCTTGCCTGCGGGTACAGCGGGAAGTAAGGGTCACCGCATGAGGAGGCACAATAGGATAGGGGCGGCAACTGACCCGGTCCTCTTATTACCCTAGGATAATCGCACAGGCCGACAGCAAATGACTAGCTTGGTGCCTGCCATGCGTTTGTATCTTATAAGGAAAGGGGGATTCCAACTGCCGTACCCCAAGCCAGGCCCGACGGAAAGGAATCCCAATACAACAGCCCCCCGTCCATGCAATTCCTAGCTTCCGCTGCTACGCTGCTGCAGTGCTAAGCGAATGGCAATGCTAAAGGTATCACCACAACTGTACAGTTTGGCATGTTAACTGACCGAAGTCACGCATACAGTACCGTACTAGCATGGCTAACCCTTTGCTCTTGCCTGAAGGCGACGACTTGCAGCTTGGCGCTGACAGGTGCTTCAGCTGCTGCGGCGGCGGCTCACGATGCTGCTGTAGGTGCTGTGGGGAACAGCGCTCCCCGCACTGCTCGACTTGCGTTCCCGCGGGCCCTGCTGTGGAAGTACAGCTGTTGGAGGAGGCCAACTGCCGCAACCGCCGCCGAGGAACACCGCCGTACAGCACCTGGGTTGCGTCGCCCTTGGACGCCACCACTTCACCCCTGCACCCGGCACCATCCCATGTCATACAGTCCATGAGATGCGGTGCCGTACAAGTCAAGACAGGCTGCTACCCGGCTTCTGGTCACGATGCAGTGATCGCTGCTGCTGTCTCTGTGTCGCTGGCCCCTGGTGGTTCAAGTAATGGGTCAGGAACAAGGCGCGAGTGTCAGAGCAAGGTAGGCGGTAACCATGACAAGGCTTATGAAGCAGCAGCGATGTTTGATGGGAGCCTAGCCTGAACAGCACTTTCATGGATAGCAGCAGTGTCTGTCTTTGTGTACAAGGTGAAATGTCAGCCGGGTATATGGGACGTGGTTGTCTAGATGTGTTGGGTGAATGACCGTTGGCCTTCCTACGCGGCCCGTAGAAACGTACTGAGAGGTAACGCCACATACCAAACTTCAATCATGACCAGCCAAGCAGGGCAACTGTACGCTCAACGCACTTCCTGCTCACCGTTTCTCGCCTGCACACGAGGCCCGCCAATCCCTGCAGGGCCAATCGCGTGCCAAACCCACTAGCCGGCGCACGTGTCAGGCACTCTTCCTTTTGTCTTTCGCGTACACGGCCGGCAGGGTGAACAACAGTCCGAGGTATGGTAGTGTACGCTTGATATAGCACAGCTAGGCGGCAGCAAGTGAGTGCGTTGGGTTGTTACGCTTGGTAGGGTGACAAGCAGATAGCTTTCAAAGCTGGGAGCTATCCATCTATCTTGCAGAGGTTGCTAAGGTGAGGCTGGGAAAGGGAAGAAAGCATGTCATGCATAGCACGGTCCTACTTCGCCCGTCATCCTAAGGAAGGACCCATCAATCATGCGATATTGCCGTACACATGAGGTAGTAACCTCATGAGGTAGGCTGGTTTCGCGAACTGTCCAACGGCCATCCAAAGGCCTCCAAAGGTGCATACGCCAACAGCTGCAGGCGCGGCAGGTGGAGGCACCTCTTTACACACCCTTCATCTTCCTCGGACAGAGGTTCGTACATTCGGCAACGGAGTTATGCCTTGATGCACGTCCTGGCACAGTGCATTGTTACCACCTTTATGACTATATATGTTCTGCTGCTTGGGGAACTAACGTGGCGTTAAGAGAGAGACTGTGAAGTTGCATGCATACATACGCCAAGGCGCGTGCAGCCCCGACGATGTTAAATTGGTTGCACCGAACTGTCTGCAGCCCGCATTGCATTTAGAGACCGATCATCCTTATCCTCAGCGTGGCATGAGACAAGCACGTTCAGAGAATTGCCCCAACGGCACTGTTACAACGGCCGAGGCAGGGTTTGTGTCCCACTTCGATGTCAACACGTAAGTATGCTAGCGACCGAGTTACCGGCCTTTAATAACGAAGGCGTGGCATTCACGAAAAGATACTAAGGAGAGGCTATTCGGGCTGAAGCGCCTCTTCGCAGTGACTCTTCAGTGCTCGCCCACTCGATACTGTGAGTGCCCAGCCGCTTTTTATATTATCATGAATGTGATACACGGTTGCTGTTCAAAGGGATTCGCACGTTAGGACTCCCAAGCACGATCGTGCTCCAAAGGCAGCTCCTTGGGTTAATCTACCTTAGCATAGTATGAAGCTTTGTCGATAGAAAACTGCGTGCGTGTTAACGAGCTGTGAGTGTCGACGTAAGCACAAAAATTCGCTCACTGGGATGCTGCACGTGCACGGCAGTACTCCTGTGTCCTGTCCGACGCGTTCCGGCTTCTAAGCGACAAGTACCGGTCTTTCCGATAACAGCTACCAATTGTTTGCAGAAGCAAAACTTGGCTGACACGGGATGGACGAATGCCAGCATTAGGGTTCCATGAGTCAGACCACTTACCCAGCACTTGCGCTACTAGGTGCCACTACGAGGGCCTCATAGCACAACGTAGCGTAACGTATTGTTACTGCCTGGTCTACGGCTATACACCCCTGGCCTCAGGCCCTGTCGTACAAGCTAATCAGCGCAGATGCCCTGGAAGGTCCGTGTTACTCTGACACCTTTTACATATAATCTTTACTAAGAAAACACTAAATCCCGGCAGGATACGCACACAACTATATTGTGCTTCCTCAGTATTTAGGACTTCGCAAAAACGGCGCCCCAGAAGTTTTCCCGGTCCTCATCAGCCATGGACCTACTAAAGGCTGAAGAGAAAGAGCTGAGCGCACATTTGCTTCAGCTTAGGGCTGGCAGTATTGTCTCAATCGACTCGCCAATGTCACCATCATCGCCTATTCGCTATCCGAATGGGTCCTCGCGACTGAGCGTCGAATCGGATCCCTTGGGCAAGCTCATGCGGAAAAACAGGTGTGTTCGATGCGGGGCAGGAAAACGGCAAGAGTTGTGAGGAATCCGCCGTGGCAACACCTACCCGCCCGTTGGTACGCAGGGCCTGGTCTGCGGCAAGACTTGCCGAGGACCCGGACTATTTCAATCGTCTTATCAAGCAGCAGGCGCCGGAGTACCTTTGGATTGGCTGCAGCGATTCTCGAGTGCCGGTGAGCGTAATTGCCGGCAGCGGCCTGTGCCGATGTCTCAGGTTGACACGCAAATTGATGCCCTAGGCCTTTGTGCTTTCTCATACATCCAGAATCTCTATAAAATATCATTCTTCTCTTTAACTAACATCAAAGCGTCTGAGCGGCGTCTACGAACAGTCGCAAGTTTCCCGGTTTCCTAAAAACCCACTCTCAGCTGCTAGGCACACAAGACTGCCCCGCACCCGCCTAGGCAACTCCCGCCGAATCACATTAATCCTTAACACCCATCAACATGCAAATAGGTTTAAGGTAGGAATGCTCTTCCACTCTATCTGGTTGGCGTTACGTCAGCACGTGTATCTATCCGAGGGTTTCAGTTGGCGTTACCACGTGAATGGCATTCTTGTGGTGTAATTTGAGTAATCATATCATCGCCTTAGGCGATAGCGATAATCCTAGTCTTCGAGCATTTCCAGCCTCCGGGGTTGTAGGCTCCTGGGTCCCACCCGTCTCGTCTCTGTCCTTGGAGGCCCTCGGAGTCCCCTCATATCCTGCAACGCATATCGCTACTGGTCGAAGTGGCAACATTGGGGTGAACCCTTCAACCCCCAAATGATGTGCAAATAACGGTCACGGTTTGCCTCTAGGCAGTGCTAATAACCCTCGCGAACCACCATCGCAACGCAACACCCGCACTTCCCGCTACTCCCGCCAAACCATCCCTTCCTATACCTGCCCCACCCGCCCTCGTCCACCTCCTCCTCTTCGCCCCAGCATTTCGCAACCGACACCCGAGGCCACTGCGGTGGCGTCCCTGAACTCCGCGCGCGCCACTACCGTGTCCCTTGCAGCCTTTCTAACCCAACCCCCTCCCAACCAAGGCTGTTTAATCTCTTTCTTATTTACCCCGCCCGACCCCATTCCCACATGGATGCTTTGCCCCACCCAACCCCCCCCCCACCCCATCCTTGTTATGTATCCCCCCCATCCTCCAGGCCAACGCCATCCTGGGTCTGGAGCCGGGCGAGGTGTTTGTTCAGCGCAACGTGGGCAACCAGGCCACCCACACCGACCTCAACTGCATGAGCTGCCTGGAGTACGCGGTGAAGGAGCTCAAGGTACGGCAGGCAGCTAGGGGGGCTGGGGGGGGGATAAGGAAACTGATGAGGCAACTAACGAGGGGGGCTGGGAGGCGGGGAATAAGGAAACTGATGAGGCAACTAACGAGGGGGGCTGGGAGGGGGGGGAAATGAGGAGGGGGAGCTAGGGGGAGGGAGAGAAGGAGGGTTAAGGAGCGGCGGCACGTTCAAGGAGGAGGGGGAGGATCAGCGCGATGTCGTATCGTACCGCAGCGGAGGAGGGGTCTGAAACACACTGTCACGCACATGGGTCCTACCCACGTCCTACTCACGTCCTACCCCGCCTCCCACCCCCCCCTCCCTCATTCCCCCTCCTCCCTCCTCCCGCAGGTTCGCAACATCATCCTGTGCGGCCACTACGGTTGCGGGGCGGTGAAGGCGGCCATCAAGATGCCCTCCAAGACACACAACCTGGTCAACTGCTGGATATCGGGTGAGGGGGAGGGGAAGTGGGAGGGGGAGGGGGACAGGGCGGGTTTGGGAGCGGGGCGGGAGGCGCCTTACTCCTTTCCAATGAGAGCGATAACTGTATACAACCCCCTTTGACCTTCTCCCCTGCAACCCCCTCATACCCCCTCCCCCCCCATTGTTTTGCCCCAACCTGTGGCTTCCTATGGTTCGGTATGGTCTTTGACCCCCCCAGACATCCGCGAGTGCCGCAACCAGCATCGGACCGAGCTCATGGCCCTCCCCAACCTCGAATCGCAGATCGACAGGTGGGAGTGGGGTGTGGTTGTACGGCATTGTTGGGTGCGTGGCGTGTATCTGTACGACATGCGTGCGGATGTGTAAGGCGACTATGTGCATGATGGGGTGTACGGCATACAGAATGTTGGGTAAGGGGAGACTCAGGCCGCGTGCATATGCCGCCCTTCGACTCAAACCCGGCTCCCGGCCCCCCTAGTCTGTCTGATCTGAACAGCTACCATGCTACCGGTTCCATGTAACCCAATACCCCCGCCCCCCCCCCAAAACACACCCAAAACACACACACGCAGGCTGTGCGAGCTCAACGTGCTGCGCCAGACCTTCAACGTGTGCACCAGCCCTGTCGTACAGTCGGCCTGGGACAAGGGACAACTGCTGCACATTTACGGAGTGGTGGGTGGCGGTTGGTAGTTGGCGGCGGTTGGGGTCGAACACTACTGAACGGCGTACATTGGAAAGTGGCTTTGTTATTGCCGCGCTGTGCTTGGAGTAACCCATTCGAGATGCTTTCCCTCCTCACTAACCAATGTAATACCTCTCCTTCACCATCCTCCCACCTCCCCTTCCCTCCCCCCTTGACTTGATGTTTCAATTTTTTATTCTTCTCCCCTGTCAGGTGTATTCGCTCAAGGACGGGCTGATCAAGAAGCTCGTGGGGCCCATCTCGGGGAACGGTACGAGCATGGAGGGGAGGAGGGGGGGGGCCGGGGCAAAAGATGTTGTCCTTGTGTTTTGTAACCCTCAACCCCTGTGGTGCCCTGCCGCCCCTAAACCCTGACCGCCTTTGTCCCTTTCATTCTCTCGTGTTTGGACCGGGTTTGGTGTTATTCACCTTCTTCAACCCCTCCCCCGCCTCCTCCCCGCTCGCTACCCCCCCCCCATCCCCAGATGATTTCGAGGAGGACCAGGCGGCCTTTGCGGAGCGCGGCAGCTCCTACGTGGGATACACAGGTGGGGGGAGGAGGGGGGGAGAGGAGTGTGGGGGTTTTGAGCGTGCGTGTTTGTGGGTGTGTGGGTGCTACATAGTGCCCTTGAAAGTGGCGAGTGTGCCTGTGAGCAGGAGTGATGAGGCTAAGTAGGCTGCAGGGCACCGACCCTGCACATCTTACCTAGACATGCCCTTTCGCGCTGTGCCGCATGGTCGCCCCTCTTCCCCCACTTCCACTTCTTCATGCGGTTTGTACTTTTGACTGCGGTAGCTATTCCAAGAAGTATGACTATACGCAATTGGTCCAAGCTAATATGGCCTAATATGGAATTTCCAACGTCTACTGATACCCCTCCTCTTCCCCCTCCAGATGTCATGGAGGCGAGTGACGCTGCAAGCAGCGGTGGATCCAAGGGAGGTGAGCAGCTGCAGCAGGGGAGGGGGCGGGGGAGGGTTTTGGGGTTTGGGCATAATAGAAGAGTTGGGGGAGCAAGGGGGCTCCTAGTACCCCGCATTGCTGCTAAGGGTTGCCTGGCCGACATGGATGCCGCGTTCGTTGTTATGCTACGTGGGGACGGTGGGGTTGGTGTCGCCGAGGTGCGGGAACGGTGCTGAACAGGGCTATCGTGTGTGTTTTGCCCCCCTCCCGTGTGAGTTTTGCCCCTCCTTCTTTCCCCTTTCCCCCCAAAGCCGCAGGCGGCACCTCGTCCTCCGGAGGTGGTGGCGCCGGTGCAGCCCCCCTGCCGGAGTGCATGTCGTTCAGGGCACGCATGGAGGCGTTTAACGCCTACCTGAATACCGTGGAGGTTAGTTAGGACCGGTTGGTTTGTCAGTTGAGGAAGGGTGACAATGTCACACTTTCATGTACGACAGTGAATACCTGATTGTTATACGGGTGTGCGGCGCATGGCAACGTCGGTAGCTGCTTGGTGGTATGGAGCTGGCTGCCAATGACGGCTGACTAATTCGTCGTCGATCCTTAAGATAGCCTAGAGCGGTGCTGTAGCCGCGGTGTAGCGTCCTCTATATACCCACCCATGCTGTCGTACACTCCTGTCGCACAACTTACACACTGAAATCGTTCCTAACCGTTAAACCGATACAGGTCAACAACCTCATTGCTCAGCACGTTGCTTGGACGGATCGCGGGATCGGCGACGCTGCCGGCCACCTCACAACGGACGGAGAAGAGGAGGAGGAGGAGGAGGTAGGAGCAGCTGCCGTAATTGCTGCCGACGCAGCAGCAGCGGCCGCAGCAGCCGTCACCGCAGCAGCAAGAGCAGCAGCAGGTGCGGGGAAGGCGGCTGTGATGGGTGGGACCAAGGAGGTGGAGGTGGAGGATGACGGAGAGGAGACGACGACAGTTCAGCTGCATTGAGGAGTATGGCGGGAGGGACGAGACGCCCAGGCAGTCGTTGCAGCGGGGAGAGCAGGTGGCGGGTAAGGGCGGGAGGATGAGGACGGGGACGACACAAAAGGAAGGGCCGAGAGGGGCGGAGGCAAAGGGACGCAAGCTAAAACAAATGGTACATGTCGGTGTGTAAAACAGACATTGGGGGGACGGAAAATGGGTTGGCAGTAGGAGGGATGTTGTAGTTGCTCCCCTCCTGGAGCATCAGGAGGGGAGCGGGCGTTGTCTTTTGAGGGGTTTATTGGGATAGTCGCAGCAACGGTGTGCGTGGGAAACATGGTTGGCGACGGCGGTGGTGATGGCGGTTGAGAGGAGCCGCGACAGTAGCGCAGCAGGGGGCGGTTGGTGTGGTAGTTTACTATTGCAACATGCTAGTGCTATAACACTATACAAATTTGAAAGGTTGGTTGGAAGGGGGAGGAGGCTTGTGGCTCCCTGCAGAATGCCGTGGGATGCGGAGTTAGCTGGCTAGCTAGCTAGCTGGGTTTGCAGTACAGTACAATTGTGAACGGGACCCTGTCAGTACGGGCTGCCGTATGGTGGGTTGGAGAGGGGGCGGGGATGCCGTTGGGGATGGGAAGGAGGAACGGGGTGTCCTGGAAAGAAGAAACGCTGAGTTGGTGGGTTGCTAGCATTCGTTGGCTTTGTATGGGCTAGGATGTGGCTGACTATGGGCTTGCTTGGGCCTACTTTCAGCGTAACTTGCATTGTTGGTTAAGGTTTTGTTTTGAAGGCGCAGGGGCGATTGCGATAAGAAAACGATAAGTCAGAAGTCAAACCCCCTCAACTGAGGATTTAGGATTACTGTTGGGGCACTTGTTTTGCCGTACAGTACTGCAACATACTTGTGTGTTCACCGCGTGTCGCGCGTGTTTCGTGTAGATGTGATTTTGCATCATGTTTGGCTCATCTGTGTGTGTTGTTCACATGGAGTGCATCGTCGGTCCGTTTGCTTAATCCTTGGTTGGTAGGAATTGATGCGTGCGGCGCATGTCCGTGTGTTTCGTGTTTTGTACACCTCCACGCCACTTTCCATGCTTACGTCTCGTTTGGAGGTATGCTTGTGAGTAGTTGTATGTGTCGCAGCTACCGTCATAAGGCAATCGGGGAATAAACATTGAAAATACCAGGAGTCGCTATATACAATACTTTTTGGTGTACTTTTTGCCGTACTCCGTTCCACGTCACATAATGCACGGCCGATTGCGGCTCCTTGCGGTTTGTGAGCCACCCCGAGATGCTGCAGGTGTGTTTTCACTGCTGCTGGCTCTGCTTCGCTGTTGCTGCTGGTGACAAAGGTCACGCCTCACATAAAGCTTTACTCATAATTCTATCATCTTTTTCATGTACGGACTTCGAAGGAGAGGTCAGGGAGAAGAGAAGGAAGATTTCACGTCAAGTACCGTGTACATAAGATACGCGGACTTATTTGCCGTATTCCATCGTTTCTTGGCGCGTAAGAGACACTCGTGTGTCGTGTCTTGTTACGTCTGTGGTATACGTGTGTCGCGTCCTGTCGAACATGTTTGTCTTGTCGTACAGGCGTGTTTTAATTCAATTAGGCTGCAGGCACGGATTGCGTGTGGGGTTTTGTGTGTAGGAATTAGCGCTGGTGGGCGTCTTACGTAGTCGGGAAGCGGGCAGGCTCAGGGGGCTAGCTGCTGTCCTCAGGGCCCCTCGCCTGCCTTGGTCTTGCCTCGGTTCTTTGACGACCCGTTTGTCATAACTCGTACGGCTCTCATTACGTAGGCATGTAGGGCTTCAGTGGAATGGACGCCGGGGAGCCGCTGGTCTGTTGTATAAGACATAAGGCTGGCTTGTCGTACGCAATTGCTGGATGACAAGGGATACGTTGGCTCAACTGTTTGCCCGGCTGTTTTCTTTCATAAGAATTTGCACTGTGCACAGTTTACACTGTGCATAAGAGTGAGCATCGTGCGGAACGTACTGGTTGTCGTACTGCCGTATGTACGGCGCCTTTATTGGCCGAACCGGCGACAATGGTACTGGCGGCAGATAAAGGAAAGAATAAGGATAGCAACAAACGACATAATGTGTAAAAAGCGGGGAATGGATAATGGCAAGTGGTTGTTTGGTTCTTTGGATGGACGGGCGGGCGGATGGTTGGGTGTTTTTGACGAAAGTGTCCTTTGTCTGTGGAATGCCGGTAGTTGGGGAGGCGCAGAGGTTACACTCGTTGTTAAACGTTTGCAACCCCGGTGGGTGGGGGTCAGCTCCCTTGATGCGAGGAGGTACCGCATGCCCCCGATATGAGGAGGCCACCTACTTGCATACAGGGGGTACTGGATTGGGGTGGGGCGGGGTTGAGACTTCGGTAGTGGCGCCGATGGCGGTGGTGGTAGCGATTGTGGACGGCGTGCTGTTACAGCTGGCTAGATTGTAAACATACAACTATGAAGTGCGACCCGTGCGGGAGGAGGGAGGACAGGGTGGGAGGCGAAAGGTTGGGAATGGGTATACAATGAGGTGAACCGAACACTACTGCGGTCTTGTTGCGAGTGGGAAAATCCTTGCGGCTTTCTGCCAGTTAAGCAACAACTGCCAACAAACGGGACAAGGTAAGGGCACTAGGGAAGGGCAAGGAGGCCTGAACACGCACGGCGGACATTGCGTACTGATGCGGTCTTGCGGTGATCATCAAAACTTATCGCGTAACCAACCCAACGGTTTTGTGGTCGTAGACCGTGCATACATAGCCCTCATACGTGGTCTAACACAAGCCCCTTTCCAATACGATTGAAAGTAGGCTGGGAGATGAGGGGACGGGCGAAGAAGTGGGCAGGGCTGGCAAGGCAGTAAGGAAAGGAGTGCAGCCGAGTATTGCATGCTGTCATTTTAGCAAGGCAATCCAGAGACCCATGGTTCAGATGGCCGACACGCACTCATGTTGTCAAGACATCTTGAAACGTTGAATGTGGATGGGAGGGTGATACCCGTGGACGAGATGGTTGCGTCCGCTTGTGGACGTGGCCTTGTAGCAGTAGCTTTCGCACGACGAGGAGAGGGCTAGAGGAGGCTAGGAGGCAGCCGGACACGTACGCTGCACTATGCTGCAACGTGCGGATTACAATTCTGACGTTTTCCGTGCATTAACAATTAAGGCGTCTAAATGTGAGTAAAGCTAAGTGGCTCCAAAAAGAAGTGCTGCAAGTGTGGGCGCATCATGCCTTAACTACTCGTTAGATGCTTCCCCTCCGTACTGTTGAAGCACTTGGATATAACTTGCGCTCATCCTATGGCATGGCGCCACGCAGAGGGCAACGAGTAATATTCTAGCCAGCGCTTCCTTGATGCCGCAGTGTCTGTCAGTGATGCTTGTTAGGCAAGGCCGCTGTCAGGGACAAACGGCTCAGCTCTTGACAAGTGCCCTGTCGCACACGGCCTCACAGACAAGTGATGATAAGGCAAGGCCTTGGATACAGCAAGCAATGTGGACAAAGTTGTTTTGTTGGAGCAAATTAAACCTTCCCAGTGATATCCCCAAGCATCATGAGAAGCGCCATGGCCGATAGGAAGCTGATGTCCTTTTCTTACACTGAAAGTATGCAAAGGCAGGTTGCCCGTACAAGTGTACGACCGCGGGTTGACACTTCACTCCTGTTCAGAAGTATAGATCTTACTCTCACTGTTACTGCTGTAGGCCTACTGCATAAGGTGAACTTTACTTAAGGACAGGCATACACAGATAAAAATACAAAGTTACATTTCACAAGCAAACCTTTGCTATTCCCGTTGACCGAGGTTTCTTGACGCGATCAATAGACTTTACACACCTGAGAGTCCTTAACGTATTTAATAAAGCCTGTACGCGGCCTGGTTGGTCTATTGCAGCGCAGTCAGGTCTCGGGGTCGCTTAGCAACTGGCGAACAACATGACGGAGGAGGAGGTTGACAAGCACATCTTGAAGAAGTATGAAATTCAGCAAAAGCTAGGCAAGGGGGTGAGTCGCTGCCGCTGACAACCGAGGAGCTGCGATGCCATGAGATACGATTCCCACTATGTATCACTACATGATTATGCTGCAGGCTTACGGTGTTGTGTGGAAGGCTGTTGACCGAAAGACACGGGAAGTCGTGGCGTTGAAGAAAATATTTGACGCTTTTCAAAACGCGACAGACGCGCAGGTGCGCCAGGCCTCTTTCGTAGTGCTTTTTCGGGCAATTATAATGAGCAACTGGTTACGCTTATTTGTGCAGCGCACTTTCCGAGAGGTGATGTTCCTGCAAGACTTGAACAACCATGACAACATCATCAGGTTAGCCACATCCCTGGGCTATGCCTTTGGCGCAATTTGTGCTCCTTCTTGTGCTTTAGCTATTATTGCCGATGACCTAACTGTTATTCTTGCAGGTTGCTCAACGTACTCAAAGCAGAAAACGACCGAGACCTGTACCTCGTCTTCGAATACATGGAGGTGGGTGTTACCAGCAACAGACCATACGCTATACCACCATGGCCATTGGTATATCTCTCTTAGAAAGGACCGAGACACACTGCCACTTCATACCCTAACTTTAGCAAGCAGAGGCCCCAGGGGCCTGTGCAGTTGTGGGTCCCGTGATTGTCATTGTACACCAGCAGCCACACATAAAACGCCTTCCCAGCATTCTCCCCAATGGCCCATGTAACTGCAGACGGACCTGCACGCCGTGATCCGTGCCAACATCTTGGAGGAGGTCCATAAGCAGTATATCATGTACCAGCTTTTCAAGGCGCTGAAGTACATGCACTCGGGAGAGCTGCTGCACCGTGATATCAAGGTACGTAGCAAAGCATACTGTTACCCCGCTCTCCAATTGCTTTGTTTAGCCGTGTTCAGCCGTAAAATGCCAATAGGGACATCTGGATCATCCACAGTCATCCCATGTCACTGGAATTCGGTGTCACCGGCCAAACCCGCTCACACGGCATCATAGCACGCCCCACACACAGCGAACCCCCTAATTACGGATATCCGCTTCCTGTGCATCCTCCCACAAACTATGCAACGGTCCCGTCAATCGCGTGACTCCATTGTACTTGTCTATTGGTTTTCCTGCCCCCGCAGCCCTCCAACTTGCTCCTCAACAGCGACTGTCAGGTGAAGCTAGCGGACTTTGGCCTCGCGCGCAGCGTAAGCCAACTCAATGCCAGCGACGGCCAGAACCCAATCCTGACGGACTACGTGGCCACTCGTTGGTACCGCGCGCCCGAGATCCTGCTGGGCTCCACCAAGTACACCTTCGGAGTGGACATGTGGTCAAGCGGTGAGCAGGATTGGGCCAGGGAACGGACCGGTTTCGCTTTGGCCTATGCTCGTTTGCAACATGCAGGGGGTTTCATCAGGGCGTACTTACCCTTAAATCGGATACCGGACTACCTGCCTCGAACCACGTACCCGGATTGGGTCTATAGTTCTTGACCCACATACGCTTACCAGCCTTACAGCTTCCCTGGCAGGGTGCGCATGCGGACACACCACAGTACGTTTCTCCTCGCGGCCAGTTATTTTACACACCCTTTTCCTTGGTAGATGCGCATTGCCTTAACCACATTTATCATCGCACTTTATTTTCCAACCCTGCAGGCTGCATCCTTGGCGAGCTGCTGCTGGGCAAGCCCATCTTCCCAGGCACTTCCACCATGAACCAGCTGGACCGCATTGTGGAGTTCTGCGGCCGCCCCGCCCCGGGTGACGTGGACGCCATCGACTCGCCCTTCGCCACAACCATGATGGACTCGTGCACCGTCACGCAGGCGCGCCGGCTGCAGGACATCTTCCCCAATGCCAGCCCTGAGGCGGCTGACCTGCTACGGTGGGGCATGGCGCATCTGTAGGAGTGGGGTGGCATAAGTTCACACGACAGATGTCAGTAGGGCGAGAAAGAACCACAGACGGGGATGGGTCGCACGTGCGGCTGTTTTCTGTGGAGCGTCCGGGCCCCCTTTCATTGTCTTGGGACGCAAGCCTGAGCTCTTGCACCGTGTTTTGAACCATGCACGAATGTGCAGTTTTCGCTGAAGGCAAGCCATATGCCATTCCCCGTTCCTGACCCCCTTGCAGTAAGCTGCTGGTGTTCAACCCTCACAAGCGGTTGACTGCCGAGCAGGCGCTGCGGCATCCATACGTGGCGCAATTCCACAACCTGGCGGACGAACCCGTGTGTAACCGCATCATCGTGCTGCCCATCTCGGACAACACAAAATACACGGTTTCGGAGTACAGGTAAGGGGAAAGGGGTCGCGTAGAAACTGACCTTTGGTGTGTGTTACACCTGTAGCCATAGGCGAATTGTCTTCCAAGCATCATAGCTCGCTCCAACCTGACGTTGTGTAACGTAAGGCGGTCGAAGCACCTGATCCTTTAGTTGCTGTTTGACCGACAGCCTGTGCCTTGGGACGGCTTCCTGCCCTGCAGGGAGCGCCTATACGGCGAGATCCTGAAGAAGAAGAAGGAGGTGGTGCGGCAGATGCGGGAGCGGGAGGCCGCAATGGCAGCAGCGCGGGCCGCAAGCGCTGCACCCACACCCGGTAGCTCCGCACACCACGCGCACCACCACCACCACAGCCATGGCCACTCCTCAGCGGCGGGCGGCCACCGCCCAAACAGCGAAGCGGGTGCTGCGCGGCGGAGATCGACAGACAGCCTAACCGGGGCTGCCAATGTTCGGTCCTCTACGTCAGCGTACGGCAGTGTGGGCGGCGGCATGCGGCGATAATGGGACAGCGAGAGGGTTGGTGGCACTTTTCTGGGAATATGCCTTCGCTTGGCGCCCCTAGTCCAGATAGGTGATGAGCAACAAGACGTGCGGGACTAGGGGCATCGAGCGATGAAGGGAGCCCATTTAGGAACCGGGCTCCCATTTTTGGGCGAGGCATGCACCCAGCTGCGTGTATCACAAGGCAGGCGGGATAGGTAGGAGATGCGGAGGCTCTGGCTAGCGCCAGCAGGCGCCCATGTGACGCCAATGCTCGACGCTGAGTTACACGGAAACGGGTTGGGCGCGCGACTACCAAAGACGGCAAAGGACGATGCGTTGACATCCCTCGCATTGCAGGCGACTCGCATAGTCCGCTGTTTTGCGTGCACGCTTGGGACATGTTCGTTAACCCTTTCTTTGTACGGATTCACTGTGACCGTGACCGGCATTGGTGTACTATTGACGTACATGCGTCACGTGCGCTTTCTATCCTCTACAAGGAGGCGATGAGTCTAACGAGGAAGGCTTCCTCGTGGTAGAGCCGGTGTAGATGTAGTGTTATGTTGCCATGGCAAACGATGTGATAGCTTGTAGGTTGCGGGCGAGCGTGCAAATCGATGCACAAGACTCGTCGCACAAACGGTACTCCGCAGAGCAGTAGGATCGCAAGAATGCGGCTAGGCAGATGAGTGGCACGGAAATCGGTCTTGCCGACCCCTTCCTGGTCCTCCATATTGTTAGTTAGTCCTGGAGGCATATCGTCCGGGGTACCCGCTAGGATGGACTGGTTGTGGACCGGGTGATGGTGGCGGGGAGCCAGGAGAGCGCGGGTGGATCTCGGTACAGACTGGTCGGCATGCCGGATGGCTGGGCTGCGGGAGAGGCTTCACATGCCAATGCATGACGACCGCCAAATGCGCTTTGCTCGCATTGCCTGCCGTGCTCTTTGAAGCACATTCAGCACTGCAGTGTTATAGGCTTGTAGCAGTTACTAAACTGTTCCGCCATGTGCCTGCGTGTCTACGGTGATAAGGTCGCCAACCCAGTGGTTTAGTTCAATGTAACACGCTGTCGGCGCACCAGGCATTCCTTGCAACAGGCAAAGCGCCTCCTGCCAGAGGGAACTGGCCTAGGTGTTGTGACCCAGGGGTCGCCGTCTACCGCACGGGGCCGCACACTTTAATGGCTGGTGAGTGGCACATTGACCAAACCCTTAGTAGCGACTGCGCATTTAATATAAACGATCATCTAACTTCGCTTCGCAACCTGCTTAGTACAAATGTCCGCCGTCTTATGCGCTCAGGGTAACAGGAAAGGCTAGAATGAAGACCGCATCACCATCTCATTCAACACAGGGCGGCGTTAGCAATTTTTTAGCAACCGATAGCAGTTAAGCACCCACAAATAAACAGTGTTAAAAGAAAAGCGGATCGTAAGCTAACATGCTAGCCGAGGGAGCTCTCAGTTGGTCCAAGCCACCTTGCCGCCCTACGCGATCACCGCGACGCTGACGCAGCATAGGAGGAACTGTTAGTGAGGCAGTTGCCATTGATAGGAGCTAAGCATAATTTGGCCAATCTAACCGACCACACCACTGCAAAGGACCTACGGCTTCCGATCTTGCTACAATCCTAGGCGGGGCTGCGTCGCTCCACAGCTTCCCTGCTCACCAATTTGTTGGCTGAAGCCAGCACACTAGACGACACTATCCAAGCATCACAGCAACAAAAGGCGGCAGGAGCCCCATCCGCGGTCCTCTACCGAGCATGCAGCGCCCCAAAATCAGAGCGGCGGGGATGGCCCCAGAGCCGCCGCCGCAGCTGGCACCGACGGCCAAGCATCCTTCCACAGTCAATGGCACTGCCGGCACAGCTGTTGCTTCTATTACTGCTGCTGCTGCCGGTAGCGGCAGCGGCGCCAACCGCGACGACACTCTCCTGCGCCAAGCCGTCGCCATTGCGCTAGTCGCTGCCAAGCGCCGCCGACTGCAGCAGCAGCCACAGCGGCCGCCTGGCGGAGGTGCAGGAACAGGAGCAGGAGCAGGAGCAGGGGGAGAAGCAGAAGCCGGCATGTGGCGGGCGCGCGCCGAGCATGCGGCGGTGGAGGTGCAGCGGCTGCGAGGCGCCGCCGCCACACTCGCCGCCGCTATCGGGATGCCAGGGGCGGCGCCAGCGGGGCCGGCAGCTGCTGGCGGCGGCAGCGGCGGCGGTGGGGTGTTGCAGGAGCTCCGGGAAGGGGCGGTAGCGGTGCCGCCCGCATCGCTTCAGTCGCTGCTGCAGCAACTGTTGCAGCCACCGGGGTTTGGAGAGGAGGGCGGAGGAGGTAAGAAGAGAAGGGCGAGGAAAGGGTCTCTGGTGTATGTGCTGCAGGGCATAAACCGTGCAACATGGTGCGCTTAATAAATGACTTTGCGATTCATTCCTCCCTTTCTCCTTACCTTGGACTTTGTCTTTTGGTTTTCCCTAAACCGTCATTGCCGACTGCAACAACGTCCCCCGACAGATCCGTGGGTGCTTTCTGCTACCTTTGGCTGCCTCCCTGCTGCCCCTGCCACCCTCGACGTCATCACCCCCGCCGGAGTGCAGTCGGCTGAGAGTGAGGTCCAGCGGTTGGGGGCCTTCTGGGGCAACAGCGGGGGAGGAGCCGCGCCTGCCATTCCTGCTCCTGCTGCAGCCACTGCCGCTACTGCCAAGGCGAGGTCGCTGTCCCGCATGCTAGCTGCCGTACATTCACTGGGGCAGCTGGCGGAGGCGGCGGCAGGGGTTACGACAGGAGGCGGCGGTAGTCGTACTTTACGGCAGGCTGGCGGTGAGACCAGCAGCCCAACATCACTGCACTCCACGGCTCTCAGGTACGGCGGTACGGCACCTCATGCTGCCGTACTGCACTTCATCGAGGACATCCTGGTGGGTTCAGGAGGCAGCAGCAGCGGGGAGGGAGGAGGGAAGGGAGCTGCTGCTGCCGCACTGGCACCTGATGTACGGCGGTCGCACCTGCGCAGTGCCGTACAGCTGCTGGCGGCGGTACTGCACAGCCTGGCGGCGGAGGCAGTTGGAGCAGGTGGCGGCAGCACGGCCGCTGATTCCCCACTTGCCGGCCCCGGCCCCACCCCCGCCGCCATTGCCCGGGAGCAGCTGCTGCTTGTGAGTGTGGACGTGAGCCTTGCTGTGGACCGACTCCTCAACATCGCATGCAGGGGCGGCGGGGGAGGCAGGGGAGATGCCTCCGCCGCCGCCGCTTCCGCCACCACAGCAGCAGCTGCTGCAGCTGCCGTACAGGCACTAGAGGAGTTTCTGTCGGTTCCAGCCCTGGGGCAGCACGTGCTGGTGTGTGCGGCAGAACGTGTACGGGACTTGGGGCAGGAGCTGGCGGTGGCGGTGGAAGCGACAGCAGCGGCGGCCGCAGGGAAGGTTGGAGGTACGGCGGAGGCGCTCAAGCAGCTGGCGTGTGCGGCGGCGGCGTTCAACCGCTCGCAGCCGCTGTTCGATATCCTGGTAGGTGCTACCTGAGCCTCATTAGCCCCGTTAGCCTCTGCGCTTCCGAGGCATGACGGTCCTCCTCCTCCTGCTGACAATCGTACGCGTGTACTCGTACAGGCTGCGTCTACTCCATACGCCGTACCTGTCCTCAGAGCATTTGATTTTTCGGCTCCTGCCCACCTCCCACATGACAGCCTTCCCAACAGCGTACAAACACCTTTTACTTAACCCGCTGCTGAACTGGCTTTATCCTCCTTTCCCCTTGCCCTATGTACCCAACCCATGCCATCCGCATTGACCCAACAATGCCAACATTAACTCCACATTGCCTCAACCAACTGCCCCCCTACCCTCGCAGACCGAGTGCGCCGCCCGCCTGCCCGGCTGGTGCTGCCAGGTGACTGCGGAGCCCAAGCCAACCGACATAGGGTCCGACTACCTGGCTAGCCACGTGCAGGCACTGCTAGCCGCCCACTCCCTGGCCTCCAACCACACCCAACCGCACAACTACCAACCGCTGCAGCAACAGCAGTTACGCTCCGCCTTCCCGCTGTACTGCATTGCAGTACAAGAGCGGCTGGCGGGTACGGCAGCTGCCCTGATGACAGTGGCTTCTGGCGAGGGTGGGGGTGCGGGTTGCGGCGGAGGGCTGCAGTTCGCAGGCTGCGGTCTGGTGCCGCATTGCCGGGCCTTATGCGCTCGCATTAAGCAAGCCGCACTGCTGCCGCAGTAGGATACCGGTATAAGTGGCACAGCTGCGGGGAGGCCTTGTAACCGCTTTGTATGGGTTTCAGTTATGATTGCCCAGTTGCCCTAGAGGCCCAGAGGCACTGGCTTGGGTCTCAACGGTGCATTGTGTTGCAGTGCGTAGATGGAAAGACGCGATGGAGGCCAAGGTGGGGCATTGGAAGCAGTTGGTCGCCTACAACGCCATCTTGCATCAATTCGCTGCTTGCAATTTTGTGTTGTAAACGGCTACCGGTAATGGAAGCCGGTGCCAACCAAACAACAGGATTCCTGCACAGCAACCGAGTGAGACATGCACTTCACAATAGGGAATGCCGCCGGCATGAGTTCCAATACCCAAAGCGCATTTTGGTACACCGCAAGACATGCTCCCGCATACCACGTTGATAACCAGCAAGGGAAAGTGGAGGGAGAATGGTAGGAGAAGAACGGGAGGGTAGCAGGTGCAGCAGCACCTATGTGGGTGTCGAGGGAAGGATCTACACGCGAACCATGAGGGTTGTAGGAAGCAGGGGAGAGCAAGGAGTAAGGCGGAGTTTTGCGAGCCGCTGACATGAGGTCCTAGATGAGACGACAGTAGGGCAGCAGGCAGCATAATGGCTACAATGCCAAGGGATCCGATAGCAATATTGCAACCTGCGTTGCCCCGTGTTGCTGGTAGGTTCAGGCTACGGGGCACCAAAACTTAAGTTACATGCGCTACTAATGGTTGAGAATCGCAAGTCCCCGCTGCGGTCTCTGGTTTAGCAGCTGTTCATAATTGATGGAGGATTTCCAACATGCCAATGATCTGGCCCTCTCTCGGCGCTCCTGATGCAGCCACTGGTTTTGCGAACATGTCGGCCTAAAGCGAGCATGCCGTTTCTAGAGAAACGTCCAACCAGATACACCTCCAGCAGCGTCATCATGTCCTTAATGCCTCCGAGCACCACCTACATCCCTATGATTGGCGGCCCCGATATGTGATCATGCGCTTGCTATCCGGAATGTATAGCTGGCAATTAGTTAAGATGCAGATTGTTTGACATCTAAACGCCGGAATGCGCTCCGGAACCCAAGCAAGCGGTGAAGATGACGTCCTGGCAATGCGGAAAAACTGGCAATGCCGACTTGTAGAGACACAGTTGCTGATCATGGTTGCATCTGGAATGATGAATCTCTCAGCACTATGTCAGATGCCGAAGGCTGGTAGTATGCTTGCTTAACACAGTATTGAGACTTTAAACTGCAAATGCAAATTTGAGTTGGTTAATTGGTTACCCTGTGCGAATTGGCTTGCATAGCTGTCGACGTCCTGGTTTGACGGCAACCCATTGCACAGAGCTCGCCATGGCGCCGCGCTCCTTCCACCCCACCGTTAGATGGGATCCCACGGTGTGTATGGAATGTATCCCACCAATTGGCGCTATTGGGTGGGATGAGACACGATGGGACCGACTTCTTGCGACAGCCACGGCATGGCCGTACCTATGCCCTGCCACCCTTCTTCCACCTTGCCTTAGTGCAAATCCCTTTGCGCGTTCCCATGGCCCAGCCTGGCCTATCCTTTCCTTGCCCATGCTCAACTATTCTCGGACATTGTCCTGCTCCACCTCGCTCAAAGGCCATTCAGCTTGACCCTGCCTATTCGCTGTCCCTAGGTTGCCTCGTTAGGTGCCCACTCTCCGGCACTACCTTCCCTTCGCTTTTCGCTCTCCACGGTACCTCATAGCAGCCCACCTCTTTCGGCTCTTATGACCCACCTGCGTGGTTGCCTGCCTTTCCACCGACCACCGGTAACGCCACCGGTCCACGTCCACAGGTCGACTCCTACCTCACTTCCTGCCTGGGCCCCTCCCGCCTGGCTGCCATCTCAGCTGCCCTCGCCCGCCCCGCCCGCCACACCTGCTTGCGAGTCAACACCCAGCGAGCAAAGCCGGAGGTGGGGCGGCCTGCTGCCAGTATATAGGCATGCTGGTTGCCGGGGGTGGGTGGTGGTGCTTGCGGGTTGGGTGAAGGGAGTTGGATGGGGGTACAACAACGCATCTTGGCTTGATACCCGCAGCGCTTCATCGTGTGTCCCTACCTCCTCATGTGGTGACAAGGTTTGGGTTAGGTGTATGGATTAGTACTGCTATTCTGTGTATGACTGCCTCTGTGCAGTCCTTCAGCCTCCTGGCTCGTTTGAGGCCCCCTAAACCTAAGTCTTTGATACCCGACTCATGACGCTTGGGCAGGGGGTTGGGGATAAGCATAACGTCTATCTGTCATAGGGCGAAGATAGTCGCTAGGGGGCCGCAAATTGACTTGGCGCGGCAACCATTGCCATGAACGGTTGCATAAAGGTGTGACGGATTGGCTCTAATTGTGTACCCTTCTCCCACCGTGAGCCATATCCACATACTTGCCAACCCCATCAATTCATCCTCTGTGTTCCTCCCCGCCGCCGTCAGGATGTGGTACGGCAGCTGCGGGACATGCAGCGGCAACGAGAGTGGCAGCAGCGGCAACAGGGGGAGCAGCAGCAGCAACAGCAGCAGCGACTGAGGGCCCCTCCTCCTCCGCCCCGGTTGCACCCGCACATACCCACAGCGGTGGTGCTGTCGGGAAGTGGGCCTTGGGACGTGGAGTACGATGAAGGTACAGGAAGGAGACACATGTTCCCCCGTGACCGGGCTTCATTGCGCGCCGGTTATGCGCCGGTTTGTGGTAGCTTTTTTGTCTTGCTTCCGCCGTATTCCAGTTGATTTATGTGTAGTATGTTGCATTTGGAGTGCATGAAATCGAGTCGACAACTGCACGCACCCTAGCAACGACTCACCCGAACGGTTACCTGCGATTCTGCCGTACCGGGGCCCTGGGCGAGGGATGGCCGGTGGGTGCTTCTTAACCCTGCAGCAGCCTACTAGATATACCGGGCTCGCAAACACCCAACGCACCCAACATCGCCAACCCCTCCCTCCTTTCCTCCTTCCCTCACTCCTCCACTGCCCTCCCTCGCACTTGTTCAGGCATGCCTGAGGTGGTCGTTAACCGCTTCGCAGCAGAAGCCGTACTCAAGGTACGGGAGTAATAGTAATTGTACGTCAGTCGTATGTAGTACATGATGTTGCACTTAGCTTGGGACATCAAGGTTATAGGTGAAAGTGGTTTCCTCACCCTCCTCAGCTGCTACGCACGACGCTTAATGGTAGTATGTGACCATACTACCATTGGTCGGTGTGTCGCATTTTTGAAGCTCAATCAGGCCCATCTGCACTCCACATCCAGTTGCCCTCCTACCGGTACTAAATGCCTTTAATCGTCGCTCAACCGAACGCGCCTGACCGCCAGGGCGCCCACGTGTACGCTCCCGGCCTGCTGGCGGCCTCCCCGGGCATCAAGGAGGGAGACCTGGTGGCGGTGAGCGCCGAGCTGGAGCGACCCGTGGGTCACCAGCAGCAGGAGCAGCAGCGGTGGGCGACGGGTATCAGCCGTGGCGCAGCTGTTTCTCCCGACGGTTGCGTCACCTTGTCCTGGACCAGGCAGCAACAACATCCGGGACAAACAAAACAACAGAAAGAACACCTAAAACAACAGCAGAAGCAAGGGAGCCAACAGCAGGGCTGCTTGTCGCGTGCCGTCCGCGATGCCGGTACCTGCACTGATGGCAGCTGCGCATCGGCCGAAAGCGGCGGTGGTGTGGCCAGCAGTGGAGAAAGCTGCGACAACAGCTTAAATAGCGTTACTGTTGCCCGTGACATGTCAGGTAACGGCAGCATTGCCGGCAACGACCGTGACGAAGACAGCACCAGCACCTCCAGCTGTAACGACAGCGATGTCAGTAGCCACCCTTGCTGCAGTAGGAGTAGCAGCGTCTTCAATGGGAGTAGGAGCAGCAGCGACCTGGATAGCTGCAGCAGCAGCAGCAGAGGTAGTGATGGCCGCAGCAGCGGTGGCGGCAGGGACGGGGGCCCCGCCGCCGGAGTCAGTCGCCCCTGTGAGCGGGTGTACCTGGGCGTGGGCAGGGCAGTGGCAGGCGGGAGGCGGGCCATGTTCAGGGCGCAGGAGGGACTGGTGGTGAAGATGGAGAGGCGGCTGTACGACATACCCTCGTACAACGGTGAGAGGGTTGTTGGGTACTCACGCATTCGCACCTACGGCAGCTTGACCATAACGCACGATTAGGTTTGTTGCTGCATAAGGTGGCTGGTTTCGCTGGTGGTTACGCAAGTGGGCTGCTATTGGTACGTCTACCAGATACCGGTAGTCACTAGCTCACGCACTTCCGCTTAATGCGGAATCTTCATCCATATTAACCCCCCCTTGTCCTCGCCCTACGTCATCCGTCCCCCCATGCCAACTCCATTTCCCCGGCCCCCAGGCGTGCTGCGAGGTCAGGTGATGCTCCAGGCGCTGCCCAGCATCCTAGCGGCGCAGGTGGGCTGAAGACTGTAGGGTGGCGTTGGGAGGTTGCGGAAGGTCTGGCGGAAAGGAGGGCAAAAGGATGGCTACCATGCAGTGGCCTGAACTGTGCAGTTGAAGGGCATCCGCGAACGCCATAGAACCACCATGGCTTTCGCCTTGCATCAGCTTTCGTACCGTTACCGTACTCCCCTTATTTATTTATTTTCGTCCCCTCCCCCACCCCAGGTTCTCTCCCCCCGCCCGGGGTCCCGCGTGCTGGACATGTGTGCGGCTCCCGGCGGTAAGACCACCTGGCTGGCCGCTGCCATGGGGGACGAGGGCCGAGTGGTGGCGCTTGACCGTACGACAGCAAAGGCAAGGGAGAGACTGTTGCACATGTGTACAACATAGTGGATTTGCATGTGTGCTTACGAGATAAAACGTTTCACTGCCAATACGAATCATGGTATTTATCATACCGATGTCACCAATTCACCATGCACGTTATACAGCTGAAAGGAGAGCTCGGTCGCTCCCTGTTTCTCTGCCCTACACTTGTCTAAGCGCATTGCTTTTACCGCATCGGCGGCTACCTATCTCGCATGTGTTTCGCTGCAGGTTGAGGAGATTCGCTCCCTTGCTCGCGACTTCGGGCTGACGAGTGTGGAGGCGCACCGGGCGGATGCCACCCAGGCGGTGCGGCTGCAGCAGCAGCACACGGAGGCGGAGGCGGAAGCGACAGCAGCAGCCCCTTCGTCACCCAGTGAAGCGGCGACACAGGCAGCAGCAGCAGCAGCGGAGGCAAAGGCGGCAGCAGCAGCAGGTGCCGCCATGCAGGCGGAGGGGGCGCCGGCAGCGGGCTCATCTGCCCTTCATCACTCCCCCTCATCTCCACTGCCAGCGTTGGGTCCGCCTCCCTACCACCCCGCCTCGTTTGACTACATCCTGCTGGACCCGCCCTGCTCAGCTTTGGGGCTGCGGCCCCGACTGCTGCATGCGTGGAGCCTGAAGCAGGTGAGGGTGGGGGTGGGGGGAGCGGGCGGGGAGGTCGAAGGAAAGGGGCCGGTAGCGCCTCTTTGGCTGCTGGGCCGGTAAACCCCCTCCCATTCCCAACCTGCCCTTCCCACAACCCGTGCCCCCTCTCCACCGACCCTCCCCCCCGCCCAGCTCCGCGCCCTCGCCGCCTACCAGCGCTCGCTGCTGCACACCGCCGTACAGCTGCTGGCCCCCGGGGGGGAGCTGGTGTACTGCACGTGTACGATAAACCCCGAGGAGAACGAGGGGAACGTGGCGTGGGTGCTGGACAGGTGGGGCAAGGTGACGGGGGGGCATGGAAGGTACTGGGCTTTGGTCAAGGGATGAAGGACGGGTTTGCTGGGTGTAGGGGAAAGGCGCTATTTGCAACGCAACGAATCCACTTGCAAACAAGTGGTTCTTTCCTCCACTCCCCCCTCACCCTCACCACCCCCACAGATACCCCGGCACGCTGCAGCTGCTGCCCGCTGCCCCGCTGCTGGGGCTACCCGGGCTGACGGGGGCGGACCCGGGGACTGGGGCCAGGTGGCTGAGGCAGGAGGAGGCGGAGCTGGTGAGGAAGGGAAGGTCTGGGAGAGGGTGAAGGACTAGGGCTAGGTGGATGTTTGACAACCGCTCGGCCCGCACTCGTTGTTTCACTTATGTAATTCCCCCTTCCTACCCAGCCTCCCTTCCCAACCAAAGCCGCCCGCGTCCGCCTACAGCCGCCCGTCCTTTCCCTTTTTCCCTTTTCGCCACTCCCCCTCCCCTCTCTACCCCCACTGTCTAATCCCCAACTGTATCGCAGGTTCAGCGGTTCGACCCGGGTGTGTTGCTGCCGGGCCGCAAACGACAACACCTGCAGCAACAACATGAACTCCAAGTCGCGGTTCGAGAAACCGCTCCTAGTACACGTACAGGAGTTACACAACATCCTCTGGAGCATATCGCTGGGGCTGCTGTGCAGGAGGAGGGGGAGGCCCGCAGGGGCGCGAATGCGGATGAGGAGCGGGAGGAAGGAGGAGCGGGGCTAGGATCGCATGATGAGGGGGCGGAGGAGGGGATTGACGTCATGGGGTTCTTCATTGCTCGCTTTCGGCGGGTCATGTGAAGGCATGTGATGCGATGTAACGGGCATGCAAGTAGGCGTGGGAAGGCAATTGTGTTCGAGCTTGCAGTCATGCACGTAGGGGGGTGTTGAATTGATGTTGTCATGGGCTCATGGTGTACATCGTACATGCATGGCATGGACAGGATGTTTGCTAATCTGCATCCCACGACCTGCCCTAAACTGTCCTTCTCCCTTATCTAACAGCTGGGCACCTCTAGGGTGGGGGTAAGAGTGCTGGATGGTGAGACCTAAGCAGGTTCGAGAACGGCTGACTAATGAAGTTCTTTGGCCCTAGCTACTAAGGTTGTCGTACTCCAGGCCAGGATGGGGAGCCATGCTGGTCTCTAGGTCTCCTTCAACGACCGGAGGGACGAAAGTTGCAGGAGCATCAATGGCAATGAACGAGTTGGGGCCGTTTAAATGAGGAGTAGGTGCTAGCAGCTCGGAGAGTCTCAATGCGAGTCATCTGCCCTTATTGTCAGGCTAACCTGTAAGCTAGCCAACTATAACAAACATATACAGCATAGGAGTATAGCCCGTACGTCAAAGGTTCGACTAACCAACACGCACGGATGTAGCAAGTTAAGATCGGTACAGAACAAAGGGCGCCTCTATATACAAAACCATCTAACCAAACCCAGCGTACCCTTCGGTCCTACGGTCATCATGGCTTCGCAAGAAACCTCACACTACAAACACATCGCATCCATAACTACATACATGGCAACGACGTCTACTATACCCCAATGTCAGCGTCACTTTGCGGTTCAGTTGTTTTCACATACGGTACCCAGCGGGTGCCTCACGCGCTCTTCTACGACCCAACCCGCATGCTCCTCCTCCTCCGGGCCTCATCTCTCCTCACGGCTACGATAGCCCATGTCACAAACCCCCCGTACCACGCCGCACCGTCATCAGCTCAGTCACGAACAGGGGCAGGGTAGGGAGCAACGGCAGCACCAATGCCAGCAGCACGGCGTACGGCAGCCGTACCACTGACGCCGGGGCTTCCCCCGACACCACTACCACCAGCGTTGCTCATTCCCCCAGATCCTCTCACCACGCAGGGTTCCATTTGCCAGGTGCGGGGCGAAAACACCATCCGCACCCCTCCGTTGGGGCCGACGGGAGAAGCAGCGGCTGCTGCAGCAGCAGGGGACTGGTAGGGTGGAGAGGCACCAGCCGCCACAAAGCCAGACAGGTTACCGGCTCCCATCCCAGCTAATGCCGCAGCGGTGCCGGCATGCGCTGGTGGCAATAGCAGGCCAGGCAGCACCTGTGGAACCTGTACTGCAACTGCCGTACCAGCAGGAGCAGGACTGCTGTTGCCGTAGCCGTTAGGGGCAGCCGCGTTAGCCGCAGCCAGCGTCTGGGCCTCCTGCACTAGCCGTTGTTGGAGCTGTTGGGCTTGCTGCTGCAGCTGAGCCTGTAGGAGGGAAAAGGGATGGAAAGGAGGAAAGGGAAGGATGAAGAGTGGAATAGGGAATAGGAGTGTGGGTGAGGACTGAGGAGAGTTCAAAACCACACATGCATGCACGACGCAAGCATGAATGACTGCGCCGACACGTGCACAGAGCTCTTCTACTCCGACACCCGCCTTCCACAGCACCCTCCCCACCTGCAGCAGTTGGCGCTGCAGCTCCATGGCATGCTGGGCCTCCTCGGCAGCGACCGCCAGGCCCCTGGGAGGGAGGGAAGGGAGAAGGGAGAGGGAAGGTGGGGGGGTTGTCAAACAATTTTAGCTTTGTGAACAGAGCGACGAATGAGGGAGCGTTTTAGAAGCATGAAGGGAAGACGCAACTTAAGACTTCTCAACTTTGCTACGTACGCCTTCAACGCTTAGCTGTTCGCAAGCAAGGGAGGACACAGAAACAAGGCCTGCTGGGTACCGGTACTTTGGAACAGAGCACATGCACGCATACTCACTGCTTGCGCGACTCCGCCTCGGCCGCCGCCGCCGCTTGCGCCCGCTGTAACTCCCACACCTCGCGACGTAACGCCAAGACTGCCGACAGTGTAGCGGGACTCAGCTGACCCGTGGGTCCGTCTCCCCCGCTGCCCCACTTGGCTTTGCTGAGGGCGTCTAGCAGTGCATCCAACTGCTCCGCGCTGGCTAGGCGGGAGGACTGCAAGAGAGAAATAGGGGAAGAGGGAGGGCGTAGCCAGTTAGGGCGGCTACTTGGACGTGAACCGGCTTCGCAACGCATTTTCGCAGATGACCCACGTCTTCCTCCTCCACTTATGGCGCCCATCCAAACTGTTGCTCGCTCACCTGCTCCCCCTTGCCACCTCCAAGAGCCTGGAGCCACCCGTTGGCACCTCCGGCCACCGTGGCAGCTGACACCTTTGTCGCCTCAATCGCCTCCTCCAGTGTCGTACGGATGCGGTTCACCATCTCCGCCACACTCATTGCCGGAGCGGCACCGGGTGACCCATTGTTTGGCACGTACCCCTGAATGAGCGACAGTACATCCTTTTGCGCTGCCTCCGTCTGTGCGGGAACAGGCAGGGAAAAGCAGTCAGGAAGAGCGTGTGACAGACACACACAGTGGCTACGTGGGCGACAATGCATGTGGCTGACGACCCGCCCTTTATCCGGAGGCAGGCAGGTATATTCCCCGAAGTAGACCCAATTCATGTACCTCATCCCCGCCCTCTTTGGCCCCCGCTTACTTGCGCCAGCTGATTAGCCAGGTCCAGTACGGCGGTCTGCAGCCCCGCTTCCTTCTTGAGCGCCCCCTGCTGCGCCTCCAACGCCTCCACTCGGCCCTGCAGCACCGACGTCATGTGCCTGAAGAAGGGAGGAGAGGTGGAGAGGGGTAAGGGGCTGCAATTCGCCTGGGATCTCAGGAACTGGGGAGTGGAGGATGTAAAGAGGGGTGAAAGATGGGCAAAGGGGGAGTGGCGAGCGGTGAGTGCCGTGCGAAAGGACTCACTTTTGTACAATAGCTTCACGGTTGTTGTGGACCCACATATAGTAGGCGGTGCCTGCTGCTGGTCCCCTTGAAGCGTAGGGATCGGGGTGAGGGTAGCTGTAGCCGCCGGGGTTAGCACTGGCTCCAGCAGGAGCATCGTACGGAGGAGGCGTGGACGAGCCGTACGGACTGCCACTGCCACCGCCGCTTTGGCTGTACGGCAATGGAGTTTGCTGGTACGGCTGCTGTTGGTACGGCTGTCGTTGCTGTGGGTAATCCGGATATGGGTAAGGGTTCGGTGGATTCGTGCCGTACGGTGGCGGCGAGTGGCGGTACGGGCTATCGTACGGCATTGATGGCGATGATTGCCTCCCAGCGTCGTGGTAGGGTGGCGATGCCTGCGCCGAAGGGCCGCTATACGGCGGTTGGTGTGGCGGCTGGGCGTTGTACGAAGGTCGTGGTGACAGCGGGTACCGAGGGTCGTACGGCGGCGGCGGCGGCGATGCTGACCGTGATGGCGGCAGTGGCGACGGTGTGCCGTTGATGGATGGGTAGCGCGGGTCCGAAGAGGCCTGGGACGGCAGCATGGCAGGCGGCGGTGCTGGTCCTGTTGGTGCCGTACCAGTGCCGTACGGCGGCAGGTACGGGGCCTGCATTGCTGCGGGACGATCAGGATAAGGATACCCGGTGCCGCCGCCGCCGCCATGACTTGTGTACGGCACATCACGGCTGGAGTACGGCAACACGTGGGCGTTAGCTGGTGATGGCACTGCTGCTGAGGCTGAGGGTGATGAGGAGGAGGGTGGTGGAGGGGGAGATGAGATGTACGACAGTGCGTCCGCAAGCTCCTGGTATGTGATCTCGGTGGGGCCCTGCAACAATCAGGTTGCCAAAACAGGACATCAGCAGCAGCAACGATGGTAGCAGCAGTAACGCATCCGCTTGCGACGGTCGTGGACACGAAGACAGCAACATCGCTACCTACATGCTGATAGCATACACCGCACCATTAAGTACTTGATGGTGTGTATGGTTTATACATGAATAAAGCATACAACACTATCACAAAACCAAGAAGGGCTTCCATAGTTACACTCCTCCCCGTACCATGCTAGAAACACCCACCATCACAGTACGTTCCGCCTCGCGGCCAGTTATTTTTTGAACACACCGCCCGTGTATTCCAATTTAGGCCCCCTACCTGCAGCTCGTATGCCACATACCAGCCAAGCGCCGCCGTAAGCCAGGCGACAGAGGTCGGCGGCAGCGGGGTCGGAGACAACCGTGTCAGCAGCCGTACGGCATCCGTCACTGGAACCATCGGTTGTTGCAGCTGCGTTTGCAACTGCGGTTGTACGATACCCTCGCCAGTACGGCGCTGACGGCGGCTGTAGCTGTACGGCAGGGCGGTTGACATGTTGAGTAATGGAGATCTGCCGTACGCGCCGTACAGGGCTTCATTGCCGCGGATATCCTCCGCTAACTGCGCCGCCACCGCTGCCAGCTCCCCCCCTGGAGGCAGATGTCCGTCCCGTGCCGCCACCTCCTGCTCCAGAGCTGCACCCTGACGTATAGCAGCTGAGACCTCCCCCTCAGTGTACGATGACGTTTTGTACGGCAGAAGGACCTTGAGGAGGAAGGTGCCGTACCGCAGGAGCGACTCGGAGGGGCCGGCTGTTGCTGCCAGGTCGGAAGAGGAGGATGTGGGACGAGGGGTGCCGTACAGGAGCCGGAGCAGCTGGGGGCGAGGAGAACGGGGCGGGAGAGGGGTTTTGGAGGGCATTCGTGCCCCTACCAGAGGCCACCGGGGCGTATTAAGGCAGCAAGTAAGATACGGAAAACACGCAAGCGCTCATCTGAACCCGAACACAGGGCCATGACTTGCACCAGCCCCAATCCCTCTTCACCAGCCCCAACCTCATCCCTCACTCACATACACACGCATGCACCCCCCCTCAGTCCCTCAACCCCCCCACCCCCTCAGACCCCCTCACCAGCTCCAGCGCCCCGCGTGGGATAATGAGCACCGTGCCCTTCCCCTTGCTGGAGGGCGGCGGTATCTTGCCGTACATAGGCCCCTCCATGCCGTACATGCGGATGCTGGCGTGGCGGCGGTCGGGCAGCGAGGCACCGGACACGCGGCGAGCAAGCGTGGCAAAGTGGGTGTGAAACACCTGTCGGGGGGGGGGAGGGGGCGTTCAATTAAAGAACTGGGGAAGTGGTATAGCATATAGGAGAGGAGAGAGAGGTAAGTCCAGGGTTTTGCCCAGGGTCTCCTTCCCAAGGCGTCTTCCTACCCCTACCCGATCCCCCCACCCCGCCACTCACCCCCGGCGCCCCTGCATCCAGCCTCCTGTCCAGCTCCAGCAGCACTCCGAAACCGCTGCCGCCCGGGGAGGAGGAGCTCGGGGCGGAGGTGCTGGGTGGGGGTGGAGGAGGGGAAGACGGCTGGGGGGGAGGTGCTGCCGGGGAGTCGTACGACATGGGAGGAGGCGCCTGCTGTACGGCGGTGCTGTACGGCGGAGGAGGAGGCTGTTGCTGGGCATTGCTGTAAGGAGGAGGAGAAGGAGCAGGAGGAGGAGGAGCCTGCTGTGCGTCAGTGTAGTACGGCGGGTATGGTGCTGAGGACGACTGCCGGCGGGTGTCGTCCCTGCCGCCGCCGCTGCTGCCGCCGAGACGGCCGCCACTGCTGGTGCTGCTGACCCGCCGCGCGAGGTTGTCAGTTTGAGGCGACGATGAGGGTCGTACGGCACTAGGGTAGGCAGAAGCACCGTGCGGCATCATATTGAGATCTCGGTCAGATGGTGGCGGGCTGGTGTCGTACTCAGCCTCGTAGTCACTGGGGGCGGCTGAGGTGGAAGCTGAAGCGCCGGCGTTGGTGGAGCCGCCGGCGGATTTGTAGGTGGAGCGGCGACTGCTGCTGCTTTTGGGTCCGCGAGACATCTGCGGGGCGCGGGAGGGGATTTTACGGAGTGAGGTGAGTCGGGTTTCGGAAAGATTTATGGGTTTAGTTGCTGCATGGATGTGGCGGGCCAAGTGAGGACGGAGTTTCGCAAAAGTCACATTGAGTCGCAGCCCGATGGCATCTCACGACTTGGATCAGATGGGACAGTACAGCTTTACAGCTTCTCTCACCAGTCTGTCGTACAAGGCCTGGTACATCTCCGGCTGGTACGGCAACAAGTAGCCCATGACAGGATTGCCGCCGCCGCCACCACTGCCGGCAGCAGCGGAACCCGGGTGTTGCACCAGAGACACCGGCCCCGGCATCCCAGCAGCAGATGCGGCTTGGGGCCACATGTACGGCATGTACGGCACTGGCATGGGCATTGGCATGTACGGCAGGTTGGTCAGCGGGGGACCTCCGGCGACGGAGGGTGTTGGCGATAGCGCCGGCGCCCCCGCCGCCGCGGCGGCGGTAGCACCACCGGGCGAGGGGGGATAATGCGGGAAGTGCTGACCTGCATTGGAGGGTGGGGGGGCATACCAAGAGGGTTAATTGATACTCGACAGAAGATCTTCCGTTTCATTAGGTTGAACCAGCGACCAATTTGCTATACACCTAGCAGCTTACGGGGTGCAACCCATGTAACTCATGGGCGCATCCCGGCAACATACAGCATACAAGTTTATACATGCAGGTTCGCCACGGCCACAAACCACCGGTGCTGGTTAGCTACAACTAAATGCACCAACAAGAGCTTTCCGTTACTACGGTAAGGATGTCGCCGTCCTTCCTTGCCCTCGCCTCCCACCCACCTGCAGGGAGCATAGCCGCTAGGGAGTCGCTGGGGGCCAGGGAGGGGCCTGCGGCAGCAGCGGGGTCGACCTGGGAGGAGGGGACAAGGGAAGGCAACAAGGAACCAGCGGTTAGAGGATGGCAAGTACAAGGCCGTGATTCATGACTACAATACCGAACGTCGGTGCTTCGTTCGACAGACAAAAACCTGGCCCCTCCCTCCCCCTTCTGCCCCTCACCAGCAGGCCTGGGTTGTATGTGAGGCGGGCGTTGCGTTGCGCGGGATTGAGCGAGTCCAGCAGACCACCTCGCCCGGCGGCAGCAGCAGGGGGGGGTGGCGGGCGGAAGCCGGGGCGGTGCAGCACGCCTGGAGGAATGGGAGTGAGGGATGGGGACACCGTGGGAGAAGAGGGATGGGGGTAAGAGGCCGCATGGAAGTAGTACCCTACCGAGCTGCTTCAGGCTCAACCCAGCCTTAAGTCCTCCCTCCCGTCCCCACCTGCCCGCCTGCTCCCGCCATGTCAGGCCACCGGGCACACACCTCTCCCCTCACCATACCCCTCATCCCCACCCCGTGCCGTTTCATCACCGCTCCCCGCTCATCACCGTCCTCACCGTTAGGCGCCCGTAGCGGTATAGCCCTGTGGGAACGTTTGGAAAGGAGGTAGACGGATTACGAGGGAGGGGCGGTTAGGGCTTACGGCGCTGGGCGGGTATGCATGGATGTGTGTTTAAAGGCCGCCCACACCTTTCTTTTTCATCTTCCCGACATGCGTTCCCCTCCCCTCCCTCCGCCGCTTCCCCTCCGGCAATAGAGTCCGGGAGCTTCGTGTAAGGGTTCATTCACACACACACACCCTAACCTCACCTCAGGTGCTGTAGCAGCTCGTCCGGCCGTACGCGCCCGTCCCGCTCCACATCCGCAGTGAAGCAGTACGACACCAGCAGCCGCACGTCGTACGGCGGCATGTCGCGGAAGAGGTCGCGGAAGAAGCGGGAGAGCTCTGACAGGTCCAGATGGCCGTTGCTGGAGAGGGATTTGGGGTTTTAGGGTTTGGAGAGGGGAGGGAGAGATGAGGGAAGAGGGAGGAGGTTTGCATGGAGCCGGATGTGAAGGGTATATCGTACGAAGCGGCAATGCCAGGGCTAGCACACCACTCAGACCCGCCTGTCTTCCTCCAGTCGCTCCAGAATGGACCCAGAATGCCCTCCTGCCCCCTATCCGCCCCTCTTTACCCCCATGCCCCGCGCATGCATCAAACGGGTTCTTACCACCAAGCCGCACCCCCAAACCTCTCCCTTCCCCCTCTCTTTCCCACCCGTCTCCCTTTCCTCACCCGTCCTTGTCCGCCCGCGCATACGCAGCCCAGAACACCTCCACGTCCGCCGCCACCTGGCCGCTCACTGCAGCCAGCACCGTCAGAGCGGAGCGCTGGGCGCGACTCAGACTGACAGCAGCAGCGGCAGCAGCGGTTGCAGCAGCGGTAGTTGCCGTACGGCTACCGGTCTGGAGGCGGTTGCCATACGACGAGGTTGTTGACATGGCGTCCAGTACGTCGGTTGCAGCGCGGATGCCTCCCAGCCACTCGCGGAGGCTGAGGCTGCCGCTGAGGTCCACGTCTAGGAGGGCCTGAGGGGAGGAGGGGATGTGGGAAGGGGAGGAGGAGAGAAGGGTGGTGGTTTAGCAAAGGCAAGCGGAGCATTCAGCTAGGAAGGAGGGGAGAGAGGGAGGGCGGGAGTATGGGGGCGGGGCGGGGTTGGCAGGTTGAGGGGGGTTTGGCATGTCCAATACACACACGCACACAAACACACGTGCGCACCTGCACCAGCCTGGCCTCCACGTACGGCAGCCCGGTTACCTCCCGCAGCAGCGCCACCAGCTCTGACAGCTCCAACACGCCGTTGCCGTTGCTGGGGAGGGGAGGTGGGGGGTGGGGGGAGGGGGTGCGGGAGGCAGAATGTCGAACAAGCAACGCAGCGCTGTACAGCAGCCGTACATGGTGAGAAACGCATTTTGGCATTTGACCGAGATCAGATCAACTTACGTGTCGTACTGTTTGAAGAGCTGTACGAGCACCGCTTCGTCCAAATTCCGCAGCGTGGCGAACACCGACTGCGGGCAGGCGGCGGGACGGGAGGGGGGGCGAAGGGGGATGCATGTGGATAGGAAGCCCGGTGGAGAGGTGATTAGACGACGGGGCACTTTTATATATGAGGAAGCGATGGGTGCCGAAGCGCATACTGTGTGGTGACGAGATGACTTCAAACACCAACCCAAAACTGATTAGGACGGCTGCATTATACCTAGTCCTGGTTGTGCACAGCAAGATGCAGGGAGAGGTGGGGTGAGGTGAGTGGGGAAATACAGTATTAAAGGCGACAAGGGGGGGGGCCTAAGACACGAGCACGGTCCTCAGCACTTCCTCGGCCCCACCCATGCCCCCTGTACTGTCACCCCCAGCCCCCTCCCCCCCACCTGGAGTACGGGAGTGGAGCCGCCCGCACGCATCACCTCCCCCGAGGGGCGCAGCTTGCCAGCCAGCTCAGGGTAGTCCTCCCCCGTGCTGCTGGCGGCGGCAGCAGCAGAGGAGGATGAGGGGATGTAGAGCAGGCCTGCGGAAGGGGGCAAGAAGGGGCCAAGAGAGTCGGGGTACCATCTGGAAAGCGAGCCGGGAGATCCGAATGGTAGCTCCTTTGGGCCATGGATTCCTTATCTTTTTTGATACATGTGCGGCAAAGGAGCACGTACTTACCAGTGGATGGGTCCAGGTTGTACGACGTGCCGTCAGGAGCCGTGTACGACTCCAGTACAACAATACGTCTCTCCGGGTGCAGCTTTCGCCGTACCACCTCCCGTGCACTCAGGTTGAGGTGCCGGGCAGAGGGGTTGGAGTGCTTGTGGGACATGCGCAGATCGCTCGCCATGCGCCGCCGGACACTGTCATCGTGTGCTGCAGTGGCGGCCGCGGCTGCGGCGGCGGTGGCGGCGGCAGCGGCCTGTTGGTAGCTGAATGTACGACCTAAGCCGGCGGAGGCGGCCTGCTGAAGCGCCGCCGCCGTCACTGGATCCAGGGTGGCGGCGCCGCCGCCAGCGGCGGCGGCCGCGGCTGCTGCCGCCGCCGCTGCCGCTGAGATCTCCGCGTGCGCCGCTGGATTGCCGTACATGCTAAACGGCGACTGTAGGACAGGGCTTTGGTTTTGGCTGCGGTCGCCGTGTTTCTTGTCTTGCTTGGCAGTTCGGTCGCCGCGGCCGTCCCGGGGGCGGGATGATGAGGCGGAGCGCTGGCGGGGGCCGTCATCACGATGGCTGCGGCTTGTACGGCGCTGGTGTCGGCCGGTTTCGGAGTCGGAGAGGGAGGTGGAGGAGGATGGGCTTGAGGCTCGTGAGGATGTGGCGGGGGAGGAGGATGTGGAGGGAGCGAGCTCGGCTGCGTGCCAAACACCCACGCCTGCCTTGCCGTCGGGATAGCGGCACTTGATGGCCCGCAGCGCCTGAAGGACGGGACAGACCGAAAAATCAGGACGGGAGCGGGCCAGTTGGGTTGCAAGGCCAAGCACACCGTGTGTGGAAGGAAGGAAGCCAGGAGGAAACAAAGCAAGGAAATGGATACCGGTAGCAGGTGCAAGTGGTATAGTGAATCACAGCGGGTTACTGACCTTGAACACGTCCTTCCAACCCAGTGCCAGCACTGGCTGTGCCGACGCTGCGGCCGTAGCTGACCCGTGGGCCCGTGCCACCAGTCGGTGTGGGCAGTTGTACAGCAGGTAGAGGAGGGTGGCCATGGTAGCTTGGTTAGAGTGAAGCTCCTGGCGGAGGGGGATAGAGGGGTCCGAGGAAGAACGGGGGTGCGGAAGTAATGGTTTAGGGGGCCGAAGCAAGGGGCTGCGAGAGCACAAAGGGTTTGGTCGCAGGAGGGGCAAAGAGGGGCAAAAAATAAGAAGGCCGACGGTAAACTGCATCAATTACATGAGTGTGACATGCATTATGTTGTTCAACCCCACAAACACGGAACCCAGGTCCCGACTGTGTTGTTAAACCCCGCATCCCCACCTCCGGGAGCGCATCTCGCAGAATCTCCCGTACATCCGGCAGCTGAAGCACCCCCTCGCCGTACATCTCCCGCCCCTCCTCGTCATCACTACAGTCCTCGTCGTAGCTCCGGTTGGCGCCGGCAGCCTCACGGGACCCCGGCAGGATGACAGCTTTGCGCATGGCTCGAACAACCTGCGGTGGTTGATCGGTTGGTTGGGGGTAAGGATCTGGATCCTGTTCCAGGATGTAGCCGCACGTGACGCCATGCAAGTTCAAGGAGGAAAGGGATAACCTCAGGCCTCCATGCACCGTTACACACGTTAGGCCTCCATGACATCATCCGTCCAGCGTGGCGCCCCGTGTGATGTTTCAGCCTCCAACCCACCCACCTTGCCGTATTCCCGGTTGAGCCCTGACGCCACCTCCCGTAGCAGCTCCGGGCCGGCCCGTGGGTCGGTCAGCAGCCGGTACGCCTCCGCCAGCGCCGTAACGTCACGCGGCAGCTTCCGGACCTGCACGCCCCTGTCGTGCATCACTTGCAGCATGCCCTCAAGCAAGGGAGCGACCCATGGGTCAGCGGAAGGTAACTTGGCGCTTGATGAGGAACTACGCCTGGTGCTGCCGCCGCCGGTGCCCGCATTGCCCTCTCCCGCCTGCAGCGCCACCCGGAGGAGTACGGAGGCGGCCTGCCATAGGAAAGAAAGGAGGCGGAAAGGCGGTTACAGCTGGTTTGCAGTACATCACCGTCTCATCGTGATTGTTACACTAAGTATGCATTCTGCAAGCCATCCGCCAATGTTAGCGGCAGGCATACGTGGCGAACTGAACCTACCGTCTGCGTGTCCAGCACCTCTGAGCTGCCGCGACCGCCCGTAGGCGAAACAATTGACCCACGGGTGGCAGATGACCCACGGGTCAGAGACCCCTGCCGCCTCGTAGCCGACCCGCGGGTCGCCTCCGCGGCCGCCTCCTCCAGGCGATACGGCTGCTGCTGCGCCACCGTCTCCAAATCCAGCAGCAGCGTCCAGGAGGGCAGTGAAGGGAGGGACCTAGGGATGTCGGGTGTGAAGAGGGGGTCACATGTTTGTGTCTATTGGGAGAGCACCCTTTCAAGTACCAAGTGTCCACATGTCGTGCTGCCACAACCCACCTTCTGGCGCCGTCCCATGGATCCTCATACGCCACCAGCTGAGGCCAGGGAGCCGCCTTGTCTCCCTTGCTGCCGCTGATGTAAGACATGGACATGGAGGAAGATGACGTCCGTACCACCGGAAGGTCAGGAGCTTCATACAACAGTCCAGTGTCTGAATCTCGCAGCAGCGGGGGTGCCGTACGATCGCCACTGCTGCGGCGCCTGCTGCCGCTGCGGGGCTGCTGCAGTGGCCTGAGCTCCATCTCAAAGACCCTAGGAAAATGGTGTTAAGGTGTTAAAGCGGTGGGGAGGGCATATGGAGGAGAGCAGCAGGTGTGGTGTACGACAAGCATACGGCGGTATCGGGCAGAGGGGTGGGTCAAGCATGCGGAGTGCACGAGCGCAGGGACAGGAAAGTCCTACGGAGGAGGTACCGTAAATGGGGTGTGCCGGTAGGGGAAGAGGTTTCCAAGCCGTTGCAGAGCGCCCAAGACTACCCAGGGCCGGAAAAGGAACAGGCCCATTTAGGGTTAGGATACCGTGACGGCTCCACGGCTGGGGTTACCATATCGGCGATGACAAGGCTCACCGGTCAGGGATAATGGCAGCCGGGCCGTCGCTCCGCAGAGCCCCACGACCTCCTCCTCCTCCTCCCCTGCGTCGGTTGCCTCCCTCGCCATCGTAATCCCCATCGTCGTACTCTCCCTCATCGTACTCTCCGCGCGCGTAATCAGCATCCTCCCCTCCCGCTCTTATCGGCGGTGGTGGCGGTTGCCGCCTGTTGCTATTGTTGGCTTGAATCCGTCTGCCATACTCGTCGTACTGCGCAGTATCATTCCTGTCGTACGTACCACTGTTGCCGCCAGCATTGTCGTACTGCCGGTACGAATCGCTACGACATGGCCCCTCGGAGGGGCGAGTGGAGGAGGAGGTTGCGGCTTTGAAGGGCGGTCTGGGGGGCCGCAGCAGCCCCACGGGGGTACGGGCGGGGAGCACCTGAACACATACACACACATGGGTGTTCGTATAACACAAGTACATGCGTATCTGCATTTGCAACTTGGACACCTTGTCTTTCAACGGGCAGTAGTTACATCATACACGCCTCCCCCCCGCCTCACCCTGAGCGCCACCAGCAGCTCCCGCCACTCCAGGCGCCCGCTGCCGTTCACATCCAACAGGCTCCAGTACGTCAGCAGCTGCCGTACATCCTCGGGGGACAGCCCGCCGCCGCCGGGAAGCACTCCGGTCAGGAACCTTGGTGTGCAGCCGTGCGGGGTGGAGGTGGGAGGGGGGTGAGCGGTGGGATAAGAAGAAGGGGCCTGGTGCATTACTGGAGGGTAAATGAAGAACGAGACTGCAGCTGGTGCTAAAGTGCTAACGGACACTGCCTGCTATCCACCAATGCCCTCCCCCGCCCCACCATTTCAGCTCCCGCGGCTCCAGCGCTCCGGAGCCGTTGACGTCCGCTCTGCAGAAGCGCTCCCAACCGACCCGCGGGTCACGACTGAGCGCCTCTGACAGCCGATTGAGCAGCGACACCAGCCGGGGGTCCTGCACCGTGGAAGTTGGAGGAAGGGGTGCCAGGTCAGGGCGGGAAGGAGAGGAGAGGTTGGGCCTTTTTCATGCAACTCGTTGCTCTGTTGCTCCAAAACTACTGGTACTGCACACACCTTCACGGCCAGGTTGCGGTATTTCGAGAAAGTACGACCCGCGCCAGAGGAGGAAAACGGCAAGGAACCCCAACCCGTCCCTGTTCCCTACCTGCAGCCCGCCAATGCGGCTGCTGGCCTCTCCCAGCTGTCTGAACACCGCCAGCACCTCCGCGCGGGACACCAGCCGGTCGCCATCCAGGTCCAGGGTGGCCTGAGGGGTGGGTGGGCGGGTGGGAGGAGTGGGAGGAGTGGAAGGGGAAACGAACAAGTGGGAGGTGAGGGCAAACGGTGGAATGGTGGAATCCGCATTCGTCTGCCGCGTGACCTCTCTCCCTCCAGCCTCAAGCTTTTTCCTGCCCTCCCCACCAGGCCCCTCCCCCTCTCTCTAGTTGGTCCTTTCCCTATCCCCCTCTCACCATGAGGTACTTGATCGCCCCCGGCCCCAGCTCCTGACCCAGCAACTCCCGCGCCAACCGCCCCAACTCCCGCTCGTCCAGACCCGTGTTGCCATCGTTGTCGTACTCGTACAACAGATCCTCCAGCTTCACACGTTCCGTACGGAGCTTGCGATCAAGTGCCGTGAAGAACTGGCAGGTCAGGGAGCTCTGCAACCGCCGTACACTTCCTCCATCTCCCCCTGTCGTATTTGTCGTACGAGCCCCAAACAGGATCGGCCAGGCGAGCCTTCCGGAACCTCCTTCCTCCTCTCCTCCAGGTGCTGCTGTCGTACCGCTGTTGCCGTACTTTCCGTTACTGCTGGTTGAGCTTCGCCGCCTGGCTCCAAGTCCAGGTGCCGTGCTCGTGGAACCAGTTGGCGACTTAACTGGCAGGTACACCAGACCGCTTTGCCGATCTAGCCACAGATCTCGACCTTCCGTCGTACAATACCAGTTCTCCAACCGCCACTCGCGGATCTCAGTGTACGGCCGTGCGGCACCACTGCCGTACACGTAGGGCGAGGAGGGTGCTCCTCTTGGGCCTCCGGACCCGGCAGCGGGCCTGTGTGGAAACGAAAGGAGAGGTGCTGGTTGTGCGATTAAGATGCCTCAATAATCAGGAGGAGCATCAGGACGGACTTCCTTCGCTGTCTTGTGGATATCCACATAACCAAAACAGCAGCTGACTGTCAGCTACAAAGTGTAACCCAACGTACCGTTGCTGTGCTGGCGACGCAATATATCGCGCGACGACTCGTCTTCCATCCGGTAACGTCAGCTCCCCCATGCCGTACAACGCATGGGCCAGCTCGGGGTACGACAGCGCGCCATCGCCGTCCGTGTCTAGTGCGTGAAGGTGAGTTAGCAGTTGCCTGCGAGGGTGGCGGGAAAAGGGAAGAGGCAGGGATGAGAGATGGCGACGGGCTAGCCATGCAACGGCTAATTCCCCACCCCCAACCCCCACCCACCTGACCTCCCCGCTGCTCAGCTCGGGCACACAGGCGCGCAGGAACCGCGCCAGCTCCCGGGGCTCAAGTCGGCCGTTGCGGTTGGTGTCGTACCGCTCGAAGGCGGAGCGGGCGGCTTCCTGTGTTTGTAACAAATGGTTGGTAAGTAATTGAGTAATGTTATTGAAGCGTCATGTGTATAGTTAAAGTTACCATGGCTTGCTACCACATGCCAGGCAGGGATGGCAATTGTGTCTTCTATATTTAACGTCTAGGGCCGACCCATGAGTCGCACACCTTTTGGTTTCGGAGGTATTCCCCGACTCGCTCCAAAAGCGCCTCCAGCACCTTGTCATCACCGCCGCCTCCACCGCCGTACGAGTCGGGTGAAGGAGCATCTGTCGTACGGTTTCGTACGGCCTCCCAGCAGCTGCGCACAGCAGACAGTAGCTCCTCGAAGCTCACGGCGGCGTCCCCGTCAATATCCAACATGGCCTGAACAGGACATCGGTATTTGGGTTAGGAGGTTGGGAGGGGCCTTACAGCCATGTACACACATAAGTCACAAGCCAGGCATCCCATCATGTCTACCTAACATACATAAGTCGTGCCCCTGGTCAATACCTACACTTATTTATAATTTTCCCCCCGCACCCACCCCCTCTCCCCTCCCCTCTCCTCACCATGAGGTACCTCACATCCGCCCCCGAGGCCTCCGGCAGCAGCTCCCGCACCAGCCGCCCCAGCTCCCGGGCCTCCAGCAACCCACTGCCGTCCGCGTCGTAGTGCGCGAACACGTCACGCAGCCGTACCTTTCCAGGAGGAAGGGGAAAGGGGTGGAAGGGGAGGGGCAGGGGAAAGGATGGGGGCAGGGACTTCAGGGGTGTCCGATCGGAGGTAGCTTGATGTAGAAAGCGGTCGAAGAGAGGTAGGAAGAGAAAGTAGGTAAGATGCTAAGAGTAAACACAGCCCGCTCCTCCCCTCTGATCTCATGTCCCTTCGCTCCCCATACGTCGCAGCCCCTCTCCCTCCCTCTATGCCTCACCCGGTTTTCCTTGAGAGCCGCGTCCAGGGCCTCAAACAGCCGTACAGTGGGGGATGAGGTGGAGGACGTCGCTGTCGTACCATTGCGACCCAACCGACTCCCTGTCGTACTGCCGGGTGCCGTACGGAAGGACGCGAGCTGCAGCCGGGGTGCGGCTGCTCCGCCTGTCCGGCGGTCTCCCTCCACCAACACATACACCAGACCTATCCCGGGGGAAACGGGTGCGGGAAAACAGGCGCAGAGGTTAGCGAAACGTCTTTCCTAGTATTCACAGCTCTTCCCCCTGCTTCCGCCTCCGCTACCTTTCCTGCCCTCCCTGTTTCCTTCCCCCACTTCCTCACCCGTGCCGGGGTCCCGGTAGTGGGTTCTGCCGGCGTGCTGGAAAGCCTCCAGGGGGCCACTCGAGGGGGCAGCGGGGGCGGAGGAAGGGGGGGATGTGTAGGGGGAGGCGGAGGTGACAGCTGACGCGGAGAAGCCGGGTCGGAAGACCCCACCACCCGGGTGGTACATGGGAATCGACCTGGAGGGGGGTGAGAGGGGGAAATGGGAAAGGGCGCTGTCGGTCGGAAGGGGAGTGGGTGGATGAGGAGGTCCTGAGGGCTCTGGGGGTAGCAGGTGCCGGTAGATGTGCACATGGGCGTGTGTGCATGTGTGTCATTGTGTGACAGGCTGCTACAGCGCTTCTCCCCCACCTGAAGGCGATGCGCAGGTCGTTGTACGAGTAGCTGCCGGTCTTGCCCACATCGCAGGCGTGCGCGTGGGCGAGCAGGTAGTGCAGCTCGCGGGGGGCCAGGCGCTGGTCGCGGAGCAGCTCCTGGGGGGGAGGGGGGAAGGTTGGGTACCGGTAAGTAGAGTGTAGGAGAAGAAGAGGTTAGGGGTTAGGAGGCGAGGGGCGGGATAGGAGCAGGAGGGAATAGTAGGGAAGTGAACTGTGATGGCTAGGCATACCATAGGGGAATCCTAGGGGGAGCTAGGGGGTGGGGGGTTAGTGGTAGCACACAAGCCGGGAGGTTGGAGTAGGGGTAGGCTGTATGTATCGCAGACTGGCAGGCACGTGTTCCGCATCTGAGTGCATACACTGCGTACATGGATAGCATGCATGCTGCCACACCGCAGCCTAGCATACTTCCATACCCCTGTTGTTCAGATTGCCGCAACCGCTCCCCCCCCCCCACCCGCCCTACCCTGAGGAAGGCTGACAGCTGGCGGCAGGTCAGGCGCCCCTCCCGGCGAGTGTCGAACGACAGGAAGAGCTGCAAGCCGCCCTCCTGCGGCGGTTTAGGGGAGGGAGGAGCGGTTGGGGGGGTGGAGAGGGGAGAAGAGGTGGGAGCAGTATGCGGGGTAACAGTGGGTCAGGAAGGCAGCTCACAGGAGGCAGTACCCCTCCGCTCCCCGCTCCTCTGCCGCTCCTCCCCCTCACCTTGTCCCCCTGCAGCCGTCCGGACACCCGCTGCAGCGCCCGCCGGACCTCCTCCTCCTGCTCCCGCTGCTGCTGCTGCTGCTGCTGCCCGCCTGCCTGGCCGCCAGCCGCCCCCTGCCCCGCCAGCCCGCCCAGCCGGCGCTGCAGCTCCAGGTAGTCCCGAGCCACTGCCAGGAACTCCTGAGGGAAGGGGATGGGGTATAATTGTGGGGTTAACATCGGGGGGGGAGGAAGGGGCGATAGGAGAGGGGTATCATTTATGCTTCAGGACATGGGTCACAGTACGTTCCGATTCGCGGCCAGTTTTCTCGGATTAATTCAACACTCATTCTCTCCCTTCCCGGGCCCCTCACCCAGACCCCCCAGCCCTCCCCTTCTCCCTCACCTGCTCGCTGACTCCCCCGCTGCAGTCCAGATCCAGCAGCGCCCCCAGCATCTCCATGTCCGCAGCATCCACCGCCGCTGGCCCACGCTGCGACCCGCGGGTCACTCCTCCTCCACCCGCTCCTCCTCCTAGCAACAGCTCCTCCACCAGCCCCCGCAGCTCCTCCGGCTCCAGGCGACCCGAGCCGTCGCGGTCGTACTGCGCGAACAGCTGCGTGAAGTAAACCTGTGTGTTTGGGTGGTGGTGGTGTTCGGGAATCAGAGAGGAAGTAAACCGGTCCTTAGGAAGTCGCAAGTGGAGATGGGTGTGGAATGGGGACGTCCAGGAAGGCGCGGAAAGGGTGCGGACAACATGAGGCGACACGGAACTGTCGCTGTTGTGAGGTATGCAGGCAAGTTGGTAGGCCCCCTTCCCCTCTGTCAGAACGGCTAAACACCCCACCCTTCAACCCCACCGCACCCGCACCCCCGACCCCATCCACACACCCACCCGCTCAGACTTGAGTCGCTGGTCCAGCGCGGAGAAGAGGTCGGCGGCGGAGGCGGAGGCGGAAGGGCGGTCGCAGGGACGGAGCAGCATCGGGGTGCCGCTGCGTGGGGTGCGGGGGTGTGGTCGCGAGATGTGGGCGGGAAGGGCGTCGGCAAGGGATGGCGGAGGAGTGCAGTGGAGGGGTGGTGCTTGTGCACACGACAATCCGGTGTCTGCTATACAACCGTGAGCCGCTCCTTACCGAAATTTCCTAACCAACTTCTTAACCCCCAGAAAGACAATCCCTTCCCCATCCGGTATCACCAAAAAAGGGTTTACTCCGCCCACCTCGACTCGTCCATCACGCCCACAGCCCGAGGCCAGCCCACTGCACCAGCAGCAGCAGAGGCCGAGGTGAAGGAAGACCCGCGGGTCACTTTGGTCGAGGGCGGCTGAGGCGGAGGCACGTACTCGTACACCACATTGTTGTACCGGCACAGCAGATAGCGCTGTGTTGGCTGCTGCTGCTGTGGCTGCTGATAGCTATAGCTATACGACTGCTGCTGTCGTGCTGTCGTACCACTGTTGCTGCTGCTCAGTCGTACTTCCTCCAGATCCACACGTGTCAAGGTGGCTTCATCGCGAGCAGAGCTGATGACAGGGGTAGCCGTTGCGCCCGTACGACGGCTGTCGTACGGTGACCTGTGTGACGCCAGAAGATCGCAACCAGCATATTAGGTAGGCTAACAGCAAAGTTTACGCAGACATTCCATAGTGACATAGCACTCTACAGTGACATAGCATTCGGCTACAGCGAACTGAGCTCCACGTTAGGTAAACACTCACTACTCCCATCAACCAGTTCCTTCCAAAGTAGGCACTTTTTCCTTTAGTATTCATGCCAGTTGTGAACACCATATTCTTAACCCAAGCCCCATCACCTGCTGCCCACCGCCTGCTGCTGCTGCTGCTGGGGCCCACCCGCCGCTGCTGCTGGCCAGGTGCCCGAGGGGATGCGGCCGTTAGGGGTCTGCGGGTAAGTGGTTCAGGACACGTGCATGTGGATTAAAACCAATGAGTGCAGGCCGTTCGTGTGTCGCCAGGGGCTGAACGGAAACATGTGCCCAGAGAACTTGCACGATTTCATCGATGTGAACGCGAACGATTTGCACCTTTTCACAATGACGCAACCATCCTACACCTCTCCTCCCCCTTTCACCCCCTCTCCCCCCCTCTTCCGCCTGGTTTCTCTTTCCTCACCTGCACCTCCACCGCCCTGAGAGCCAGCAGCAGCTCTCGGAAGCTCAGCGCACCGTCTCCGTCCAGATCCTGAGAGGATGTGGGGATGACAGGGGTCAAGCGTGTTGAAGGCAAAGGCTCTGGACGTTCGCGGAAATATCCTCGACATGCTTTACAGTGCATTGTCCCGAGTTTGCTTACGCAACACAATTGCATGCCCCTTTAGCACCTTCCTCCTGTGCCCCTTCCCCCTCTCCAGCCCCCCCCTACCATGTTCCTGAACACCACCGCCACCGCCACCCTCAGCTCCTCCTCTCGCAGCTCCGGAACGAGTCGCCGCAGCAGACCCGCCACCTCCCGTGCGTCAAGTCGCCCGCTGCCGTCACGATCAGCCTGGGGAGGTGGGCGGAGAAAGGAGGAATGTGCGCGGTCAGGGGTGGACCCCCTAAGAAGGGCGGATCTGAATGTAGGTACGTATGTGGTAAGCGAACACCTACTAGTGCGTTGGGGCTTTGCTTGTTAAGGAGGGCAAGTAGGACCAGGGCTGTCTGAGAGGGCCAGGGCTGTTGGTCTTCCGCTCACCTATTTTCCAAGACACACACTACTGCCACGCACAGCTGCCATGCGGCTAATTCCTATTAACTCACGCCTCCTGACAACTAACGCACACGCGGCAGGCTCGCTCTGAAACACACGCGTGCACACACCTGGCGGAAAAGCTCAACAGCAGCGGAGGCTGCACCGCCCCTGCCACCTGCACCCGCTAGCTCGTACGACAGCCGCCGCAGCGCCTCGGCCACCTCCGCCGGCATCTCTGCCTGGCCGCCAGCCGCCGCCGCCTCCGCCGCCAGGCCCTCCCGACACACCATCGTGAACTGATCGTACGACACCCGGTCGTTGCCGTACACCCCCAGCATGGCCTGAGGAGGTCGCGGGATAGCGTGCATGGGGCGTGTATTGGGGCGCACGTCATACAATGCATGCAAGGGACAGCGCAGAAGGCAGCGGGTAGCACACAAACCCCCGCACCACAATCCCGCTTTGTCGGCCCCCTCACTTACCCGCAGGTATCCTATCTGCGCCCGGCTGGCCTCCGGCATCACCCGCCGTACAAGTGCCGCCATCTCCCGCCCGTCCAGCTCGCCACTGCGGTCCACGTCAGCTGCGTCGTACAACTGCCGTAACCGAACTCGGTTGGTGCGCAGGAAGGAGTCGAGGCGCTGGGGATGGGGATGGGGATGGAGAAAAAATGAATGAAAATTGAATCAACGGATTGGATGTTAGGGTGTTTAGTGGCGTGTGCGGTATGCAGGTTTCGTTGGACACCCACCCGTGCTAGCTGGCTTGCAGACGCAAATAACAGCCCCTTCCCGTTCTCCCACCACAATTTGGACCTCTCATCACTGCATACGCGCGCGCAAGGGAAAACGCGATGCCTTGACTAACGGTACCTGTAGCCCATAGCGTTTGAACCGTCAAACTCCTTCCCTCCATCCAGCGTTCATCCCGCACATCCCTCGTCCACCCTCCTTGGCCCATACCTTGAAGAACTGGTAGGCATCCGGCCTAAACTCCACAACCGCCTCGCGGCCTCCAACCAACGCCAACCGACCCAACGGCTGAGGCCACCAGGAAGGCGAAGAGCCGCTGCCGACCCGTGGGTCATCGCGCCATGAAGGCGGCTGCTGGCTGTAGACTATGCGGCTGATTGGATCCAGCAGGACATCCCGATCACCCCACCTGACAGGGAAGAAGGGAGGACGGGGAGAATAGGAAGGGAAAGGGCATCCCGGGGGAGATGGGGTGTCATGTTGTGCGGCCGGGACGGGGTTGGAGGCAAGGAACAAGGAGAAGCCTGGTTGGGGGACTTGGAGAGGTGCATGAACGAGGCAAAAGTCCCTTTAAAGTACCTTCCAGTACGGTGGTGGTAGTGTCCTGCCTTACCTGTACGACTCCAGACGCCATACGGAGGGTACGTCATACGCCCCGCCGCCGCCAGCATCCCTTCCCCCTCCGACTGCCGTACTGCTGCTGCCCCCATAGTACGGCGCTCCTGCGGCTCCCCCTGCTGGTGCCATACCAGCGCCGCCCCAGCCAATGGCGTGGGTGCCGTGATTGCTGCGCAGGTCTGCAGCGTGCAGGGCGCGAAGTAGCTCCGCAAATGTGACCTAGGGGGTAGAGGTGGGGCAGGGGGAGGAGGAAGGGGAGGGGCATGCGTTTTACTCATCACCGGGTCCCATGCCGTACGTCAGTTGGAAATGCAGTACGCCACCACACTCCCACACGCCACAACTCATCCAGTCCTTAGGTCCGACCTGGGTATTTCCCCTCGCTTAACCCGCCTGAACACCCCACCCCCCACTCACCTCCCCCACGCCTTCCACGTCGTACATCAACACCTGGGCCATCAGCGCCCGCACTTCCTCGCCGCTCAACCTTTGCTGCTGCTGCTGCTGGGAGTACGGCTGCCGTGCACCTCCCATGTTGCTAGCAGCGGCAGCAGTAGCCCGGGCGTAGAAGCGCTTGAGGAAGGCAGCTAGACCGTCATAGTCGAGGCGGCCGGAGCGGTGCGGGTCGAGCGAGTCGAACAGCGAGCGAGCCAGGTCCTGCAGCACCGCACGTGTACAAGGGTGTAAGGAAAAGGAAGTATGAAAGCCTACCTACGCCGCTGAGGATTACGACTGGAGGGCATTGGTCCAAACGAATCTCCTGCCGCCAGGGGTACGGTACCACAGGGCGTTCCCCTGTGTATATGCCACCTCCTCTCACTCTCCTTCCCTTCCCCCCACCGCCGTAAACTGGGGGGCACTGCCACCCCGCCCCAATCCGCCTCACCATGTTGTCTCGCAGCAGGCGTGAGACGCGGTCCAGCACCGCCGCGTCTCCACCTCCTGCTACTCCCCTGCTGCTGCTGGCCCCACCTCCGCCCCCTGCTGCCCCGCCGCTGAGCAGCGCCACCACCCGCGCTGCCGCCCCCAGCAGCTCCCGCTGCGTGATCACTCCGTCAGCGTCTTCGTCCATCACAACCTGCATGCACACATTCCAGATGTGTGTCTTACAGAAAACTCGCCCCGAGTAGGAAGGTGCTGTGACTCTCGGAAGATGAAAGTCCCTATGGAGGACGCCATGAGATAAGGAAATGTACATATGTCTATGTAGAGTTGTAGACATACATGAAGGGATAAGGAGAGGGAAAAGGCTAAGCTATCATAGCAGAGGAGAACTACCACCGCGTCTTAATCAAGCCCCAACCCTCAGACACGCTGTCTCGGCACACATGTCTGGCCTTACAGCCTTGCAGGAACGACCCATGGGTCGCCTTCACATTCATTCCAGCTTACCGCCAGGAACCTGATCTGCGCGTTGGTGGCTGCCGGCATGACCCGCCGAACCAGCGCCGCCAGCTCCGTACGGTCCAGGTGCCCCTTGGTGCCCCTGTCGTACTCGGAGAAGAGCTGGGAGACCTTGAGCTGGGAGGACTGTGGAGGGGAGGGGAGGGGAGGAAGAGGATAAGGAAAAATGGGGGAGGGGGCGTCGAAATGAAAGAAGGATGCGGGCCTCTTTGCGCCAAGGCATGTGGGAGTTGATCAGGACGTAACAGTCGGTTAGGGTTACGGTGGTCGCGGGAAACCCAGCCCGCCTAATGGGCCTGTAGCCGTCTTCCCCTCTCAAATTAACCCAACACTATCTCATGCCCAGCTCCCCTGTAAACACCCGCCTCTCAATCACCCACCCCTCTCCTTCACCCCCCTTCCCCCCACCTTGAGGTGCTGGTCCAGGGCTCTGAAGAAGGACAGCGCCGCGGAATCATCCAGCGGCTGCAGGGTGTCACCAACCTGGCAGTGGGGTGGGGTGGGGTACATTAAGGGAGGGAGGAAGGTGGAGGAGAGGGCGAAGGACGAAGGCGGAAGTGAAAATGGTTGGGGTGGAGGGTGGGAAAGTGAGAGAGGCATGAGCAGTACGTCGAGCATGTTGGGGTCGGATCCTACACGCCTGAGGGCTCTGGCAGCGCAAAGCGGGTGATTCGCCGTCCTTACCAGTCAACCAACCAGCGTGGTCAGCGCAAGTGCCCGCTCGCCCCTTCTTCGCCACAACCTGGCCACCTCTACCTCCCCATTCAACACGTTGGGTATTCTTCTTTTCCTCCTCCTGTCCCCCCCCTCCCTCCCCTCACCTTGCGTCCCACAAGCGGCGGCCACTGGTCGGCTGAGGCGACCTCGCCGTACACCAGACCCGTGGCGGGGTCCAGCAGGTAGGGGGTGCCCCTGGGGATGGAGGGTTGCAGCGTGTGTTTAAGTGTCGACATGGACGCGGTGGTTACGGAGCTGGGACTTGCCCTTTGCCATATCATTGTCTACCATGCCATGCATGTCCCAACACGCCACATCGTGCCCTCCTTTTGTCCCTAAGAACCCCTGTACCCGGCCTCCTCACCTGTGCCGCCACTCATGTAGCTCCCACTCTGCCGTGTAGGCCGCGGGGTTGCCGCTGCCGCCACCTCCCACCCCACCCACTCGAAAGGACTGCGGGGAATGTATCAGCGCCTGAGCTGCCTGCTGCTGCTGCACCTGCTGCTGCTGGAAGGGCGATGGCGGCAGCTGCTGCTGCTGCTGGTTGGGGCTGTAGTAGGATCCATCTGGCTGGTAGCCAGGTCGTAGGGGGCCGGTGCTGGTGTTGTTGATGCTGGTGTTGTTGTTGTAGGGGTTGATGTTGTTGTTAGCAGCAGCAGCGGGGGGGTAGGGTTGGGGTGCTGTCCCGGGTGGGGCGGGGGAGGGGCTGAAGGAGCGGCTGTAGGTGACACCGCGGGGTCCCCGGGCCTTGTGGAGGGGAAAGATAGGGGACGCGGTGGGAGGGCAGGGTTAGAAAGGGGGGGATCCGGGAAGTGCATCGCCCCACCTTGTTCCCTACAAACCTTTCATCGTCACCCATGCCAGTTAGTTGTTTCCTCACTCATGCCTTGCACAAATCCCACTACTTCCGCCACGGACCTGGATTCTTTACTACCCCCCCACGCACTCCCTCCCTTTCTCCCCTCCTTACCCTCAACGCATGCAGTCCAACCATGACCTCGGTGAAGCCCAGACTGCCGCCCCCCTCCAGATCCAGAGATCCCAGGTACGAAAGCACGTACTGCAGCTGCCGGGGTGCCAGATCAGGCAACACGGCGCGCAGGAAGCGGGAGAGCTCGGGCAGGTCCAGCGTGCCGTTGCTGAGGGATGGAAGGTGGGGAGAACGGAGGAAGGGGGCGACGATGGTGAAGGTGGCGGCCATATACCGTATGGGTTCTTGAACAGCTCCTAAACGAGTTAGGTGCCGAACACCTATTTCATTCTTCCATCCTGTATCAAGCGGAACGATGCTAACCGAACGGCATCCCTGGCGAACTTTCCCGAAACCTTTAACCCCCTTACCCGTTCTTATCCGCCTGCACAAACTTCCGCTTCGCCTCGGCAGGATTCTCCGCCAACCGAACTGAGATCTCATCCAGTACGGCAAGCACATCAGGCGGGAAACTGAAACCATTGAGGTCGTTACTGGCGCCTCCGCCTCCACCTCCGACCACTCCTGACAGTTGCTGGGTGGCCTTCAACGAATCCCGCGCGGCTGTAACGAACTCCTGGTACGACACCTGGCCGTCCCCGTTGGCATCCATCATGGCCTGATCAGGCAATGGAGGGATGGGTGGCGGAGGTAGTAAGAGGAGGCCGTGCGGGTGTTGCGCAACGGGGGAGGTAAGTGGAGCGGGACTGGGAGGTTAACATCGGGTGTCAGCGTATCCTGAAACATGCGCGTTAATAAGGCGCAAAGACATAATCTAAACCGACCACCTCTATCCATGTCTTCCGCTCCTCCCCTCACCTGCAGGTAGTGTCACTTCTCCTCCACCCCCCTTCTCAACTCTTCATGCTAACCCCCCTCCCCCTCCCAGGTCCCTTCCTCCCCCCTCCCCCCTCCCTCACCAGCAGGTAGTGCAGCTCCGCGCGGGTCACCTCGGGCAGCATGTCCCGCACCAGCCGACCCAGCTCGGAGGGACGCAGTGAGCCGCTGTGGTCGCTGTCGTACATGTTGAAAAGCTGAGGGGAGGAGGAGGAGGAGGAAGAGGGGTGAGGGGGTGGGGGGGCGGGGGGTTAGGGAATAGTAGGGGGAGGCAAGGAGGAAACGGGGAATAGCTTGGGCTTTGTCGAACACATGCCGAGCAATTGGAAATGGAAGGTGGGGAAGTTAATCCGGAAGAGTGCGGGTTGGGTTTCAGCCCTGGCCCATGCACGAGTTCCATAACACAAGCCCCCAAATCACCGCCGTCCCCGGAACACACACACACACACGCACGCATTCCGTCATGCTCAGACCCGTACCTCCTGCAGCTTGACCTTGTTGCTCCTGAGGTAGGTGTCCACTCGGGTCCACAGCTCGTTGGGGCGCAGCTGGGCGGCTCGGGTAACACGGCCGTCCTGGGGGAGGAAGGTGTAAATGCGTGATGGTGAGGGTGGATGGCATAAATTGGCATTAACAGGGAACCTATTCGTCTCAAAACAACTTGCGTTACAAACCGCCCAGGAACACTGCCCCGAAGCCCCCTGCCCTAACCCCACCTTAACCCCATGGTTCATTTCCCTACTTCCGCCCCGCCCCATGCCGCCCTCCCCAACCCACCACCAGCCGCCCCAGCAGCTGCGGCCAGCTGCGGCCATCCGGGCAGCAGTACACGCGCTGCGTGCGGGGATCCAGCAGCAGCTGCTGGCCGTTGTACGGCAACTCCTGTGTCGGGCATGGTTGCATGTGTGGGGTCAGAATGTGCAGATGTGCAAATATATGTGTACATGTGCGGTTTTGTAGGGTTCTGCATGTGTGTTGGTAATGTTGTTCCGGAGGAGCAGAACAATTCCTGGGAGGCGTTGTAAAGTATATACAATACAGATACAATACATAAGGATATAGGTACATCCTCCGAGGCTACAACCTCTTGTCCAACTCCTCAGTTTCGCTAATCGTAGGCAAGTAACCCCAGATTACCCAACAAACGACAAGTCGACAACACCACCCCCACCCCATGCCAGCCCCTCACCTGCAGCACCCACTCCAGGTCTCCCGGGTCCTCATAGCTCCGAGACGCCGCACGACTCAAACCGCCACCCATACCGCCTCCCCCATTTGATCCGGACCCTGCCTGACTGCCGTAGATGTTGGTGTTGGCCGCCGCTGGCCGGCTGGCAGCAATCTGGGGCTGCTGGGTAAGGAAGGTACCGCGAATGACCTCCTCGCGACCCGTGGGTCGGCTGCAAAAAGAGATTCGGATGAAAAGTACCAGAGAGTATGAATGGGAAAAAAGGAAGGGTCCGTAAGGATTGGCACATGGGGAAAAGGAAGGGGGGTCAAAGGAAGATAGCGCGCGGTTTGTATGGAAACCTGTTCTTAGGGACAAATCACTGTCGGCTAAAGACTGACCCCAACTGCCCACCCACCTGCTCCTCATGTCCACAGCCCGCATGGCGATACAGAACTCCCGGTACGACAAACAGCCGTCTCCATCCATGTCGTACGCATGCAGGTGCGCCATCACATAGCGCAGCTGCTGCGGCCCCAGCGGCGGGGAAATGACCCCTGGGTCGCGGAGCAGGGCGGCCAGCTCCCGGGGCTCCAGCAGGCCGTTGCGGTTGACGTCGAAGCGAACAAACGCGGCACGCATGTCGGCCTGTGGGCAAACGTAATTACGACTTAATGCGTACAGACTTACTAAGTCGTATTGAAGTCTAGTTAAGGTGTACCATTCGTCTGTGCTCTCCTCTTGTCATCTAGCCCGAGTAACTTCTGCGCCCCTCCCTCCCGCCCCCTTGTCACACGGTTCGTTAATCGTTTCCTCTTTACCCCCATTAAGCCATAACCCACCCCTGAGTTGCGGATGTGGTCTGACACCGCCTGCAGTGCCGTGCACGCCTCCTGGGTTCGCTCCCGGGTCGCCTGCTCCTCGGCGCGGCAGCTGCGGGCGGCCTGGGGGGCATTGGGGTGGTGAGAGGTGATGGTGAGGGGGGTGGGAGAAGGGGAAAGGGAGGGTGCGGGGCGGGCAGGCAGGGAGAGGTGAGGGTGCATAGCAAGGCTCTCCCCTTCTCGAACCAGCAGAAGCCCTAACCAAGCGCTCCAACCGCGCTCTTCCCCCGCACCTCCAGGAACTCGTCATAGGTGATGCAGCCGTCCTGGTTGCGATCCACCATCACCTGGGGGAAAGGGAGGAAGGAGAAGGGAGGGGGGTGAAGAGGAAAAGAGATGAGGGAGGTGTGAGGTGGTGCTGGTGAGAAGCAGTAAATCTGTGGGGAGCGGGTGTCGCCATAACGACAAAAAGGTTCCCAAACCAACCGTTGCAAATTATGGCATGAGAATGCTAATCAAACCCCTATACCGCTTCCTCCCCCCCATCCCCTCCTCCCTCCCCCCCCCCTCACCTGCAGGTACTTGACGTCCCCCGCGCTGACCTGCCCCCCCGGCAGGAAGTGCGCCACCAGCCGCCCCAGCTCCTCGGGGTTCAGCCAGCCCTTGGAGCCGCCATCGAAGTGGGAGAACACCTTTGGAACGGGTGAGAAGAGGAGGAGGAGGATGAGAGGGAGGGGGGGGGACAAGAGGGTTCAGCTTGATGAGGGAAGTCGGGAAAGGGAGGAGGAAGGAACGCTACCGGCATCAGTGATGATGGAAATAGGACGGGGAGCACATGACAGGATGGAATGCTGAGAGGAAAACACACAGTTAAACACAGTCAGTCGCTTAGCTCCTTCTCCGCCCTGTCCAGGGGCAACCCTCCCCCTCCTGCCCCCCCCCTCTCACCTCCTTGCACCTCATGCGGTGCTGCTTGAGGTAGGCGTCCAGCGTCTCAAACAGGGCAGAGGCCAGGGTGCGCTCCTGGCAGGGGGGGAGGTAAAGAGGAAACAACTAACTGACTGAGGGATAAGGCGTCAACATGGGTTGCAACATGTGAGCCAGCCCGACCCGCAGGAGGGGATGGGAGGGGAAGAATGAACGCAGAGTGCAGCAGCTGGAGACCCAAAAAGGACGATGATACGGGGATGGGAGGAAAGCGGTCGGCGTGGAACGAGGGAAATGGCATGTCCTCTTCTCTCACCTCCGCCTAAGCAGGTATGCATGCACTTCTTCCCTACGTCCCACATCAAACCCGCTCTTCCCCACCTGCAGCACCACCGTTCCATCCCGGCGCGCGCCCACCAGCCGGGGCCAGCCGCCGGCCTGACAGGAGTTGGCAGGGGAGAGGGAGGGAGCATGAATGGAGAGGGGTTTGGGGACATGGCGAGGGGTGTGGAAAGGAAGGCGAAGGGAGGGAGGAGGAAGGGGCTCAGTGAGCGTGCGGGGCACCAGCCCCACCCTATCTCACCCCCCATCCTGCCCCCGCCCCAACCAAGACACCGCCAGAACGCACACTGCATTTGTTTTCTTAACACACACGCCTCCCTTGTGCCGCCCCTCCGCCCCACCCTCCCCCCTCTCCACCTCCCCTCACCGTGTCCTGGCGGTACACCCTGTTGGTGTGCGGGTCCACCAGCAGCACCTCGCCCCGCCAGGACATCTCCTCCAGCCGCCAGGCGTCACTGGGAGAGGGGAGGGGAGAAGGGGGAGGAAAACATAGATAAATGCATCAACGGAGTCCCGATCCTTATTCCTGACTCATGCAGTGAGCGCCAGGGGAGCCAGGGAGAAAGAAGGTTGGGAAGGGATACCTCGGGACCGTGGAAAGTTGTAACGTGCGTCAACGAGTTATCTATCCACCCCCACCCCCTTCCGTCTGAGTCAGCTGCGCGCTTCCCAAACCCTTACCCCCACCCTGCTCCTCTCCCTCAACCTCCCCTTCTTACCCTTCAAACGTAACGCGGTGGGGGCTGGTGGCGGACCGCCTCAGTCCCCCCTGCACCTGACCCGGCTGGCCCTGCGAGCCGCCCCCTGGGGGGGATGAGCCCAGCGGCTGCTGCTGCTGCTGGTGACCCATGGGTCCGCCCGCTGCTGCCATGGCCCCCTGCCCGCCCTGCTGCTGCTGCTCTAGTGCCGCTAGCTGCGGCAGGCGCATGAAGCGAGCCAGCATGAGCCAGCTGATGAGACCGCTTTGGTCGATATCCTGGAGGGAGGGAGGTGAGGGGGATGGGGATTGTGTGGGTACAGAAAAAAACGACTATGGTGACTAGGCAAGCAAACCCGCCGACCACCGAGCCGGTGGGGGAGCGGCGCAGCGTATGCTGTATACAGTGCTACGTGATGTAGGTACGGGGATGGAAGAACACATCATACCCCAACCTATGCCAACTCGGAGGTCGTTGAGGAACAGGGAAATCCGCCGTACGGTACCTGCGCGTACAAGTACGACAGTATGGCCCGTCTCTGCGCCTCTGTCAGGCCGGGTACCAGGCGGCCTAGGAAGGTGGCGAACTCGGGGAAGGTGAGGTGACCGCGGCGGGAGGTATCGGCGGCCTGGAAGTGCTGGTAGGCCACCACCTGGGGAGGGAAGGGAGCAAGCGGAGGGAGAGAGGATGGAACTGAAAAAGAGAGATGAGGTATTGTAAGGGGATGTCCAAAGCACACGGTGTTATCAGCGTGAGTAGGCGTGAGCATCAAAGTGTGAGAGCACGGGCGCATCCCTACGAGCCTCACAGGTCGCTGCTGCTGCATGGCACACATGCTCTTACCACAACCGCAACACCCCCTTCCCGACTCCCCTCCCCTCCCCTCCCCCACCGAGTACTGCGTCAGGTAGGCTTGCAAGTGGTCCAGCGATGCCTTCATGGCGGGGTCGCGACCCGCAGCACCTCCTCCCGCCGCTCCTGGGCATGCAGGGGTGGGGGACCGGTGGGGAGCGGTTAGGCCGGCAGCAGACAGGTCCCCCAGCAGCTCAGTGGGCACACATGCTGGCCAGCTATTGTTCGTTATAACCACACGATATCAACTTTCTCTCCTGTACTCACCCAGTGTCGCCTAAACCCATCTTCTTCCTCACTACCCATTCCTGCCCTTTACGTACTACCGCTCCCCCATAACAACCCTACCCGCTGCTGCTGCCTTCTCCGCCGCCAGACACTCCCGCGCCACACCCATCATCTCCTCAAAGCTGATACCGCCGTCGCCGTTGACGTCTAGCAGCGCCTGTAGGGTGGGTAGGCGAGGTGGGTGGCGCCCAGACAGGGGGAGGGGGAGCGCACAGGCGTTGGGGACTTCCCAACGCTGTCCCTATTGCAGCTGTCTCTCGCCACACCCAGGCAGTACCGGTGCTTCCTCCACTATCCTCGGCCCCAACCCTTACCATGCAAAGCGCAGCGCCATCACTCCTTCTGCTTGACGCACCCAACACACACACACGTGTGTGACAATCACAGTATGTTCCTACTCGCGGCCAGTTTTCTTAACACACACACGTTCCTACTCGCGGCCAGTTTTCTAAACACACACGTGGCCAGTTTCCTTAACACACGTTACCCCTTGTCACCCCCGCATTCCCCCTCCTCCTCCCCTCACCTGGAAGTAGTGCAGCTGTCCCTCGCTGAAGCCCGGCAGTATGGCCGCCACCAGCTGCCGCAGCTCCCCGCCGTCCAGCTGGCCCGAGTGGTCGGCGTCGAAGGAATCGAACACGTCACGAAACTTCATCCTGGGGGGGGGATGGGGGGGGTTGGGGTGGCGAAGAAGTGATAAAGTGAAGCACTGGGTGGGGAGAAGAAGGGACGCGGCATGCGGATAAGGCAGAGGTGGGTGGTGGTGGTGGGGGCTAGGGTGAAAAGGCATCACAAGGCAAGGCAACAGAGTACGGCATGTGTAGGAAAGGATTGTGGTCCTTGTGAGGGTGGCGGCCAGGGTACGGGGCCCCGCCCACCTGTTGGCTTTGAGGTATGCATCCAGCGCGGCGAACAGCCCTCCGTCGTCCCGCCGCTGCATCATGCGTAGCACTCCGGCGCCGTCCGTCACACCCACCACCTGCGGAGGTGGAGGAGAGAGAGAGAAACGAGGCGTATGAGGACATTGCATTGTCCGGAATAAGGACTGAGACGTCGTTATCATGGCTGAAACCCAACTCCGCCCGGCCCCAGCCCGCCCCCACCTGCGGCCACTCCCCCGCCGCCACCTCCGCATACACAAGTCCCGTGGCTGGGTCCCGCTTGAGGGTGCGGCCGCTGTTTGGATCGAACACGTCCTCCAACACCCACTCGGCGCCGCCTGGGGGTTGGGAATGGGAAAGGGGCGGGGAAACGGGGGAGGCCGGTTGGGTTTTGGATGGGCAGAATGGTGCACACCCACCCCTGGGCTTGCCAGTTTCCTTCACAGGATGGTATCTCTCCATGTTGTCCCTCCCTCCTTCCCTTCCCTTCCCTTCCCTTCCCTCTCCCCTCCCCTCCAGCCCTACCAGGTTGCGCCGCAATAGATATCTGCCGTGACGACGACGTCCTGAGCTGCAGCTGCTCGGCAGCCGCTTGCTGTTGTGCCTGTACCTGCTGCTGCTGTGCTGTCCCCAGCGCAAACAGCAGTTCGGGGAAACTGACGCTGCCGTCTCCGTCGGCATGCAACCTAGGGGGCCGGAGAGGGTGGGAGAAAGGAACCACCTGGTTGGAGTTAAGTACAGCATGGGTGCATCCAGCTGCGTTCCTACAATACCAGCTTCCCTTCATTCCCTGCTCACTGCGAATGCTCCTGTTCCATTGGCACTACCGGTGCGGTCGCGACTCCCTTCCTAGCCCCGCACCCCGACCCACTCGTGCATGTGCATAATCAGCCACCGCAGCTGCTCCTCCCCCAGCTCCGGAACCAGAGCCGCAAAAAACCTCGCCAGCTCCATGGGCTCAAGTCGGCCGTTGCGGTTGATGTCGTACCGCTCGAAGGCGGAGCGGGCGGCCTCGGGACTGCCGCGCAGGGCGGCGGTGACACGGCGCAGGAGAGCCTGAGGAGGAGGGGGGTTTTACCGGTAGAGGGAGGAAGGGAGTAAGTGGCGTCCATCCCTTCCCCTTCCCTCCTCGCCAAGCTCCTCGTTTCCTTCGCTTTATCCGTGCAGTGCCATTCATTCCGTAGCTGCACCACCACCGCCCTACATCCGCACTCCCAACACAGCCCATTCACTCTTCCCCCTGCCCCGCCCCTTCCCTCTCGCCTCCCCCAAAGACTCACATTCACTTCCTGCCTCGCCGCTGTCCCCGCTCCTTCGTCCCCCTCCGCCGGACCCATCCTGCGAGCCGCCTCCAGTGCCGCCTTGGCCCCATTCAGGAACTCCTCCTTGGATACGCGCCCGTCGCCACTGGTGTCCAGCGTGGCCTGGCAGGGAGGAGGACAAAGGGTAAGGGGCGGTGTGGGGCAGGGAGGAGGACAAAGGGTAAGGGGGGGTGTGGGGCAGGAAGAAGGACAAAGGGCAAAGGGCAAAGGGAGGAGAGGAGGATATCGAGGCTGAGAAGGGCATGGAACAGGGGTGTCGCATCTATCCCCTGAACATCCGCATGTCATGGCTTTGCTCTCCTCTCCTCGCCCTGCCATGCAAGCCTGCCGGTACTCCACCCCGCCGTACAAGGTGGGCGCCGTACAACCCCCCCACCCCGCCCCACCATGATATACTTGACGTCCGCCGCCGTCACCCCCTCCACCAGCGCCCCCACCAGCTGCCCCAGCTCCCCGAGCTCCAGCGTGCCGCTGCTGTCCGCATCGTAGCTGTCGTACAGCTGCCCGAACCGCACCCGGTTCTCCCGCAGGTAGCGATCCAGGCTGGAGAACAGCTCCGAAGCCACATTGCGGCGCCGGAACACCACGCGGTTATCCTGCATGTGTTGTTTATGAAAAAGAGCAGGACACAAGGAGAGCCCAGCGTTGGGTTCCGTGGTTTTGGTGCCTAGTTAACGGGCTTGCGGTGTCCGCTGTTACATGCTTACACCCACGAGTTTACTCCGTTTCCCCTTCCACGGCCCGCCTTCCACCCCACCCCACCCCTTTCCATGTCGCCCTGCTTCATACCACCACCCTTCCTCCCGCTCCTCCTCACCTGCCACTTGCCGACGAGCACCGGGTATTGCTGCTCCTCTCCTCCCGCCCCTCCTCCCCCTGTTGCTGCTGCCCCCCAGGTATACACCGCCCCGCTCCGCCGGTCCCACAGGTAGCTGCGCCCCTCCCAGCTCAGCGGCTCCAAACCGCGTCCCCCTCCCAGGGCCACCACCACTGGCCCGCCGCCTGCCGCTGTAGCAGCAGCGACATTAACTGCTTGTGGGTAGGAGGAGGTCGAGGAGAAGGACGCGGCGCGGGAGGTAGCAGCACTGCCGGCGCCACCGCCGCCGCTGCCGTACCTGGTAGCGGCGGCGGCGCTGGCGCCGGTTGTGTTGGTGATGACGTAGGCGGCGGAGCTGCCACCGCTTGAGGGTCGGCCTAGTGGGGGTTCGCGAGAGGGATGGGGCAAAATGAGCTGCGGCGAAACGCTGAATGGAGGGCGGGGTAGTGCGATGGAAAGACGGACTCGGGCATGGCAGGAGGAGTGAGGAAGAGGGAATAGGGAGGACTAAGCACGAACAACAGCGTGTGCTTGCCAACACCGCACGTGCAGCATGATGTGTGCCGCAGATGCATGAGCTTGTGTGTAGGTATGCGTGATCGGGATGGGCGTTACAGGGATGCGACTGCCCCAAAGCCCCACAGCATCTCACCCGCTGCTGACAGGCTGGCCATGGAGTCGCGGACTAGTCGTGGGTCCTCCCGGACATCCGGAGGCAGCGGCAGCCGCCCGCTGGCGCTGCCGTTGACGTTGCTCGCGCTGTCAGCCACACCGGCACCGCCAGCAGCTGTGAAGCTGCCGTTGCCGCCAAGGTTGCCGCTAGCGGTCCGAGATCCGAGGTACGACATCCCAAGGCCCCGTTTGAAAAGAGGCTGCTACAGCTGTCCGTTTGTTGCAGCTGCTGCTGGTGCGATCCAGATGCTAGGTTGGACCTGAAGTGAGGGTGACCGTAAAGATTAATTGATGCTGCCGGCGAGGCTATTGCGTACTGGGCACGCCTGCTACTGGGCAACTGTCGACTGTCGCCTGCAGTAGTAGTATCGCCGATATGCGTAGTTGTATGTTGTTTGGAACCGTTCACAATAGGGAGCGGTTGTCATGTGCCATCTTACAAGGGCTTTGTAACGGCGAATTGTAACATTGCTTGCAGGCGAAACCCCCGCGACTACGGATTCCAGATGCAGTCCACAGGATAAATGCTCCGTTAGTTTATATGCAAGTATACACACCTACTTACGATACATCGGCTAGCTCAATCAGCGGCCGGTGCTGCAAGACATGCCAAGCAGTAACCGCCCTGGAAGATGGTTAAATTTACGCGGTTGCTTCATTGTATGTATACGGTAAGTTCACTACGCAAACCATTTGTTGGTGTTGTGGAAAGCGCTTGCGAAATACCAAGTCAAACGTGTCAGCTATACAAGAAGCGTCCACCTTTCTGGTTAAACCCAACAGGTCACAGTGTCAAACCGCAATAGGTATGTTCAATACATAAGTCTAGCGTCAACACTCCTGCTGCTCTCCTCTTTGTTTGCGCAGCGTCGTACTGTACCATTGTTACGCTAGCACCTAGCAGGATTGTAATCCAACCACAATCCACAAACAGCGCACCATCTACGTATACTTAAGGCCAGCCGCATTTTTGTCTTTGGTAGCCATCTTGGTATAATGCAATATGCAACCCGGCTACCTTTGCATCAGCTGCAAGCATCGAAGTCCACCAATAACGAAACACTGCCATTCCCATCACTACCAACCACGGTATTGCTCCACTCACTTTCCATGTCCAAAAATAGCCCCGTGTCGCTTAACGTCACACTCGCACATGCGCTCGCTGTACTTCCATGCCTGTTCGCAGCGCAAACGTAAGCATCCTCGAGCGGAACCTCCGCACCCACCACCCCAGCAGCCACCACCCGCACCGACACGCGGTACTTGCCGTTGGCCGGTGGCTGATTCAGGTAGCATGAGTACGGCACGAACAGCATCCTTGCCGTGGTGCTGCTGCGCCTACCGCTGGCTCCGCTTCCGACTTCTGCTGGCTCTCCTTTCCCACGAGCTGTTGCTGCTGCTGAAGTTGAGGCCACCTCTTCTCCTGCTGATGCTCCTGATACCACTTGTGCTCCTGCTGCCTGTACTGCCGTTTCCACTCCTCCTCCTCCTCCTCCCGATCCTGCCGCAGCTGCCCCCAGCTCGCACACCAGGCGGTACTTCCGGCCCAGCAGCCGCTCCACACTGCCCACCCGGCCCGCAGCCAGCAGCTCACGAATCTTGCCGTATGTAAGGAAAAGATACCGATACAATGCCGTACATATAGGCGGGTTGAAACAGAGGGGAATGAAGGGTTCAGAGGAGACTCGCGGGAAGGGTTGGGAGCAGGAAGGAGAGCACCCTAAGTCAGTCGACTGCTGCCAACAGTTGCCATCAAACAAGGAATTTAAAGGCAGAGAAAAGATGACTTATGCCACCCTGGAACGCCCTCTTACCCGAGATGAAGATACGCAAGAACCGCCGCCTTGCTCCTCCTCCTGCTGCTGCTGCTCCTCTTGTCGTCCCTCCTCCTGCCCAGCAATGCTACTGCCGGCGCTACTACCGCTGCTACTGCCGCCGGCAACGGAGCTACCATTGGCCAGGCAGTTAGCGGCGCCCTCTTCCTCCCGGTTGTCAGGCAACGCAACAAGATCCACGATCTGGACCCGCATGCCGTAAAGCTGACCCAACCGTACTAGGGCCTCTGCGTCGCCAGCCGCCTTGTAACCTAAACCACACATGCGCAAGCGTTCAGAGGACCGGTATTGAAGTACAGCTAAGGCACATGGGGTGATGACAGGCCTCGAGGCCTGTGATGGTGTTACCGGGCTAGTCAACACCAGCGTCATAATGGGGAGAAGGCGCACACCAATGAACTACGAGGAGTGCAACCTACCTCCGCTTTGCAATACCCACTCCACCCGCCACCCCCACGCAGTAGGAACCGCCACTACCTTGCCCTCACTAGCCCGCTAACCCCCTGACCCCACGGGCTCACCCGCCTCTCCCAACCACTGACCCAGGGGTCACGCTCCCACCACCTCCACCCGCCCCCCATCCGCTCCCCAGCCCCACCCACCGAAGCGGTAGTTGCGCCCCGCCACCACCCCCGCAGCGCCTAGCTCCCTCGCCAGCAGCCCAACGAACTGCTCGGGGGACATGGAGCGGATCTGGGAGAAGGGCAGCGTGCGCAGCCGCGGCAGTCGGGGCGGCAGTGCAGTGTCGTGTTGCGCCGACTGGGGTGATGACGTGCAGCGAGCAGACGCAGGAGACGCAACTGAGGTTGCTTTTGCAACGGGTGGCGTATTCGTACTCAAGCAGTGGCTACTCCTGAAGGTGCTTCCAATATTGCTGTTGCTTCCGCTTATGCTGCCACCACACTTCTCGCCGTCAACACCAATACGACTGCTGCTGTTGGCACCTGAATTCGACCGTGTACGACAAGCCTGCTGCTGTTCATGCTCTCCCGCTGCCGCTGCTGCCGTACTTGTCGTACTCGTACAACATGCCTCACTACTACTCAGCCCCGCCCCACAGCTCTTCTTCCCCCAGCTAGCCAGCACTCGGGCTCTGTCCTGCGGCGCCGTTAGCGGCAGTCGGCGCGGCCATCCGAGCACCTCTGCCATTCCGCTGAACGATAACAACACCACATCGCCAACAGTACTGCTGCCCCCGTTGCTGCCATACCCGCCATCGGCGCCGCTGACCTTGCCATGGACCTCGTCACTGGCAGCAGCAACACTGCCGTACGAACCGCTGCTACTGCTGCTACAGCTACAGTTGCAGCTCCTGCCGTCGTTACTTGTGCTATAGCTGCTACTTTCGACACTTAGTGGACGAGCAGTGACAGCAGCACCTGCGCTTGCACTAGAAGCAGCAGGGGGATGTACGGCAGTAGCGGCAATATCCCTGGCTAGCCCCTCCGCTGCCTGCGCTAGCGCTCTGTGCCCCCGGTGGAGCGCATCAAACTTGCCCAGGGCCACTACCGAACCTGAAGAGGTGGAGAGAAGGGGCGGGGATAATGGGAAGAAAGGGGTGGTACCGGTATTGTAACTGAGCCGCGATTCAAGGTGTTAGGCATAAGGCCCCCAACTCCAGCACGCAATGCTCCTAGATGAAGAACTTTTGAGCCAGGCCATTCCCCTAACCAACTAATGAACCAACCAACCAACCACCGACCAACCAACCAGATCTCACCGGGTCGTCTGAGCGGAGTGCGCCAGTTGTCAGGTGTCATATCCTCCACTACCAGGTGGTGGTCTGCGGTTTGAGAGCTGGATGCGTAGGAATTCTGGCTTTGCCGCGGCTGCTGCGGTAGCGATGGCAGTGCTAGAGTTGCAGCAGTGTTGCTGTTGGAGTGGCGTCTGCCGCTGCTGCTGCTACTGCTCGACCCACTTTTGTCGTTGCTACTGCTACTGCTGCCGTTGTTGCATGCACTGCTCTTACAGCCGTGGGATGTACTGCTGTGGTGGTGGCTGTGACTGAGACAGCTACTAGTGCTGGCGCTGCTAGTGCAGCTGTGAACAATGCTACTGCTTACAGCGGTGCTGGGCTTGCTGATGTTGTGCGTGCTGTTGCTCTTGTCGCTGCCGCTGATGCTGCTCCGTGGCGCACTAGACAAGACCCTAGCAGCATTGCAGACGTTGAGGGTGGCAGTAGCGCTTGCGGGCAATTCGCCTGTAATGTGCAGCCATGGGTGTTGGGAACCGTTATGGGTATGGAGTGGCCGAAGGTCAAGTGCGATGGATTCCACCTTTACCATGAGCCCATGCTGTCCACGATAAAAGGGACAACGGGGCCTGCTTACGCTTAACAAGCAAGATGCGTGCCCGCGGATGCGCATGCCAACTACTGCTGAATCCGACCATAACCAGGCGGATCAAGACTCACCTGCCATATCACGCGATATTCGGAGATCCCCATTGCATACTGCATTTGGATGGGCCTTTCTACGCCCCGAAAAAGGCACTTCGGGTAAGGATTGGCTTGACCACTGTGGGGAGTTGAGCCGCCGTGAGGCTCCCAGCGATACGCAGCGCCCAAATAGCATCCGTATTTTTAGAGCTGTATGCCACACAAGTAAACAAGGGTGTAAAAGTTATGTGGGTCGATTGCGATGGTTCGGGAAACGCGTGCAACCAACGGAAATCGTCTCGCGTATACCTAGATACGCAAAACAGGACACACCAGTTGGAATACGTTATGCACCACGTGCAAAACAGTTCCTTCCCAAACCTGATAATTGCCTACCTCAACGTGTACGGCATGCATGCGAACCGCCAGAGCGAAGACGATCCGGTCTGGCATTCCATTGCTCAATTACTAGCTTTATGCATCTAGCTCTCGTTCACAGGTATAAATAAAACCTGCTAGGGCACAACAGTGGCTCGTCTCGATCGTGCACTCCTTCGTCACAAACACTTGCTTGGAACTTGCTTAGGTTAAGGGGCTTAGTTCATAAGATCTAATGCCGCCGTCCACAGAACTAACCCTAAAGGATGATGGTGACTCTGCCGGAGCCATGGACGCGCAGGTGCGCGAGAGACTACTATCCGGCCTATAACCCATCCGATGCGAATATGAATCGCCTTTGCATGCCATGGCAATTACATCGTGCTTTGCATGCATAATGAGCATGGCAAGGCGATGTCGGTGGTCGGCTGGTCGCTCCTCAATGCTGACGTGGAGGTCTCGGAGACATGCCGGAAAGTCATACCTCTCGCCACATCCCCACCCCAGTCATCCCGACTCAGCTACAATGCAGACGCTTACGTGCTCCTAATCATTCGCAAGCTCTCACACATTCAACGCTCACTGCCAATTAGCGCATAAACCCCTCCCTCTTCTCTCTCCTCTCATCGACATCGCCTGCAAAGAGCCGCTTTCCATTTCCCTCTCACCACCTTCTCCACCCTCACCCCATGCCGTACCATTTCCATGCACCATAACCCTTATTCCCCACTCAACCTTCCCTCCGCCGCCCCTCCCCTCCCTCCTCTCCCACCCACAGCTCCCCTCTTCCTCCTCCTCCCTCACCCTCTCCCTCTCCGATTCCGGCTCCTACAACTCCCCCGGCTCCTCGTCTTCCTCTGCCGGCACTGGCTCCGGAACCACCCTCATCACCACCACCCCCGAGGGCCTCGTGATCCGCGAGGAGACGCCCTCGGCCTTCATGCAGCAGGTGCAGCGCGCCTCCAACATCGTGTTCAATGCAGGGCTGGTGGCACTGCTGAGGGCCTGGGCCAATCCGTCACCGCAGGTGGGGAGGGGCAGAGGATACAACTGAACTGACACGGTGTGATAAGCCGTCATCATGGTTTGCACAACAAGGGAGGGGGAGGGAGGTCAAGGAGCGGCCAAACTGTAGGAATCCACAAGTCAGGGCAAAGCAATGGAGATATGAGGCGGTAGGGGGTGTCAAGAGCAAGGGGGGGATTGCGGCCCCTACCCCAACCGAGTCCGCGGAAGAGGAAGAGGAGATGGCTTGCTAGGGGTGGTGTACGACTGTTACCGCTGCTGGTAGGTTGGCTGGTTTGATAGGCAACACGGGCACAGTAGGCCAGTAATCACGAGTACGTTTCATTCGCTTAGGTAAATACAAATGGTACCAGCCCTCTTATATCGACCCCACACCACCCCCTCATCACCCCCTCCCTCCCGCCTCCCCAGCCCGACGCCGCCTCCGCCGGAGTGCCCGAGTGGTACGCGGAGGAGTGGGCTCAGCGCACCCGCATGCGCAGCCTGGCCAACCGGGTCGCGCGGGACACGGCGGCGTTCGCTGCGGCATGCTACCTCATGGACGGAGTGGAGGTGAGGCAGGGCGGGAGGGAAGGGGAGCAAAGGAAGAGGGCTGAGGAAGGGTTGGCTGCTGCGACCCATGGGTCATTATGGGCCGCATGCAAACGCATGTGCGGCCGGGCCAAACCAGGAGACGAGGAGCCCTCGCGCCCCGCCCCTGCGACTCGGGCACAAGTGGCACACCTCCTGCCTATACCGACGTAATTACATCCTGCCTACCGGTGTACAACACCCACCTCCCTCCCTCCCTCCCCCCAGGCCGGCATGCGGCAGCTGCGCGGCAAGCAGGACCACTACAACAAGGTCATGGGAGGGGTCACCGCAGGGGGGCTGCTCTCGCTGGTCTGGTGAGTAAGAGGTGGTGGGAGGTGGGGGTAAAAAAATATATATGATGAGACACTGACGAAGCAACTGACGAGCTGTATGACAGGTGGGGGGGGGAATAAGGAAAACTGACGAACTCAAAGACGGGGCTTCTCCATGGGTTGCTAATTGAACCCGGCCCATCCCACCCCACCCGTATTAGTCAAGCCAAAACAACAACCACAGGAGGTGGGGGGGGGAGGTGGGAGAGAGGTGGGGGGAGCTGGATGGCGGGAGGCTGCAGGAGAGTAATGGGTTAGGGGAGGAAAAGCAATTGAGACACGTCTTTTCGGTCTTTTCCCATAGGTTACAGTCAACAGTCTGGAACTGTCGTGACCCACGGGTCCGTTATCACAATGTCTGAGCACGCCTTCCTTGCCACATGTCAAGGGCCATGCGTCAATGCGCCATGCTGTTCACTCTTCCGCTCCACCCATCGCACCGGCAACAACCACGCGGGACCAAACAACCCACCGTTACTTTATTATTCCGCAACGAGCATTGAAGCGTTTCCGGAAGCTTCCAACGCCTCCTCTCCGCTCCATCCCCAACCTTGCTCGTCCAGGTACCCCCGCGACCCACGGGCCCGTGTGATGCTGTCGGTGGGCGGAGCGGCGGTGGGGTTCGTCACGCACGGCATCGAGCAGGCGGGGAATGCCGTTCTGCTGCAACGGCAGAAGGACCTGGAGAAGGGTGAGTGGGTGGGGGCGGGCGAGAGAGGGTGGAGAGGAGGTCGTGGGTGGGGAGGGAGGGCTTTAGGAGGGTGAAGGGAGGGGTGGAGTCATGCATCGCTCGCTTACCCTCCTACTTTAACCTGAGAAGCCTCATAGCATGTTCGTGCAAAGTCAGCACCTACCTCGGCTTGTTCCCCCGCTACCCCTTCCTATCTACCTGCCTTCTCCCTTGCCTTCTCCCTCCGCGGGGGATGGGGAGTGGCGAGTTGCCACGATCCTTACGACCATGGTAAAACCTACCTTACCTACCCCCCCCCCACCAGAGCTGCTTCACAAGCCGGACGAGCAGCTGCGCACCGAGGTGAACCCCTACTACCTGCGGGCGCTCGTACGAGCTAAGCAGGTGGGTACGGCAGCGGGGTGCTAGCAGTGCCGCCGTCGCGACATCTCCTTTCCTCCTGCCTCCCGTGTACCTTACCCGCCGCCATCACGTTTCCTTCCATTTTCTTTCGCGACCGGTGTACAACTGTCGTATAACATATAGTACCGGTTGCATGCCGTACACCGTACAATCGTACAGGAGCAACTCCAAGCGGAGGCGAGGCGTACGGCAGCAGAGGCGGCGGCGGCGCAGCAACGCGGCCTCCCCATGCCACCCCCCTCTGGAGCGCCGCCATCGCCCCCCTCGCCTCTGGGGCAAGCAGGGGTCCCCGCGTCATTGTACGGCAGCAGCAGTACGAGCAGCGGTTCGGGCGCCGCGCCGCCTTCCTCCTCTTCCTGGGGCTCTGGAGCGACGCCCTCCTCACAGCAGTACGGAAATGTACGGAGTGTGGATGGCGGCGGCAGCGGAGGGGTGTCGCATGACAGGGGGCTGTTGGTGATATCGGAGGAGGAGGATGGGGAGGGCGAGGGAGAGCACTGAGTTGGGGCGGCTTGAGAGCTCTTCGGGGCACTGCAGCTGGCCTTGCTTGGGTGAGGTGTAGCTTACCTTGGGCCTTATGTGTACCATGTAAATGTGTGGCATGTAATGGTTGTGTTGGCTGGACCATGTAAATGTGTGGCATGTAATGGTTGTGTTGGCTGGACCGGAGTAAGGCGCGTGGAAGCTTACAGCACAGGTGCCAGGTGTTGGATTGATTGAAGTTGTGACAAAAGCGGCGAACAAATAACCGACATGGCCTGCAGGCATCTGCTGCTTGGAAAGAATATGCTCTGGGTTTGGCTTGCCTCCTTCGCGCAATTGGAACCTCGCACGCGCGCTGTCATCTGCTGCTGTTGTTCATGGGTTGTAATTGGCATGTAGTGGTGGCGAAGAGAATGCTGAGGAATGGAGCGCGAATACCTCCCTCGTCGTCTCCTTCTTCCCATCTCCGGTGAAAAAGCTTGCTAGCGGCAGTTGCGCTGTCCTGGGTACGGTCGGTGACTTGACGCGACGTTGCTTGACGTTACAAATACAGGACGGGGCAGGAGGCAGGCAGAGGCAGGGAGAGGCTTCGGAGAAGGTGCAAAGGGGCGGCGCGAGGGAAGCATGCTGGGCCCTGCCATGCATGTATCCTGGGGCCTGGATTGTGTACCAGTCATTGTGTGTGGAATGGCGCTCTCAAGTGCTTGAAAGAGCTTGCGAAGCAGCCCAAGGGATATGTTCATTGTGTTTCATTCATGCCCCCAAATGTGCAAACAGGGAGTTTGCCCAGTTTGGTAGCATCATAACAGCAGTTGTGGAGCAAGAAGCAAGAAAGGGGGGTGAGGTTTGCAAAGGGCTGGCATACAGTTTTTAAGTCGGGTTGAGGGCAGCAGCAGGGTCGTGTGGAAGGTCCAGGTAGGGAAACGGCGACCACTGCCCGTGTGTGTGTCAAGTCAGCTGAGCCGGTGACGACCGGAACTGAACCGACCGGGGGGCTGCTGCGGACTGGGGAGAGGCAGGGGGGCTGGCGGCTGCTGGCATCTGGGCAACTGGTGGTGGTGTTGTGCCGTAGCAAGCCGCCCGCGTGTTGAAACTTGGAAGGAAACTGGCCGGCGTGTGGGTGGAGGTCGAGGAGGGGGAGGATGACGGCAGCACTGAACCACCTTGAGCCGGCCAACTACTTACACACATGATGGAGGCAGTGCTGGTGGGCAGTAGAGACTTCCGGGGGGCTGCCGCCGTCCCCCCTGTCACGCCCACCGGTCCTGGTTCGTGAAAAACTGGCTCCCTACTGCCACACGGAAAGCATGCACCCACGTGGTCGGCTGCGATGAAGGCACTCCAGGACGTTTGATACCTCAGCATGATGGTGTTGGCATCCCTGTTAAGAAGCTATGTACGGAACTCCTTCAAAGAACCCCTTGCTTGGGAAGCTGTGAAACCCCTTTCTTAAGAAGGCGACATGCACCCCTTGCCCTTGCTTGAAGCAACTGCTGTGTTAAATGCACCATATGACGTAGCCGTGCAACCAACAACGGTCACCAACATGATATGTCACCTTGCGTGAAACCAGGCAGCAGCACCGAACTGCAATTCGAGGTTTTCGACGTTCAGAAGCAGGATAAGTACACAGCAATGAAAGCACCTGGCCCATTCAAGAAACCAAGGAGATCTCACCAAGCAAGACCCTGTCTGCGCAAATGATCCTCTGCGACAGTCTAAAAGCATCCAACTCATGCAGTGCAACCAGCAGTGCACGGCCGCACAGCATGTACGGGCATCAATAAGCAGCAGCAAGTAAGTAGCATCAGTAACATATCGGACAAGCACCATCTGTATCCACGCACAGCTGCAGCTGGCTGCAGACAAAAAACCTTAATCCAGCAAACATGGCTCATACCATCATACCGCAACCGACAAAATCAACAACTAAAATTCAGGCTACAGCTTGGGTCGTGGACGGAACTATACCACTGGCGTCGAACGAGCTCCGATAGCACGAAAAAGGATACACGACTACAGAACTTTTCCAACAGAGATCTATAGGTTGAGAGAGGAGACATCATCGGGAGAAGGTAAGTAATAAACACCCCAGCGGCGGCCTCCACGGGCAACCTAGCAACCGATGAAAGCGTCCACAAACAGTTTAAGATCTTCCTTTCCAGTTCTCCTAGGATAGTAATTGAGTGGAAAAACAAGTTATAAGCACCCACCACCACCAGGCTTCCTATGCTGTACGACAAGCAGCCAATGTAATGTACGAATGCCTTATGTGCACGAGCCTGCCTTTTACACCAATCCCGTCCTGCATACAATCGCCGCCTGCTTTACCGTGGACCATGCAGACAACCCGCCCCGTGATCAAACGCCAAGCCGCCACCTATCGATCGGGCACTCGTTCCCCACTTGCACCCCCTACAATCCGCTGTTACGTCATGCGAAGTTCAACGATTAAGAAGCTCACACACCATGTTACATATGATCAACAATCAACCAAACATAACCACCAGCAGTTAACAAAAACGAAACGAGAATAAAAACCTGAGTACTGTCGTACGCCTTGCAGCGGGGAATTCTATCAAACAGTAACAAGTAAGTGGATCACGCATTGTACGTCACAGTAGTGCGCTTAACAACAAGTAAAGCACATGTTTGCAAACACAGACACGGACGACACGGACGCAGTTACACCGCTGACTGTGCACATACACAACAACAAAAAAACATCTGGTATATATATACGTATTATACCGCGCGCCTGGAAGATATCTTCGATTCCACAGTACCGACCAGCAACTAACACCAATGACGGCATGTTTATCACTGTCAGAACCACCACCATCGCCTCGGTTTTCCACCCAAAGTAACTGCCGTCTTGCTCCGATGCCACTTGCATGCCCGCCTCTCTCTCCACCGGAGTCAGTTCGCCCTGTGATTTGCGAGCGATATGTCAATAGCCCCTTCCTTGCTGCTGACAAGTCCAGCCGTACCTGAAGCTACATCCATCCATCACAGCCGCCATTCCAATATTCCTTTCCACCATACCCAGCGTCCCCAAGTCAAAAAGGCAAACCGTTGACTTCGGTAAGAAAAACGCTGCTGTACTTTACGTCGCACAACGTAGCATGAGTACTAGTGAACTGCAATCCTTCCAAATCCTCCACATCCTTCAATTATCAAAAATTGTTAAAAACCTTGAAGACGGCCCGTCAAGACCCAAAACACGACCAGCCCTCAACGAGGCGACAGTACGGCGGCTGCCAGAGGAGCCAGGCTCGCGAGCCTCGCCCGGCTCCGCGCATCCGATCCCGCAACAGGACTGCTGGGCTGCCAAGCAGAGCTGGCGGCATTGGCAGCAGCTGCAGCAGCAGGGCCAGCGCTGTGGATGCGAGCGACCCGTGGGTCAGCTGGCCCACTATGAGGCCCGCACTGACGCATTTGGATGGAGGGCCCTCCGTACGAACCGCCGTGCCGCCGGTTGTACTGCTGTTCGTAAGGCCCGTCATCCTCTGCGGCAAGATTGAGATTAACCCTCTCTTTGCGGATGCCGCCGCCGCCCGTGCCATCCTGCTCACAACCTCCGTCTGTCCCTCCGCTGCTCAAGCCACGGGCACGGCTGTGGCTGCGGCTGCCACTGCTGACGGCGCCGCTGAAGGTCGAGCGGCCCCTGCCCAAGCAGGAAACCCGCTCTCCTGCATCCATGCTCTTGCTTCCCCGTTGCTGCTGCCCCTGCTGCGGGGGCTGCTGCACCACGTCGGCGTCCCGGTTGTTCAGGCTCGCCAGGTTGAGGAGCGACTTGGCAGAAACGGCCCAACGGAGGGGCCTGCCAGCTGCCATGGAGAAGCCGCCGCCGCCACCGCCACCTCCTCCTCCACTGCTCATGCGACCAACACAGCCCCCGCCGCCGCCAACACCAACACCAGCGTCATCAACTCCGTTGATGCTGCTCGCGCCCTCCATGCCAACGCTCACACTCAGGCTCTTGCTCCTGCCGGCGTTCCCCGAATGCAGCGACTGCAGCAACGATCTGGCTGTCCGCGAGAACAGACCGGAACGGATGGGAAGCCGTTGTTCGGGCGCAGCAGACTGCCGCTGCTGCTCATAACTAAGCCTGTAAGAAAGCTGCTGCTGCTGTGGACTGGATCTGCCACCTCCGAGACCGCGACCATCAAGGGAACGCGTGGCACCAGCCCTGCTACCCAGGACGGCTGGGGGCGCTATCAAGTCAAGGACGTCCTCAGGAACGTCCGCGTCAGCATTGCGGCCCCCCACTTCGTCTTCTCCACCGCTGCCGTCGTTGCGGTGGTCTTTCCTCATCGACTGCTGCTGCTGCCGTTCCTGCGATTGGGACTGCTGCTGCTGCTCCTGCCGTGAGCCGCCCAGCAGCGTCTTCATGAAGCTGCTGATGCGCAACCTCGCACCACTACCACCACCACCACCAGCAGCATGGCTGCTCCCGCCGGCCCCACCGCCGCTGCCCCTCCTCTCACCCATGCCTAACAGCGACATTCCCCTTCGAGGCGAAGACAGTGACGGCGATGCGGGCGGCTGGGGTGCCTCCCATTGCGGCGGCGACGGTGACGGCGGCGGCGAAGACAGTCGCGGAGGCGGGAGCATGACACCCCAGGCTGCTACTGCTGCTACCTCCAAACCCAGGGCGTCCCCCGGGCCACTGCTGCTGCTGCAGCCACCGCCGCCACCGCCATCCTCGCGGCCGCTTACAGCCAGCCCTGCTATATCTCCGCCACTGCTATTGCCGTCTGCTCCAGCATCCCCCTCCGGTGCCGGCACTGCGTCCGTCGCCAAGCTTGTTTGAGAAGCGTCCCCATCGTCGTCGATGCGTGTGACCTCCACACCCGAGTAAGACAGCCAGAGGTCCAACCCGGGGTCGTGTGACGGAGGCGGCATGACAGATGCCAGAGGGTCCTGCGGAATGGAAGAGGGCGCCGTGGCGAGCAAGGAGCAGCAGGCAGTGCCGCCGCCGGTACCTGCTTCCGCGCCGGTACCGCTGCTGGTGCCGCCGGCCCGGGCAGATGCGGCGCCGGTGCTGTTGTTAATGCTTGGAGGAGGGTCATGTTTCGCAGCAGTGCTTGTGATCGTCGAGGGAGCGGCGCCGTCGGCGGCGGCGTCAGCGCCACCACCACTAGTGTGTGCGTCGCTGCCGTCGCTTGCGTCACGACCAGCTGAGCTGCTGCAACCGGCTCCTAGCGTCGTAAGCGCAGCTGCTGAACATGATCTGGCGACCAGGGCTGGCATGGCTGTGCCGTCAGGCGCTGTCACCATAGCTGCTGTGCTCGATGACGCCGCCCCCGAACCAGTTGCTAGTGTGGCTGACTCCTCAATCGCTTTCGCCACTGTCACTTCTGGAACCGCTGCCGCCGCCGCTGCATTAAGAGCAGCTGTCGCCCCTGTGCCAGCTTCCATCGCTGCAGCCTCCGAAACCGCCGCATGTGCCTCCAACCTCTCCGCTGCGCTCGTTGCTGCTGTTGCCGCTTCGGTGCTTTCATTGATGCTTGACGCGTGCTGTGGCAAATCGTATGCGGCATTGTACCACATGTTGGGAGCGGCAGTGCTGCCGACATGCTGCTGGTCTGCCGAACCAGAGGGTTGCGGCGGCGTTGGGGGTGCCTTGGATACTTGCTGCTGCTGCGGCTGCGATGGCGCCTGCAGTGCTGGCTGATGCTGCGGTGAGCTCCCCGCTGGAATGACTCCGGAGGCACCGCCGCCGTCGCTGGTACCAACCGCCGCCGCCAGCGCGACAGCAGCTGGACCGGCAGTAGCTGCCCCGGCCCCAGCACCGGCACCTCCTCCTCCACTGACACTGGCATCGCCGTCGGTGACAAAAGCGGTTCCAGCGGTGTCAGCCACACGTGCCGGCGCCACAGCAGCAGGAGCAGCATTCTTGGCGCCAGCAGTTGCTTCGTTAGAAGCCGTAATTGCACCGGCAAGCAGCGAACCATTGCTGCTTTCCACAACAGTCGCAGTAGCAGCGGTTGTGGCAGCAGCCGCATCACGACCTAGCCGCGTCAGACCGCCGGCGCCCCTGCCTCGCCCACTCGCGCCTCCGCCGCTGCCGCCTCCGCCTCCGCCGCCCCTAGAAGCGCCGAAGAACACGAGCTTGCTGCTACGCTCCACCACCAAGTCGCACCCAAGCAGCAGCTCAGCGACCTCGTCGACGTTTTCGACAGCGTTGTCGCCGGCAGCGGCAGTTGAGGCTTTGGAGGCTGAGCCCCTAGCAGCAGCAACTGCAGCCATGCTAAAACTGGAGCCACCGCCGCTGCCACCGGAGGCAGCCGAAGCAGCAGCGATAGCACCGAAGTGGTGGTTGTAGTGATGCGACTGCGACGGTTGGAGCTTGTGGAGGTGAAGGCTGTGGTGGTTGGTCCGGTGCAGGCTTTGGCGCTGTGACTGATGGCCTGGGTGATGCGGGCGCCGAGAATGATGATGAGCAGCCGAAGCAGCCACCTCCTGGCTCTGCAGGGCTGCTAGGGTAGAGCCCCAGTTGGAACCACCGCCTCCGAAACCGCTGTTGCCGTTGCTGTTGCCGTTGTTGTCCCGGGCGAACCTGAAATTGCTGCCCATGATGCCCAGGGCTGCAGCAGACCTGCCACCGCCGCTGCCGCCGGCTCTGCTGCTGCTGCTTCTGAACAAGCCGCTGCCACCTCCAAAAGCACTGCCCATGCTTTGTTGTGGCGGTGGTACGGCAGTAGCACTGGAGCCAGGCGCCGCCGCTGCTGCTGCAGCTGCTGTAGGCATGGGTGGAATGAAAGTGGGTGGATTTAGCGCGATAACAAACAAACCGAATCATCATGGACCCACGGGTGTGCCCTGTCCATAATACGACAAAAAGCGTTAGCAGGCAGGCAAGCTGGCATACTCTGGTGCAAGCATGGATGCCAACTGTAAACATACAACCGACCCGTGTACGGTACAACTGCAATCCCACCCGCCCGCCCTTCCTCGTGCACCAGAAGCACTTTCCTCCATGCAACTCACCGTTTCGCAGCCAAAGCAGCGGCAGGGGCGCACTGCTCATGCCGCCGCTCCCCGCGTCCAGCCCGCTGTCCGGCCGGCCCATCATCATTGCCACCAGCGGCGCTGCTGCTCCGGCCCTCCTACCTCCCTGCAACTGCTGCTGCTGCTCCTCCTGGCCCTCCTGCAGCAGCCCTGGAGGCTCCTGCTCTTCCCCTCCGCATGAACTGTTGTTGCTGCTGCTGCAGCTGCCCTTCTCTCGCACCGCTGCCGCCGCGGCGCCTGCTGCCCCTCCTTCCTGCCCAGCCACCCCCATCCCCCCCTCCAAAACTGGCCCAGCGGAACCCCGCGCAAACCTCCTTGAATGCAACCCCCCGGTGGCTGGGTACCCAGCTTGAGCCTCACCACCACCACCACCACCACCGCCACCGAAACTGCTAGAGTAACCACCGTCAACGCCGCCGCCACTGCCGACTCCACCACCACTGCCGCCGCCGCCAGCGCGGCGTCCTGTCAGCTTTGAAAGCAGCAATGAGTCATGCATGTCGTACATTTCCGTACAACGCCAACCGGCACTAGATGCCAGCAGCGCGCCGTACCGATCCACTGCCGACCGGTTGTTGCCGCCGCTGCTCGTACCGGTACCCCGGGCAACACCGCCAGCGGAGGCGGCGGTTGCTGCACTTCCCCGGGAATGTGGTTGTCTGCCGCCGCGGCCCAAGCTGCCGACGATGACGTCAAAGCCACCCATGTGTTCCGCATGCACATCCTCGTCATGCTGCTGCTGAGCTGGCTCCCGTACCGCCGCCGCCGCAACAGCAGCACCGTCCTCCGCATCACCGTCATAATCACCGTCCTCCTCGTCCTCGTCCTCGTCCTCGTCCTCCTCGTCCTCCGCGCCATCCTTGTCATCACCCGCCTCCTCCTCCCCTTCCTCGTCGAATCCTTCCCCGCCCATGACAAACAACTGCTCCTGCTGTTTCGGAAGCGGCGCGGACACGCACTTCCTAACTCGCGCGGGAGCAGCAACGCTGCTGCCGGCAGCAGCCCCAGCAGCTGCAACAACGCTAGCAGCAACACCCTCTGGTTGCTGATCCTGCTCCTGAGGCGACGTCGAAGGCTGCACCTCGGGTTGCTGCTGCTGACGCCGCGGCGGCGGCGGCGGTGGTTGCAGTACAGGTGGTGGCGGCGGCGGCGGACGCCGTCGCTGCGGTAGCGCCGAAACCACATTAGCTGCGGAGGACCAACCCCACGCGCTTCCGTGGTGCGACAGACCCGCATCGTCGTCGTCGTGGTGATGGCAGGGGTCTGTGGATCCAGATCCACCGCCGCCGCCGCCGCTGCCAACTGTCGTAGATGCGCCGCCGCCGCCGCCATGGAAACCGCTGCAGCCGCCGCCTAGGAAGGCGAACCCCGCCAGACTGTCTTGTACGACACTTCCGAGGCCCAGGGCAGCAAAGTGCGGAATTGGATGCTCAGCTGCGAAGGGCGGGGAGCTGTGGAGAGAGTCATCGGGGTTGCCGCAGGGGCCACGCACCCAGGGCGACGCTAGAGGAGGATCAGCACCGTTCGAAGCTCCATGGCCTGGGGAGTGGGAGCAGAACGGCGATGGAAAGCCGTCAAAGCCAGTCAACGCCTTTGTGCCGGGAGCCATGGGAGGTGCAGCGGTTGGGAGGCAGCCGGCAGCAGCGGCGGCCACTGGCAAAGACGCTGCGGACCCGTCATCCAGTCCCTCCTGAATTGCGGGAAGAAGCGGAGGCCGGGTGGGAGGGTGCTCCGGCGACAGGTGGTGTTGGACCGTTGCATGTTGTTCCGGGGAAGGCTGTACGACAGGCTTCGCTGGTTGCTGCTGATGCAGCCGCCGGCCCTGCTGCAGGCGTAGCTGAATTGCCGCCGCCACCGCCACCTCCGCTGCCGCCACGTCATTAGGACCCGCCGATGGCAGCTTTGCCGCTGGCGGTGGAGGCGTTGCCGCCTCTGCTGCCGCTGCTGCAGCAAGGGTTTGTCGTATGGTTCTGCTTACGGCGGCGGATGCCGTGCTGTTTGCGGCTGCATCAGCAATGGCAGGTGTTACCGGAGATGTTGCTCCTGCTGTTGCCAGCACTGCAGGCTGCGAAGCCCGAGAGTCCGGGCTGTTGCAGTTGTGCCCACTGCGCTTGGATGCCGTCGCGAGGGGCCAAAGGCCCCCACTGCGGCCATTACGGTTGGCAGTCGGAGTTGCGGAGCACATGTCGTACGTCACACTGCGCTTGTAGCGGAACTTGCTGCTGCTGGGGCTGGGGCTGTTGGTTCGGTCTTCCACGGCGGCATGGGGCATGCGGTTGCGGCTGCCGCCGCTATAGGCCTCGAAGGTGTCAGCGCTGTCGCCGTTGCTGTGGGAGGCAGCGCCGCTGGCACTGCCTTCTGTGGCTAAGCTGCCATGGCCGTTGCTGATACCGCCGAAGGTCCTCTTGCCAAGTTCCAAGGAGTCCATTTTCCGCACACAATTTTAGTGGCGAGCACAGGGCTCGGCGGCTATGAGTTGGAGATTTCCACAAGCCTGGCCGAAAGCAGACGCAGTGGCGAGCAAGAGGTTTGTGTTACACTCGTGAAACAGGTCTGGCAAGAATGTATTAAGCAGTAGCAGGACAGTGGATGCCGTGTGTGCGACCTTGAACAACGCAAACATATGTCGGCGAGACCAGCAGCGGACGCTAACGGTGCACGGCTTACCGATCACCAAACCCCAAGAGCCTTCCGGGATAGAGCTGCGGAACGGTGGCTATGGACAATCTCACCGCAGGTGCTTACCAGGCTGGCATTGCAGATTACTGGTCAAATACCCAAAGGGTTTCTAAACCGACAGCAAGGGTTGGGTGTCCGACCTCACGGTTGTGCATATGCTCATGATTCCTGTAGTTATGCATCTGGGGCATAAGGGGAAACGGGCAACAGGCAAAGTGAGCACGTCGGCATTCCGACGGGTTGTAACTTAATCAGAGTGTGGGGCACCCCTTCATTTCATTGCGTAGTTCTAATCCTTTAACCTTAATTGCAGCCAGCCATGCGGCATTATATGGCACTAGGACATTGCCGAGACGGCGCGATTTCTGAGCAACGCGCCAACGCCCCAACATACGTTAAGCATCGTTTTAATGAGTAGCCATGTATTGATACAGCTTACATAATCGCCCGCATGTCTCTACCATAACTTCTCTGCGATCTGCACTGCTAACTCACCAACGACCGGTGTTGGCCCACCGGTTGCCCTCCAGGCTTTTCGTTGCGCCATATGCATGACTTACGGTGTTGATTTAGCAATGAAAAAATGGTGAACAGTGCAAGCTTGCGTAAAGCTAATCGTGGGCGGGTAGTTTACTGCATCTACTTATTAGAAGTACACCGGTATCTACCACAGTAACATCTAATTACGATGATACGGATATCGTGCGGAGTGCGGGCCTGACAAGTGGGATGCACCGTTAAAATCACCCTGATAGTACGGTCAGCATCGCAGATTCGGTCCATTATCGGTAAATCCATCAGGCCAACCCCAACACCTAAGTGCCCACCGTATGCTTGGCGCTGATGGGGTTGTAGACAGTAATCAGCTGTTGGCTTTTCACCCGCAAACCTGTGCACAGCTAACATCTACCTGTACTGCTAAAATACTAGGCTCATTGCGACTAGCAAGCTGCATCTGTGTGGTTTCCCTGTGTTTTGGTCAGGACGCCTTTTACCGTCATCAGCGCTAAGGTTTCAAGTGGTGGAGAGGCTGCCGTGCAAAGCCTTAATCTCCTAGGCTCGTTCTTTCCCACCGTTGACGCAATTTCCGGGCCTGCTTGAGCCCATGTCGCATGTAACGGTAGCTTGAGACTTCACCTGTGCCGCATGGCTTGAACTCGTCTGCTGCCCCTTTGGCTTCCGCATGCCCAATCATACCCGTTGCAGCTGTGGCACGCCAGCAAATAGCACGACGGCACCCTGACAACATCGCAGCCACCCAACGGTGCCACTGGACCGAGTAGTAGTGGCAATGGTTATGAAGGCTATGACACTTAACAGTATGTACTGGACAGACAGGCCTTTTGCGCATCACATTTAAAGCCGCCACTCCTTTGTAGCATACATTGTAGCGAGAATGCTCTGTACATTGCAAAGGGAAAACCCTAACCCTTTACGTATTTGCTGGGTCCCTCCACGGTAATACTATGTACGGCGGATATCCGGGCGGGTAGAAATCCAGCAAATCCTTATGACCTGCGCCTCGCATACACCTAGTCATGATGGTCAATGGGACTTTTGTGCCTATTGGCGACCGCTTGCACCATGTTACGCGCTTATGCCTGCAAATTTCTGACTAATATGGGGCTTCCTACTATCGATAGAACTGCCATAACACTCACAGTATAGTTTTGGGCACTTCAAGTTTACATCATTTGTTTTAAACTGACTGCAGTAAGCACAGAAATTCAGTGTAGGAAATGGCGCAAGGAAGCTTGCAGCGTGGCTCCGCGAAGCCTTTTGCTAGCATCCTCTTACACTATACCGTCTTTATGATTATACTGGCTGCGGAACTTTGCTCGCGGTGCAGCTGCGCCCAGTCGGTCTCGACAGTAGTGACCGACGAGGTCGGCCTGTTCAAAGCCTTCTTAAACAGCACTGTTACGCGCATCGTAATTCCGCAAAACATGAAGTTACAGCAGGAGTTTTGGGCCAATACGTGGGACGTGGTAAATGTGACTCGCGACTTGCTTGTTGAAGGCCCGACCAGCAACTGGACATCTTTTCCTGAGGTGGATTTCAGCTTTATCTCGGGGAAGGTATGTAACAGCGTCGTGCAGTAGGTTAGCAAGATGTCCTTTGTTTCATGTTGCAAGCGCCTAGGCATGTGCCTTTGGCCAGGGTAACGTTCCCTCTCCTCAATGTACCATGTTGCGAGCCCCTCAAAACTTACTGCCTGCCTCTTAATATACACCTTGTCGCTTAACTGCCGATTGCGACAAGCCATGTCGTGTGCAAGCATATACCTTCCCGCCTTCACCCTGCACAATGGGGCGCGAGGGCGCGACACCTCAGGGCACCATCCCATCACGTCCACAAGTCCTTCCCCCACTACACATGTACACCTCAGCAACCATCACGCCATCGTGCTTTTTGCAGGTTGTGTTGTCGCCCGGTGTCACGCTCACCTTCCGTCGGCTAGCCCTACTGAACCTTTTCTCGCGGATCAAGCCGCAGTACGACTTCTTTGCCACCAGCCCCAATACCTCTACGATCGTTTGGCGCCAAGTGGTGGACCACCTAATCCTCTGCATGCCGCTCGACGTAAGACGCGACTGCCACATGCGTTGTTTGCCGCCCGCTGCTTTGCTTCCTGGTGTTACCGTCCCCTGGAGGGAACGTCGGCAGTGCTCACAAGGCCCTATGCCGCCTGTAGTCGGGCGTGTACCGCGTCCTGTACCTTGTCGCTCTAGTTTGGGCGATCCAGTCGCGTGTTTACAGGATTGGGGATGCGCATAGGTAGTACCGTTAACGGCGCTTCCTACCTGGCTTTGCACTGGGAGGCCGCACCGTACAAACCAGTGGCGTCCTTTTCCTCGCCTCGCCTGTGTTCCCATGTCGTACAGTTTGCCGTAAATGCCTGGTCGGCAGCTCCGAGACCCGCTGACGCTAGCGGTTTGTACGGCGGCCAACAGCAGAGCGTAACCCTCCGTACCTCCCCGCCCTATTGCAACGATGGCATGGGTCGTTGCTTCTCCCCCTTCATGGATGCTGCAGACATGGTCACGTACGGTACGGCAGGTGAGATAAAAATATGTCCGACAGACCTAGTTACCTTGACTGTTCAAAATGTCGCCAATGCCGCGGCAATACGGCCGCGTTGCACGGGTAGAGGGCAGGACGTTTCTATGGACAGATCTAGTTATCCTTCACTGTTTACAGTGCCGCCAATGCGGCGACGGTAGGACCGCGTTGTACGTGTAGAGGGCAGGAAGTTTGCATGCATGCTTGCGTGTGGCTCGCTCACACTAGGGTATTGCAAAGCTTGCGGGTACAGGTACCGGGGGAGTGATGATGGCTGGGCCTCGATTGCCTTTGCTCTTCCGTTCCTGTCCCCGCCCCCATTCCTCCCATGCCGCCCTCTCACGCTTCCCCACATGCCACCCTGCCCCATTTCAGGTTACCGAATCGCTTGGTCAGAAGTCGACACAATTTGCGACGGCTTTGTGACACAGGCAAGACCTATAGACGGGACATCGCGCGAAGGCCGTAGCACAACGGGCACGGTTTGGTTGGCCTTAGGGACCAGCCTTGCCCGGGGTTGTAGGCGTCCCTGGTAAATGATTTGCGGGTGCAGCATCCCTAGGTGCTTCCCAACGACTAATCCAGTGGCCTTCAGATGCTCCAATAGCGTAACAACTTTAGGTCTTGGCCTGATATGTATGCCCTTCTGCCGTTCAGCTGGTTTGTACTGACGATTGCCGTACAAGTAACCGTACAAGTAACCGCTTGCAAGCACCCAACGCAGGACTGCATTGATTCCTTGGGACCCGACCTCTGCTATGCAACACGGCTGCAGGTGTGTGTGTGGGGGGGTGTCGTTGGGTGCGTCAGTTTAAAAGCGGAAGTTGCAAGAGCGATGGGAATACGCTTGCTCGACTGCAGTTATGGCTGTATGGCTGTGGGTCTTATCCTTCCTTCTCCCCGAACCTGCTCCCTCCTGCTCAGGAGTTGTTGGCCCAGCGGGCGCTCATTCAGAAAAACCTAACCAGCGGTAGCAGCAGTAAAAAGGCCGGCCCGACGGCGGTCATCGCAGGATGCGTCGTAGCGGGTAATTGGCGGTTGTACGGCGCATCTCTGTGTTTACTTGAACCACTGCTCTGTGACATTTGATAACGTTGTGCACTTCCGCTTGCATAAAGACCGGGCCTACGGTAGCTATAGCATTTAAAAAGGTTGCTACAGTGATCAACAATGCCTAACAATAGGGATGCGCTTTGAGGCGTGCGTTATCCTCTGTCTCTTGTCTATTTATTCGTAGGCGTTATGGCACTGGCATCAGCGGTTCTCATCCCAACGTTACTATTGAGGCGACGTCGACGTCAGCGGCTTGGCCGCCAAGGAGGAAAAGGCGGGGCAGAAGGAGGTCTGTACGGTAAAGGCAACCCACTGGATCCCCAGCCGCCACCACCACCATCCCCACCACCACCGCTTTCCTCCGCAACAGGGAACCACTCTTGCTTTAGTACAAAGAACGCACCGCAGGGAGCAAACCCTCAGGCCTTTCCGCCGCTCGGATTGTCAACCGCTTCTTCCCTGTCGTACCTTTCAACCAACCCCTCCGGATGCGGCATCGGGGATGTGTCCCAGGAGGTGGTGATGGAGGTAATCCAGGAGGAGGAAAAGCAGCACCAGCAACAAGAACAGCAACAGCAAGAAAGGCATGCTACAATGGCGGCAGTGGCGGCAGCGGTAGGAGCAAATCAAAGCCTAGCGGGGCCGGCCTTCCCTGGCGGCGGTGGCAGCGGCAGGCTTCGAGTGTACGACATTCCAGGCCGTCGTTCGTACGACAACGCCGGCGAAGGCAGTGAACGCCGCCGTATAGTTGCTGCCGGCGGCAGCGGAAATGGTGTGGATGATAGTGGATCATTGCTGTACGACAGCAACCCTGGCGGCGGCGGCACTGCTAACGGCAGTCCTCCGCTAGCCTTCCCGGCCCCAGCCGCCCCCAATGTCAGAGCATCTGCCGTTGCGTCTTGTGCCGCTGTTGCAAGCACCACTGCAATTGCCATGAGCCGCAGCAGCAGCATCACTGCTTCCATTAGCGCCCCCCTCACCTCCCTCGTCAAATCCCTGGCATTGCGTGCGAGTGCGTTGGGTCGCAGCCGTAGCAGCCAACAGCGCAGCCAAACCGGCAGCAGCTACAATGACAGCGTAAGCACTCCCAGCCATACAGCTGCAGGCGTTATGACGAGTCGTTACACAACCACCAGCAACAACGTTAGCAGCTACGGCCGTCGGTACGGCAGTGCTCGTGACGTGGGCGGCGACACTGGCGGCGTTGTCGCCGCCGCCACTGCTGATGCCGAAGGCTCGTGTTGCTCCGCGCCTACTGTAGCAATCGGCATGGCGGCGGCGGCGGCGCCGTCGCCACACTCGCTTCCTAACCGCCAACTGAACGAGCCCAACTGCCAACCGCAACATCACATCGTCTCCCGTGGGTTGGGAGGAAAACCAGGAGCCGAGCAATTGTACACGTCCCCGGCGGCTGCGGTTAACAGCGACATGCAAAACAGCGGCATCGTCAGTCACGGTGACTTTGCGAGCTCAATGGGCAATGGCGGTGGCGGCGTCATTGAGGCTGCGGCAACTGCTACATCTGCCGTACAACGGCAACATCATCAGCAACAGCAACTGCAGCTGCGGCGAGCGCACGATCGGGAGTCGCTGCTCCTCGACGTCCTCCTCCATAACAAGGTTTCAGTGAGCGGCGGCGGTGGAAGCAGCGGGGCCGCTATCACCGCAGCCACTGCTGTCGCAGCTAGCGATGGTGGTGCTGGGAGGTGTGACGTCAGCGGCAGTGGTGGGATTGGGTACGGAAGCGGAGATCTAGAGGGAGCAGCAGCGGTGGCGGCGGCGGTGGCAGCAGTTGGATCTGAAGTGCTGTTGGGGCCGCTCATTGGATCCGGGTCGTACGGCAAGGTAGGCTGGGGAGGGGCGTGTGGTGTGCCGTACCACATGTATATCGCGTTGCTGCTGGTTGCTGTTGGATTTTACTTTTTTTCCGTAATGGGGAGGGCGCAGGAAGGATATACGTAATGGGGAGGGCGAAGGGAGGGGATCTATGTGGTTCCGGGATATTATTGCTAAGCGTTGCTAGTAGGCAAATAGCGAGCCAGGGGCCACGTATTTGAAATGCTTTGGGTTTGTCAGGGCTAAGACTCGGGGGACGGGTTTGCGATCGCATTGCAGCTTGTTGTTGGAGGCTTGGGTGCAGGTGAGGGCAACGACGGTCTCGTTTTGGTTTATCCTGCGGACTCCTATCCTCCAAGCACTGCACAATCCGCTCTCCTGCACAATCAAGCGTCAGGTCTGAACAAGTTGGGCCTCTGCACTCCCCCCTTCCCGGCCGCCCGCAGGTCTATCGGGGCAGCTGGCGGGGGTCTTGTGTGGCGGTGAAGGTGAGGAAACAGACAGCCTGTCATACTGCCATACTCTGCATGGCCTGTTATCACCTCCACCTCATAGAGCCTTTCCCTACGTATTATTTTCGCTTACAACCTCCACCTCACGCCCCATTGATCCATGCCCTTAAGTTTCTTGCTAGTTTATTTCTTGCATGTGTTTCGCGATCAGTCTTTTTTCTACCCCCCTCTTTTCGTCAGGTGATCAGCCACAACCGACACAACACACTGGGAAGCATCGCCAACGAATTGCGGTTGAGTCTGAGCTTCGAGCACCGGAATGTCGTACGAGCGATGTCGTACATGACGTGCTCGGTGAGGAGCAAGGGAGGGAGGACTGGAAGGAAGAAGGGAAGGGCAGGAGGAGTGGGATGAGAGGGAGGGTCGAGAAGGAAGGAAAGGGCGGGAAAGTGGAAATTGGTGGCTTGCGGAGTGGGGACGCGAGAGAGGAAACGACGGAAAAAGAGTACGATTGCGTAACAACTGTTAAAAGGTTGTGTGTGTTGGGCACTAGGGGAATATTAAAACATTTGTCCGCCTAACATGAACGCATACTGCTAAAAGCACGTTCGTGATACCTGACAAGCCAAGTGCCGTGTACTACTATCCTGCCGCAGGTGGACGAGGACGGAAAGCCGACGATTACCGTACAGTCACGTGATGCGACGACGGCAATACGGCAACAGGGTGATGGCTATGGTAACGACGGTTGTACTGCTGGCGCCGGCGACGACGGTTGTCGTACAATCAGCACGCTAGCGTACGACAGTGAAGAAGACGACGAAGGGGCTGCTGGCGGCGTCCGCGGTGACGGCAGGGGTGGCGGCGGCGGCGGGGACATGCTAGCAGCCTTGTACGATGCTGATGCGTTGGCGGAAGCGGGGACAGGCGGTGGCGGAGGCAGGATAAGCCGGGAGCAGCAGCAAGTCAGGGATGTGGCGGAGACATGGGTGATTCAGGTGGGGCGGAGGCCAGGGCTTGCTGTACATGCTAAGCGGTACTACTTCCCTTCTTCCCTTTTTCTCCGAGCCTCTTGCTGGCTGCCTTGGTGCATGCATGGTTGCCCTACCCTCTCCCAGTGCATCCCGGTAGTGGTAAACCTGCCAAACATAGAACCCTGTCACCGTCCAACATCTGCATCGGCATCCCGCGCTTCCCCCATGCTTCAGGAGTTCATGGGTCGTGGGACGCTGTCTCAGTTCATTAAGGGCGGAGGAATGAGGACCCCCGCCTCGGGTCCCAACTCGGCCTCCCGTCGACCACAACCCATGTCACCCTCATTCGCTCCTCCTCCACCTCCTCCTCCACCTCCCCCACCTCTGCAACCTCCCAGCAATGGTCCCGCTACCGCCGCTGCTGCTGCTGCTCCACCCTCCTCAGACTCTCGCCGGCTCCATCCCATCCCGCCTATCCCCCTTCCCACCACCACCTCCACAACCACTTTGGGAGCGAATTCACCAACCGCCACTCCCCTGGGTTACCCAACCAGCACAACAACTGCCGTCAACGGTAACACTAACGGTATTTTTAACAACATCGGCAGCGGCAGAAACGTACTAACTACCGGCGCTAGCAGCAGTACAATCAACATGATGAATGTCGTACATTGCGCGCTGGACATTGCCCGGGGTCTGCAGTACCTGCATGGGTGCAACGTGTGTCATGGAGATCTGAAACCAGGTGTGCGTAGCACAGGTGTTGCGTTGGTGGGCGTGGCGCGACGTGTATGGGAGATAGAACGACGCAGCGGGAGGGGTGCTGCTGAGTGGGGGTGTGGCTGGCGATACAGGTATTGTCAGCGCCAGAGCTTGCAGGGCCGTTGCGACAGGGGCTGGGGCACAGCCTTGTAAAACAAGGTCTCCTTGCTTCCATTACAATGAAATTCATGGACCCGTCGCAGGTCTGCAATGAATATGTAATGAATCTGTTTCGCCTGTTGCGTGTTTCCCGAACAGGCAACATCCTCTTGGCGGAAGACCCCGGCAGTCCCTGGGGCTTCGTGGCGAAGGTACGGTGTTCGGTGGATGGAAGGAGGTTAAGGAGGGGTGGGGGCCATGGACTCGCGACAACGCTACAGCTGAGGGTTGGCAGGATGTGCATGCAAGCCGCAACGTGACTGGGTGTGCAACGCGGATGCGGAGCTTTGGGTTTCGGGGCCTTACGCAAGCCTCTGCCCCCTACCGCCTGCGGGAAGCTGCGTGCGCCGGCCGGTTTCTAGGCCTGACCTCTCCCTCCCGCCTCGAGTTCTCCTCCTCCTCACCCACCTACCTCCTGCGCACCTGCCCAATTTACCACGCCGTGTCTGAATCCCTGTCTGAAATCCCCTGCACTTCTGGAACCATACATATAGCTTGAACCTGCATTCCTTACTCTTTTACCCACCATCCCCCTTCATACACGCCTGCAGTTGGCGGATTTCGGCCTCTCTCGCGCCCTGGCCGCCGACCGAACCCACCTGACAACCAAAACCCTTGGAACGGTGTCGTACATGTGCCCCGTGGTCCTCAGCACAGGTGGGCGGAGTTGGAGGTGGAGGGGGGAGAGGAAGGCGGGGGAGGAAGGGGGGGGAGGAATGGGGGGGAAGGAAGGGGGGGCAGAATGTGTATCGGGCTGACAGCCCATGCAAACCGGTGTGTATGTTTCCCATGTGTGCACGCACATGACGTGTTATGGTAAAACACACGGCCGTCCCCAGTCTCCATCCCTCCCGCGTAACTCCGCTGCGTGTGTGCTCTGCAGCTGTAGCCACCCATGCTTCTCCCCTCCTCCCGCTCACTCTCCCTCCCTCCCGTCAGTGCCTCCTCGCGGCCCAGTTCACCCAATAGTCCCTCCCCGTGTCCTGCTCCCAGGCCGCGTGAGCCCCGCCTCGTGTGTGTATTCGTACGGCATCATCCTCTGGGAGCTGGTTTCGGGGCGGCCGCCGTACGCAGGATGCATGCCAGGTGGGTGTGCATGATCCTATTCATCTGGCGTGATGTCGGAAGGGCGGGGGCATGTTGTAGGGTCATGGTGTGTGTTAAGAGAACTGGCCGCGAGTCGGAATGTAATGGGTTGTCGGATGGTGTGTTAAGAAAACTGGCCGCGAGTTGGAACGTACTGTGATGGTGTGTTAAGAAAACTGGCCGCGAGTTGGAACGTACTGTGATGGTGTGTTAAGAAAACTGGCCGCGAGTTGGAACGTACTGTGATGGTGTGTTAAGAAAACTGGCCGCGAGTTGGAACGTACTGTGATGGTGTGTTAAGAAAACTGGCCGCGAGTTGGAACGTACTGTGATGGTGTGTGTGTGAACGTACTGTGATGGTGTGTATCTCTGCGATGTGCGCAGTCCATGTGTAGGGGGGACGTGTCCTGCAGCTGCATGCATGTGCCAGCTGGCTGCCGTACCGCCACCTCGCCAAAACGGAAAACCCAGTACGACCACTAACCATCAACCGCCAACTGCTCCCAGGCCTCATCATCAAGCGTGTCTTGTTGGAGGACCAGCGGCCCGACTTCAACTTTGACGACGTTGTGAAGGCTAGCGGGGGCGGGGACGTTGGGGGTGCACAGCCCCTGCCCGAGTGGTACGGCAATTTGGCTCGACGTTGCTGGCATCGTGACCCCGTGGAGAGACCCAGCATGGCGGAGGTAAGGAGGAGCCTGCTGGCTTGGCTGCGGTCGCGCTTCACCGCATCAAGTAATTTAACCACCTTTAGCTACCAATAGATGTACAGTTGGGTTGTCAGGCACCGAACGTGTAGGGCATCGGATGTAATTGTGCAATAAAAGCGGTCTCCGAGCCGGAGTTGGCTGATATATTGGAAGCGCGCTTCTGCACAAATAATCCAGGTGTTCTCATTGTTTTCTTGTCGCCCTTATGCATGGAAGGCTACATAAACCTTTGGAAGCGCTGCCTTACGGGTACCTAAAGACTTGTCTTGCTGCTCCCACCGCGCCTGCTGCAGCCGCGGTCATCAGTAACACGAAGCCAACAGCACTCGCACGCACCCAACCACCCTACCTGCCTGCCAGAAAGCGTGCCCTGCCCGCCGCCGCTCACCCTCTGCCGGCATCCGTCCGCTGCGCCCCGCTGCATGCTTGCAGGTGGTTTCGGAGCTCGAGCTTCGAGCGGTGCAGCTCACCACCCTGGGGTTGAGCTGAGGAGCTGACGAGATCCGTTGCTGCTATTTATGATGCTGCCTCTGTTGCTGCTGCAGCAGCTGCTGTTGATGCTGTTGATGCTGGACAGGTTGTTCTGCCGGACTACGACAGCTGTTAAAGCGGCGTTGGGCGTGTTAGGAGCGAAGGATCCTTGCTGGCTAGGGCTGCAGTGCAATGGATGATGATGGCTAGGGGGCAGAGATGCATGTGATAAGGAGAGAGGTCGGGGATCTGGATCGTGCATGGCGCCAGACGACACACGGTTGGTGGCAAAGACATGTTTAAGCTTTTGCGGCTCGTCTTTAACGGTTTATTTTACGGCTAACATGCGGCGGCTGGCAGATTTCGGACGAGGTGAACGATCGAATGCGCGCGTGCATCCTCGTGCTTGTGTGGGCAGGTGGGTAGGTGAACACAAATTGCCATGCAAAGCTGCAACATTCAGTAACCATTAGGATAAATATGATGCTGGCGTTTTGTTGGTTAGGAAGTATTATGATTCGATAACGGTGAATCCGGGCATGCGCATAACGTTAGGCACACAATCATAGCCAGCCAAGTTTTAACTGCACGCTCTCCAGCTGATTTGTTGCTCTGTTAGTATTGCGCGCATCTATTATATTTTTTATGTCCACACTACTCGCTTGCGTTTGTTACAACCTTTGCTTCTTGCATGGAGTTACATGGAAGGAATGGAGGAGGTAATCAGCAATACAGCAGCTGGCGGCACATTGACCCATGGGTCCTTGGCCCTTGACGTCGTTAGAGACCCTGGCAATGGTGGTCGATGCAGTAACGGAGGTGGAAACGCGTTGGGTCCGTCCAGCGGTCTCAATACTACCGGTAATCACGAGGCAATGTCAGGGTGGCATGGCAGTGGTAACGCCAACACAATGAATTTCCCTGGTGTATGTACAGTAGGGTTGTGGGCTTGTAGCCCTAGTAGGGCTTTCGATGCTTTATGCGAGCCTGGTTTCTGTTGAGGTTTGGGGTTTTAGTAGGTGTCTTGAAAAAACGCTAAACCAGTTTTTGGTACGCCCCAGTATCTGTGTTGCATCTGCACGTGGGATGCGGTCGAAGGGCGGTGAGATGTATGTGCGGCTAGAATGCACGTGTGCCCTCTTCTGATTGAATACATCACGTTTGATGTGTTCAAGACCCTTAAAGACATATACGCAAAGCCAATGCATACAATTGGCGCTGACCGAAACATTGTCAATGACCAATGCCAACGGGGTCACCATGTCTACGCAGCAGGTAGCTGCCTTCCATTATAGGGTATCGCTTTTCAGCTGTCAAGGTCAGCAAACACAACGGCCATCCAGCAGCGTACTTCTAAGCCAGACACTCCTAACACCAGCCATCCTCACCCAGAACACCACAAACGTCGGTACGCAAAGGCCTGCGCGGTATCCCCGCCAGCAAGCCACAGTATGCCTGGATAACGTCATCACACGCGTTGTAGGCACGGTCCGTCCCCACCCCAAAACATTTTCGGCTCAACTTGGTATATCTACATCCATATGACGATCATTCATTCAGCACATGCACAGCGCATGATCCGCGCCCCGAGAAAGGTCCAAGCGCCATGAAAATGGCGTGGAAGTGGCTTGGATTAAGTAGAAGGATGACACAACTCCTCCCTCAAACTGCCAGCACAGGCACGCACAGCGTGTCTTCCTAATTGCCAAGCAAACAAAGAGTGAATACATTTACAGGTAGCGGTAGGTCCAGCAGCCTCCATACCGGTAGTGCCAAACTAAGGCAGACGCGCCACGCGGGATCCCGATGGAAATTTTATTGAAAATGTTTGTTGGGATCGGGAAGTCTAGCTATGGCGGAATGCTAAATAAAGTCTGGAGTCTTTAGCATGGCTACCGCTGAATGAGCTTGTTACAACACAGGGAAGCTTGACAGGGCACGGAAAGCTGTTATCCTTCGTAGACGTAGGTTCGATGTTGGCCATATTCGTTTTACGCCCGGTATCGGGCATGGCCATGCAATAGGCTTGGCCAAGTAACGGCATGTCCTGTTTTGTCGCATAGAAATTTGTGGCAACACCCCGCGGCGCACGCGGGCGGTGGGACACCCCAAAAATTTTCGCTTGTGACAAGTGATGCCCACCCCCGGTGACCGTCTAATTGACCCGGACTAGTACAAGCAGCAGTGTGGCACGCGGCGCCCGTGTGAGGACGAGGCTACCGCGCTTCTGTCCCTTCCCTTATGGCTAGGGTGTATGCGACCGCAGGTTAGGGTTGTGTGGCCTAATGCGGCGCCCCACCGTATGCGTACGGTATTGTTGTATCTATTTAAGATCGAGATGCGGAAGCGAGCGGAAGTAAACTATCGAGATGTAACGCAAGCGGAAGCGTGTATGGCGTAGGTTATGACCTATTTGTTCTAGGCTACGATGCCGGCTAGGAGCTGCAGCCTGACGGCACCGCCCACCTGTACCTCCTTAGAGGGTTGCTGACCCGCCAAACCCTTGCCGAGGTGGACTGAGAAGGGTGTCAGACCTGGGCTGGAGAGGGGGGTGTACAACCACTGGGGTATAGGCTTGACCAGGGGGGGTTAGTGTATGAGTCCGAGGGTAGGACAAGAGTGAGGGAGACCTATGCAAGTAAACCCTATTGCGTACGACTGACGAGTCGTATTAGGCGTACGGGCCGTTAGGGGTCGTTGACCGTTAGAGTATACGGCTAACTAAAGACTGAGCAAACTGTTGCGGATGCAGGCGTACGGGATAACAGCCTAACTGCCGTGCAAGTGTAAGCTGCTATGTACGGCTGACGAGTCGTATCGAGACAAACCGTTGCTGTTGGGTAACTAACTAGCTAACGACCTAACCGCTGACGGTTAGCGTCAAAGTGCGCACTCAAGCACGGTATTTCGTAAGATTCAAGACACAGGCTCAGGAATGCCAATGCGGAACCTATCTAAGGTTGGATTGGCAAAACACGAGGCTGCAGGCGGTAACCGTTGCTAATCAGGTATATAACCGACAGTAACGAACCGTACAACTGCCCAGGCAGGGCAGTGCTTGACGTCCGGACGCGAAAGGTCCTTCCAGTCTCCACGCGTGTACCTTACACGGGGATGAGTCCGAGTCCAAGTCCAGTTGTTGGAGGCTTAGTCCAGAAAGAGGGTTAAGGCTGCCCTGACCGACCCCAGCCGGCACTTTGGCCACATTCAGCTGTAAAAAGGTCTAGAACCAAGAAAACCCTGCCCTTTTATACTAATTCAAAACCCCGGTGAGCCAAAAACCGGCCACCGTTGACCACAACTGACCAACAAGCCGTTACCCCGCTGAGAAGCAGGGAAACACGCTCAGCGAGGCGCCACTCACTGGGACCAACGAATTCCCACTGACACTGGCCTCTCTGAGCCAATCGTCCCAACGGAAACCCCGCTGAGCCTCCGCTTCCTGGCCCGCTGACCCAAAACCGTCAACCGACCCATGGGACGACAGTGCCGAACCCGCCCCATGCCAGGTCGCCTGTTCAAGCCCTTCCCCAAGCAGCGCCGGCATGTTCAAAACCACGCCGCAACCAAACCCGTAGCCCCCAATAAGTGGGACTACAGCTACAAACTCATTCGCCGACAAATGGGTAAACACACAAAAGTGTAAACCCAGCCTATCATGCCACAACTGCTCTGGTAAACTTCCACGGAGCGCAGTCACTGGAAGTAGAACTGCCTCAACATGAAATACGCCTCCAATTGTCACGAATCCCAATGTCAGATCTTGAGCAGGATGTAAAGGATCCTCATCAGTAAGCTGTAACCGTAACGATTCCTCTTCTTGGCGGCATATTACTCCACAGCCTGTACGTATCCTAGGCTTAAGCGCCCTGAATAAGAAACCTCCAGGCCACGCTGCAAAACCGTGACAGGGCCGCTGCCTACCTAGTGGAGCTGTGTACGGAATCTGCAACTAGACTAGAAAAGCGTGTAGAGGCATGCTAGTCCAATGCAACACCGCAGTACATGCAACACCACAGTCCGTTCCTGACCTATCCCTTCAGCTCAGTCCCATGCAACACCGCAGTACACAAAGCCGTTCCTGACCTATCCCTTTACAAGCCCCCCTGCCATTTCTCAAGGTCGAAGTCAGCAACCAGGGCCAACTAAGAGGCATAGAAGTAAACATACTGCCAGAACTGGACTTAACGAGTCGCGTTGGCGATGGAAGGTGACAGCCATTTTTAGATCATAATTAACGCCATAGGTAAGACTCATAAATGGGCCCCGATAACATGTATCATCGGCAAAAGTTAGTGGACTTGGTGTCTTGCAAGTCCGGTGGTGCCATGTGAGTGCTTTGCCCAGGCTTTTTGTGCTATCTCGAGTACAGGCGGATTTGAATTGGTACCAGTAGTTTTTAGGGCAAAGCACGGTGGTGGAGTCGATTACGCGATTGCGTAATCGGTTACAACGACCGAATCCTGGACGCGTTTAGGGTCGTCGGAAGAGCGAAGTAAGTGTAGTGCATTCATATAAGAATACTTGCGAAGAAGCGACTACATACTGTCGACTACATTCATACTAATAATAAAGGGCAAACTTCGGCGAGGAAACTGACGGTTTAACGCTCAAACATAACGATTCTGCGTCGAAACGCAAGTCGTGCTAAGATCAGCAGACGGCCATGGACGGTCAAGCGACCGAGGACCTGGCAGTGGCCAACGCTGCAAATTGGCTCCGGCTCACTTTCCACGCTCTTACGTGCAACGATTCAGCATGCTGTTTAGGGGAGCGCTGTTCAGGCGGAAAGCTTCTCCTGTCGCACATCCTCGCCTCCTCAAGCCCAGACGCCTGCACAGCAGCAGTTCCCCAATGCACATCTGTCCGACGACTGGTGCTACACTGGCTAGAGTGCCAGGCGAGTTCTTACACGGTTGACGTGTCTCAAGTTTGCCCTTTATCCTTAGGTTTAATGCCGATGTGTTTGGGTTGTACTTGTACATGGCAAACTATACCGGTATTGCAAAACGTCCTTTGTACGCTTACAGGAGCCAAACTGTCGCCTTTGTGCTGGTGTCTGGCGAGACATATCTGGCTATCAAGAGCAGCACGAGGGGCATGTTCGTCTCTCGCAGGACCGCGGATCGGATACAGTTCCTCCAGAGCAGCCAGGCACGCCTCAACGCGGAGGGTCGCCAGAACCAGTGGACATGGGTAAGCAGTTCCCTGCTGTCGTTCTTCAGTCCGCTGGTATCACTCCTGCTAGTGTGGGTGCATTCGAAGGGCTTTTTGCCGATCGGCCATATGTCCTCGCCCAGTATATGCTTTAGGCTGGGGCATCTCGTCATTTGCGGTAATATTAAAAGGAAATTGTTTCACGCCACAGAGCAAGGCAAGTTTGGTAGCTTGCACCCTTGGTCAAAATGCTACTCAAATGTGTCAAACACAACACCCACTCTTCGCTAGCATACTTGGCCTACATCTTCCGTCGCGTACTTAGCGCTACAGCCTCTTTTTTCCCTCTCATCCGTGTCGTCCATGCAGACTTCCATACCAGCGCCTTTGCTGGCAACGCTGTGGGCCGCACCATGGCTACCATCTCTCCTGCAGGCGCCGAGACGCCGGCAAATCCGGCCAACCGCGCTGTGCTGCAGCTGCAGGTGTGTTAAGAAAACTGGCCGCGAGTAGGAACGTGCTGGATTGTCGTGTCTGTGCGTGTGGATGGGGAAATGTGTGCGGAGGTATGCTTGTCTGTGCGCGTTGTCTGCGCGCGGATGTATGTCTATAGATTCAGCAACAACAGGCTTGGAGCCCTACCTTTAAATCCTTCGGGTCCTTGGCTGTTCCTTAGGTCCTGTTTCACGTCCATCGGCCGAGGTCCTACCATGTTTTCGCTTAATTATTCCCTGGAGCACTTGTGACACTTATCATGTCGGAACTGCAAGCAACCACCTTGAGCATGTTATCAGCCGAGAGCTCGTGACAGTCTAAGCGGAGGTCCTGCGCAGCCTTTGGGACGAACCACTGTCCCTTTGGAGCACTTGATGAAAGGGCTTCTGATGGCTTGATGGGTTTCCGTGATCGCTGGGTTGCCGTACACCCTCGGTTGCCCCGCCAGCCGTCACTCCTTGCCAACCTTTTGGAACCTGCTTTCGTACGACAGGACGTAACGTCGTACATGCGGTACCTGCTACACACCCTGATGCGCAAGCAATCCTCTGGTGTGAGTGGTGTTGGGGTCGAATTGCCGTACTTGGGCCTTGTACTTAGGGAGTGATCTGGTCCAATGCACCCTTCTCCAGGCCTTCGTATGCTACTGGTACTAGTAAACTACGTCATCTCAAACCTTATGTCCTATAGTGCAGTGGCCTTCCTTCCTACACCTGAAATCCCGCCCCTGTTCCTTCCCTCTTTTTAAGGCCATGGCCGTGCTTCCTCTGCCAATCCCTCATCTGCTAATCCCTCTATTACGATGCAAGCAGGACACGGCGTCCCGTGCCGCGGGCCGCATGTTTTGGCTCGAAGTGCTCCGTGCACCCGCCCTGCAGCCGCAGCAACAGCAGCAGTGGACTGCTTGTCACCCGGTGATGGCGGCAGCGGACGGCGGCATGGGCGCAGCAATGGAGGAGGCGGGAGGTGCTACGGGTGCTGGTGGTGGTTCCGGTGCGGGGGGAGGGGCCTACCGGTACCTGGAGCCGCCCTCAGCCGCTCCCACCCTGGCTGGCCGCCGGCTGGTGATGCATCGCCTCATGTGCAGGGTGGGGTCACGGGGACTCGGGTTGGGTGCGCGTTGGTTGACAGGGGCATGGCTTTGGGGGCGACCCATCAGCGGTACACTCAACCATGTGCGAGGCAAAGCGACACACTTGAGGGCACATAGGAGCGGCAGATGCGCCGGGTGTCCGTAGACCATCCCACCCCATCAATGCTCAGGTTCCCATCGTCCTGTTTTCCTTTCCTATTCGGTGCAGCTGTCTGCTGTGCATGACGAAGCACCGTGACGAGTTACGCAAGCAGTGGTAATACAAGTAAAGTCACACCTATCTAACATAAACATTTCTTCCACTCGAGGTCTAGCTGTTTCAGGAACGAGAGGCTTGCCGAACGACCCATGGGTCTCCATCTTGCCTCCTGTCTTTCCGCTCCCTCTCAGAACCCCTACTGCGCACTGTGTGCGGGCACGTGCGAGCTCTTCACCCGCGGACATGCGCTGACGGGCGACCTGCGGGCGCCGCAAACCATGAGAGACATGGACAACATCGTGCAGGTGCGACTCGAGTTTCATGTAGTGCCGCATTAGGAACATCGTACATGATGGCGGGCTGTTCTTAAACCCCCAAAGGGAGAAACAATACTGCACACAAGCAACTAACCCGATCCTACCCTGCCTACCTACTCTGCAATCTCATGAACTCACGCGTTTGGCTACAAGGTGTTTCTAAATGGCCATGCATCTTGTTAACTGCCGCAGGAGTTGAGTTTGGCGCTTGCGTGGTTTCAGCTGTAAGCCAGCTGTGGCTACGGTACACCCCATTGCCTCTGCTGCCTGCTGGCCTGTGGGAGGCAGCTTGCTTGGTGGGAAGCGGCCAGTGTATACTCTGTGTGAAACAGCGGTGTGAGATCGGCAGCGCAACTTGTTTGCCGCGCCCCGTGAGTTGTTACTCGACTACCCGTGCATGAAGTGGCGGCGGGCAGCACCGGGGCTAGCAGCTGAGCTACCTTGGGACTCGACACGCCCAACGTCTTCGTTAATCCTTCCTCCTGAAGAGCAGTGGCGGGAGGCCTGCAGCTTAATCGATCGACGAGTCCATTCCAGGAGCGCTTTCAACGCCCGCAGCGCTGTGCCGCCTGACCCGCTGCGGGGCGGGGAAGGCCCGCTGCTGTCGTCTTCACTGCTGCTGCTGCTGCTGCTGCTGACTCGGCTTTCCACGCCTTGATCCACGATACTGATGATGCTTGGCCTAATGCGACCGTACTCGTCGACTTCACATGCAAGGCTCGCTCGTGCTCCTAACCAACAGATGTCTGGAATTGGCGAAGTATGCTGACTCGAGAACACGGTTTCCTGCGTACCTGAGAAAAAGTCGTTGCCAACACGGTATTAGTAAGGTCGACGTAACAAGAACTGGATGTCTTGCTGCAGCGAAAACGGCTTTTGTTCCGGCGACATGGAAGGTGCTGGTGCTGAATTCTGCTCCTACCGTTTAACGCCATGTCGCCATTTTTGCCAATTTATTCCGCACGGCCAAGCGAATGGAGGGTTGCCAGCCAGCGTAGCCACACGCGGGTTTCAGGCTCGTGACCCCGGCGGGCCCGGTTGTTGCGGTTATGCTGCATGGTGCTCTATCAATGCATGCCATTTGTTAACTTGTTATTTGGTTGCATGGACGGTGTGTGGCTTCCCTTCAATACTTGGACAGACTGTGTTTAGGATTTATAGGTTTTCTGGAGGACGTTTTTGGGACCACCGACGTCAAGAGGTTTGGCGACTCCTCTAGAGATATGGCTGTTTAACTGTAGGCTAATAATTGTTATTTTGCGCCACGGGCTATGTTTCATGTGTGATGGTTGATGGGGCCTGCAGCAGCTAGCGGAGCCCAGCTCTCTGCACCGTGCTTGCTCCAGGCTGCTATTTGCCGTTGTTTGGAATCCTGCAGGATCATTTTTGACGTCATCTGAGTGGTGTTGAGCGTGCTTGGGAATTGGCTGGGCGCGCGGAATTCCGGTTTAAGCGGTTGCCTTGGTGAATGGCCGCCAAGAAAGCTATCAGGTTATTGTGACGGGGTGCGATTCTTCCTGTCTTTCCATGGCGCTCTGCTGGCTGCAAGTTCACATAGCGGGGGTAGCGGAGGCGATGTTTTGCTGGCAACGGGTGGCTGGACTTGCTTGCGTGGTGGTGACCTGCTGACTAGCACAACTGCCTCGCAAGCTTTGATGGGCTGTATCTTTGATACCTACAATAGCATACGACACAAAGCATGTTTGTTAGTTATACAATTAGGAGAGAACTTTGTTTAGTAGTTACGTTGTTTGAAACCTACTCCAGTTCGGTGCTTCTGCAGCTGCCCTGAGATTGGACGGCGCACCGCGCGTGCGATGTATACCGGTAGCGTTACTAATATACGTACAAATTGTAGGTACGAGGTTTTCCTTTGGAAGCTCGTACTTTCCAAGCAACCATCCGCAGCGGGCGTTCCGCATGTCATTTGGGCTTGCACGCTGCTGCTGTTTCTGCGCCTGCTGCTTTATTTGTTCGTGGCAGATTTTATTGCTGTGCAGCAGGTTTGAATGTCCTGAAGCTCTAAGAACAGATCAGTTTAACTGATGCGGATTAGCATGTTTGGCGTGGCAACTGCTGTTCAGCAACCTCTAACCTGGCCTACAGGCGTTTCCTTGCCTGCCTACCTGCACGCTAACCAAAGATTGTTTAGGTTAAGCTGGACACGCCGCAAATGGTGAAGGAAAGGATCGATGCATAATAAGTGTGGTTGGCGTTAAGGGGTGCTGCCTCGTGTACCAGCTGTTGTCGTTGTTTTGGGGTACGTTGCCGAGCTTAATCGTTTATTTGAGTTTGGTCAAGCATGGTCATTGTTTAGGGGTGCTTTGGATAATCGTTTTGTATGATGGACCGGCTTGTGTGGACTGATTTGTAACTGGCGACGTGGTTTCAGGAAGAGATAGGACACGGGCTGGTGCGTGGTGTTTGTTACACAGGTAGGTCTCAATGTGTGGATGCCTTTGCAGGAGACGCTTCATCAGGGAATGCGCATTCCGTTTATGTGTTTTGCAAAACAACTCCCATTTTTCCGTTATGGAATGTTACAGAGATAGGACGGGAAGGCAAAAACCTGTGTAGCAGAACATTCTGATACTGAGTCGTGGCTCGGGCTCGCTAATAGTCCTATGATGTTTTCCTGTTGCTAACTGAATAGTGGTCTAGTTTCGAGCGTTTGCGCCGATGTATGTTGGGCCGATTGTTCAGGTAGGTGTTGTGTACCTAACCTTCTCTACTTCCCTTAAAGAATGAACTAAGACTTTTGTTCGCCGGTGTTGGCGGTTAGCTGGAGCAACGCGTTGTACAGCAAAACTTGTTAAAACTTGTTATAACTTGGTTAGTGTGGATTCTGCTTGTTGGAACGTTTGGTTTACCGGTCGGGGCCGGTGTTGTGACGCTTGACTGGCGCTACATGTGGTTTCGGCCAAAGTTAACAGTGTTGCAACCCGGAAGGAGGGGGGGGGTAGAAAGTAGCAGAAACTTATTACATGCACCGAATCGGAGGAGCTGCACGCAGTGACTCGCGATCTGTAGCAAGAATTTCCTTTGGAGTTGTACGAATAAATGATTTAGGCTTAAAAAGTTTGTTGCACGGCGGAAGGGGTGGGTTCGGACCCCAACGGCTGATTTACACGGGCATTCCTAGCCATGTTGAAACCCGTCAAGCATTGGAGCCCGCTGGGGGCTTGCCCCAAAATTCCCACCATCGCTGCACGATGTAATACTTGCAGGTCTTGATTGAGGTAGTTCTGCAAACTCGATGCAGGTACATGCGCCAAAGCAGCGAGCTGTCAGAACGTACGCCAAAGTGCAGAAGGACATGTTCACGCTAAAGAGGTACCGGTGACGGTCCGGAGCTCCGGACCTCGATATCTGATGACCGTGCTAAGATAACGCCAGTAGTCAGGCAATACCGTATCTCGTATGCATTCCGTTTTGGATTCACTGCAACGGTCATTCATTCATCCAGACACTGTCACACTTGGCTTACTCGCATTAGCGGCTGCTGGTCCTGGTGCTGACTACGGCATCTTAGCTCGCATGCGAACCTATCCCAACTGCTTGCTCTTGTTTCTGCTCAACTTCACACTTGGCTTTGCTCGCATGAAGGGCGTTCCTGACGCGTCTTGGGCAAGATGTGGCTGAAGGTGTGGTGAAACGTTCAGGGAAAGGAAATGGGATAAAGCCATCACCCCCTCGAGAGCGCATGTAGCTTGTGCACAAACCTTAATTAGACAGGGACGCTATTTGTGGGTCGTTCATGGCAATCCAAGAGAGAAATCACCCCAAAACCAAGCCGCAGCTAAACATTAAATTGTTAGGAAAGGAGAAACAGGCCAGCGTGCTAGCCACCGAGCCAGGATAGCCACGAGCCGTGCAGGCTGCAACAGCTCGACGTTATGCCGTCACACACCACGCGAACCCTAACACGGTCCGTCCACATCGTCATAATGCATATATTCGAACATGTCCATGTCCTAGCAGAGTGTCCTACCTCATACGGCAATAACCTGTACCAGTGTCAGCAGCGGCATACCAAGGCCAGCAGCCGGATACTCCCGCCTAGACGCCGGTGATGCCCTCCCCCCACAGACCCTGTCATTATGCATTTCCGCCAGTGACCCGGTAATGCCCCAGTACGGTATGCACCAGGTGTGGGGCGCCAACAGTGTGTCTGCTTGCTGCACACCTGCCGGCCTCAGCCGAAACCAGCCTGCGTAGCCCAGCAGCCGTAACGTTGCATCAGCCCCATGCAGCACAGGAAGTCACCGTATGCCGCTGCCAAGGCCGTATGACGAAAACAACTCCGCTTGCACATGTGAAGCATAACCCCAAAAACAAAACGAGACTTGTCCAGCGTCACGCCACGACTTGTCCAGTGTCACGTCAGCAGCGTGTTCCGCTGTTTCCACCGCACGCATGCAAGCATCAGTGAACCATGGGTCGGCCAGCACCCGCGCACACAAAATGCCCATGAAAGCATGTACCGTACGTATGTATGTATATACCTGCTGAGGCACACAATACGTTGGGGTTATGTTATATGATCTATGCCGAAATCCATGCAGAATCGCCACCTGGGGCAGAGCGCATGGCTTGGCAAGCATGGGGCAGAACGCATGCCCTTTGCCATGCAGACATGGGGCCCGATAAGGCATGTGCGGGTTGTTCGGAGAACGGTACCTACGAGACTGGCCATAAACTAAGTAGCCGACAGCGTCCAGAAGAGTTCACATGAAGCAGTCAGGAAGATACCACCACCACCACTGCATAAAATCATACATACAATTTGTACGGAGAGGCCAACCCAGCCCACACATGTACGCACACGCAAACATGAACCAGATATGCGGTATACACACATGGCCTTTTTCGTTATACCAGTCTTCCCAGCGGACAGCTTGACATGCCATCCTACCAGCCATCACTGCAAGCAATGAGACGTAAAGTCATCTACCGTATTGAAGACTCAATCCAGGTCGCCATCACCGGCACCGCTGGCATTTATACCCCATGATTGGACCTTTAAGTCGAAATCCCTTTACTCTTCACTCTAAACGAACAAAATCTCAGCGCTAACCGTGACTGAGTTAACGGCACATGCATAGTGCATAATCCCAATCTCAGTAACAGTCCAAGCACCCTGGGAGAGGCTTAGGAAGGGTGGTATGGTGCGGAAGGTACCACCCTTCACGCGACCTACCGGTACAAGCATGTACCTCCCATCATCCTATAGCGCCGTACACACTCAGACCCTCGCGACTGCTTTCGAAGACAACGGCGGCCGAGCTGACGTAGGCCGCCTTCCCGCCGCCGCCGCTCCGCCCCCGCCTCCCTCGGCCGCCTGTGCCGCACATGCTGCCGTGCCGCTACCGCCCTTTGGCTGCCCAGTCGGCTGAGCGCAGCCAGCAGGAGCAGCGGCGGCGGCGCCGCTGCCAGTGCTCGTGGTCCGTTTGGCCACCCTGACGGCGGCGGCAGAAGCCTTCTGCACGGACCCGCCGGCTTCGCTGCCGCTGCCGCCATTGCCAAGAGGATCCGCACCGGAAAACCGCCTCGCGCCGATACCAAAGCCAACGGACGCGCTGGCAGCTGCCGTACCGCCCGCAGCGGCGGCGCCGTGATTACCACTACGAGCCGATGCACGTGTGGTGGCGGCAGTGCCGGCCGCGCTTCTGGCGCTCGCGACGCCTCCGCTGGCGCTGCTCTGGCTGTTCGTACGGCTGACCCTGCCTACCGGCCCTGCCTCTGGCGCGGTTGCTGCCGCCGCCGTTGCGGTAGTTGATGCGGCAGCGCCCGTTACTGACTTAACCACCTTGGCTACCTTGGATGCAGCGGCGGCCACCGTCGCCGCCGCAACGGACGCCGCCGTCGTCTTGGCCGACGTAACAGCAGCGCGTTTGGTGGTTGCACTCGCTGCTGTAGCGGTAGCCGTAGCGGTTGTGGCGGTTGATGTGGCGGTTACCGTTGTGGAAGTTCGAGGAACGGAATGCACGTGACCTTGGTCATCGTTGCAACCCTTGACGGCAGTGGTGGCGGCAACCGGCCCTGCTTGTGGCGGCGACGAAATATCGCTGGAAACCCGGTGGGGGAAGGTGGCGGCTGGGCAGCTGTGTACGACACCCAGGTTGTCGCTGTCACAGTCGCTGCTGCCACAGCCGCCGCCGCCGACGTCGCCGTCGCAGTGGCTGCCGCTACCCTGGCTGTTTCCGCGACTGAGGTTGTGCACGGGTTGGAGGTACCTGGGAGGGCGCAGGGAGGGAGGGGTGTGTAGTTGAGCGGAAACAAGAGGGGCAGAGGGCAGAGGGGCATCCACTCCCAAAGGGGAAGTTGTGTGTCGGGGAAAGTTCATGCATTGCCTTTGGAGGCATGCCGCTCGTAAAATGAGTGCAAAGGACACCGAAAACCAGACTGAGATCAGAGATGCACAAGGGCATTACCTTTCCCTTGGCAACAAGTTCTTGGCACCTGCCTGGCACCAGTACACGCTTCACACACACACACCCTCCACGCCCACCTGAATGGCTCATCCTCCTCCGAGTCTCCCGTTAGCGGTTGCAAGTGGTGCGGAGGCGCCTGAGGGTGCTGCGACGCCACTCGGGCACCGCACCCTCCCTTGCTGCCGCTCCTGCCATCCAAGTCAGCGCTTTTGCTCGCCGCAATTCCGTCGCCCGCGATCATGGGCCGAGACAACGAACTCGCGACTACGTGTGCCGGTACCCGGCCCCCCCCGCCAGTGCCATCGAGGCCATGCAGTGTCTCCTCACATCCCCCGTCGTCAATGCTACCGCCCTCGCTGTCGTCGTCGTCGCCGCCGTGGCACCGGCGCCGACGGCGGTTGGGTTGGTTGTCGTTGTCGCGCAAGTCGTCATCTGGGTCAGGTTGTCGTTGGTTGCTGCGAATGTGACGGTTGGCCGAGCAGCGGTTCTTATCGTTGGAAGCATCCCAGGCGGGATCTGCAATAACAGCAGCGGCATCAGCAATTGTAGCATCAGCTTTAGTGTTCGCAATGGCGCTTTTATCGTTATTTAAAGTTAAGGTGCTGTAGGAGGTTATTGTGTTATCAGCGCCGCCCGCAACAGTAACAGCGGCCTCCTTTCGGACCCGAGGGTCGGTTGTGTCATCTTCGTCATCACCAAGCCGTGTCGTACCGCGCTTGTTTCTCCGTGCAGCAATGCTGCTCGCTGGGGCCGAGCTGGGACGATGCGTCTGCACAGGTGACAGAGCAAGGAGGGAATGAGGGAGGGAGGGCAGCAGAAAAAGGGAGGCAGAAGGGGGAAGTTGCGTTAGTGAGGGGTCGCACCGTCATGGGTAATGCGGCCATGAGAGCGGATGTGGGGACCCGGCCAGTGGAATGCAGGGAAGGTAGTACATGAATGAAACAGATAAGCTAAGCCAGCACCGCCACCGCACGCATGCACACTTCAACAAACCCACCCACCCACCTTTGCTTTCGGAGCCGACGTCAACGCCGCCACAACGCCCCCCGGCGGCCGCGGCGGCCTCCCGCCAACGCCGCCTCCTACCGCCGCCGCCGCTGCTGCCCCAGCAGCCGCGCCCACCGCTTTACCCCCGACGGCACCACCGGCTGCCGTACGATGACCCCTCGCAGCCGCCGCCGCAGCCCCTGCCGTCATCCCATTGCTCCCACCGCCGATCGCAGCGGCGGCGGCCGCCGCCGCTGCCCCTCGCAGCACGGGTTGCCTCGGCAGTGGCTGACGTGGCACGTGCGGCTTGAGCGGCGGCAGCTTGGGCTGTCTGCCTGCTGCGAGGGCGGCCTGCTGCGCCGCCGCCGCCGCCCGCGCCAGGGGGTCCCACTTGGCTACCTCCGCCTTGCGTCGCTCGCGGGCCTCTTCCGCGCGACGCTTTTCATCCCTGTTAACGGAGCAATGGAATGGGAACGGAGTTTGATACCACGGGCGATTTGGTTGGACTGCCGGGTGAGGGGAATTGATTAGGACTCTTTGGATAGTAAGTTGCAACGTGGGTCTAGTCGGAGTGCAGCTGCCTGCTATCCCCGGTGGGCTTGTGGGGCCTGGCTCCTGCACAGTCGCTCCCTCATCCCTGCCCGGGGCTGGGGCCTGCACCCACCTCTCCTGCCTCTCAAAGGTGTCCAGCAGCCCCATGATGTCGGCCGGCAGGTCCGCCAGCTGGTCCAGCTGGTAGGCGGCGCCAGGGGGGAGCTCCGTGCCGAACCGCGCAGCAACACGCCGTACGGCAGGCTGCGAGGGTGGGTGTTAAGAGTGTACGGCGTGGGAGGGGAGTGTACGGCAGGGCAGGGGAAGGAGCATGGTGGGGTGTTGAATGGGGAAGGCGGCGATGCGGATGTGAAGGCGCGTGGGGAGAGAGCCGCTGCAGCTCCTTCGCGATAGAGAGCAGCAGCAGCTCCATACGCGTACGTCCCCCCCCCCAAAAGCACACGTTTCCCCCGCTGTTCTTCTCCCTTCCCCTGAGTCGGGATATGGGATTGGGACTCTAATTGTAGACTTCATACCGGTATATTCCCCCACCCCACCCCACCCCCACGCCCCTCCGCCCCCTACCTGCAGCCAGTCCAGCTGCAGCAGCTCCTCCGCGGTGGGCCGCAGCTGCGGGTCCTTACACAGCATGCAGCGGATCAGGTTGCGCCAGCGCTCGCTGCAGACATGAGGAGGGAGGTGGGGGGGGAGGCGGGGGCGGGGTTTCAGGAGGGGCAAATGGTTCAAAGGAGCGGATAAGAGAGGTGGGGGGGGGTTAGGAAAAGAGTGGGAGGGGGTTGGTATCATCCCTGTTGGGCTTCCGCATCCCCAGGGAATCAGCCCCACCCCCCATGTCCTCACCCCTCACCTGTACATTGTTGGCAGCGACGGGGGCGGGGAGGAGGTGACCTTTCTGATCAGCCCAGCCATGTTGAACGCCTGGGGTTGGAGGGGAGGCGAAGGGGATGACATGGGGAAAGGCGGGGAGCGAGGGACCGAGGGGTAAGGGCAGTGACCGCAACGTGCGCAACGTGCGAACCCCACCCATGGTGCCGGTATTGGGTTCAATGGTTTTCGAACTGCTTTGCCCCATTTCCCCCATTCCCCCATCCCCGCCCCCTCTCCCAAGCCCCAACCCCTCATTGATTGCTTTATCTATCCTTGAAACTTTTAACCCCTCACCTGGAATGCGGGTTTCAGCGCCGACAGCTCAAACAGTACACAGCCCAGGCCCCAGATGTCATTAGGAAACCCGTACGGCTTCTCCTGTACGACATAACAGGCGAGAGGAGAGGGAAGGGAGGGTGGGCAGGAAGACGACGCAGGAGATAAGCAGGGTAAGAAGGTAAGTTACTCCCAACGCAGGTCCGTTTCCTCCCATGAGGCACTAGGGGTATCCCCAAGCGCGTGCGGCGGCGGGCGGCCATCCCGCAGGCCATCGCATGTTAACATGTTAGGCCCTAACGCAACCTAACAGCGCAGCCTAACGAAGCTACAGCTGATGAACCTTAGATGCATTGTATCTCATTACGGTGATGCATGGCCCTACGCCCCCGGCCCTTCTCTCCCACAAACCCCTGCCCAGGCACGCCTGTGGCACCTCTTTCGACCCCACCCCACCACAACCCCAACCACAACCATCACCCCCACCGCCACATGACGGGCATGCATGCCGTACACACAAACACTCCCCACACATAGGACATCCTACTCCTCGGCCCCCCTGACGTCTTGGTGGGGACATCGTCTTCCGGCAACACTTTACGTTCCGCCTCGCGGCCAGTATTCTTAGTACGCACACACCCCTGCGGCCAGCTCTCTAACCGCGCACCTGCAGCACGCAGGGCGACATGTAGTTGGGGGTGCCCACCACGGTTCGTGTGAGGCCGCCGTCGATGCTGGGCTCCAGTACCACCGACAGCCCGAAGTCGGCGAGCTGCAGGTTGCGGGAGGGGAAGGGGAAGGGGAAGCAAGGGGGGGGGGAGACATCTGGGAACATGCTAGGAGTACATTGATATTATGAATTGGAACCGGGGGAAAGCAGGAGAAGACCGTGTTGGTAACATCATCTTCCCTCCCACTCATTCCCCAGGGAGACCTTCACCAAGGGTTATCAGCTTGGTCACTGGCATGGTGTTGCTCTGTTCCCTTCCCCCCGCCCCCACCTTGAGGCAGCCCTCCCCAGTGATGAGCACGTTGGCGGTCTTGAGGTCCCGGTGCGCGATGCGGCAGCGGTGCAGGTAGGCCAGCGCGGAGAGCAGCTGGGGGTAGGAGGAGGAAGGGGGGTGGATGAGGAGGGACGACTACGTCAAGGGGAGGACGGTAGTAGGAGGAAAGAGGCGGTGGTGCAGTAGAAGAGGAAACATGCGCAGGTAGGATGTGGAAACTGGCGTACGAAGGTGCTGTGAGACGAGCATGGCAGGGTGATGGACGTTGAGGGCGCAGCAGCCTTGCAAGGCACTGTACCGCGGTACGACAAAGACAGCCGGGCTATGTGGTGCCGGGAGACGCGGCACCCGCCTGCACCCCCAATCCCAACCCCCATCGGGGTACTATGGTTCAACCCATGGTAGAGCCTACATGTCACACGGTTAGCTTCGTCCCCTCTAACCCCACCCACATGTTTTGCCTAGTCGTTGAAGCTGGTTTACCCTGTACCCCCCATTCCCTGGGCTCAGTCGGAGTGTTCCCTGCCCACGGTGGAGCCTTGTCGGACGGTTAGTTGATGTCTTCCTCGTTATCCCCCTCCCCACCTGCACCGCCATCTCCTGCAGGTGCTCTTCGCTGAAGTGCATGTTGCCCGGGTGCTGCAGGGGGGGGGGGAGAAGCATGGGGGGTGGGGCGGTTGCGGAGCGGGAAGGAGGCGGAAAGGGGAAAGAAGTCAGGCCTCCCTCAGTCCCTTGCTGCTGCCGTACAGGGCCCTCCCAAGAACCCAATCTAGCCAAGGACGCTTGTCACATGGTTTGTTTCCTCACTAACCCCCCTTGCCCGAACCCACCCTCAGTCGCAGCTGCGTGAACAGATCGCCGCTCTCGCACAACTCCACCAGCAAGCACAGGTTGCAGCCGCCCTCGATCCAGCATCCCTTGTACTGCAGGAGTAAGGGAGGGGGATTACGAAATGGATACAGCGCTCCCGGGCCATTTGGGTCGGGTCCATCTGGTTTTGGGCTGATTTGGGTCGGGGTGATTTGGGTCAGACTGATCTGGGTCAGGGGCCCTAGTGTCTTAGGCGCCATCTATCGCCCCACCTGCCTGGACCCCAACGCCTCAATAACTGGAGAAACAGAGCTGCTATAAACAACAAGAAAGCCCCAGTGCTGCCATTGCAACGCCGCCCTGACGTCGACGGACTGTTACCAATCCACCAATTCCCTCTCTCACCTCCAGCACGTTCCTGTGTCGTAGGTTGGATAGCAGCAGCAGCTCCCGAACAGAGCACTGCCGCTCCTTGGCGCTCTGCCGTGCTAATCGTACACGCTTGAGTACAAATCGCTCGCCTGTCACCTGTCGTACAGTGAGGTTTGGCAGCAGTAATTCCATGAGCGGCTACCTGCAAGATTAGAAGTGCTAACCGTCCCATAGGGACGTCGACTTGAGGAGGGGGAGCCGTTCACACACGCTGGGACTGAGTCAAGCGTATCGAAGCTTGGAGAAACCGTGCCAAGAGCCCGTGGCAAGGGCACATACAAAGATATGAATAGGAGAATAGCAAGGGCGCAGATGCACGGCAGTATGGTCTTGGGGCAAGCGCTAGGTGATACGGAGCTGCCGCCGGTTTCGATGGAGCCATCTAGCGTTGCCAGTCTTCCAACGCTTGGCACGTGTACATAGATTGTTGTGCTTATGTACCGGTATTCAACTCTCCCCTTAGGTTCCCAAAGGCTGGCAGAAGCGATGCCGCGCCACTAGCTAGTATAGACAATCGATGCTGACGCGGCCCGGAGAAAGCCCCAGGCTGTACCTTATGCTCCACAATGTGCGCTGTGCCAAAAGCACCCTTGCCGATCTGTCGAACAGCTGTGTAATCCTCCTGTTGGCCAGAGTCGAAAGTCATGTCGGGCATGTCACCTAGTAACAAGTAAAATTGCGAAACAGCGACCATCGGCTGCACTGTATGCTTACCGAAGACATCTTCAAGTTTATATAAGGTACAAGTAGACGCCACAGCGGTGTAACTTGCAGTTAACCCCAAGGACCCCGAAGGGTATCCCGGTACCTATAAGGCTAGCCTGAGGGCAACATACTATTTTGAGGTGATGAAAAGCGTAGCTATAATAATGTTAGGATAAAGGGAAATGAAGATAAGAGCTCCGCTGGAGTCCAGACTGGTGCTAACAGCCTACAGTGGCGTCTGGCTATAGGAACAGGAAAAGACAAAAACGTTTCTACATAATAAGTTTCCATATGTTGAGTACCATGAACGCGCCAAGGCGACGGAGTCCCATCCGCGGTGTACGACTTTTGTAATGCAAGGGCTTCAACTAGACGAGACGCACAAAACAGTTGTACGTTAGATTATGACCAACTACATCTTACCTCTTGGAGCATTCGTTTTGTGCACGTGGAAAAACAGTTAATCTACTTCCCGTCTACCCAAACGCTACCTGGAAAAGCTGCGCTATGAAGGCGCTACGCACCCAATGCGGTAACCGTTGCAGCAAAGTAACAAGTGGCCGTGTAGCGCTGCCTTTTCGGGGCTCAGCGCGTTCCCTATCTTGTCGCGGCACGGTCGCCCAAAGGCAAGCTGACGTAGGTAAGCGCGGCAGGAAATTTCCTCCCAAATAATTGGAATGGGGCCGTTTTGTGGCGCGCTGTGTTAGAGGTGTCTAGGTGGAATTCGGTAAAGGTTTGCCAGACGCGCATGCGTTGTGTGCGTCACGGCCGCACCTGGCACATGATGTTTACGCCTGTGAACAATCTAAATTGACTGCTAGGTGTCCGAATCGATGTTGAAAAGACCAGCTGGAACAGCAGGCGCATTTTTGCAGCGGTAACGGTTCCCGCGCCAAAGGGCAATGTCTGGTCAGCGTTGACCGATTACGACCATCTCGCGGACTTCATCCCGAGCCTGGTTCAGAATCGCTGCTTGGAGCGTAGCGGAAATACAGCGACGCTATACCAGGTAACACGTTACATGGTACAGCAAAAGTTGCCCATTTAGCTGCGCCACGCGTAAGAGTAGCAGCACGTCGCCGGGGCCGAAACGGATTAAAAGCCACGGATAGCCTTGAGGGCAATTCAGTTTCCCGCCCTCCCCTCCCCCTCCTTTTGCTTCAGGTTGGCGCCCAAGACGTGGCCATGGGGGTCCGCTTTAGCGCCGCTGTCACCCTGCGCTGCTCCGAATATCCGGATGGAGGGTTGCCCGAGGGCCTTATGACGCCGCCGCCACCGGGCAGTTGCACAGCAACAGGCAGTACGACAACTGGAACTGAAAGCAGCAGTAGCGGCCTGGGGAGAAGTAGCATGGCGACCTCAAGCAGTGACTCGCAAGATAGCAGTGAGGACGGTGGTAGTAGCAGCAGTAGCAGCAGCAGCAGCAATGGCGGCAGTAGCAGTAGCGGTGGTGGGAAAGCAGGTGTGGAGGAGTTGTTTCCGTACCCAACGACTACCGTACCGGGTGTACGAGCATCGGACATCAGCTTTGAGCTGTTGGAAGGAGACTTCCAGGTAGGTAGCCGGTGGAAAAGAAGAACACCCAATGTGTTGATTGAGAATGGCAAACTCCTGGTGAATGGGATCGAGCCGAAGCTGATGGAAGCACTGATGGAATGTGCGCTTGGGGAAAAGCTGTGACTATGGCGATGCATTGGGCATAAAGAAAGGCCCATGCAGTGAGAGACTAGGCGGTTGATGGCTCGAAGCTGAACCATGGGAGGCTTCTCTCGCACCCTCCACCCCACACCCAAAATCCAGCCTCCGCTCTCTGAACCCTGTCCTCCCTTCCTCTTGTGCCGCCGTACACTCTCCAAAAAAACAGACGTTCCGAGGCATTTGGCGCATGCAGCCAACTGGGGAGCGTACGACACTTCTTAGCTACGCGCTGTACGTCAAGCCTCAGGTACGACACACCCTCCTTGTTTGGATAGACCTCTCGTTATGTGTGGCACTCCTGACATACACGTGCCCGGTTGACACTACCACCCGCTAACTGCTGTGTGCCATTATGATCCCCCCTGCATCGCCATGCCATTCCGCCTTACCACAACGGCTGTGTCATTCCCCGCCCGGCTCCTCCCCGACTCCTGGCTGCCCCACTCCATTCCCGCTCGGCCCCCCTCCCCACCCCCACCGCCCCTCCCGCCCGCCCGCCAGTCTTGGCTGCCGGTGGCACTGATCCAGGGGCGCATTGAGAACGAGGTGGTCAGGAACCTAGAGGTGAGGAAAGGGGGTGAAGGGGGGTGGTAAGGGAATCGAGTTGAGAAGGGAGAACGGGGACTCCTGATGCCCGGAGCCTCCCGTGCCTGCAATGCCTAGCCTGATGGTACATGCCCATGCGCGGCCTCCTTCCTCTCCACCACTCACCATTTCCCCTACCCCACGTGTAAGCCCGCCCCAACCCCTACCCGTGTCCCCCTCCCCGGTGCTCTGCCCTCCCTCCTGCCATACCCAAACCCCAGGCCGTGTCTCGCTACGCGGAGTCTCAATACCAGCAGGAACAGCAGCAGCAACGGCTGCAGGGGCAGTTGTAGGTCAAAGGTATGGCAGTTTTAGGTTCTAAGCGAAGGTTTCATGGTGCGGGCGCAACCATAGCAACAGTGGTAATAGCAGCAGTAGCAGCGACGCAAGGCAAGGATAGCAGGACTCGACAGCTACACAGCAGGAGGCGGCAGGCGGGCGGGCCTAGGAGCGGTCTGATCCAGCAGTGGGGGTAAAGCGGAAACAACTAATTGACCGTGTGATAAGGCGTCATCAAGGTTTGCAACATGTCAGCCAGCAGTGGGGGTAGGGGCCCCAGGACACAACGGACAGCAGCAGCCATGGAAAGGGGTTGGCAGGATGATGATGATGATGATGATGATAGTGATGAGGTGGAGGAGCTGATGTCATGCTTTGTCGTGGCTAAAGCAGGCAGCAGCAGCGGACGCTTCACGGGTGGTTAAAGAGGAAACATGAGCCAAGTGGAGAAGTACAATGCTCTGGTAAAGGGAATGGGGTATGGGGTAAGACGGGCGTCATGGCATGATGGCGTGCGGTAGCGTGCGGTAACATGACTTCTTGTGTTTGGACTCCCCAAGAAAACGATGAATTTGATGTCACATGACCGTTCGGCGGAATGGGATCAGGGGTTATTAATATGTATCCAATTGTGTACGAACACGATGTTTCCAAAAGCCGGAAGTGGAGTTTAATGACGACGCTTAGGGAGGAGCGGCGCTGTTTAAGGTGACTCCCAAAGGTAAGATGTGCTGCCGTAAGCGTAAACAGTATCCGTCGCCTTCAGCGCGTACAGCAGTTTACATCGCAGCATGAATTAATAATACATATCCCGCATACTTTTACGTACAGCAACATTAGGTATCTAGGATTGACAGAAGGCACAGCATTTACAATTAATAACCACGCCCTAACCAAGCTCTTGTGCTACCGGTAAAATACCCTAAAAACTATCCAATGAGTCCGTGGCGCAAACAATGTTCCATATATCTTTCATCTTCGCACATGTGTGCGCCAATCCGGCAAAGCACCTGCTTGCCGTACAGCAACAACTGTGCCTGTCGTACAATGTCACCAGCGGCCCCTTATGCCGTACACACCTCAGTTTGACGCAATAACTCTATTCATCGCAAATACCGTATGCATACCGGCAACGTGGACCAGGGCGCGTCAGGTGACATGCAAGCAAAACCTGTACATGTAATTGAAATTCATGCCGTATGTGAAATTGCACTTATAAATCCAACAACCCCAGCAAGGTTTAAATTTACTCACGTGACCTCCTGCGGATTGTCCTACATGAACAGAACCATCGACCCATGGGTCGTTCCTTTCCCTTCCTTGTTCTTGCGGCCAAGGCAGCTGGAACATGACTTCAGCTGTACAACCTTGAGTACGGACCGCTGCGCAACAATTCCACGTAAGTATGCGGCTCATAACCTACAAGCCAGTGTTGGGAAGAATATATTTGTTTTGGCACATCACATTCTTACTTCCCTTAATCACAACAGGGAAATCTCAGCGGGCGGCGGTGCCACCAAATCCATGCCATCTGACGGATCCGGATAAGCGTACAACGACATCTCGAACAATGTCAACCAGCCGCCGCCGTTGTTAGATCCAACGACCAACCGATAGTACGAATAGTTGCCGGCGTCCGACACGGAAAAGACGAGGCCCTCAGGCGTCCAGTTCCAAATGCCGGTTTGCTCGTCCAATAAAGCCCAGTAGGTTCCATCGTTGGATCCAAGGAGTTTAAAATCCTTGGGACCGCGATTCTGCATGCCGCGGTCACGGGTCCAAAGTGCGTACTTGACAGCCTCGACACGGTGGGGCAGTTGGATCTGAATCCATTCGCCATGAACCTCCTCATCGCCAACTGTTGTACTTGCCGTACCCAGGTAGCGGTACGGCAGATTCTGGTCGTACAGGTTAGCCGCACCATCCGTCCACATGTGCCCCGTTCCAGTATTAACCAACCCGTCAAAAGCCTTCCAGCCCGCCTCGGATGCAGAACGAACCGAAGAGGCTCGAACACGGTACCAACCGTTGCCGTACAACTGGTTTAGGAGCTGAGTGTCGTACCCGGTCAGCGGCGCAGGGGGGTGTCGTACAAGGGGAGCCGGAGGGTCGGGCAGCTCAGTGGAGCCGGTGGAGGGCGACTCGGAGGGAGGTGGTGTTGTGAAGTCGTCAATGACGACGGGAGGGTAGGCCGGAGTGTAGGTTGGCGGCGGAGATGGGGAGTTGCCGCCGTAATAACCGCCGTAGGTGGGGAACACCGCTACCGTAGATGTAGTGGCGGTGGATGGCGGTGTTGGTGGCCTGCTGAAGGCGGTGACGGCATCATGGTTGCTAGTGAAACCGCCACCGTTGTCATCAACGGCAAAAGCGGCGAATCCGGTCCAGATGCGACCTATGGTGCGTGTGGGCAAGGCAGGAGGAGGAGCAGGAGTAGAAGGCGTAAGGGCAGATGCAGCACGTTGAGGTATCAGTGCTATGGACTCAACAGTCCAGACAGACAGGCAGGTCAAGGGATAGGAGGAGGGAAGGGCGGTTTTGCAGGATGACGAAAGGATGGAGGATTGATGATGGGGCCTGGCAGGAATGAAGCAGGAAGCTAGTTTGGTATGTGATGGGAGAAGGAGAAGGAGGAACGAGGTGGGAGCAGGCAGAAGGGAGGGTTAGATATGGCCCAGAGCATCGGAAGGGGCTCGAAGGGGTATGAGCCCAAGGAAGGCTAGCTGGGAGGTCACACACCAGGTGATTTACCGGCATGAGCGTTGTGGCATAATGGCATTGCGACATCGCGGGTTACGTATTGCGTATGGCAGGGCTCTCCTTAGCTCGAATCATGCTTACCAGCTGCGACTAGCTGCCATGGGCCGCAGAATACCGTCAACAACGCCAAGAACGCAGCAGCCCGAATTCTTGAGGGAAAAAGCTCGCTCGTGTTGCCCGTTGCCATGGTGCCGGGCCTGCTTGCCAAAGTCCTGAGCTGCTATCCTGGACGGAAACGGACAGCTCGTTGTCAAGCCAACGGAACAAGAACACAAACGTATTCCCCTATTCCTTAACTCCGGTTATGGACCTCAGTTGTGCTAGCCCCGGCACAAACAAGGCCTACTGCAGTATGTGTATGCGTGCTCCAATGCCCTTGGTCGACGCAGGTCGTCAGTGGGCTAGCCGTGAAAAGAGTTCCCCATGTTGAACAGTTCTCCGCAAAACTCCACACCTCGTAAATTGTCGAGCTTGTGTGCGGTCTGCTCTTGCCGACCGGATGTAAAGGATTCCAACGGATGTTGCCCGGGTCCTAACTACAAAAGAAGCGACAATTCAGCTTCAGATATACGCAACGTATGCCCTTATACTCGTAGTAATCAGAAGGGGCCCCGTAGTCGCAGTGTGGACACTCGCACAAACTTGGGCGGTTGGTACGACTTAAGCAACCATTCTTAGGCAAACGTTGAAGCGCAATAAAAACAGAACTGTATAGCTCACCAGTAAGCTTTCCTTGCAGACGACTTCAGCTTGCACGACAAGGCAACTTTTTTTCCATTGTGCCTTACGGCTTGCTGTCCAGCTTGACTGGCTGGCTTAAGGTTGGCTTCAACGGCCGAAGCATTCAGTTGGTGCTATAACCGCGCACTGCGCTACGCCCTCCCAGTGGAGCCAGAGAGCCAGGGCTAGAGAATTGACTAGTTCTGATGCCGTCGAATCAAAAATTTTCTAATCTTTATGATTGAAGTATATGGGCTGTCCCTTCTAAAACTGACGAGGTTCCACCACCATCCCTGGGCACCTTGCCGTCGTGACCGCCCTCAGAGCCTGTGCGCCGGCTCCCCGCTGATCCCATCTGCCACAACGGTCCTCTTGCCACCCCTCACAAGCATCTGGTTCCCCTGGCTACAATCCATGCATGTACAGAAAACATGAGATTTGCAAGCCTTAGCCAAGCAATCACCCACAACCAACGGCTCGTCCGTTGAGCCTGAGCCGGGTGATATTTCCAAACACCCGGCATCCACAACAGCATGTGGACCGCAAACCTGAGCCAGTGGCGTTCTGCCGCCTCCCTCGCAGCCATGGCTCCTTACTACCTCCCTGCACCCCTCACTCTGGGCGCCGCCTCAAGCCCCCCGCCCATCAGGCGCCCGCAGGCCCATGTTCCCCCGCAACAACTCCCATAACCCCCTCACCAATTCGCCGCCGGCATCCAACCATGCAACAGCTCTCTGCCTTCCCTGCAGTGCTGCATCCCGCTCTAGCTCATAGCCAGCCTCCCGCAGCCAGCCCAGCACCGCTCTGTTGCTGGAAAGCCGCAGGTAGTCGCAGAGGAGCTGCACGGGCGGGCCCCAGGGGCAGCCCAGTTGCTTCAGGCAGCGCAGAGTGGCCAGGTCGCCATTGTCGGCAGCATGCAGGTAGGCCAACCCATCATTCTGGGGGGAAATATACATAAGTGCATCAAGGGATGGGGGGGAGGCAGCGGGTGTATGTGCTCAGGAAGCTGGCCGCGAGTAATTGGGAGCAAGTATGCAAGGAGCAGGTGCATGGAACCCCTAGTAAGCTTGCAGGCCGTGCCATGCCACTTCGGAGCCCTGTATACGGTAACAGGAGTGCTGACCATAGGTCTTGCCCCAGCATCCTGTCCTTGGAACGTGGAGGCAAGCTGGCATGCGACCAGTGAGGCTCACACCTCACACACAACCAGGATTCCCTCCAGCTCGGTCTGGATGGATACACCCTTACACCCATGTCCAGCGTGAGGCACAAAGTCATGGGAGTGCATGCAGCACCCCACCCCACCCCACCCACCGGCATGGGGCAGCCCTGCTTCACCAGCCATTCCAGCGCCTCCACGCAGCCCCCAAACGCAGCCCGCCGGAAGGTGCTCTCATCCCAGGGGCAGCGCCGCCCCCGCAGCCACCTCATCAGCTCCAGGCTGCCCGACTCCGCGGCGCCGCCAAACACATCCACGCACAGCTTCACCCCGCCCGCAGACCCCAGCGTGGCCACCAGCCAGAGCACCACCCGCAGGTGGCCGCCCCCGGCCGCGGCGCACAGCGTCATCTGGACGTTTATGGGGCATGCCCGGTCGTGCAGCAGGGCAAGAGCACCCATGCTGCCGGACGCAGCCGCCTTAACAGCACACATCTCATATCGCACCATATCCGCTGATTCCAAGGCGCACTGCAACGCCTCTACGCTGTCCGCTTCTGCGGCCGACTCGGCAACAACATAGCTCAGACGGTGGCCTCTGGCTTGCAGCCACCTCAGACGGTCCACAGCGTCCGGGCAGGATGCAACGTACCTACAAGCATCCCAACCAGGAAAGCCCTGCCCCTCAAGCCAAAGCAGCTTGGCCTGCCAGTCAGACTTGAGACTGCGGGCTGCTGCTGCCGCAATTTCGGCCTTAGAGCTGATAGACAACTGCTGGTCCTGCTGACCCTCACCCTCACCCAGCCATTCACCATGCAGCGTCTGCAGCGTAGCCAAATCACAATACCGAGCCGCTACTAACAGGCGGCGTGTAGTTGAGTTGAACAAGAGCAAGCAGTTGGGATAGGTTCGCATGTGAACCGCGAGTACAGGCAAAACAGAGGAAAAACAGAGCAACCGGAGGTGCGGGCGGGGCGGGCCCTGATGCAGCTGGTAGCGATGAGACCAGCATGCCGCTGGCCCACTTTGCACGGCAGTGGCAAATGGCGCAGCAGCAGCAGCAGGCGGCCATGATGTACAGGTGTCAGAAAGGTGTGGATGGCGGAAAGCATGCACTGCTGCATGGACACGACTTTGCCAAATATGGGCGGGAAGTACGGCCGCCGGCGGCCCGGACGGAGCCTCCATGCCCGTGATGTGTATGCTTCTTTGCTGCATGTAAACGCTATACTGGAAGCGTACACCGCGCTGAAAGTCCCTGCATACCAAGCCCTGGACCCTGGCCCTTGAGAAGAACACATGCAGCCCTGTTTTTCAGAGGTTACGTAGTTACATGCAATGCATGGTACGTGACCAGCACTCGAGCAAACGGACTGGAGGCAGGCACTGGTCTTGGCCAAAGCGTGTATGCGACTTGTACTGTTATAAACTATGCGCAGTTTAAGCTCAAACGTATTAAAAGCCCTGAGCGGGCCCTGAAAGCCCCCAAGGACACATATCAACATGAAAGGTTTTGGAAATGCTTTGCAAAATAGGACAATCCCTTCCTCACAGGCAACAGGAAACAGACCAGCGCAATGCCCTGCTACGACACAAATCGAGTCCTGTAGCAAATTGCCATGCGCGTACGGCATAAACACCAACAAGTATGAATTTCAAATACTAACACGCACGCGGACACAAGCAACAGTTTTAAATGGAACCCGCCAGCAGTTCCCTGGTGAAATGCAGGGTACTATAACCTAAACATTGCGAAGGACATAGCGATAGATTCACAGCACCGTACGGCAGCACAAAGCACGGCTCACGGCGGAAACTGCTGCGTTTCCAGTCAAGACAACAAAATGCGCCTCAATCGTACAAAAGGAAAACGTAGCCGTGCGGCTCTTCTTAACTGCCAAGTCGCATCCAGACAGATAATCAAGGCCCCATAGATATTTCAAGAATTCAACAGTGCCATATGGCACCATGACACGGAAGCTAACATTAACCGGCTGACATTGGTACGTCCACGTAGCACCGCATACTCAGGGACAAGGGATCTCTGCGTGAGCGATTTTCCATATTCAATTGTTTGCCCACGTGCCCACCATTTGCCTATGTGCACGGCATCTCAATCATCCAATCCTCATCCTCAATCCTCCAATACCCATATGCACGGCATCCTAATCATCCACAGTGCCATCTCGCGTGCAAGCAATACCGGCAAGTAGTTAATAATAGGGGGCAGTTAACAATGCAGGTCTTAAGGCTAGAAAAAAAGGCCAAGGAAGACGTACGGAAAATAGGTCACCGAAATAGTTACCGCGGATTACCACATCCAAATTGGCGTGAACAGCTTATTGTACCAAGGAGGCGGAGGCGGTGAAGGCGGCGGCGGCCGAGGTGGCGGAGGGCGCGGAACAGGCGGCGGCCTGGGGCTAGGCGACGGCGGCGACGGTGGCGGCAATGGAGGCGAGGGCGGCGTGGGGGGAGGTGAGGGCGGCCGGGGAGCAGGAGAGGGCGGAGGAGGTGGCGGCGGGCTGGGGCTTGGAGGAGGTGATGGGGGCGGGGAGGGAGGTGGAGAGGGTGGAGAGGGAGGAACAGGTGGGCGGGGAGGTGAAGGCGGCGGCGGCGGGGAGGGCGGTAGCACGATTTGGTAGAGTGACATGACCTTCGTTCCGCCGCAGATTGCGTAGGTGGAGCCGTTCTTCGTGTCCTCCGTCTCCGTGCCGGCACAGCGAGAGGTGCAGGTGAATGCAGGGCCGTAGCCGGGGGTGCGGGTGGTGATGGTGTTGATGTCTCGGAAGTAGCCGCCGCTGCAGTACACCCCCTCCCGGAGAGCGTAGATGTTGTAGCCTGCGTGGAGGTGCGGGTGTGGGGTGGGTGTGGGTTACGTACGGTACTAAAACACCGCCTGACACGGAAAACCTGGCTTTGTGGATCGGACAACATAACTGGAATGTGCCAAGGAGGTATAATTAGAAGAACTTTTGCGTAGTAAGAATCACTGTCAGGCAACCAGTTGCGTTCAAAGTGCCATTGAACCCCATTGCATTCCCACAGGACGACGACCCGTCAGAGTCAGCAGTAGTCCGTCCTCCGCACACCAACAACGACCCGCTCCACTGCACCCCTGCACTGTCGTACGCTCTTACCTTTCTTCACAGCCGCATCCCTGCATGTGTCAGGAGTGACGTACAACGGCAGGCTGGTGTCCGTAAGGTCCGTCATGTACTTTCCAAGCATGGCAAAGCCATCTGGGAAGAGGAAGCAGCCGAGGTAGCCACTATCCTGAATGGCATTGGCTAGTGAACCTCCGCACTGTCCGGGGCTGTTGTACATGGTCGGGGTGATGCCGCGGGGCGCCGGGAGGGAAGCCGGCCGGCCGCAGGTGGCATTGCAGCGGCGGCTGGGGCCGGAGGAGGTGGCCATGGTTAGGTTGTTGGAGCCCATGCACATGGTGCCGTTTGTACGGCAAAGTAGCGGAAGCCTGCATAGAGGAGGAGGGAGGTAGGATGGTAGGATAGGAGAGGGAGGGAGAAGGAGAGTGTTGATGGAAAGCAAGAAACGATGGGTTTCAGCTTTCAGGACATGGCAAGGTATTCCCTTTCCCATGTCACCCTTGGGCAAACAAGGCACATGTCAGAAGTACGGCCAGTAATACTGGCCAATAACACCAATACTGGTTATCTAGAATCTAAAGTGAGCAAACAAGCACACGGGTTCGCTGGTATCTGCCTACCGTATTCGTTGGCCTTCCATCTGCACAGTTGCGCGTTCATGGAGGTGTTGCTCTCCATGACCAGCACCATGAGCGGGTCCTCAGGCAGGTCGTTGTAGCAACCCACCCAGGCAGTGGGACCTAAGGGCGGAGGACGATTAATAGTATAAAACGTCAACATAAACACGGTCGAAGTGTCAAGATGGATGCAGCACCTCTGGCTAGCGGCCAATCCTGTCATCCACTCCTAAATGCCACATACACATGTGACACATGCACACACGCCTTTTCTTAACACACGCCTTTTTCAACAGCAGTGCAGGATACCATGAATAAGACAAAGCAAGAAGCAATACCCATGCCCACGCGTACGGTAACAGGCCATGCAGATACTCACTATCTGTGCCGCGGAAGGGAATCCTGGCCACGTCGGGCACCGTGCTGAACAGCAGGTTGGCGAACGGCCCACCGCATGGCTCGGGGTACACCGAGAGTGGGTTCTGAGCCAGCCAGTCGTTGGCATAGCCCTGACAGCTTTGAGTGCAACGAGAGCTGGGACCGTTCTGCGTGGCGTGTGCAATGGCGTTTGTGGCCCAGCACTCGGACCCCGCCTGCAGGGAATAGTACTCAAAGCCTGCGAGCGGTGGGGGGGGGGGTAAGGAGGAAGAAACTACCTAACCGTGTGACAATTCTCCACCATGTGTGGTTGCCAATGGCCCATCCGGTGGAGATGGGGACACAGCGGGTGGCGGTTAGTTTGCGGGGTTGAGGCGCGGCTGTAAGCATACTGGCGTTGTGAAAGACCATCGATACATGCTAGGGGGGGACCGCGGGTATTCATGAAAGTCCCCATTTTTCGACGGTTTCCGTGCACATAGAGCGCGTGACGCACCGTATTTCAACGCCTCGGCGCGGCACTTGTCAATCGTCATGTTGCCACGATACGCAGCGTAAACTTGCGGCGGGTCAGAAAAGCGGAAGCTGTGGACCAGGCGATCAAAGCTATCCTTGAAGCAGCCCAGATAACCGCTGTCGTACAAGCTCATGGCCAAATTGCCTCCACACTTGGAACCGTCGGTGCACTTTAGGTTGCACTGTGTATCGTACGTTTGGCCGTTCCTGGTCGTCGTCCAAATGTCGTTGGTCATCCAGCACTCATTGCCGTTCTCCAAACCGAAGAAACGGTAACCTATTCACGGGAAACGTACGGGAGGTGCACCCGGGGATGCACGTACGGGGACACTGATGTATGAGATTGCATTGGCAGTCGACTGCATGGGCCGAGGCCACTAGTAGGTTGGAAGGCAGTATTGCATGTCTGGATCCTCACGGCTAGCATACGCGGCGAAGATAAAGGGGTGGCGCCATTTGAAGGACAAAGTACGACGCATGACTTCCTGACAATGTACCGCAGTATTGCTCACCATTCTTAATCGCGGCTGCTCGGCAGTTTGCCACGGTGACGGTTTTGCCGATATCCAGGCGGCCATTCGGAATGATGCGCCCCTCAAATTGGGCGTCCTTGTAGCAGCCCAGGTAAAAGGTGTTCATACCTACATCGGCAGCGGCATTGGCAGCAGGCACTTGCAGTTGCAGCGGCAGCGCCAACAAGCAGCGTGCATCAAGGCGTTTTGCGGATTGCGGATGCATGTACCTGTCTGTCCGTACCACGTATGCATGGTAGGGCAGGTACATGCATCCGCAATCCGCACACAACGGCTGCAGCACATGCAAGCCCTCTGAGCGCACCCAAGCCGGTATCCACCCATGCACCCGCCGCTTCCCCTGCCCATCCCCGCAGCTTACCCTTCGTACGCAGCATTGGGATGTACTTTTGCGGTGCCGCAACGGGACTAGGCGACCCCGGAGCCGGGTCCTCCTCCGGGAGCGGCTCGCCCCAGATGATGTAGTTCTCCGCAAACTTCCAGTCGCCCACTTCCGACCAGTACGACCACACAAACAGGTTGATGCCCAGCGATACCTTGAAGTTGACCGACTCAATCCAAACGCGAGTGGGGATGATGTTGATGGTCACAATCAGTTCCGCCTTGACCACGATGACGCTGAGGGACAGATGACCCGTCACATAGCCAAACTTCTCGTTGAAGTTATAGCCTGGGGGGGATGTTCGTGACAGTAAGGAAAAGAGTCAGGATTGGGTGCATTAGAGGGGTGGTGCGTAGGGAGAGGGATCGTGCGGAGGCGGTGTGGAGGTGGGCAACGGTGGTGTGTGTGGTAGGTTGGGGTGACAGGAGTTGTGTAACTGTATTTAGGTCATGACAACCAGGGGAAAGGATAGGCAGTAAAAGTCCATACCCCATGCTTCAATATCCAAAAGTTTGACGACAGGGTCTCAATTCTGCTTTCAGTATTTCATTTGAAGTTGTACAGAAAACGTCATGGGCCCGCAAAGTTGGTTGTATGACAGGGGTGGGTTTCCCACCCACCCACCCCCTGTGACAACACTTTTCAAACGGAGCCCCCCCCCCCCCGCGTCCACAAAGCAAGGAGGCAGGAAACAAAGACTGTATAAACGAGACTGTTCCCACACCCCCGCCGGTTTAATCCACGCACCTCACACCACACTAGACCACAACACTCATTCCACTAGACACCACCACCCACCAGCGCAGACCTCGAGTGAGAGCATGGTGATCATATCCAGAAACTGCACAGGCAGCAAGAGGAGGAGGAGGAGCGGGCCCCAACCTTCAATAATGAGGGGCACATGCGAATCAGTGGCCGGGATATATGTGATTTTGCTTGCGTTAAAACATGCAGTGGGGCGCACCTGCGGCATGTGCAGCACTAGGGGTGTGACGCACTTCACTTCTGTGTGGCGCATGGGCGTGGCATTCACAAGATCAACCCGTTAGAGTGGTTAGAGACTGTTCCCAACCCGAACAGCCCGAACGAAGTGGTACATTGAGCTCCCTTTCCCCCGGCAGCTCCCTTCAGATCCCCCTAGGCAGTCCACGACACACCCACCGGAACCCACGTCCCAGGGTTCACAACGCACAGCACCCTTCCTCAAGGCGAGTAGAGAACCCCCGAATGCAAGGGTGCACCCGACTCGCCTCCCCAACCTGACAACACCACCCAACGACTCACCTCTCCCAACATGCCATCCTCCTCAACCTTTGCCACCATCTCTATCAACCCCTTCAGCCCCAAACTCAGCTCAAGGCAGCCCTCGACCTGCAGCACACCAGCAGGAAAGGGAGCGCATGCGGGTGTGTTGCCGCCAGGATGCATGCCAGGGATGAACAGACAAGCGAGAAGACACGGGACGCGGGAGGTTGCTTAACGGAAGACACCACTTACAAAGGTGTTTGAGGGGCACAGGTCGACGTTCACGTGCCCAGTTAGGTCGAGGGGCAGCCCAGGGACTGCGAAGAGGGTAAGGAGGGACAGGGTGCGTGTGTGTGTGTGGGGGGGGGGGTGAAATGCTCACAGCAGCAAGAGTATGCCCGAGTATGGCAGAGCTGGGAGCATATTAACAAGCTTCCCCTGACCCTACTGCTGATCAGTGATGCTGACACCCCGTGATCCCGCTCCTCCTTACCCCCTCCCACCCACACCCACGCCGCATATGTTGCTTCCTCTTCCCCCTTCGCCTCCCTTCACCCCCATCCTTCCCACCCCTCCCCGCACGCCTACTCACGTCCGCCTCCGCAGCCAAACTCAATGTAGGGGTAGTCCCCGGTGGCTCCCGCAAAGGCAATCGCAAACTCGCAGGGCTTCACCTCAATCTTGTACAGGTTCACATCCGTTCCGCCGCACCAGAGATCCTTATCAAGCGCCGTGAAGGAAGCGAACGCAAACATCTCCTCATTCTTGGATGTGAGCAGTCGCCGGCGTCGTAGCCCGGATGACGATCCAGATCTTGTTGACCAGGAGGAGGCGAGGGCCGTACCGCCGGCACCGCTGGAGGTGGAGGCGGTGCTGCTGCTGCTGCTGTGGATGATGACGAGGCCGTCGTCATCTTGAGCTACTGCGTTGTCATCTTGGTCCCTCCAGGACTCCAGTTGGCGCATCAGCCGTCGTTGGTTGACAACCCCGGTAGCGGCGGCGACACCTGCGTTGTCCACATCAGCCGGTGCCGTCCACATCATGACTTCAAGAATCGAATTCTGGTGACATTACAACTCAACAATAGTAATACCTATTCAGCCTCGGCTTGTAGCCTAGAATCGCCCCTATCAATGGACGCACGGTTCGGCTTCTGTTCCTGCCCCGCGCCGCCTCCGTCCGAGCTATAGCCCCCACCTGCGCTGTCGTAGGGGTCCGGGCTGTCAAAAGCCGAGATGAGGCGCGGGATGGTGGTGTCATTGGTGCAGACGCTGTTGGCCGGGTCTTCCAGCGGGAAGATGAAGTCACCTGGGTCGACCTCCTCCCCGTTGAGCTGCACAAAGTCAGTGACCTGGATCATGGTGCGACCTGCGTGTTTTGAGGGCGGGGGGGAGGGGTGTTTAGGGTGGGGGAGGTTGGTAACGCGTAGGCGGTTTGCAGGAGTATTGCGGTTTTCAGCACACAGCCCACACCAAACGTATTCATAGCTTAGGTGGGCTTCTATAGAAACGTAGGCTTATACGGGTGTAAGACAATGTAAGATAATCCCCCACACAAGAACCCCGCGGACCCCCGCAACCCAAAGCATGCGTGCGTGTCCTCTTACCCAGCCAGGGGTGGTTGAACTCAAAGCCCAGCGGAATGCCCCCGGACCGCGAGTCCCAGTAGTCCACAGTGATGGTCTTGGGCGGCGGCGGCAGGGAGGCATTCGCCAGGAAGCTCTGTCGCTCCGGCTGCTTCACAACCAGACGGAAGTGCCGGGCGGATCTGCGGGGGGGGGAGATTGCGGGGGGGGGGTAGGAAGAGGGGGGAGGCAAGGGGATGGAGGGGGGGAAGGAGAGGGTGACGAGAAATCGTTGGTAGTTGGTGAAGCGTGGCGGGGCGTATAAGAGGTGCTGTCGTCGTCATCTTGCATCAGCGCGTCGCACCCTTCATTTGCTTCCGCGCCGGTTGTGTAGCCAGGCGCACCACTTCTTTATGTCACTCTCTCAATGAAACCACAACCCAAGTCACTCCAAACGACGAGGAGACGCCGTCTTTTCCTGCCGGCCGGTCGCGCCCTCCCTCTGCCCTACCTGTTCTGGTGTTCGTCGTAACCAACAAAGGTGAAGTTCACGAGCGTCTCGTTGGGGTTGCCAAAGCTGTGTGCGGCCAGCGAGTAGGGCTTGATGCCGCAGTGGTAGGTGGAACCCAGCAGCAGCTGACCGCCGCTGGAGCTGACCTGTGGGCTCGCACATGGAGGAGACGGGTGTACCAATGTCCGCTTCAGCCAGCTCAGAACGACCCATGGGTCACATCAGGAATAGTGCCAGACGAGCCATCATCATGGAAGCTTCCAAGAGAACTCCAGGTGTTTGTTCAGAGTCCGTTCTGAGTCCATAGCAGCCAGCAATGCTCCTGTCATCTTTTAATCCTTAACTAGCCGTACACAAATGCGTGGACCCATATAAACCAACAACACCTGCCGAGCCCCACCTTGCAACTACCCCTGCACAGACCTTCACAGCCCTACGTTACGTGTATCCCTCCCCTCCCCTCCCCTCCCCTCCCCTCCCCTCCCCTCCCCTCCCCTCCCCTCCCCTCCCCTCCCCTCCCCTCCCAGGGATTGTCAGCAACTTGTATCATTATCACACCACACTTTGGAATTTCTTTTTTCTCCCCTCCCCTCCCCACACCCCACCTGCTGCACCCAGGAGTGCAGGACGCCGGTGTCATTGTTGGCCACCTCCACCCGCATGAAGTCCGGGAACTGCGAGAACTGGTACACGGTGCGCACCAGCCCGTTCCACAGGGTGGAGGATTCGGTGCTGGGGGCGGGGGGGGGGGGGGAGGGAAGAAAACGACGGACCAAAGGAAACCTCAAGTAAGGGGGAGGCAATAGGGGTGGGGGGGCGGCGCGGTGCCATAAAACGGGGTGGGAGTTAGCGGTCCCTTCATACCCGTGCTGGTGCTGGCGGAGGAGGAGGGAGGGTGCGAATGGGCAGCTGGGAGCAGGGACTTCGTGAGTAAGGAAGACCCACAAGGAAAGCCAATTAGTACAGGACCAGTGCTTCATTTCTGTTCCTTCGCCCCGCCACCCCCGCCACTCACTGGACCATGTATCGGGTGCGGTTGATCACCACAGTACCCGCCAGGTCAGCCCAGGCGCCTGGGGCCGGGGCAGCGGCAACAGCGGGCAGGCTGGTCGGGAAGAGTATAATGGCAGCAGGCTTGAGGGTCGGAAAGCGTGTTGTTGGGACAGCAGCAAAAGAGTGGTTAGGAAACGACGGTTAGGGGGCAGCTGTTCGTGGCAGCCAGACGCCAACATTACCTCCCACTTGGTAGGAATAAAGCGGCTGTAAAGCGACAGGGGTCCAACAGGGGAACAGTAACAGGGGTCCAACATGCAATAGGGTGCACAAGAGGGTGGGGTCTTCGTCTTGTGTTTCTCTTCCCGCTCGGGTGATTGCGGAACCCAGCTTCCAACGCCTGCTGGTCTCTACCGCTCCATGCATGTGCACCTACCCGCGGAGAGGTTGTACTGGGGGGTCGCAGAGAACCAGTCGCCACCTGGAGGTGACGCAAAGTCCGCGGGGGGCGGGTTGGGGTAGTTGGGTTGCTGGATGCTGGAATACGGTGTGCCGGTTGGGGTCGTCTGCTGCAGACGGCGGCGGCCCGATGAGGCACCGGGCGGAGAGGCGGGAGGTGGTGCGGTGGGGGAGTCGTAGTCTGGGAACTGCATGGGAGGCGGCGGGGGGGAGCGCTCGCCGGGCGGGGGCGGGGTGGCGGGGGCGGCGGGGAGGAGGTAGGCGCAGCGGTCCACCTTGGGCTTCATGGGTATGGAGCACTGCTCGTAGATCTGCAGTGGTGGTTTGGGGTGATCGGGAGGGGAAGGGGTACTGCTACTAAGCCGTCAAGGAAGCTCTGAACGTGGCCACAGAGGAGGGCAGGGGGTGATGAATGGTGGTATGACGAGGGCCGTGACAGCTTGCATGGCAGCTACGAGTGTGAGCAGCCGGGGATAGCAAACCGGCAGAAGAGGGCTTTAAGGAAGAAAGGCCAGCAAAAAGCGTTGTTGGTGGTAGGGTATAGCAGGTAAAGATCACGACCCGATCTCCCCCTCCCCTTCCCCATTCCATTTTCCTTCTCCCCCCCCCTCCTCTCCTTGGGGTTCTTCTTTTCCCCCTTCCTCTCCCCGCACCGCACCTGCAGCCTCATACGGAAGTTGCCGCTGGGTAGCCTGGGTCGCGGCTCTCCGGAGGGCAGGTTGAAGACGTTGACATCCTCGATGTAGTTGAAGAACCCCAGAATGTCATAGATGCCTGCAGAGGGGTGTTTGGGAGCAGCAAGGAGCAGCAAGGTGAAGTGTCAGTCATTTGGGTACGGCAGAAACGAGGTGGGGCGAACGAAGCAGCATGACGTAGATGTGTGTAAAAGAGGGCCGGCAGGCGGGTAGGTGGGTTGTGTGCGTATTTCGTACGGCAGCAGAAACGTGCAAGAAAGGTGCAGGTGAGGAAGACGCCTGGACGGGGAGGCCCTTCACGTAACGGTAACGGTAACGGAAACAGCACGAGCTCGTAAAAAGAGGTTCCTGCAACGAAATGGCACCTAGTGACAACAGAGCATGTGGAGGTTTTGCGGCGTCATGGACGCATGTAAGCATACAGGTACATGCCAGGCAGAGCCTCCCTCAACTGACCAAGCAGGCTACGGCGGCTGGTTGACACGATGAACCCCGCCTCCACGAAGATAGGCGCCAGCACCTCATCAAAGTCGATTGCCGTACCGTCAAGCGTGATGGTGCCTGCAAGGCATGAAAAGCAAGCAACGCATAGACGCTGTTTAACGTAACGTAAGATCCATGCGTCTTGGAAGGCCCGTGGCGACCCGTGGGCCCTTCCTCGGCCGCAGTGCAAGGAGCGACACATCTAAGCTCAACTGAACTCAAGACCATCCGAGCAACGCCATCACTCACCTGCCATGGTGATGATCTTCACGACAGTGCCGTGCACGCTGTTTGCGACCGGCACACGAGCCACACCCAGTACGATGAGCGCCACCTCCACCTGGCCGGCACCTTGGATCTAAGGAGATTAAAAGAGGAAGGCCAAGGAAAAGGAGGGAGAGCAGCGATTGATGAGAAGGAAAGAGAGGACCCCAGCACACCAAAAAAGCACACCTTTCCTGCGGTACTAGATACCAACTCTATGGACCCGTGCCCTAAACCATTGCCCTGTATTTACCAAACTGTGTCTGGTTACCGGTAACAAAGCCATTTGTTATCAGCCCAAGCCCCACTCACGTACAGGTACTTGAGCTCCATAAGCGCGCGCACAGAGACCTCACTCGTGAACTTCTGCGGGGTGCCAACAAAGGTTGCCGTACGAAGTACAGCACTGCCATCGACACCACCACTGCTGCTAGACGCTGCAGAGCCGGTGGTTGTACCGTTGGCTGCGGCTGCAGCGGATATGGCGACAGAAGCTGACGTGGCCAACGCTTGGCGGTTTACGAGAACCCCGCCAACAACCGTTAGTTCGTTGTTGGCGACTTGGATGACTTGGTCGGGCGCATCGGCGTCGTACATGACACCGTTCTTGATCTGCAGCCATGCATCGTTACACCAATCATGTAACCACCCACATATACAGCTAAAACGGTTGGAGCCCGCTTGTTGGAGGAAGTAAAGGGTACGGCAACAGCACTCGACCCATGGGTCATGGAAAGCACTCCTGTCCAAGACGAACGCGTACATCCCCATCCCCCTCACATACCTTGCTGTCTTTCAGAGCAAACACCACGCCCCACGTCATTCCCGTCAGCGCTCCCACCAACAGAATGCCGAATATGACGAGTGCAATGATCACGCGTATGAGCATCTTCTTGCTTTGACGCTCCAGCGCGTATCCCTGGACCAGATTGGTGAGCTGTGCGGAGGACAGGTCGGGGTTGGGTTGGGTGGGACGCCAGGATTGTTGCAGGTGGAATCAGGCTCAAAGGAATGAAACATCGCTCCCCATGAACACACCAGGACACATGCCCGCATGAACGCATGTCCGCATGTGCCTTCGACATGTTTTTCACACCGGTAAGGTAAGGCAACTCGTGGGCGTTAGCCTCGATATAAGCATTGCTCGTCATTGCTCATCACGCCAGCATGGACGGGGGGTGCACGCGCAAGTACGAACACGTTACCGTATCTTCTGCCGTACTCGTCAACATCGAGGTATCTACCGTACAGGCCGTACCCGCGCCGTATCTACCATGTGTCACCCCCCGCCCCATCCACCATCCTCCGCACCGTATCTACCGTACCAAACGGCAATTTGTGCCTCCTGCCGTACCTCGTCAACATCAATGTGGCCATCCTGGTTCTTGTCAAACTGCTGAAGGTACTTGGCGATCTTGGTGCGGGTCGGCTCTGGACCTGTGCGCCAACGCGCCACAATGTGTGCCAACGGGAAAGGGAAAAAATATATGAGAAATGCAGCAACGGGAAAGGGAAGGGACATAAAGGATGTAAGGGAAGGGGTATAAAAATACAAAGAGTATACAGGTTACAAAGGGAAGGGATATGTGGGCGCGATAAGGAAACATGGATGGGAAACATGGGGGAGACGTGTAACCCCAAACTAGGACGCGGTATGAAGCTGGGGAGTTGCGGGTAGGCATGTATGGAGTGTAGGTCAGGCAGACAGGCAAGGACTTATCCTGGCAGGGACTAGGAAAGACATATGAGGAGAGGGCTAGCATTTTCGATTTTCGAAGTGTGTCTGCCGTAGTTCTGCCGGTCCTGATGACTTCCGCTTAAAGGCCCAGGCCTTTTAGGGTAGTCGCCCCGAAACCGGTGTTAGCCCCGAAACCAACCGTCACCGCGGGCTTACCTCCGCTGATCACATCTGCCATGTTGACACCAGCAGGAGGAGTCCAGGCGGCAGCAGCCTCGTCGCTTTTTCCTGCCGGGCCTCTGGGTCCATCGGTTTTGATTTCCCTGCAGGGCATGAAGCAATGCCCAGGTTTACCTTGCCAGATATTAACTAGTTTGATTGTTATGAAAAGGTGCAGAAATGCTCTTGTGTAGGAGTACTTTGTCAGCGAGGCAATTGAGTGTGTGTGCGAATGACAGGAGAAGTTGGGACGCCGGCAAGCCAGGCTGCAGAACCATTATGGTTGCATGCTTGGCTTTTACTGTGGTGCATTTGTCCCAAACAAAGGGTTTGCTGCTGCCGAAGGCAAGAATACATCATGACAGACACGCGGGGACATCGAAACGCTACGTCTCCCTACTCACGGGTCTGGAGCCACCTTATTTGGGGCAAACAGGACGTTTGGCGGAACGGAAGGGACCTGTGAGCAAAAAAGGTTTTTGCTATGTCGTAGCTAGGCAGCATCAGCGTTTGCGACGTACTGAACACTCGCCTGGGCGTCCGCAGATGTGGCTTGCGGTGGCCCTTGCGCGTCCTGACCAATACCTGACATAGCTTACAGCGCCGGATAAGCCCCCACCCGACTAGCATCACGCCGAAGTGCTCGTCTAAAGTTCAGACGGCAAGCGGTCGTGGTATGTAAGATATGCCAAAGATTCAGGACACGGAAGGCAGTTTGAACAATAAGTGCTTATTGTTAGTCACTGCAGCGGTTTGAATGATGTACAGCATGCTAGCTGGACCGGTAACACAACGACCATTAACTAATAGGCAAGCCACTTGTACAGCTGAATGCAGCATTCACAAGTAAGGCCCGCCTTCGGCGGGAGCGACCCGTAGCTCGGCAAGGGAAGCGAGTTATGTAAGCTGAAAGTTAGGTTGGGTATGTGGTGTGGAACGGGAGGAGGCGACAAATGTATGGGCGGTATGTTGCTGCTACTGGTGCTACAAGGAGTCAATCTCCGTACAATCGGCCGGCAGGTATTCTCTGCCAAGCGTACAACCTGGTTCAATTGTCGTCAGTCTTTTGGCAACTGGCAACAAGTCAACAACAACTGAACAGCTTGGTATGGTGCCAAACAGTCTAGTTAGTGGCATGTGACCAGCAGTGTATCCCCTAGCAAAACGGACACCAACCAAACCCAGTGCCGTGCAACCAGCCGTCGGATCTATCATGCTAAAAGTACAGATAGATCCGAATGCGGCTGGCCGTGTACGGTTTGTTGGCCCGCCTGATACTGCGTCCCCGCCGGCCTCCCCCTGACCCTGGATTGTTTTGCCATTGACAACCCCTATGGGTGCTCTTACCTTAGGCTCACGCCGTTGTCGTCAGACTTGGTGACAGTTGGGCACTGCTGTGTCACAAAGCAGCAGCTTGGCAGTTGCTCTGTACAATAATTTGTTGCTTCTGTCGCGGGCTTCGCCTGAGTGCTGTTTCCCCCTCGTGGGCTTGGTGTTTGTGGAGCTGTGGCCTTGCGGGCTTGGTTTCAGGTGGTTCTGTGCCTGGCATGGCTCCTTGTTTTTTGCAAGGCATGTCCCTGGGGTAGGTTGCTTTGTTGCGGCTGCCTAGCGTGTACCGCTAGCGATTGGGTCTCTTGTACGGCTCTCAGGCTTTCAGGAACTCCGGTCCCCCTTGTAACTTTCGCATTCTAAAAGTACAGCAGGTCGTTATCTAGTGGACGTTACCGTTACCGTACTGCTGCAAGAAGTCACGGGGCACCCGGTCGCCTTGTAGCTATTAGCGAACTGGTGCGGGGGTTGTAGTGGGCGCGCCGACGGATACGTACGGCGCTGATTGAGAAGGGGGTAGTACCTACTGCCTAGCCCGCGGTTGCTTGTATGTGTTGCAGTCAGCAGAGCGTTAACAGAGGAGGATTTGTTGTAAGAAACGGTTATGTCGGATGTCGTGTTCATATTGGTTGTTTGGCATGCATCGGAAAGAAGACGCTAAATAGATTACGAGGCGTACTTAAAGCGTGTAGGTTTGCAGTCAGTGGCGTCAGTAATAAGCACCGTCAGTGCGGCTAGTACCCGCAAGTCTAAGGGGGACTTATAGCAAGCTCTAGCAAGAGAGGCACGGACAACTCACACCGATAAGATGCATGCGGTGTTTTACGAGCCGCCAGGCGTCATTGACCAGCATCCAGCACCTAGCAACTTTCAGTAGTCACCGTAACAGTTGCAGTACGCGCAAGCCCGACCGAGGGAGACTTATAGCAAGCCCTAGCACGCGAGGCATGCGAGATGCATGCGGTGTTTTACGACCCGCTAGGCATCATTGAGCACCATCCAGTTCCTAGCAACCTTCAGTAGTCATCGCAAGAGCTGCAGCACGCGCAAGCCCGACCGAGGGAGATTTACAGCAAGCCCTAGCAAGTGAGGCATGCAAGATGCATGCGGTGTTTTGCGAGCCGCCAGGCATCATTGACCGCCATCCAGTACCTAGCAATCTTCAGTAGCCGCCGCAACAGCTGCAGGGCTTGCATGCGCCCAGCCCAGCCCCACAGCGCCGAATGACGCAGCCCTATTCACCCTCCCACCCCCTAGCCTCCCCACCCCAAACTCCTCCACTGCGTACGCGTCGCCTAGGGGTATGTTAAAGCGCTTGAGGCTGGCCGAGTTGACAGCGGGCTCACCATCGCTGACAACCGTACGGTCAGGGAATACCACCTTTTGGGCGCCGCTCCACCGTGGGGTAACCACAAAGGCGGCACGAGTCTCGTCGTAGTCAAGCAGGCCGCGAAGGACGGAGAGGTCGGTGTTCCCGGCAGCGGGCCGTACGAATACCGCACGGGGGACGAACTGCAGGCGCCTGTAAGGTCCCTCTCCCGTGTCATCTGGCTCCTCCTTGTCCGTCAACAGGCCGCACGTCACCACAGTGTTGTTGTGGCAACTGCCGGCATCAGGGCCATTATTGTCCAGGACGAGGAATTTGGCGCCCTCGAAGTACCAGGTGTCAGGCGTGAACTGTTCATAGCCCTCGTCAGGCGCCATAGAAGCGGCGCGCTGGCCTGCTTCATTGAGCGGGAGTGCGTTGTGCCCCGTACGAGCGTGACGCGCCTTCCACACGACCAGCCGCCTCCCCTGGTGTGCTGCTTGCAGCTTGATGAGACGGATGTTGAGGCCGTGCCGGGGTTGGTTTCGCTGCAGGACGACCCGTGGGTCGCTGGAACCGAGAGCAGCCAGGTCGGGTACGACGCGGCTATTCAACTGGCGGACGAGCTCTTCGATCGTTCTCCGGTTGACATCCTGGCCGCCGCTGAATACACTTGCTAGCCGTGTTAGCAGGCGGCCGCTTGGCGTGTCGTCCTGGCGTTGCTGCTTGGAGAGCAGTATAATGAAAGCGATGGCGCGGTAGAAGTCCAGGCCAGCCTCTTCTTCACGGGTGGGCGGCCTGGGCTTCTTCTGTTTTGGCAGCGGCGGGATTCCGCGTGGGGCTGTGGTGTCGCCGCTTCGAAGCCGAGCGAGGTAGTTGCGGTCCTTCTCCAGGCCCTCTGCAAACGTGTAAAGTGGCCTGCCGTTGGGCGGCCTGTGCTGAAGGATGTCGCCGGACATGATGACGTGCCGACCAGCAAGCATGCTGTAGCCGGCACCACTCCGGGACAGGTGGGGAGGTCGCTAGAGGTGCCTGCGAAAGCACGTTTAGCGGGCGGTCAAGCACCAAGACTAGATTTAAAGGTGTAACTACGGATTGGAGACGTATTGATAGGCAGGAAGATAAGTAGGGAGAGGGAGGGTATAGCGCCAGATAGGAGTAATCAGCCAGATTAGCGCTCACCTGCTGGCCGATGCGTTGATCTGCCCTAGGTGCTGCAGGCTTAGGAAGCTAAGCTCATCGAAGGATACGGCACCTCCGGGAACATTCTTTCGTACCTAATCATTGGAAGGGATCAGGAGGGAGGGCCGTAGAATCAGGGAGGGGGGAAATAGCAGGACAGGAGGGACAGAGCGGACAAGAGGGAGAAGATGAGCGTGAGAGGGAATTGGAAACACGAGGAGGTGCGAAAAGGAGGGAGGGGCAAAGGGAAACGAGGGCACGCAAAGCTGGGTTTAAAGCGGAGGGCATGCGGTCGGAGTACACTACCTCTAGTCAGCACGGTGTGCGCACCTGTTCGCCAGCGCGTGAGGATTGTTGCTGACGACCTCGGCCCCATCCCAATTGGAACATGGTGCTGGTCGACAGCCCCCGGTGGTAGGGAGTGTTGACCGTGATCACCGCGCACCAGGTGTAAGCGGTTGTGGCTAGCCAATCGCGGTGCCCGTGCTGGAAGATGTGCCACAGAGCGGCCTTAATGGTCTGGCTCTTGCCAGTACCCGGACCGCCCACCACCATGAGGTGCAGCGGCGGCTGCGGTTGGTGCTGGATGTCAGCCATGAATGCGCGGTGGATAAGCAAGAACGCTACGCCCTGTTCTGCTGACAGCGTGAAGAGCTGGATCGTCTGCTCGGGTGTAGGCGGCGTCGCCATGTGTACGTACGGCGGCGCGGTTCCAGGGCGCAGGTGAATGTCCGTGCTGGCTCCGGTGATGGAATCGATTGTGGTGACCCACGCACGGACGGGGTCGCCATGATGGCCGCCGGCAACGTGCAGCCGTTGGTGGCTGTCGCTGTTTGCTGCAGGAGCTACTTCAGCATCGCTCAGCACAAACTGTTTGAGGCGCTGTTCGGCGGCGCGCAGCATGGGGCCGTCTTCTGGGGTGGCTCGCCGAACAAAGGACACCGCGTCCGCACCATGGCCATTTGGAAGGTGCACGTCACTACAGCGGGTTATCATATACAGAAACACCGGAAGTCAGCAAGCATGCAGAGCAACATACGGATTAAGCGAGCAGCTGTAATCATGCAGAGGGTTTGACGGGCAAAAGCGACCAGCTGTCGTCGTACCCAGCAAAGACGGGTGAAAGGGAGCAGCTGTTGTTGAGTATCTAATCCCTAGCCTAGCGTTCCTGTGTTCCTTTACAGGTGCGCCAGGAGGCAAACCTTGACGCTCGGTCAGCAACAAGCTGGCAACTGCTTTGAACCACGGCCACACGCTGAGCCGACGTAAGCCGCTGCACTAGAGCACGTTGTCGAGCGGGTCACCCGCGCCTGCGACACGCCCAAGGGAAAGGCTGGTACAGCGCCAGAATATAACCGAACGTCATGCGCTCGCCACACACACCTTGATCATCCTTTCCCATGGTGCCCAGCTCGGAAAGCGGTAGCTCTATACCAAACAACGAAACAAAAAACAGCAGCAGCAAGCCAAAGGCTCTGCTAGGACTACTTTCCAGGCAAGGAAGTACTTTCGTTAGCCTCGCCGCACGTGGCGTGGCTTGTGCACCGTTATAAATTGGTTTTACGCGCTTTCTTATACGCTTATTTAGACGTCTATCTAAAACATCTTCGTAGGTGGGTTGTGAAGCGGCGTGGTTTTCCTCGCGAAATCGAAGCGCGGTGAAGCCACGCTGGCTACGCAATATAGCCGTAGTAGACTTCACAAACTCGAACAAACTTCACAAGCAACGACACGAGCGACGCACGAAGAGTTGGCCGGCCGTTGAAAATCTGGTAAGATTCCGTATCAAAGAGCGTGACAGCAAAAGCGCGCCACGCTGGACGGTTCAAAGTGAAGGCCGAGCCGTGAACAAGAGCGCTGAAAGGATCCCGTTGAGCGTGACGGGAACGGGGTATGCATCCCTTCGCTTCGCTCCTCCGGAACCGTATACTACGTATACGTTTCCTCGGAATCGAGCTACGGGGACATGATAGCATACTACTTGCGAATGCCGCCTGATGTCACCGCATAAACGCAAGGCTTGTGGAGACGGTCCAATGCCGGGCACGATGTTTTACGCTGGCATTGAACGGCGTCAAGCAGTTACTTAAGCTGCAGTCTATCGACTTCAACATCGCGCTGTTGATGATGTGTGACGGGCACTTTAGCGTGAAGTCAAGCTGTCGTGCTTGCGCATAGTGTTTCACCTGCTTACTTCTCGCCAAGGGTGATGCGTATGCGGTTACATCAAAGAGCAACCCTTTGCCGTGGCACAGGGAACAGGTTAACAAAGCTTTGCTCCCATTTCCATGGCGCGGGTAAAGGGCTCAGCGCTCTGCAGCTGCTCTGGTCTATACCGTCGGGAGCTGATGGCTTTACCAGCCATTGAACACCTTGGCTGCTTGTGCACATGGCAATACTCGCATATGACGCAGTCGGCCAGGAGTTCCCCTGTGATCCTATCACTATCGCATATCCCCCTGCCTGCCCCTGCAAGCAAATTTCCTGATCCGGAAGACACACGCCAGCGCCAGAGGGGAGACCAAAGGATGTCATGTTGTTGCAGTCCGGCACACCCCGCGAGGCGTAAAGGAACGCGTCCCCGCAATGTCCACTGCCACAACCGCACACGCAGCCACCGCGACTGCGCGGCTGCTGCCCCAAGGCCCCTAATGCAGCCCCTGGATCACCACGTGTACCGGTGCCCCCTGTTGCTACCTACGTCCACACAACCACCTTGGGTCCCCACCACACTCTCTGTACCGGTAGGATCCCAGCGCCAGCAGTAGCGGTAGGGTGATCGACAGCACCAGCATCAGCCAGCACCCTAGGTTGCGTTCAAGGTGTGGGTGAGCGTGTTTGCTGCGACCCTGTGTTGGCGCGGCCTCATGGCAGCCCTGCAACCGCAGCCGGGGTCTGGCCGGGTCACTGTGTCACGGCGCTGCTGCCGGGGCTGCCGCTGCAGATGCTGCTGCTGCGGGTGCTGCGGGTGCCGCGGGCGGCAGGAGCAGCTTGCGTGTGAGCAGCAGGCGGAGGCCCAGGGGGGCCACTGCTTGGAAGACCTGGGGGGAGGGAGGAGGCGGCAGGGGGGAGAGAGGTGGGATAAGGGAGGCGGGGTGGGTGTTAAGGAGAGGGTGAAATGCGGGGCGCGGGTGCTTCCCGGTGGAAAGGGCTGCGTGTGCAGGGGCGCCAGCTGAACGAAGCGCTTCTGAGATGATTTGGTTCCGATGACCGACCAGGCTATCCGGATACTGCAGACGATTACGGGAGCCCGCCGGAATGATGCTACTGGTGGTGATGGGGCACGCAGTGATGGGGGAGCGTGCAGTGGTGGGTGGGTCGGTTTTGAGGTAGGGTGGCAACCCCGCGGGAAGGGGTGTGGTAGTGCGGTGGTGGAACGCGGCAGGCAGACATGCAGGCCACACCACTTCTTCCCCCTCCCCGCACCTCCAACTTGTATCATTATCACACCACACTTTGGAATTTCTTTTTCCCCCGCACACCTGCGACGCCGCGTCCCCATCCGTGTACGCGGGCCCCTCCTCCGGCGCCCCCTGCGCCCGCAGGCTGGCAAAGTCGCCCTCGCAGTGCTTCACCTCCTGCGGGGGAGGGTGGTGGGGGGGGGGAGTGGGGTGGGCGGGTCAGAGAGACACATGAAGGGTGGGTGTGGGCGGGTCATAAGAGAAGTATGAGGGCGCCCGTTCCTCGACAACACCGCAAGGATGGCCAGTAGGAACGGGCCCCTTGTCACAGCCCCTGGCCCCCCTACAGCACCCCCAAGCCTTGTCATTTGGTTCGCTAGTTTACCCACCCCAACCGCCCACCTGCCCACCCACCCCAACCCCTACCGCCCACCCCTACCCCACCTGCCCACCCACCCCACCTGCAGCACCTCCAGCCGCTTCTCCGGCTTGTCATGCCTGGTGACACAACGACGGGCGGAGCGGCGGGGTTTAGCGACTGGAAGTGGGGGGGGACTAGCCATGCGACAGGCTCACTCACACCGTTGGTCGTCCAAGCAACTGTGCGTGCAAGTGGGGGCCAGGGACAGGGGTGAGGAGGGGCCGGAGGGAGGGGAGGGGCCGGAGGGAGGGAGGGGACCCAAAGGGAACATCGTGAGCGCCGGAAGCAGGGCGGGAGGGCACACCAGCCCCTGTGAGCCCCCCAGGGGGGTTGGGCAGAAACGCAATGGCGCGCCCCTCTTCCCCAATCGTTTCCCCACTTCCCCATGTGCCGTCCTAACCCATGCACCTCTCGTTCCCCTTCCTCCTCCTCGCCCACGGACCGCGTTTCCTTCCTCCCAAACCCAAGTGCCCAACCGCCAATGCGCCCCCGCCCCACCTCCTCCTCTCCCCCACTTGCTTTGCCCTAACCTGTGGTTCTGGTATCCATCTTTGAAACCCCCCCCCGCCCCCCCCACCTGCAGAACAGCCTCGTCTCCCTCAGCCGCACCATGCACCCGTCCACCCGCACCCAGCAGCGCAGCAGCACCAGCCAGCAGCGGGGCATCACACGCAGCTTCAACGACACGCAGCACACGCCGTTGTCGTCCAGGTCGGACTCGTACAGCGGCAGCTGGGGGGGGAGGTGGGGGGGGGCGGGAATTATATAATAAGTACAAACAACTAGAGTCCCAATCCCTTAGCCCGGTGGGGGCGGGGGATGGAGGAGTGGAGGCGGGAGGAGTGGGTGGGAGCTGGGAGGGGCAGGTTGCTGGCGACAGGTACAACACCCGTGGGTAGCTGGTTGCAAGGAGGTACCGGTCGGGGGTCCTGACCCGCAAACTAACACAGACGTATTGCCTCTGGCTGGCCATCCTGCCCCTAACCTAACCCACCTGCCCCCACACCACCATGGATGGGGACGTCGGGGCCCCTCTCATGCATCCTTCCCCAGCGCTGTCCCCAACACTGGCCCCATCCACGTACATGCGCCTGGTGGCTCCGCAGGGTGCCCCACGACATGTGTCCTTGCATGCCCTCGCCCTTCCCCTCTGCAGCCCAACCCCAAAATAACCCCTTTTAACCCCTTCCCCCCCCCCACCTCACCTCTTCATAGAACAGGATGGGGTCCCGCTCCATGAGCAGCCCCCGGTCTATCTGCTCGCTGCTCGCCTCCCACCGCAATGGTGACTCCTGCTGCTGTTGGGGCTGCGGCTGCTGCTTCCCCGCGTCCTCCGCCGGGTGTTGGCAGGTGGCAGGGGGCTGCTGCTGCTGCTGCTGCTTCCCGCCGGGTGTAGCTACTGTGGGCAGGGGCGCCGCTGCGGTCCGTGCGCTTCCGAACACGAAATCGGGAACACCCGCACCCGCACAGGTGCTAGAGTTGCTGCTTTGAGCCCCAGGAGCAGCAGCAGCAGCAGCAGCAGCAGGAGTTATCGTTGTATCAACCCCGTCGACAGGATGTGTGGGTGTTTGTTGCGAGGAGGAGGGTGGGGGGCAGGAGCCCGCCGGCGGTACGACAGTGCATGTGTACGGCGTGGTGAAAGTCCAGTCGTACGTCAGCTGTACGGCTTTCTGCTGCTCGATTTCGTGCTCCCGGGCCTTGCGCCATTCCTGGATTGGGGCGGTGTGGGGATGCTGTCATGGAGGGGCAGCGCTTGTCGGGAATGTGACTGTAGGGCTGTTGCCTGGCCCTGTGAACCAGCTCGGATGCTGATTCGTAGCCATTCCCCATACCCACGACACATGTTCATTGGTTTAAAGACACCAGGACTAGAACATGAGCAACTGCCGGCTTACATAGGACTACGGTAACACAACATGGGCGGCGAAAACGAGAGGATTGCTTTTCTTACCTGGGCAACGCGAACTTGCAGGGGCGGCAAATCCTCATTCTTCCATCCCATCAGGGCGTCAAGGGCGTTGAAAGAGATGATAGTCCCACTCGCTTCGTGTACCAGCTCAACGCGATTGCGGTTAAACACCATCTCGGGAAGCACCAACACCGACAGCGTCTTCCTATAAATTACCAATATGACGCCCAATTGGTACTGTGTACTGCCCAATTGCATACAACACCACGTGTGATTAGGTCACTCACCGGTATTGGTCCAGATCCTTGTCGCCCATAATCGGCCCTTTGGTCGTCCGGATTAGCCATCCTTGATTACGAAACACCTTTTCACCTCCCGGCATGGTCAGTAAAGCAGTGCTGCTTAGGAATGCAGTGTTTGTTGCCTACTTTGACGACCGGTATGATGATCTAAATACAAATACAGGACACCGCTAGCGCAGTTGCATACGTCAAGACTACGGTATAATATACACGGCAATATACCATCCAATTAGGATTACCTGTCTTACCAACAGAGGTATACAGCTGTCAGCGGATCTACCGTACTTTGACCTCAGTGTCGACAGCCCGTACACGCCCATGGCCTCTGGTCAGCAACAACAAGTTGTGTAGGTTCCAGGTGTCTGGGAGACATGCATACCTAACATAAGCATACCTAGACAGGTAGGTAACCTTGCATGAGGATATGCAAACGAGATGGACGGCAAGTGGGGGGATAAGTAGAAACGTACCGCTAGAAGTGAAACACCCTGGAATCCCAATCCCATGGCCCAATTCATGCTGTGAGCGGATCGAGAATATACGCACATGGGATGCCCAACCTAGTAAGTTAACAAAAATTGATGCTTTCCAGAGGAAGGGACGACCTGAGAAAGCCGCCGCGGGTAGTAAGCGGGTAGAGCGGACGGGGGTGTTTCCTTATCTTTGATCAGAATCACAGGCAGGAGGCGGTGTGGCAGAAAGGGTTGCGAGGCATGGGTGACATGCATGCGTGGCAGGGAGGGATGCATGCGTGACATGCTTGCGATGTTGCGGTAACCCAAAGCACCTACGACTCGAAGGCCCACGCCAGGGTGTCAACCTTGTGACACGGCTGCAGTCCTTTTCCAAGGGGCAAATTTGTGCCTTCTGACTTGGGGCAAACAGGTATGTAGTGGCTGTCTCATCTGACTCACGGCACAGCCGATCAACCGCCAATACAGTTGGTCCCTACGTCAATGGGTATTTTGTAAATGATGAACACCGCTGCTTTTGTAAGTGAACAACGCCGTCATCTCTCACTAAAGCCTAGGGTAGAGGTGGCTTAGAGCGACTCTTCCAAAGAGTGAGTAAATCCATTCAAGCGATATCACAGCTTCCATAACATACCGCAAGCGCACCCTAGCGTACACCTAGATGTTCATCTAGATGTTCCGCAATTTACGCTAGTATATGCACATTCCTTTATTATTTTGACGCGCAAGCGGCGGCGCAGTTCGTCTCAGTTGCAGGAATTTTGCGTTTATTGCACTATAGCGCCATAAGTTAAACCTACTTGTACACTTACGGACGACGCGCACTCCAACAGGGGCGGGTCGTCAAAGATGGCAACCGCTGGCAGCGCAGTTGCCGATGGTCAGGGAATCCCGGAGGGCTACAAGATTCTGCAGGAAGGCAAAGCCCGTATCTTGAAAAAGGGAAACGAGGTGTTCTACAATGAGGCACAGGTACGCTTGACTAGCGTACCATGGGCGTCCGTGTTTGCGGAAGGGTAAGGGCGCTTTGAAGATATCCTGCCCTTCAGGGCGCCGATCACGACCTGCTCATACGCCACAAGGCTCCTATCTCGCCCCTCATTCCTCTCATCGCCTTACACATCCCCCAACCTCTCTTTCCTCCATCCAGGTCACCAACCGCGACCTGTCCGTGGCAGCTCTGCGGCTCTTCTTGCAGCGGCGTGAGAAGGAGATAGCCTCGGGGACGCTGAAGCGGGGCAGGAAGGAGGTCCGTGGGGACGGGGCTGCCAGCCTTCGGGATTGTGCAAGGGGGGCAAAGGGCAAGGAGGCGATAAAGGGCTTCTTGAGGGGGCATGTTACGCCCATGCGCCCACGGCGTCATGCTTCCCATGGCGCCTCTGCCACTCCCTGCCCCCCCCTCCCCCCTAGTATGTGGTTTTGGTATGTCTCTGAACCCCCCCAACCCTTCTGGACCTGCAGAGGCGGGAGAAGGCCAAGGAGAGGAAGAAGGAGGCAGCCGCAGCAGCAGAAACTGAGCCCGCTAAGGAGGCGGAGCAGCAGGCAGAGGTGAAGCAGGAGGCGGCGGCGGCGGCTAAGGAGGCGGCGGGCGAGGCCGCGGATGCGGGGGGCGAGAAGCCTGTGGGTGAGGGGAAGGAGGGGGGCAGCAGCGCCGCCGCTGGGGGCCGGCGGGGTCCGCGGCTGCTGGAGGGGCTGGCGGCGAGTGGGCTGAGGTCCATTCGGTACGCGATGGAGGTAGGGGGGGGGGTGCATGGAGGTGGGGTGGTGGGGAGGTGGGAGGTTGGGTAAGCAGGGGGGTACGTGGAGATCGAGTGGTGGGGAGGTGGGAGGTCGGGTGAGGTCCTTAATACCGGAATAGCTCAAAGACGCATTCGAGAGCGGTCCAGATGCGTGGGCGCTCCTGCGGGGGCACCTCTTGATGTATCCTGAGCAGCCCTGACGAACCTCAACCCCAATCAAACACGTTTGCTCTGCCGTACACCCCCGGTCTGCCGTACACATGCAGGTTACGGAGCTGGGTCGCATCGATGCCAACGATCTGGACCCCGACGCCGCCACCGCCATGGCTCGCAACATCGCCCTGAACGGGGGGGCGGCGGCGGAGAAGATCCGCATCTCGCAGGGGGATGCGCGGCTGGTGATGATGCAGAACCCCGGGGTGGGTGGGGTGGGGGAGGGTAGGCACGCACCCGGAGTCGTGAAGAGGAGTTGGGAGGGGGAGAGAAGGGGTATGGGTAATACAAGGGTCAAATTGTGTGGGCTTGGTGGTAAACTGCGGGCTAGGAGCTCTGTCGAGTTAGCAACCGCAGCAGCACGTTGTGAGTGAGCGCTCCTCCTGCTGATGCACACCAGGGGTACGACGTGGTGGATCTGGATCCGTACGGCACTCCCGCCATGTTTCTGGATTCTGCCGTACAAGCGGTTTCGGATGGCGGTTTGCTGATGGTTACCGCAACCGACATGGCCAACCTCTGCGGCAACAACAGGTGGGTGAAGGAGGGGGGGGGCTGCTGAACTCGCGTTTGACGGAAGAAGAGGAAGAAACCAGTCATGTGACAAGGCTCCACCATGGGTTGCGGAAGGGGAGTTAGGAGTTCTCACTCGGGTACGGGAACAAGGGAATGTCGATAAAAAAACATTTGTCGTACAGCAATTTCGTCCACTGTTCGCTTCTTTCCCAATTCCATTCACACCACCCTTCACCTTTCCCTATCCTTTCTTCGCATTCCCGCAGTACGGCATGCTGGTCAAACTACGGCATCTATCCCGTGCACCGCTCGTACTGCCACGAGATGGCCCTTCGCATCGTACTGGCTTGCATCGAGACGCATGCGGCCAGGTACGTGCACCACGGGGGGGGGTATTCTGAGTCATTAACTCTTTATCAGCTAGCCATGTAATGTGCCAATACAGTCAGTGTTTGTTTGCGGTGTGATACCACTCTCTCATGGCTCCAGCTTCAGCCAAGTAACGACAGGCTAGTGGGGTCGCTTAGGTCGCTGAGCGACCCATGGGTCAGGGGAGGCTCCATGCACTTTCGTTGCTCGTTTTTTCGTCGGTTGACCCATGGATCGGTTTCCCTTGGCCCCTTCATCTCCGCCCTCAGGTACAAGCGCCGTATCGTGCCGCTGCTGAGCCTCTCAGTCGACTTCTACGTGCGCCTCTTCATCCGCGTGTACACCTCGCCCAACGACGTGAAGGACTCGCCGAGCCGTCTGGCCTACCTGTGGCAGAGCTCCGGCTGCGACTCCTTCTGGCTGCAGGTAGGGGGGCGGGCCGCGGGGGGAAACGGAAAGGAGGGAGGGGTAAAGCGGCGGGGAATTGCGTGTGCTAAGAAAACTGGAAGCGAACTGGAAGCGTGTGTGTGTATGCGCTGCTGCGTATAACTCCTCGGCCGGTGTGATGTTGGTTCCCTACGGCCATGCCTACGTTGGGTTGCGTTAACCAACATGTGTACATGTCCCTTGTCCCTGACCTCGCCCTTTCTCCCCCTCCTCCCAGCTCCTCCCGCATTATTTATGCTTCACGTTCCGCTCCTTTTTCATTCCCCATTTCCTCCTTTCCTCCCCCCCCTCCCGCAGCCCGTGGGTCAGAAGCGCACGCACAACGGCCAGGTGAAGCACATGCCCGGATCGGGCCCCGCGGTGGAGCCCCGCTGCCCGGACACCGGCTCGGGATACATCATGGGTGGGCCCATCTGGGCAGGACCCATCCACGACGTGGAGTTCGCCAAAGGTAGCGAGCTAGTGAGACGCCCTCGTGACTCCTGGCTGTTGTCTGCACCTCACTTGTCCTCTTGTGGATTTCGTAGAATGTGTTGATTTCTCTTCCACCCCCGGCCGCTTCCTCGGGATGTTACACTCAGTTCATTCATGGCATGTTCATTTCTTAATCCTGTTCCCCCCCACCCGCTGTCCCGCAGAGCTGCTGGCGGATTTCGAGTCTGCGGGGGCGGAGCAGCGGTACGCGCAGGTGAGGGGGAGGTGGGGTAAAGAGGAAACAACTAACTGACTGAGGGATAAGGCGTCAACATGGGTTGCAACATGGGAGGTGGGGGAAGGGAGGTGAGGGGAAGCGGCGACGTGAACGGCTTAACACTCGGAAGCAACCAACGCATTGCTGTTGAGCTGTGGGGGCGACATGGGGCCTTGCTTGTCAACTCACGGGCTGGGGCAGCCAGGTTCCAACCGTTTCCACACCTCCCAACAACTCCCAACCAACTGCAGGCGGTTAAGATCCGCGGCTACCTGCTGAATGTGGTTTCGGAGCTGCCGGACGCCCCGCTGTACTACAACCTGCACGACATTTGCAAAATGGTACGACATGGGGGGGTTCGTTGGTGGGCACCATTCGTGCGGATGTGAGCGCATGTCATAACGCATGAGGCATGCTGGGTGGGTGTTCCCCGTGTTGATGCGACACTAGCTGGGCTTTCCCCTGAAGCGCACGGCGGGTATACGACTGCCCTTCCCTTGATGGTTTTCCTTACTCTCGCTTCCTCGCTCTCTTCCCCTCTCTCCCCCCCCCCAGGTCCGGGTGACCCCGCCCAAGTCGGACCAGTTCCGCTCCGCCCTGGTGCATGCGGGCTACCGGTGAGGCGGATCAGGGGGGGCGGGGGCGGGAGGGGGCGGGGGGAGGGGGGCGGGGGCGGGGGCGGGGTTGAAGGAGGGGGCCGGAGTGCAGGGCAGGGCAGGGTGGGGCCGTGTCACATGGTCTTAGTTTCCCTCCCTCTTTGCTCCCTGTACTCCTCTCGCCACCCATGGTGCAGCCCTTGCCACCACGCTGTCAGCCCTTTTCCTCCCCCCCTTCACCCTCCCACCACCTCGGCCCCCCCAAACAGGGTGTCCGGCAGCCACTGCTGTCCGCTGGCTATCAAGACGGACGCGCCGCCGGGGGTGGTGTGGGACGTGGTGCGGTGCTGGGTGCGGCGGACCGGCGCCTCGGCCGCGGCGCTCAAGGACCCCGAGTCGTACTGCGCCAAGATGCTGGCGAAGGAGGTGCGGGGGGGCGGGGAGGGGACGTGCATGGGGGGTCGTGTGTTAAGAAAAGTGGTTCGTGTGTGTATGTTAACAGAACTGAACGTGAGTCGCAACATACTGTGATTGGCAGGGTGGACTTGTGGTTTCCATGTTGAAGCAACTGAGCCGACGCCAAACCAGGAATCCAATCACTTCTCACATCTCCTTCCGCCCTCCACCCCACCCCACCCGCAGCCCTCCCTGGAGGCCGACTTCTCCATCACCTCCGCCGCCATGTCGCGAGCCAAGGACGACAAGGCGCCGCGATTTGTCATCAACCCCGCCTACTGGGGGCCCAAGGCGCGGCACGGCAGGTGGGTGGGTACGCGGCAGAGGGGCACTCTAGCGCCCCGAAACTCCGCAACAGGAATAAGAGGCCGGGCCACCAGTCCCCGAATGTCGAAATTATCGACCACCCTCCGAAATTTTATGCGGCTCGTTTTACCCGAACCTCTCCGAACTTACCCACGCGGGCCCACGCAACATCGGCATTTTGTAACTCCGACGCCTCTTGCCGCCCTGTTTGTTTTTCCACATCACAGGCCAGACCAGACGCGACCCAACCCGGATGAGGGGGAGGGAGGTGACCCGCGGGTCGGTGGCGGACGCAATAAGGACAAGCGGGGACGAGGGCGCGAAGGAGCCGGTGCTGCTGCAGCTGCTGCTGGCGGAGCTCAGGGGGCACCGGCCACCGGGGGTTCAGGGGAGGCGGGAAACGGGGAAGGTGAGGTGCAGCAGCAGGAGTAGGTGTGTGTATGTGTAAGAAAACTGGCCGCGGTTTGTGTATGTGTGGGGGGAGGGGGAGGCGGAGAACTGACTGCATGTCACCCTGTCCTGCCCCGCCTGCAGCCCCGCCTGCCCTCGACGCCCTTCGACTTCCCCTTCCCCTCACGCTCCCCGCCCCTCCTCACAGGGAAGGAGGAGGTGGGCGCGCAGGCGGGGACGGCGATGGATGTGGGGCAAGCGGGCGCGGAGGAGGCGGCGGCAGGGGGAAAGAAGCGGCCCGCTGAGGAGGCGGCGGCAGACGGGGCGGTTGCGGGTGTGGCGGAGGTGACGGAGGCGGGTGCGGAGGTGGAGGCGGAGGGAGGGCAGGGGGAAGCCAAGCGGCAGAAGGCGTGAGGGGGTGCGAGGAAGGGTAGCGGGAGTAGCGGGGATGCGTACGTGTGTGTTGCAGTGCAGGCTACCTTACCTGGCGGGTTTGGGGTTGTAGATTATAGATGATAGACGGGAAGAAGAGGAATGGGGTGATTTGGGAGCCAGGGTTTGGCTGCTGCTACCGGCACGGTGTTACACACATGACCTTATTCATTCACTCCTGGCTCTCTGCTGCCCGGGTTCTGCACTGCGTACGGCAAGGCTGAAGGTGTGTGCTGTACGACAGGCAACGGTAACGGTTATGACCTGAAAGTAGGAAAAAGGACAATCTGGGGATGCTTGTTCTTTATCGGGACGGATGCTTGCGGTACGTAGGTGTACGGCGCACCACCATACTACTTGAATACCATTGAAGGAGATCACTGATTGGCCAATCCGTGTCAGCCTTATTGAAGGCCCTCTACCCTCACCTGCCCAGCTGCTGTTGCTTGCTGGGTGCGTCTGCTGTGCAGCATCATTCCAAGCAAACGCAGTAGCGCACGACCCAGCAGCATCGCTTTCTGTGACGTTGACTAGGTAGTGTAGATACACACCGCATACGAGCAAGCTGCAAGCAAGCAAGCTGTTACATGTCATGGTGCGCCACCGCAGCACCTGCAGCAACAGCAGCAGCAACAGCAGCAGCAACAGCAGCAACAGCAGCAGCAACAACAGCAGCAGCAACAGCAGCAGGCAACCAACTCATCTCAGTGGTATGAACATACGCATGTAGAAACGCAGCGATAAACTTGCGGCCAAATACTATATCAAACAAGCACACCCACAAGAGAATATGGCAATCACAGTACGTTCCAATTCGCGGCCAGTTTTCTTAACACCCACCCACAGAGAACCTGACAGTGCGACAGTCCGCATGCACACGAGGGCCCTACAGCCACGTAGTCAAGACACCATACCACAGCAGCAGTCGCAGCTGGATGAGTGGTGGGGGGTGTCCGCATCACATGCAACACCACCGCAACTCCCATTCGCCGTGGACCTAGTACAACAGCAGCAGCGGCCATACAGGACTGCCATGCAGCCTGCCATTCTTTCACTGCCCTGCTGCGCGACATCCAACCCCCTTTCTTTGACCCCCTTCCCGTGTCAACCCCCAACCCCAATCCCAACCCCGCCGACAACGACAGCAACCCCAGAGCAGCAGTGGCGCTACCAACCCCACCCCCGGTGCTACCCCACCAGCATTACAACTCCCCGCCTGCACCCCCACCACCACCACCCCCACCACCAGCAGCGCTCAGAATGCCAAACATGTTTCCGTACGACTGTTGTTGCTGCTGCTGTTGCTGCAGTAGCGAGTAGGGATGTTGGTACGACGACAGCATGGGGGCCGGGGGAGCGCCCTGTTGCTGCGGGTGCTGCTGCTGTTGGGAGTAGTGGGAGTGGGGTTGAGCGCGGGAGAGCAGGTGTTGAGGTTGCTGCTGCTGCTGCGGGTGTTGTTGTTGTTGCTGTTGCTGCATTAGTGCCAGCATGGATGCCATGTTTTGTGGTTGGTGCTGGTTCTGCTGGTGGTGGTGGCGGTGGCGGTGGGAACCCGATTGCTGCTGCTGGGGTTGCTCCCCACCAGCAGCAGCAGCAAAGGGTGGAGGTGGCGGGTGGGGCGGGGCAAGGGCCCGGGGGGGACTGTCGCCGGCCTGGGGCGCGAGAAGGCCCAGGAGCGCCTGGGGCGGGGTGAGCAGAAGAGGCGGGGCGGGGGAGGGGAGGGCAGCGGGTTGGGGGTGAGACGGGAGTCGGTGAGCAGGGGCAGAGGGAGGGGGAAGGAAGGAACTGACGGGAAAGGGGAGGAAGAGCGAGCAGGGGGTGCGAGCCGGGGGGTGCGAGCCGGGGGGTGCGGGACTCACCCCCTTGGCTAGCCGCTGCCACCTGCCCGCCTCCTCCTCCAGCACCCGCCGCTCCTCCGCCCGCTGCTCCGCCGCCCCCGCCAGCTCGCAGCGCAGGCGGGCCACACTGGCCTCCAGGCAGCTTAGGTCTGGGGGGCGGGATGGGGAGGGGAGCAGGAAGGGGGGGTAAGTGATAAGTGCAGCAGTGGAGTCCCAATCCCAAATCCTGACTCATACAGTGAGCGGGTAGGCGGGTTAGGAAGAGGTGTTTCAGGCCAAACGAGCAAAAGAGTGCAAGGGGCCGAGGGGAAAACACCTTTACCCAACCGAAAGGCCCCTTCGTCGCCTGAACGCCTCCATCCTCCACCCTCTCACATTCAGCAATGTAGCCGCGACCAATGTTGCCGCCGCCGCTGCCACCCGCCGCCGCTGCAACTGCCAGAGGTCCTGCCCCTGCCCCTGATGTCGTTGCTGCTGCTGCTGCCGGTGGAGGTGGTGGTGAGGTGGTTGCCGTACAACCCCCTGCTACCGCTGCCGTACCTGCTGCTGCTGGGGTCGCTGCCGTACCTGCTACAGCCCCGCCAGGCCCGGCTACCACGGGCGAAGGACCCGCAGCAGCTGTAGCAGATTGCCTCTGCCGTACTTCCGCAAGCTCCCCTCGCAATCGCTCCGCCTCCCGTGCCTCCGAAAGCACGCGCTGTCGAAGCTGTGACAACTCCTCCTCGCGCTGCCGTACGGCTTCCTCGTGTTGCCGTACAAGTGCCTCCTGCCGTACCGCTGCCTGCCGGACAACTTCCTGCCGTACGGCTTCCAACTGCTGCTCCAACTGCCGTGCTGCCTCCTGCCGTACAACTGTCAACTGCCGCTGCATCTCCTCGTCTTTCTGTCGTTTAGCCTCCGCTACAGCCTCTGCAACCTCCTGTTGTCGTACAGTCGCAACCGCGTCAACCGCTTGCTGCTTCACCAGAGCAACCATCGCTCGCAGCTGCGGGACGGAAAAAGGGAAAGGAATTTGCAGGGGTTCAGGAGCAAGGAGGGAAGGCAGACGCGGGGAGTGAATGGGTTATGGCGAAGGGGATACTGGTACCGGTAACACGGTTGAAGAGCAAGTAGGGTTACGGTGGTAAACAGTGACAGGAGCGATGCTGCCCACCTCTTTTCACCCTCCGCCCGCGCCGCACCCAAAGTACCCAACAAGGCCCACCCTTGCTTCCCTTGCTCCCCCCCACGTCTCCAGCCCAGGCCCCCTACGCGCCCATCGTCCCCCTCCTCCTTCCCTCCCCTCCACACGCCCCCCCGCTTCTCTCCCCCCCACTCCCCCCCCCACGCACCCTGCCCTCCTCCGCCTGCGCCGCCTCCAGCCGCTGCTGCTGCTGCTGCACTGTGGCAGCCTGGCGCCGCAGCTGGGACCTGGGGGGCGGGGGGCGGGGTGGGTGGAAGGGAAGGGGGCAGGGGGGTAGGGTGGAAGGAAGGGGGCAGGGGGCAGTGCGTGTATAGGCTTTACTGGGGTTACTCGGGCCGTACATGTGAAAAGCCTGACAGGGTGCGAGGGGTGGGGTGCGGCAGGTGGGGGGTGGGCTTGCCCCAGCCGGCCAAGGGAAAGCACATGCAAGGATGGGTTTAACCTCACGCACACTCCCCCTCCCCCTCCCCTCACCCTGCCACCCGCCCCCACCTCAGCTGCTCCATCTGCTTCCCCTGCGCCGCCACCTGGCCCCGCAGCCTCCTCGCCCGCTGCCCCGCCCGCCCCCGCTGCTGCCGGTACAGCGCCACCAGCCGCACCCAGCAGTCGCAGCAGGCGGACAGCAGCCGCCCGTGCAGCAGCGCGCCTGGGGGAGGGGGAGGGAAGGGAGGGAGCGAGGGTGGGTGAGGGAACGGAGAAACCATGCGGTGATTTCTGTGAACGACAGTGGCGACTATGGGTGTTGTGGGGGGAGAGAGGGCATCAAGAGACGGCCCTCACACGGGTAAGGTAGGTAGGTGGGGCAGGCCTCTGCCCCGCATCACACAACACAACACACACCACACCCCACAAGCAGCAAGCACGCCACCTTCCTCCCCTCGCGGCCACAGACGTTTCACAACACAACACGGCAACACACAACGCCCCGCGGGCCCCCCCCCCCCGCCCCCTTCCTCTTTGTGCCCCCCCTCCTCCTCACGTTCGCTGCTGGCGTCTAGCGCCCGTGTGAGCCTCTCGTAGGCCGCCACCACGTGGCCCGGGGTGCCGGCGGGCAGCGGCGCAGGCGGCGACAGGGCTGCCGGATGATGGTGAGGGCGGTCATGGGGGTGGACATGGGGGGCTTGGAAGCGAGCATGCGGCGCCAACACCGCTGATAGCAGGGGGACGGTGGTGGGCGGCAGGGGCGGTGGGGTGGGGGGCCGCGGGGCCGCAGCACCCTCCTGGGCTGGAGCTGCTGCTGCTGCTGTGGGGGCTGCTGCAGATGTGGAGGGACCTGCGCCGCCTGCCCCTGCCCCTGCTGCTGCTGGGGCTGCTGCAGAGGCGTGGGGGTTTCTGCTGGTCAGCGCGCCAACCCCAGCGTTGCCACCGCTGCTGGTGTTGATGCCGCCTGCTCCGTTGGCGCTAGCAGCGGAGGGGCCCGCAGCTGCCCCAGCCCCAGCCCCAGCCCCGGCAGCAGTCCCTGCCGCCCTCGCCGCTGCAGTGCCGTCAGACAGGGCTCCTGCTGCTGCCGCTGTGTTGGCTGCCCCCGCCCCTGCTGCCGCTGCCGCCGCAATGACGCTGAAGGGCAGCGGGAAGTCCCCCAGCAGCGCCGCCAGCTCCTCACCGTCACCCTCCTCCTCCTCCTCCTCCTCGTCGTCGACCTCGTCATGAACAGCAGCAGCAGCATTCCCCTCCTGACCACTCTCCTCCTGCTCCTCCTCGTCCTCATCGCTCTCGCTGCTATCATCGCCGCTGCCGCCGCCGCCGCCGTCTCCACCCGCTGCTGCCCCCGCTCCAGCACCACTGACGCCGCCAGCAGTACCCCTGCTGCCGCCCGCCTGATGCCCCGCCCCCTCCTCCTCCTCCTCCTCCTCCTCCTCCGCAGCAGCAGCAGCAGCAGCAGCAGCAGCGGCGGTAGCGGGAGCAGCAGCAGCCCCTTCCTCTGCCATCACCTCCTGCGGCTGGTGTTGCTGCCCCTGCCCCTGCTGCTGCTGGGGCGGCACTGGAGGAACCCCACGACCAGCGACCTCCATCACAGCGTCCTCTTCCTCCTCTTCCCCGTCTTCCTCCTCCTCATCCTCCTCCTCAACACCACCAGCACCTACCACACCCTTGCGCTGCTTCCCACCCTCCTCCTCCTCCTCCCGCACCCTCTCCTCCCTTTCACTGCCCTCCTCCCCCTCCTCCTCCCCCTCCTCCTCTGTTCCCACCGGAGCCGGGTGCATGTACTCAATCACCTGCCCATCCTCCCCCCGCACCACCAGCTTCTGCCAACCCCTCCGCTGCCGCCGCCGCCTGCTGCTGCTGCCCCCCCGCCGCCGCACCGGTTGCTGCTGCTCTCCCCTTGCCGCCGCCACCACTGATTGCTTCCGCTGCTCCCGACTCCCACCCGCACCTCCGCCGCCACCACCACCAGCTGCACCCCTGGCTCCGCCCCGGCCCCGCTGACCGCCGCTACTGCCGGCAGCGACCCCAGCCGCCACCGCACTGCCCGCACCCGCACCCGCACCCGCGGCCGCCGCTGCCTCCGAGGGCCCGCCTCGGGACCCTCCCCCAAAGAGAGAGGCAGCACGGCGTTGAGGAAGAGGAGCGGCGGCAGGAGCAGGAGCAGCGCTTGCTGATGCGGGAGGAGGAGCAGCGGCAGCAGCGGCAGCAGCTGCCGCCTGGGCTGACCCGCGGGTCGCAACGCGTGGAGCCGCAGCAGAAGCAGCGATTGCCGTTGCTGTAACACGAGCGCGCTTGGAAGGCCGCGGTTCGGGGGGTTGCTGGTCTTCCCCTCCCGACGAACGCTCGTTTTCCTCCTCCTCCTCTTCCTCCTGCTGCTGCTGCTGGCGTCGCGGCTGCCTGCCCCTGCCACCAACAGTGCGACTGCTGCCCCCTGCTCCTCCTGCTGATGTTGCCGCTGCTGCCGCGCCCCCTCCTCCTGCCTGCTGTCGCTCCTGCCGCTTGCGCTGTCGTCGTTGTCGGACGGAGCCGACGTAGGTATGGTCCTCATCCTCCTCCAGCAGAGCCTCCAAAGGCTCACGCAAAGGCTCGTGCATAGCGTCGTTGTCTGCGGAGTTGCATCAGATGTGGGCGGATGTCGGTCAGATGTGCGAGAGGTACCGTGTTCGCGGGATGGGAGGGCAGGTGGTCAGATGGTGAGGTGGGTGGATGGGTGTGGGTGAGCAAAACAGATAATTTGCATAGCGTACAAGGGTTCTGATGGTGCTCATGTACGCAGGTTTCATGCTGAAAACTGTCGGCCGCTTCCGTCCCTCACGCGGCAGTAACCGCTGTTTGAAAGCGCGGCTCGCTCGGAGCTTTAGCTTAGGACGGCTTGCACGCACTAGACCCCAGTGGTCTAGTCGAGCCTATTGAACGTACCTTTGATAAGGCGGAGCACGAAGTAGTCCTTCTTCGCTGTAGAGTAGAGCTCCAACTCGTCGTTAATGAATACCGTCGCCTTGTACTTGCGCGTGCTGAGCATGTAATGTCGCACGGTCGTCAAGTCAAGCTGACCACTTAGCCCGTCTTCTCCGGGCCGTTCCAGATACTCATAAACTGCTTTTATTGGCTTGCAGTCGATACCGCCTGGAACCTCCTGTATAGCGAGGCGCCGAAAGCATCCAAGCCGTCCACTTAACTCGAAATAGGCGTTTTCAAAGCAGCGAATCTTACCTTTCCGGGAGGCTGTACGTATACTGTAATTCGTGACCCTGGCGGGACATATCGCGATAAATGAGGCTTGAATAGGGCATGGTCCACCCGTAGAACTTCAGGCTCAGTCCTTTCCCTTAGAGACCATGGTAACTCGACAACCTATGCAAAACGAGGACTGTTACAAACGCTGTGGCAAGGCAACTTTCCCGTTCGCTGTTGATAGCTTCGACTCGCACCTCCGAGTGAAGTTTGTCAAGCCCCGCAAGCCGGCCAGCCATACTGTCAGTCTGGAAAAATCACTAGCGACGGCATTGCCCGTTTAGCCTTGTACCATGGTTACAATTACGGCATGATAGCTATCACGTGCAGGTACGTTCCACTGACGTAGTGTACGACATGTAACGACAATGTGTAGCACCGATACGTTTATGCCGCAGCAACGCACACGGTACACGCACGCGGTACACATGCAAACATATGGTTGATCGACTGGCTGAACAACGCGGCATGCAGCAGGGCTGACAATTGTGACAAGGCAGCATGCAGGGCTGGTAACAGTTGCGGCGCTGACTAGCGGCCCGCGGAGGGGGCCCACTGTATCGCCCAGTCTTGTAAGCAGACACACAGACGACCAGCCTTCTTAACACTGTAATACCGGTACGCATGACTACCGTACGACGGTGCAGGAGCCTCGCATCGCGCATGAGTCACTCGCAGCCCTGAATGTGCCACTCGGAAGGAGCTTGCATGTGCACGTCAAAGCATTACCGCAGTGCACATCCCGGTAGTCCAAGGCGGTCGGCAAGCACTCGTCAACTTGTGTACAAGGAACGACAGGAGTGGATAGAACATGACGTTACCCATACACTGCTGGTTCCTTGCTTAGGACCCTTGCTTGCCAGCACCGATCGGCGGGCGTGCGACGTGCGTGTGCCCAGCAGAATCCAACAGACCAGAATACGATTCATTAACCCTTGTGATACAACCCATTCAACAATGGAAGGACAACCCATTCAAGAGACAGCAGCCAATATAGGAAGATCTTTGACCTGCTGGCAGGCAGGCTGTGTTTTCCCACACATCCTTCTCCTCTCCAGCCGCGCAACAACAGAACTCGCGTCAAGCCCTCCTAAAAGCCACCCACCAAAAACCAACACGCCATCATGTCACAAACGGAAGGTCGGGTTTCCCGTGCCCCTGTGTGCTGCGCTGTCATACATACACAGTAGCACACGTTGGCCTCGGTTGTAGCAATCTTACCGCAACTAGCAACCGAAAATGCATGCATGCACGGACGTTTGCGCCTCTGCAGGCCGGCAGGGCGCCGCAAGCATCACATTTCACATGTTCACACTCACAACAGCAGCTCCCGTATGCTCCCAGCTGCTGCTTTGGGAGAGCTGCCCAGCATGCGGCAGCCCCTCTAACAGGTACACGGCCCTCAGGCATATCAGGGCTAATGAACCTGTCAGGGCTAATGAACCTGATAACCTGATTCAAGTCTGCCACTAAAGCCACCTGCCCAACTGCCCCTTCACAACCGTCGCAAAGGACGTCACGAACGCTTTAGGGGCGCGAACAATTGTCAACGGCCGGTCTTCAACGAAAATGCACGTCAGACCCATGGGTCGGTTGTTCGTCGTCCATGGTCCCTCGCGCGTCAGGTACACGCAGTAAAAGTGAGACATCCTCCTGTGTGCGCTAATAGCCTTATTGTTGACCCATGGGTCGTGGTCGAGGCACCGTACCCTCTTACGAGCCTTCTACAAAGCAACGGCGGCGTCTGCACTGGTAAGATCTCGCATAGATATAAGCCAGAGTATACTTGCCAGATTATATTTGCCAAATTATACTTGCCACCAGCTCCTAACCGCCCGCATTCCTACCATCTGTTCGACATGACACAGAACAACACACAGCTACACTTTGCCGAGGCGTATATAATACTCGACAGGAGCGAGCGTGGGGCCGTGGAGTCCCATGTCGCTAACAAAAGGGGGTCACCGAAACCACAACATGTACAGCAACATCGTCAACCGTCAACAGTCAACCGGCAACAACAACACAATCAACGGTTGCAAGCCTGGTCGCCCAAAGGGCGACGAATTGTACGAATTCAAGCCAACAAGTCCCGTAATAATTCAACAGGCAACGTCTAATATATAGCTCACAACACGTGCCTGCCTGGTCGCGTTCAAAACGTACTCAGACGAGCTCAGTCACATTTAAGCCAACTGCCCCAAAAAACAACAACGGTCACCGGGCAACCCATTCGCCGCGGCTACATCCGAGGGCACGCAGCCCCGCCAGCGCCCACGCAACCCAGCCACCACAGCCGCCTCCCCGAGGGCATGTGTGGGATTGAATAACCTTGTTCAGAGGCCCATGCGCCCCACGCTACTCACTTTCAAACACGTCCTACGGACGTATCTTGCCGCAATCCGGGTTGCCGTTGTCGTCCTACCGCCTGGGCATGTGTAACTCTGCTGCCCCTAGCTGCTGCCACATTCAGCAGTCCCCCTAGCAGCCCCTGCTGCTGCTGCCACAGCTACCTTCTGCCTTGGCGTGCAAGCAACACCATCATCGGTGCGGGTCGGCTGCGGGTCGGCTGCGGCAACTCCGATGCGTGTCAACATCATAAACATCAGCTCAGCGCGTTCGGGTGGGGGAAGCGGGCGGCGAAGAGGCAGGCGAGGAGGAGGCGGTTGGCGACCCCAGCTCATCTCGCCCTCGCTTCACACCCCCCACCATCATAGTCATGAGCTCAATCACATCCATCTCCTCCTCCTCCTCCTCCTCCTCCTCTTCCCGCTGCTCCTGCTCCTGTTCTACACCCTTGCCCGCGCTTGCATCATCACCACCAGCACCAGCACCAGCAAAGCAACCGTCGCCGCCGCCGCCGTTGTTGTTGCTATCATCTCCACCGCAGCGACCGGCGGAGTGGCGGCTGCTGCATTGCCGTTTGTATTGTTGCCGCTGCTGCTGCTGCGGTAGCTGCTGCGGTAGCATGGCGGGTGTTGGGGGCTGGTGCGGGTCGGCTGCGAGCATCGCCGCCTGCGTGCGGCAGCACATGAGGCGGGCAGGCAGGAGGGCAGGAGGGCAGAGTAAGGTGAGGATTCGCGTGCCCCAAGCACGCGTATTATGACGAGCGTTGGAAGCTTTGGATGGATAGAAAGAGAAAAAGCATAAGATTAACATACCGATAACGCATGCGTGCGAGTGCCGTACCGTACCGTACCGCATCAATACCACCCCTCAGCATCATCAACTCATCATCAGTTCCTCGTCGTCATCCTCATCATCAGCAGCAACAGCAAAGCAACGGAAAGCAAAGCCTCACCAACCACTTCACATCCCGCCCCCTTCCAACCCACCTGTCGCGCCCCGCATGCAATTCCCGGCAGCCCAAACAGGGCCGCCTCCACCTCCCCCTCCAGCCGCCGGGGCATGACTCGGCTCCTGCAGGGCTGCTGCCGGCCCCCCGCCGCCCCCCACGCCCCCAGCAGCAGCCCCCGGTTCGCCTCGCACCAGCGGGTGAAGGCAGCGAAGGCGGCGGCGCGCAGGGCGGCGGCGGAGGGGGAGGAGGACGAGGTGCAGACGTAGACTCGCAGGGTGCGCTCCTGGGGGTTGGGGGGGGTTGGGGTGAGGTGAGGTGGAGGTTGGGGGTTGCATGATGAGCAGGGGTGGGGTGGGTCGGGTGATGGGCAAACACAACGTGGGGTGACATGGTTTGAAGAGAGGAGGAGGAAGGCGAGGAGGAGGTGCGTGCGGAGGGGCAGGTGGTATAGGGGCAGGAATCCCACCGCCCACTCCACCCCTACCCACTCCACTCTCACATGTTGCAAACCCTGGTACGGATGATGACACAGCCTCCTGACACAGCCAGTCAATTGTCTCCTTCTTTTACCCCACTCCACTCCCAGTCCACTCCAACTCACCTCCCAGCCCCCCACCCCCACCCCCACCCCCCACTCCTGGTCCCACCTCGAAGTACTCCGGCAGCTGCAGACCCGCCAGCATGGCCTCGTCAGCACGCCGGGGTGCCGTACAGCGGGCATCCGGGTAAAACCCAACCTGGGGGGGAGGGGAAGGGGCGGGGTTGGGGAAAGGCGCGGGAGAGTGTGTGCTTGGGTGTCTTGTGGGTCGGGGATTGGGTATTGGAGGGAGGGCCAAGCGCTTCCTGGCTCCCAATGCTCCCAACACCCCATGCTCCCGACACCCAACACCCTTCCATGCCCTTCCCCGCCCTCAAAACCCACACTTACCCCATCTATCGGGTTCGCTCCCCCCTTCTTGCCGTAATCCAGCTTCACAATGTGGACCTTGAGGATGTCGGGTGTTAGTTGAACGACACCGTTGCTGTTGCCGTACGAGGCGACGTTGGCCTCCGTGAATGCCTTTTCCAATTCCGCCTGCGGTTGGTGGGTCGTTGGTAGAATGCGGTTAGTCGTTAGCAGAGTGCGGTTAGCAGGGCGCGGCGAGCGGCACACGGAGGAAGTCCAAGGCAACCTTCCCCCCCATCCCGGTACACACATGGGCCCCATGAACACGACAGGATGCGCCGAAACCCGCACATCCGTTCCCCCCCCCACCTTCCCGTCACTTCCTATCCCCATCGTCTTGCCCCAACCCGTGGTTTCCTATGGTTCAGTATACCAAGACTTTGAACCCCACCTCCCCCCCCCCGGCAAGCCATCCTCTCACCTCCCACTGCTTGCCGCCGTACGGCAGCTGCGCAACCTCCCCCACACACGGATACACATCCCCCGCCTTCACCCGCTCCAGCAGCTCCCGCGCCCTGCCCAGCCGCCCGCCTCCTCCTCCCCCCGCACCGCCGCCGCTGCTGCTGCTGCTGTTGCGCCCCCTCCCTGGCTTCCACACCGCCACCACCGCCCCCTCCCCGTCCTCCTCCCATGCATCCTCCGCGGGCTCAGACAGGCGGGAGAGGAGAGCCGCGTGCGGGTGGGCGGGCGGCAGGGGGCGAGGCAGGCAGTCGTAGTGGAGGATGAGCTGCGAGGGCAGGAGAGGGTGACCGGGGGGGTGGGGGGAGTGGTGAGAACAGGCGGGGGGGGGGGGGTCAAGGGCCATACCAAACCATAGAAAACCACAGGCTAAGGCTAAGCCTTGGGAATAGGAAGCGGCAAGGTGTCACAATGTAAGTGTTAAGAACAGGCGGAGGGGGGGAGGGGGGCTAGATGACAGCTTGATAGGCGGGGCCGTACGGATAGCAGCGATGCATGGGGCGCAGGATGCATGGGGCGCAGGATGCATGGGCGCATGCATGCATGGCAGCAGCTGTGATGACGAGTCCGGCAAGCATGCCCGGCATGTGTTTTTTCTCTCCGCCCCACCCTGTCCCCCCTACTGCCTCAGGGGCCCCCTCTCCCACCTCTCTGACTCCCCCCTCCTCCCCCCCCTGCCCACTCACATCCAGGAGCGTGTCGTCCAGGTGGATGAAATCCTGCGTGTGTGTGTTTTATAGGAGGTGGGGTGGGTGGGGGGAGAGGGTTGAGGCTTGCTGCAGGGAAGACTCCGGGGCAGCCGGGAGGAGGGAGCGAGGGACTTGGCTGCCGCGTAGGAAAGGAAAGCAGATGTCCTCCAGGGCTTCAAGACTCGGCCAGGTTTCCTTCCACCTCACCTCCGCCCTCTCCACCAGGCGTGTGAAACCCAGCACGCCCTCCGGCCCCCCCACACACCCACCCACCTCCGCCCTCTCCACCAGGCGTGTGAAACCCAGCACGCCGTTTGCATCCACCAGAGCTTTAACCACCATCAGCTCGGCACCCTTGGTGCGTCTGAAGGGGGGTGTGGGGGTTGTGCGGGGGGGGTGGGGGTGGATCCCGAGGGGGAAAAGTGAAAGTGGGCGAAGGGGCATACAGGCTCTGCCCCCCGCCCGCCCTCACCCAATCCTCGTCCCCTTCCAGCCCTTCCTTCCCTTCCAGCCCCCCAGCCCCCCAGCCCCCCAGCCCCCCAGCCCCCCAGCCCTACTCGCTCGTGTACACGTGCCGGAACATGCGGCCCCGCTCAGCGAATGCGCTCCACACGTTGCCACACTGGGAGGCGGGGTAGCAGAGCTGGTCGGCCAGGACCTGGGGGGGGCGAGGGGGGGGGGCCGCGGGGGGGTGGGTAAGGCAGAGGAACAGGCCTATTGAGCCGCGATGAACGTCACGGCGAAGACACACGGCACCGCCGTAAACCTGTGCAAGATCTGTTGTAACCACACATGCATACACACACACGCACACATGCGGCAATCACAGTACGTTCCTACTCGCGGCCAGGTTTCTTAATAAGCACTTAAATAACACATGCACTGAGCTCGTTCCGGCATGCGAAGTACGGCTCTAGTCGACTCCCAGCCAGTTTCTTTCCTGGCTAATACACACCCACGAGCGCTACTGTAGCAGCTACCTAGGGTTATTACCACACAGCTCCTCGGCTTGTTTGCCAGCCTCATTCCACACATCGGGTATTCTTCTTCCCTCTTGTTCCCCCCCCCCAAACCCCCCCACCTTGGCCCCGCTCAGCAGGCTTGTCGTACACACCGCCAGCGGGCCCACTCCGCAGTGCCACGCGTCCCGCTGCAGGTAGTCCAGCCTGTCCACATCGATCCTATCGACATGGGCGGGAAACAGGCAGGCGCGGGAAAGCGGGAGGGGGGAGAGACCCGTGGGTCGCTCGGTCACAAATGTATGTTTGGTTCCCTGGGAAAGAGACCCAGGGGTCGCTTAGCTGCCATTACGAGGGAGGAGGGGGTGTTGCCGTACATGCATACACACACGAATACACAAACAAGCGTATCCTGGATATTTACCCGTTGCAGTCGTTGGAAATGATGTCGTACAGGAACCGCTTGCCCTCGGGTAACTGGGCGCGTGTCTCGGGTTTCACTCCCTGGATGTACTGCCCGATCTGCTTCGCGTCTTCCCTGCAGTACGAGGCGGTGAGGGAGGTACGGCAGGTTGAGGCCGAAACAGAGTACGGGTAAGACACGGTTAACAACTCCAGGACGCCCGGCGGGGCTGCCACCCGGCCGCCTCCCGATCCTCCCAAAGTTGCGAACCCCTGCCCTTCCTTCCCCATACCGCGACTCAGCCAAGCCCCCTAAGCCCCCTGCCCCTCCCCTCCCTCCCCTCCCCTCCCCCCCCAACTTACGCATCCATCACCTCCTCCCCCACTCCGCACTCCGCCACCAGGTGGTCCAGCATCTGAAGCGACATGGCCTCGTGGTCCCTGCAGGCATACGGGAGGAGGGGGTGAGGGGGGGCAGGGGGGGCAGGAGGGGCAGAGCGGCAGGGGCCGGCGATAGGATACTTCAGGAGGGAAATAGGATTTACTTAAAGAGGGAGGGGGCGGAGTTGGCTTTGTGGGTTAGCCTGCCTTGCCCGCCCACCCTGGACGTACTTCACATGCCATCTAGATATCTAGTGACGTCATCAACTTCCGGCTTCTATGACCCATGGGTCACTGCCTAACGCCCCGCTCAGCTGCAGCCAACCCACCACTTTATGCCCAGCGCTGATCGCAGGAACTCCCGCTCGAACACGTGGCTGCACACGCCGTGACCCAGGTCGTGACACAGGCCTGCGAGGGGGGGGGGGTAGGTTGGGGGAGAGGAGGGGTCAACTGAACAGCAACAGAACCTACAGAAGAGAGATGAGGGCGGAGGAAAGGCAGGGAGGAGAGCAGGGAGGAGGGAATACTGCAACAGTACAAGAAACAGCAGCAGTAGTCAGCAGAACGGCAGTGGAACGGCAATGATATAAGAATTCACGAAGAGAATAGCAAGGAGCGGCGCTTAGGCACGAAGCACGCAACCCAACTCCCCCGCCCTCCCTTTCCTCGCCCCCCATCCTACCAACCTGCCAATGTTATGTGGCGAATGGCTCGCTCGTCCAACACATCCCCCAATGCCCCCCGTTGGGTGTCGTACAAATGTCGTACCACCTTGTGACCCTGCGAAAGCGGTTAGTGGGTGGTTAGGGGGGTCGTTGCCGTACCCTACGTGTACGATGCATGTGCCCAAGCGTCCGTACAAGTAAATCGTACACTAGATAGACGGCAGCAATGGGCGCCTTGCCCTTCTGCTTATAAATGCCCCCTTCCTACCGATTTAAACCCAACCAAGTATTATATCATGTGCACAACTCCGAGGTCGTTGTCGTGCACGGCGTTGTTGTGTACCGGTATGGCGCCCCAACCTCCTACTAACCGCCTAACCACCCCCTACAAACCGCCGATGTACCTGACTACCGGAATCTGTATACCTCAAGGATCTTACTCACCAGGTGTGCTACTCCCAGTGAGTGCTGGTACCGCGTGTGTACGGCACCCGGGAAGGCCACGTGCGCCAGACCCAACTGCTTCAGCCGGCCCAGGCGGCGGAAGGGCGCGGAGTTGACGATGGCAGCGCAATAGGGGGGCAGGCTGCGTTTGGCGGGAGGGACAGGGCGAGGGTTGGCGGAGGAGGGGTGGAGGCGATGTGATGAAGAGCAAGGGTTAGGGAAAGAAGGGGTGTCAAGGGATGGGCCGCCTAATCCCGCCCTCGTGTCGTGAGGGTGAGAGAGAGGACATGAAGAGCCATGGATGAGGCATGGGCGACCGCGAAAGAAAGGCTCAACCGATATTATATTGTATACTTTTGCAGAAAGTGCACGTGTCAGAGACGGGTAGAGTGTCCTAGGGTCACGCTGGACGTCGGCCGCGGACTCCAGCGGGCGCGACCGCTCATGCGTAATTTTCCCGACTGCAATGCTTCTTCGAGAGTTGTCGCAACCCATATTGGTGCCCACTTCCGCTGCCAATTGCCTCTGGTTAACGCATAGAAACGACAGCAACAGAAACGCGCACCAAAAGTCGCCGTAGACCTCGTCTTTCTGGATTAGCAGGGCGGCGGGTCCCTGCAAGGCATTTGGGCTCCATTCGACCTTCCGCCGGGCATCTACGACAGTACTGGATGTCCTTAAAATTTAAGGCCTGCAACTTACCGCCCCGTGAGCGGCATTGTTGGCCTCCTGGGTAATGATTATCGTCTCATCCATGCCGTCTGCCTCCTCCATCGAGGCTAGTGGCGTGGCACGCAGGGTTTAATCTAACTTTGTGTCGTCAATGAAATCGGTTTTGGGTCGCAGGCGTCGCGCTTTCTTGTGAAAGTGCAGCTGGGACGCCAGCTCCTCGACGGATTCAGTAGGCTACCGACGACAACGGATTTGGCTACGACTACAGCACCCACACAGACGTACACTTCTACTGTATCAGTTGGAGAGGAAGCAAGCAAGTTCGTTGTACGGAATCAGGGTGGCACTGGAGCAAAGTCTTCAGCTTTCTAGTAAGTTGTTGTGAAGTTGTGACCCCCAAGCCCCTGCTTCTTTCTCGTCGTTGCTACACCATGTCACCTGCCTGTGGCCGTTTCATGCAGATCACGGGGCATAGCATGCCGCACACTGACGTCCAGCTTTGGTTACACTGTTTCTCGATAACTGCAACTATGCAACTATGCCGCTATGCAACTCTACCACTACTCGCAGTTTTCGTCGTTAGTCGCGTTACAAGCGGCGACCTCAAGCAGTGCAGACTTCTTTTCCGGAACTAATTACCGTATGCGGTTGAGCCGCGTATTCCTACAGTACAAGCGTGATGGATTATAGCGATTCCGCTTAACATGCGGACTGCTGCGATGCTGGTCATACTACATGCCCGCGCGCTATCCAGTTACATGTATGCGACGTCGGTGGGCACGCGTCTTCCTTCCGCTTGCCTGACAGGTTGTCGGAGTATGACAGAAGCGATATGTCAGGTGGCTGTAAAGGCCGTTTGGTTTACTTTGCGGTTGGGGCAGCGTGACAGCAGCCGCTGTCTAGCCCGCCGTAGGTGCGTAGGACCGCCTCGCCGTTCGGGCTTTACACAGATGGGTCCCCGAGGGGTGGAAGGGCCGCAGAGGGACTCGGGGGGGGGAACCGCGCGGGGTGCAGCAGCTGTGATGGCAGTTGATGAGAGGGCAGCGGGTGGGCGATGGGGCAGCAGGTGTCGGAAGACGTGCAGCAAGGTGGTAATATACCAGGAAGCTGGTAGCATACCAGGAAGCTGGTAGAATACCAGGACAGCACGTTAACAGCTGCCAACGTGCCAGCAAAGGTGGCAACTGCTGGCGGTGTGGTTGGCCCTGGGGAAAGGGGAATGGGTTCACCGGGTCGGCAGCCCCCTCCCAAGCAACTGCATGGGCGCTACGGCTGCGCTCCCCATCATCATGGCTCCGGTAGCCTGCGGTGGCTAGGTGCTTCTTCCTTCCTTACCCCATATCATGCTACCATTACTAACCCACCCACCTTACCGCTACCTCACCCACCCACTACGGTACGGTGCGGTACTGCCGGCATGTACCTCGCATACCTCTGCACGGGGCGGAGGTGCGGGGGATGCCGGACTTCTGCTCTTTTACCCGCTTGGAGCTAACGAGCTAACGGTAACGGAGTACCAATACCGGTAACGAATGGGGAACTACCGACGGCGCTTCGTCGTTTCCTGCCACGAGAAGGCTCCACCCCCTCCTCCTCACAGTAAACGGCATTGCTACGCAGCTCCCCTAGTGTTGATCTACAAGCATCCCAAGGTGGCTCTGTAAAAGTCCACATAACAGGCGCAGAGAACAAACACACATACAAGGTTTGAAACCGTCCAAGCGTCCCTGCACGCGCCTAGCCATGCTACCTTGGATGACATCCAAAGGGGCACACCGCCAGCACCCTCCAAAGGGGAGCATCTCAAGAGTTGGGTCGCATCAACGTCGAGTGTCTGTTGGTTACTCCCTCTGTTTACCTCTCACACCCTTGCAAACCCACGACTCATTAAACACACCTCCAACTCCACCTCAGGGGAATCACATGCCACTATACGGGCCGCTGCCCACCCCTCCTCCCCACCTAACCCATGCATCCCGCCAACATTGTCCTCCCTCGCTGTATCCGTAAGGGCTACAACCCGTCCCACGCCGCGTTAAGAGCACAAATCCAGTCAGATACAACCACAAAAACACATCCCAAGGTGCCTGCTCCCCCATATCCTCCTTTTCCTCCTCTCCCGCTCCTTCCCCATCCTCCTCCTCCTCCTCCTCCCGCTACCCCTCCTAAAAGCACTTCCCACGGCACCTCCGTCGCGGTTTGCCGCCCCCATTCTCCTCCCCTGCCTGCTGCTGCTGGATCTGCTCGTACACAATGTCGTGGATCCGGTCGATGGCCATGGTGGGATCTGGTTTCGAGGCATGGTAGGCGGCTGCTGCATCCGCGTCGTACGGTCGTACCTTCTCCATCGTGATGAGGCGGCGGCTGTAGCGGGAGGTCAGGATTTGCTCGCTGTTGGGAAGGGAAGGAGGGGGAGAAGAGAAGGAGAGGGGGGTTTATGGTTAGAATTTTATTAGTTAAGCAAACCGGCCGCTCGCCATGTTATAACGATCATTTGTTTTGTTACCGGCAACTTGGCAACACATGCGGGCGGGGTGGGAGGGGCAAGCAGGAGGTATTGCAGCGGGAGTGGCAGGGGCATGCATGTCGGGGTTTGCTGCCAGCTAGCCCCCGTTGCTCCCCCCCCCACACCTGTTCGCCACCAACTGCAGTGCCGGGTGGTACGGCAGCTCCCCCTCGTCGTACGTCTCGGGGCTGGCGGGCAGGAAGTACACCAACCGCCCGCCAACCACCAACAACCGGGCAGACATGTCCAGCAGGTCGCGGAGGCACTCGCCGAGGGTGTACGGCTGTTACCGGAAATTGGCAGTTGTTGCCGTTGCCGTTGTTACCGTTGGGAGTTGTTGGTTACAGTAACCGAGGTTGTAGGGACAGGTGGGGTGAAGGGCAAAACCGAGGGAAATAAGAAAAAAGCGAGGCGAGGAGCGAGGGTGGGGCGGGGCCTGGGTCTCTTTCCTGCTTCTATGCTGCCATGTATGATCGCAAGGAGCCCGCTGAGGGGCCTGATGTCGCTGTACGGGCGCAGCATACACTACACAACCGAAACCCGACTGACATACCACCCGCATCACGTCCCCATAATCCAGGCTCCCCCATACCCTCTCCTGCCTCCCGCTAACCAACACTTGTATTGCGGCACCCTGCCGCCTCCTAACCGGTGGCTTCCTAGGGAACGGTATGTGGTCTTTATCCCCTCCCTCTCCCCACCTGCGTTGCTGGGATGTGGGTGGCCCTATCCGTGATGGGGTTTCGCTTGGCCGCCGCCTCGGGGGCAGCTCCCGACTTCTTGCCACCCGCGCGCACGCCGTACGGCGGATCTCCAATAACGGCATGCAGGATCTGCATGGCGGGAGGGGGGAGAAGGGGGCGGTTGGTGGAGGGGCGGTTGGAGTGGAAGGGTACGTTTTTGTGGGGTTGTTGTTACGGTACATGGAGGGAGGGAGGCAAACATCGGAATGCTGCCACCTAAAAGCATGTTCACCCGGAAAACACCAGTGTGTGTGTCTCCACCCGCAATCAGCTCCCCAAAGCCACCCCAGCCCCTCCCCCCCCACCCCCGCCCCCCTGCTCACCCCCTCCAGATCCCTCCGCAGCGGCAGGTGGTGTGTGTCCAGCCGAATCAGGTCCGCCAGCCGCCCGCCCAGACCGTACTGCGCGAAGTTGGAGCGGATGGTGAGTGACTCGCCACCTGGGCCCACCTGCATGGGGGGGGGAGGGGGAGGGGGGGGAGGAGGGGGGATCAAGTAAGGATACATGAGGTGAGTGGGGAAAACGGAGAAGCCCAATGTGTGTGGGTGGGGGAAGGGGGAAAGGATGAACTAACGAGCTGAATGACAAGGCTGTACCATCATTCGGTGGAGTTTCAGAGAGAAACCAAACCGAATGGGGCAGGGTTGCCCTTCCTCTCCTCCTGCTACCCGTTTTTTCCCCTGCCGCCCCTCAGCCCTCCCCCTCCTACCTTCCCCTCCCGGATGACCTTGATGTCGATGTCCGTACCCAACACCTGTTTGTGGTACGACAGGTATGCCGGGGGGAGAGGAGTGAGGCGGTGGGAGGGGGAACGTGTGACGTAGCTGCGGGAACCTAGAGGAGGCTATCAAATGGCGATATCATGGTAAGATGCCCAGACCCTAGTGCGGTTATCGAAGCATGAATGAACGTCTGGAAGAGGATGAGGGAGGGTACGAAGAAGGTACCTATGAAGGTAATGTAACGACAGTACGGCAGTACAGCAGTACAGTACGGCAGCGCCGCCCCCCGTTCGTACCTGCGCTCCGTAGTGTGCTGCCGCCACCAGGATGGATCCAGTTCCCGCGTACGGATCCAAAACCAACTGCCCTGGCCGTACCTGCAAGCGTGCGAACATGCACTACAAGTGCTTACAACAACTAATACAAGTCATTGTTTCTTGACCGCTCGTGTTGCACGCAAGCCAAGTCAACTCAGCGGCGCCCGCACACCCATACCACAATCACACATTTTCCGGCAAGCATCCACAGTACGTTCCTACTCGCGCCCATCCCCCCCCCACCTTTGCCTGGTTGCACATGAGGAAGGCCATCTCCGCGTCCATGGAGGTGGGTCCCAGGTAGCGTCGCCGCCGCAGCGAGTAGCGGTCCGGCAGCCCCCGGTCGCCGACACCCACGATACGGCCAAAGTAGAGCCGGGGGGGAACCTGGGGGGCCGGGGGGTGGGTGGGTGGGAGGAGTGCAAGATAAATGAGAAGTGCAGCAACTGGAGTGGGGGAGGTGGGGGGTTTGGAGTGTGGGGTTGTCGGAAGATGTGGTGGTGTGGTGTGGGGGTATGTGTGGGGGTGTGCAATGGGGTGAATAGTATAGAGCTGGCACCCCACACCACACCCACCTGCGCGTCTATGAGCGAGCCATGGTCCCCCGCGTCGCACATGAGCAACACGAACTGAACCTGAGCGGGAAGGGGGGAGGACAGAGGGATACCCAGTGTCGTGAATAAAATAGAAAGAGGGGAGGAAACGGAGGAGGAGAGAGGGAGGAGGGGCCAGGGAGGTCGGACATGGAGACTCGCAAAAAGGCCGAGGAAAACGACATGGGCCATAAACCCCAGCTCGTCGAGGCCACAGGCTGTGAGGGTATAATAGCAGAAGTGCACTAGCAACAGCCCCCCCAGCAGCGGTACATCCGCAGTTTCCGCAAGCCGACACGACCTGACCGTCCTACAAACATTCTAGATCCAGCCTTGCCGTACGGCCGTACGTACCTCTGGATCTCGTAATCGTACTGAGCCCTGTGTCGTACAATCACGTAAAGCCGCCAGCATTTGTTTATGTAGAGGCAATAATAGGCATGGAGGAAGCAGGGGGGAAAGGAGCAGGCACAGAGGGCGGGGGAGTTGAAGGTATGAACGGTGCGCGGGGTCCGTGTGCGGTCACGAGGGGAGCATGCCGCATCAGGACATCGCCCCCCGCTCCCTTCCCGCCACCCAATACATCCACCTCGAGCTCTTGCTACGTCGTTTCTTTTCCACCCATACCACCCGCCGATACCACCCGCCATGCCCTGCCCTGCCCTGCCCTGCCGTTGGATGTTGGGCCGACATACGCCTCCGCACCGCACCGCACCCTGCCCCTCCGCCTAGCCAGCCCCTGAGCTCCTCTACCTGCCCCCTCCCCTCTTACCCTCTCGCCCCCTCTCGCCCCCTCTCGCCCCCTCCCAACCCCCACCCTCCCACCCCACCCACCCCCACCTGGAAGGGAATGAACTCCAGCCTGTGTATCGCCTCCAGCTGCTCCTCCATGGCCACCGAGCGACCGAAGCTCTCCACCACCACCTTGAAGCTGAGCGAGGGGGACAGCCAGGGGGCCTGGGGGAAGGGGGGGAGGGGGAGGGTGTGGTAGGCAAGGGAGTGCCAGGGAGGTGGACTTGGAGGTCTCACGTGGTCAGGTCAGGGTGCGTGAGGGAAGCCCCCTCGCCCGCCTTGGCGAGCAGAGGACCCCTGCCGGCCCCTGCACACTACCTTGTACCCCACAAGGCTCCTACACGCCCCCCCTGCCTCCTTCCATCTGCCCCTAACCCACCTCGACCTGCTTCCCACATGCCTCTCCTTCCTCCTATCCTGCCCCTACTGCCTTGCCCTCACTTGTGGTTTCCCTAAAACAGGGGTCGGTTTCTCCCCTCTTGCCCCCCGTCTAACCCACCTTGACCTGCTCCTCCTCCCCTTCCCCCCCGCCCCCCCGTCCAACCCACCTTGACCTGCTCCGGACACGCCTCAATGGCCGCCTGCAGCTCCCCCCAGTCCGCCCCTTCGCCCCACACCTCCACCAGCATCTGTAGGGAGGGAGGGAGGGAGGGAAGAAGGCACATGTGACAGGGCTGCTAGGAGAGGAGGGCGGGCGGGTGGGGGAAAGCCAGGAAGCGGGAGAAGTAATGGGCACGGGGTGCTGGGAGCAAGGTGGATGGGTGTTCTTGAGAGACCGGGTAGCCCCTTTCCGAGGGGCAGTGGGGTACTTGTTTGTGTTCTTCCCCGGTTTTGTCGCAACCCACCTTGGTCATCAGCATCCGCTTGCTGATCTCCTGAGCTGCTTCCTCCGAAGGTAACGTGAGGTACCAAAACGGAGAGTGCTCCACGTCTCCCGCCGGCGCCCGCCATCGCAGCTGCTCATCCTTGCAGCCGACTAGCTGTGCTATGCTTTCAAGCTCTGGCCGGCGAAACTCTAGCAACCGGTGAGCAAAGTATGTAAGGTATTCCTTTCCGCTGGTGCTGGGGCCGTCGTCGGCTTGGTCGGCGGGGCCTCCGGCGCAATTGGCGACGGTTCGCACCATCGCAAACTTTTAGGACTAATAGATTTAAAGTTGAAAAGGCACACAGAAGTGACTATAACGTTGTACCAGATGTATAATAAACTGTCGCAAGTGTAGTGCACTTTCAGTGCGCTGCTCGCTCGAGAGCGACGGGATCACCTTGACACACAGTGATATGCTTTTACGGGTGCGGTCGATCGCATCTGTCCCAATAAGTTAATGGGATGCTGCCTCCTTGGGAGGAAACACTACTGTACGGCGCAGCACGGTTGCCAGCTTGCCGCTGCCGCTGCAACAGGTCGCAACGCAATACTGCTATATTAGTGAGCGTCGCATCTACTGACAGCAACATAGTGATGCCAAACTTCTGAACAGCGGCGTGGGTTGCAGTCCCTGGCTCCCTGCGGAGCATGGCACGTGAACGTACGGCTCTACCGACAGTCTTAGGCTAGTTGGATGTTGTTAGCGAAACCGTTTCCCTGGCTTCATGTGTTGAGAACGTCAAGACCCAGTACTTACACCTCCATTACCAGTAGCAAACTGTCAGGAACCGTGTCCTCATTCTCAACTCAATGACGTGGGCCCGCAAAGCCTGATAGCACTCCATAAATAGCTACATACACCCTAGGTGCACGCCGCTTCGCAGGAAGGCCTGTGGTCTGGGTGGACTCCTCAACCATGCTTGGCGTAACAGGTGCGCATGCACCACAACTGGTGCTGGCATATGCAACCCTAGCATTGGTATGCACGGCAATTGTTTCCGGAAGTAGTATGCTTTTCATAGTTAAAAAGCTGAGCTTAGCACAGCTAACTGCCGTTTGCAAGTATGGCCATGCCAGTGCATGTCAGGATGGCATGCTGCGCCAGGCTGCCATCCTTCTTACACTCGAGACGCGTTTCCGCGTTTCTGCTCGGATGTTGTGGCAAGGAGACAGTTCAATTTCTTTCGGGCCTTCCTTTGTAAGGGACGGAACCATGGTTCCTAACCGGCTCCCTGCTAGCATGCCCTGCAATCCCTTTTCCTATCCGTTCCTTTCCATTCCTTGTCGTACATACACAGGTGGTCGACGACCTCCCTCCACATGGCTGTTACCAAGCCGGAGGTTTCCGGAGCGGTTGGAGGCGGCCTGGGGGCAGGTTTCGGAGCGCAGCATCGCCCTAGCAGGCGGGGACCCTCTACGGGTGACACGTGACGCCTTCCTAACGGTATGTGGGCAAATGTACGGAAAACGCGTTGCGGTGTACGACACGATGTTGGGTGCATGGTCATGTCATGTGTGCACACGACCTGGACAGTACGTTCCTTTCTCGCGACCGGTTTACACAACACGACTTGGCGTCATGAGTAGTGTGTTGGGTTGGATGGAAAAAGCACCTGCTGAGCGTGTAACTGTGGGGGCTCCTAAGGTAGGGGCACACCACCACCCGCCATCACACGTCATTACCGCGCACTGTGGGCTACTGGGCTCGTGCGTCCGGCTGTGGGTTTGCCTGCGAGTGTTGAGCAGCCTCCTTCTCACACTCAATCCCAGCCCCCACCCTCCTCCACGGGGTGCCGCTACCGTTCACAACTTCCTCTCGTTTTTCGCTTCCCCCAAACACCTCCCCGCCACCTCCTGCCTACCATCTCCCCGCAACCACCTCCTCCCCACCACCTCCTCCTCGCCAACCCCCTGCCCACAGGCGTTCCTAGACACCATGCAGGGCCTCACGGATAAGGAGGTCGACTATGTACGACAGGTGACTCTTGTCGTAATCCAACAGGTGGGGCTTGGGGCCTGCTGTCGTACGACAGGCGTGTATGTGGGTGTACGCAATCGTAGGCTTGCGGGTGACGAGGTGGAGTGGAGTTGTACGGCAGGTGGGTATGTGGTGTACGGCAACGGATGAGTCGCGTCCTGACCACATCGGTAGCTAGCGGCGGAGGAGGAATGGTGGGGATGCTAGTGCCCTCATCATCCCCTCACCATCCCACTGCCGTCCTCCCCCCCGTTGATTGTCAGCAACTTGTATCATTATCATACCACACTTTGGAATTTCATTTTTCCCCTCCCCCCTTTCCTGGTCCCCCAGATGCGCGGCAGTAACCTTTTCTTCGGAGACCTGGACTACTTGAAGGTGTCACTGCTGCAGGTGGGTGGTGGGTGGGGTTAGGGGTGGGTGTGGTGCGTTGCAAGGATAGGAGGAAGAGGGGCAATGTGGAACGGCGCGGGTGAGGGGCGATGTGGTACGGCTCGGGTGCCCTGCCAGCCCACTGCCCTAGCAGCTCCTTACCCGTCACCCCGCCCCTGCCCCCCCTCCCATAGGTCTCACGCTAGGTTGGTCCTTATTTACGCCCTTCACGCCCTCCTGACTGCCAACCCCCCTATGCCCTACTACGGTCCCGCTCACAGCCACGGTGTTTCAAGTCGGCCACCAGCTGCACACCACCATCATACACCACTATCTGCCACACCGCCTCCTCCCTCCCCCTGCCCCCCTGAACCCCTTCAACCCCATGCCCCCCACCCAGGGCCGTGTCCCCCCCGCCGAGCTGGACCCGCAGCCCGCCTCCCTCACCGCCTCCCTCTTCTCCACCTGCACGGCAACCCGGGGAACCAAAACCCTGGACCTCCTCAAAACCACGGGTGCGACTGCTTGCGCGGTGTGCCCCTGGGGGGTTGTGTAATATGTGTGGTGAATGAAAAGGGAAGGAACACGGGGAAGGGGCAAAACACAAGGTGGGGAAGATGGGGCGACGAACATGTAAATGGTGGTGCCTGGCATGGGCTGGGCGTGGCTTGAGTTGGGGTGGGGCCATCAGCTTGTTTACCGATATCAACTCTGTCGTTGCCTCACATCCCTTAACCCTCTTCCACCCTCCCCCAACTGCCCCCCTCCCCTCCCAGGAGTCAACTGGAAGGTGCCTGCCGGCTTCCTCTCGCGCTACACCGCTGCTAGCTCGGAGGTGGGTGGACGGGGTTGCGGGCGTATGGGGATAACATAGATAAATGCGGGCGTCTGGGGGTGGGGGGGGGCGTGTGTTTGGATCAACAGACCCGCGCGACTGTTCTCTTGGCCACAGCTGTCGACTGAGGAGGGGTGATCACAAGTGGTTGGGCGTGTGCACATTTGGGCCGGGGGGCTCACGTCTGAAAAGGGAAGGAGGTGGTGAAGGAGAGGAAGAAGAGGAAAGGGCAGGAGTAGGTATGTGCTGGGATGCGGTCCTCGCACAGGGGGAAAAGCACGAAGCAGTTGGGCCGCGAGAATGAGAAGGGACGTGTGGCTGTACGGGCAGCTAACCGCTCCTAACCAACCGACCAACCGCTGCCAACCGCTCCCAACCGCCGCTGCCAGGTCCTTCGTCGCGCCGCCAGCCTTGTGGGGGCGCGTCACGACGGCTCGAAGGAGGTGGTGGAGGGGCTGTGGGGGCGGGTGGACGTGGCCACGTTTGTGGAGGCGTGCCGGCAGGTGTGTATGTGGTGGGGGGGGAGGGGGGGGGAGGGGGGGGAGGGGGGATTGTGAGATAGGGAACACATTGTGGTATGTACGATCGTGAGATGAGGACAGGAACATTTAGGGTACTTGTTGAATCTGCCGTACATCTGCGCATGTAAAACAAAACGAAACTCATACGGCCAGGTTTCTTAGCACTGACGAAGCACTTCCCCCACCCCCGAACCCCCACAGGTGCTCCCGGGGGGGTTGAGTGCGGAGGAGGAGGAGTATGTGGCGGCGGTGGCGGCGGAGCAGGTGTGTTCAGGAAACTGGGGGTACTCGAGGGGGCGTTGGGGGAGGCGGTGTGGGTGGATCGTCCGATCATGGGGTTCCAAGAGGGAATCTGCCGCTGGCAGCTTCACGTTCATGATCGGCTGCTTTTGGCTTCAATGCTTGCTCTGGCTATGATGGCCGTACCTGCATGCATGCATGCATGCGCGTCGCCCTCCCCGCCCTCTGACTTTCACTCCCTCCTCCTGACTTCCACACCCCAGGGTTGTCGCCTTCAATCACAGCGTGTAAGGTTTTTCCCCACTCCCTCCCTCCCCTGCTCCCTCCCTCCCCCCCCTGCTCCCTCCTCCCCCCCCTAGGTTGTCCCCACTCCGGGTGCTTTCATCCGCGACCTGCCCTTCCTGGACAAGTGCCTGCTGCAGGGGCGCACACCCACCGCTATCAAAGGTGGGAGGCTGGGGCCGGGCGGGAGGGCGGGCGGGGGTGAGGGTGCTGGGGTGTTCGGGTGTTGGACGTGGGGTGCTCGCGGGTGAAGCCCTACACGTCTTTCGCTTGCTTAGTACTTTCCTCCTCCTTACCCCCCTTCCCCGCACCTCCTCCTCCCCTGCAGGTCCCCAGCTGCTCCCCACCATCTTCCTAAACAACACCACCACCAGCCCGCTAGGGGGGGACACGGCGGCCTCGCTGCGAGCCACCGGGGGGCGGACCTACTAGCACCGCAGCACCCCTCACGTACGATGACCTGTACGATGATGACGTACCATGATGATGTACTACATCCACAACACTCACCCTACCTGTCCGCTAGGAAACCGGGGCAAGGAAGTGAGGATGGAGATTTGGGGAGGAGCATGAGGTGGTCGAGGCTGCCGGGCGGTGTAGAGTAGTCGGGTGAGAAGGTGGGTAGATGCGTTCCTGGTCGGTTTTGGGTGTGGGGCTGGGGGGAGGGGTGTGCCGGTGTGCGACGTCAATTCATCACAGAGGCTGGCCGACGGGGGCTAGAGCCACCCAGCAGCGCCATGACTAGGAGGTGTGGTTGTTGTTGTTGCTGTGGTTGTTGTTGTTGTACAGTTCATGAGTGCTCTTAGCGAGTGACGACCGCAGCGCTTCGGGGAAGGCAAAGCCCTCTCATCGCTGTAAATCTTCATGCAGTACGTATACACATGCAGTACGTATACACATGCAGTACGTATACACATGCCGTACGTACGTGGCGGCCTCCCCTTACCACTACTTGACGCTGCAATGACCTTAAGAGCGCAGTGGTCCCCGCCCCTGCCTCCGGACAGTCCTTACGGCGGACCCTTCATCGTTATCTGACACTGCAATTCGTAACACCGCCTGCCATGCACTATCCGGCGTGTGCACTGCGGCCTGCACAGCACTCGCAGCAGCAGCAGCGGCATCCAAACAGCCTTTTCCTGCTTCATGCCGCTGCGCCGTACAGCGGTTGGGCGGCGGGTGGTGGAGGGCCTCGTGTGGGCTGTTGCATGTCGCAACAGCTATTCCGCACCGCACAGCTACAGGTGCTTCCAGCTACCGGCCTACCGCAGTTACCGTTGACCCCAACCGTCAGAATGAGCCGTCGACCACCCATCGACACCATTTGTCGTTAACATAAGACCGCAAACATGGAAATGTCAAGAACAGGCAGAGCGAGAATTGCCCCGGGGAATTCGCCAACCGGCACCACTCTTTCACTACTGCGGCTGCCGTACGGCAGATGTCCCGGCACCGCCTGCCGTACCACCAGCAGTAGCGGCTGCAGCGCCTGTTTTGGATCTGTACTCGGGTTTTAGTTCGTACTTGTCCTTGTTGGGCCCTCGCTTCTGTTGCGTTGCGATGCCCTCCAACACGGTTTTGAGGTGCAGCTGCGGCTGACGAGTCTCCGCAATGAGGGCCTTATGGGGGCCACCGGGGGGGAAGCGAGGAGGGAGGGGTAACTGAAGGGGAAAGCGTGTGTGTTTTGGTGTGTTGCACACGGATGTAAAGCTGTGCTTCTGGCTGCAGCCATCCATTCACTACGCGGCTAAATACACACATGCATGCACACGCGCGCCCTCCCCCGTCGTCTCCCCCCCCCAGTGTCTCATTATTATTTACCCCCCTCCTCCCCCCCCCACCTTGAGGTGCCACGCGGAGTGCCGCTCGAACAGCCGGAACAGCAGCTCCTCCAGCTCCTCGGGCTCCAGTCGGGGGCGCTTGAGGGCCACCTCGCGAGCTGCCTGCACGCTGGCCTGGTGGGAGGGGGGGAGAGGGGGGCCGGGGGGGGGAGGATGTGTGAGGCCTGTGGTGAAGGGAGGAGCGGTGGTGGTGGTGGTGGTGGACAGGTGCATGGGCTAAAGACATGCACACATGGCCAGCTTTCTTATGGTACCCGAGGTCGCATGCGCTTCATGGGAGCACAACACACATGCTTTTTTTATGCCTGGAAATACAATCTCTCCTTCGCTTCCAACTACTCCCTAGGTGACCCATGGGTCGCACATGGCGCACACCTTCACCCTACCCCCCCCTCCCGCCCACCTTCCTCCGCGCCGAGATGTCCCGCTCCACCCGCTTCTGCTGCGCCAGGTCGGCAAGCATGTTATCCACACTGTCCTCGTAGAAACCCACCACGCGGACCTGGGGAGAGTGTGTACGACATGTGTTTTTGTACGGCATGGCTTAATGTACGGCCCAGTAGTGAATCTTGCACTACGTTGCCGCATGATGGCAAACCAAGCAAGCAACCACGCAAGCACCCGTTCATAGCTCTCTGGTAGTACACGGTATACCGGTACCGATGTGTTTCCCCTTCCCGCCCACCCCACCTCCGCCTCCCTCCCCTACCTTCTCCGCCGCCTGCTCCGTCCGCGAGCGCACCAGCTTCATATACTCGCTGTCCAATACCCACTCGCCCTGTGCCGGGGCCGAGGGGGGCGGAGGGAAAGAGGGAGGGTTACACGGCGCGAGTACGGCAGGTGACAGGCTGTCCATGTCGAGGTCCCTCAATCCCATTACCCCTGCCCAGACCCAGCCTAACACCCCCACCTCCCATGCTCCTCAGCCGCACAACCCCCCCTCCCCTACCACTCCCCCCCCAGCCCTCCCCCCACCTTGTCGTCCTTCACCATGGGCACCATGTCCATCCGCTGCTGGACGGTGCCGTCCACCCCTGCGGCAGGGAGGGGCAGGGAGGGGGGAGGGAGGCACGGAGGGAAAAGAAGAATACCCAATGTGTTGAATGAGGGAGGGAGGGAGGGAGGGGCAAGGGAGGGTTAAAGAGGAGGAAACCAACCGTGTAACAAGGCTCCACTAGGCAGGTGGAGGCTGGGAATGAGCGTGAGGGGAAGTAGCGGAGGTGGAAGCGGGGAGGAGCGGTGTAGGGAAAGCGCTAACCGAGGTGTAAGGTGGGGTGGGATGGCCTGCTTGGCTTCCTGCGTGGTGCGTGACCTCACAACCCCTAGCCCCACAGGGCCCACAAGGCCCATATCGCTCACGTGGCTTCAAGATCTCCTTGGGGGCTGCTGAGCTGCCGTTGCCCCCACCGTTGCCTCCACCGTTGTTACCGTTGCTGCTCCCTAGTTCGTACGACAGCACGTGCATCTTGCTGCTCTCCCCGGGGGGCAGCGGCAGCTGCTGCAGCTTGAAGCGCCGCGGAATGCCCTCCGCGAGCATGGTGTCTGTTGGTGTTGGTGGTGGGGGGGGGTGTCGTGGTCAACAAGCAGCAGCAGCGGCATAATCAGAGCATCGGCATCGGCATCGGCATCGGCATCGGCGTTGCAAAGGATGGAGGAGAGGGTAAGGGAAGCGGCAGAGGAGGGATGGCGACAAGGAAGAAGCGGGCAACAGCAAATCGCGTACAGGGGGGACGGGAGTAACGAACCAACCAACAACTGAACACCGACCTGGAAGTTCCAGGAAGGAGACATCTCCCTCCTGCCACCGGCGCGAGATACATGACACGTAGTGGGGACGTGGGAGAGGAGAAAAAGGAAGCGGAGGGGGCGCATGGTAAGGGGAGGTGTACGGTGTTTAATGGCGAGGACATGGGAAAGGCAGGTAAAGAGGAAGAAGCGCCAAGAAGGCATGTTCTAAGGCCCTTTTGGATTCCGCCCCCGCCGGCCTCCCCTGGTGCACCCTTCCTCCCCCCCACCTCCGCCCCCGCCGCCTCCGTCACAATGCGCCCCAGCAGCTGCTGCCGCTCGTTGGAGTCGTCCACCTGACCCGCCATGGACTGGTCGCAGGCGGCCTTCCACACATTGGCCAGCGCGTACGGCACCTGGTGAGGCAAGGAAGGAGTGAGGAGCAGGGATGGAAGGATGGATGGGCATGCAGTGCAATGCGGGGTTGGGAGGATGGTGGTTTGGGGGATTGGGGGAAAGGTGAAGGGAGTTGGGTGGGCCGCAATCCTTGCCATGGAAGGGAGCGGCGACGAGACGGGCCGCAGCGGTGGGGCGCAAACCTGTGATTTTTACCCGCGTTGTAGGAGGCCAGTGCAGGTTCCCCTTCAAGTCGCATCCCAATCCGCATGTGACAATGCCTCACCTTAACTAGCCAAGCCGCATTGTCAGCGTTGCGGGTATCTAGGGCCATGGCGATACGATCCTAGTCAGTGCGAGTAAGCTACCCGCCTGGGGCGGGGCCCCGAAAATAACTACCCAAACCGAGATGCAAAGGCAAACGGTGAGGGCGTCAAGCCTTTCCAGCGTAACCTGGATACCTGATACCTAAAGCACAATTGACATATGTTTGACGATCCGTAACTGTAGCCTACAGTCCTGACACGCTACTCTCTGACGCCTGAATTACTGTAGGGTCGATCGTAGGTGGATCGGATTGTATTTGCTGCTTACAAACTCTGGCAGCCGCAGACGGCAAATCTAAGAGATATGCGGAACCTGCAAAAACGCAGCCCTCCAGGCTCCGAAGCCAGACTTACGAACCTAATCGCAGCGTCGGTTGGCCCCGCAATAGTTGGAACCCCTCTAATAATATTGTGTGCACCTGCTTGCACTGCCCATAGCGGCAGGACCAACGCCCAGACGAGTGTTCGTGTCTGCCACGATTGCGTTACTGGCTGCTTGATAGCCCATCATAACCGAATCTACCAACTTGCTTCTCAATTATCACTTTCAGCCACATTGTAGATTAATTAGCCTGGTGCAAAGGCATGCAACAGGCGAGTCAGCCCATCAGCACGACATTAACTTGCAGAATCTAAAGGGAGCAGCAGCACCCTGCCCGATATGTATTAGCTTAGTAGCGGCTTTCGGATAGGAGCAGAAGGGCTTGAAGCTGCTGACGCCAGTCTGGAACACAGGGTACGCATGGGCAGCTGTACCTATCCGTGAACTAGTCTCATGCCGCACCACTGTTAAAGCTGCCCTATCTATGCCAACAGAGATGCTGTCTGTATCTTTGCTTGCAGCTGTTTTGCAGCTGGTGCTGGTGCTATTGAAGACATACACCCCTGGCAGTCCTTACCGCTCCTGACCAGCCGGGGCAGCTGCCATTCCCAAATCACCACACCGCAGAAGCATCGATTGTGCTGGCAGCAGCAACAACACTGGTAGAGGCGAGCTGGCGATATAGCAGCAAGATGTACGGCAGCATCAGTGTTGACGACCACGACAGCTTGGCATTCCCTGGTCGCAGAACTTCGAGCTGTAGTTGTGAAACGCAGACACCCTTCAACAACAACAACAACTCTGGCAGCAGCAACAGCAGCCCCGCTACTCTCAAAGCTAGCAGCAGCGGGAGTTGCTACTTGTACGGCACCAAAAGCAAGAGTAGAAGGAGTACCGCCTGCTGCAACAGCTGTGCCAGGTACGACCCACCCAACGAACCACTCAACCACCACCGACAGCAGCAGCGAGTCAGCATTAACCTCCGCAACCGCCATTGCTTCCGCTGCCACCGCCATGACAACAACGACAACCAACCACAGCAGCAGCAGCACCAACAGCAGCAACAACGGCAGTGGCGAAACAAGCTCCCAAAAAGCCTCCACCGTCACCGCCCCCACCAGACCTCCACCCTCCTCGCCCTTCTCCTTCTCCTACTCCTAGGCGGCAACAACAGCCCTAACTGCAATAGTAGCAATAGAAATATCACTAGCAGCAGTAGCAGCAACCGCCAGCACCGCTCCCGTTGGCGGTGGAAGTACAGGGCCCTTTCCGTACGGGGCTTCCTGACCCTAGCAAGCGCCGAACACCAAAGTGTCTTCGGTCTCTCCACCCTCCGCTCCCTCTACCCGGACCACCCCTGGCACATCCCGGTGGAGGCTTCCGACCTGCCCCGCGGACCCACTCGTACGGCACCCCCGCCTGTCGTACCGCCGTTCGTACAAGTGCGTACGGACGCGGATCTAGAGCAGCTGTACGACGAAAATCTGTACTTGGATCTAGCTCCTTGGAAGCGGAGATCTGAGGCTGCTGCTGCTTTTGCAAGCGCGAACGGTGCTGTCGGCAGAAACGATGCTGCAATAACGGCTGTCTCTAACCTCACTTTAGGTGATGGAAGGGGCAGTAGTGGTGGTGGGAAAGGTGGTTTGCGGGTTTCGGAGCTCGTAGAGTGGGTGAGGCGGTTGCCGTACAAGGCATCTCAGCGGTTGGTGGTTATCAAGGGAGGTCGTGTGGGCCTTATCATGCAGGTAAGGGGGCAGTGCGGGTGGGTAATTGAGAATGAGAGTGGGTCTCGTGGGAACAAGATGAGGAAGCTTGGCTAGCGACAGAGGTGTCGCTGGTGGGTGGGGACACACACACGCAAACACCCTAAGCTCGTACTACGCACGGAACTCCTTTCCCCTCTTCCTTCTTCCCTCTCCTTCCTCCTCTCCTCCCCCCCTGCCGCAGAGGGGCGGCTCGCGGGTGCGCTGCGAGCGGCCGTGTGATCCGGTGCTGGAGGATCTGCTGAGGGGTGAGAAGGGGGGGGGATTGTATAATAAATGCAAACAACTAGAGTCCCAATCTCATAGCCCGACTCATGCAGTGAGTGCATTTGGAGACACTATCCTAGAAACACGCAGATAAGGTAACTTACCTGAAGGCTTGCTTACCAGAACCTTTGGCGACGTGCGGGAGGAGCCGCCTTGCGTAGGCAGGCATGTGCCGCGCCGCCGGTCACTAGTTCTTAAGGAATGCAGTAAATGGACAGACACGCATACAATACATGGAAACGCATTTTTGGTAAACGTACGTACCTGGATAGGGAAACCAGGTAGGGGGGGGAATAGGGAAGGGAATAGGGGGGAAGGGGAGGGAGTTAGAGGGGTGAATGTTCCGTACAAGACGCCAATCTGGACAACTGGACACCATCATACCCACTGCCGCGCCCCTCCTCATCCCCCCCTCCTTCTACGACGAACGCATGCATGCACGCATGCACACGCCCCTGCAGACCTGCGCGCCTGGGTGTCCTCCGCGCCCTCCGAGTGGCCTGACGCCCTCTTCTTCCTGAACACGGCCGACACCAGCCTCTGCCACCCGCGACAACCGCCCACCCACCCGCAAGCAGCTCCGACACAGCAGCAGCAACAACAGCGAATACAGCAACAACGAAGCAATGCGAAGCGACAGGAGCAGCAAACCCAACCGACAAGAATGCTACATGCACGCCCGGAAAGCGCGGAGGGTGGTGGGGGAGAAGCTGTGTTGCCGCGGGGGCGGCAGCAAGGGCAGGGAGGGGAGCGGCAGCGGCTGCAGCAGGGGCAGCGGGGGCGGCGGAGGCAGGGGGGTGGTAGAAGCAGCGACAGTGACAGTGGTGCTGGTGGTGGTGGTGGTGGCGGTGGTGGAGGCGGAGGAGGGCCCGAGGCGGGTGGTGCGTGTCCCGCACCCGTGCTGTCCCTGATCAAGGAGTGGGATAAGAACAGGTGGGGAAGGAGTGGGGAAGCGGTTGTTGGGTCGGTTGGTTGGCTTGACTGCTTTGGGCGATCTTGTACGTCTTTCGGGTTAGCTGTGCTATCCTGATAATGTGGGCAAGCGTCCTGAGCTCTTTGTTTCCGATGTGGAATGTTACAGGGATAGGACGGGGAGCAAAAAACGTTACGTCCAGCGCTCGACAGTACCGTACCCGAGTTCCTCCTTCCCTTTCCCCCCTCACACACAGGGACGAGGACATCTTGGTTCCCATTACCGTTGGCATGCACCGTTGGCGACCGCTGTACTACTTTCCCTGGCGCCTCAAGGTCGACAAGGCCGTGTTTCGGGGCCGGCCGTACTGCCACACGAAACACATGCCGTACACTCAGGGCGTGTGCAGTCGTACTTACTTTGCGGCCATGACCCAGGTATGCTCCTCATATTGCTGCCGCTGTTGCTTTGCTGTCGCTGTTGCTTTGCTGTCGCTGTTGCTTTGCTGTCGCTGTCTTGGACAGACTTGACGAAGCAGCTGTGTTTGAGAGGCCGAAGTTTAGAATGCGAAGGTTACAAGGGGACCGGAGTTCCTGAAAGCCTGGAAGCTGTACAAGAGACCCAATCGCTAGCGGTACACGCTAGGCAGCCGCAACAAAGCAACCTAACCCAGGGACATGCCCTGCAAAAAACAAGGAGTCATGCCAGACACAGAGCCACCAAAATCCAAGCCCGCAAGGCCCGCAAGGCCACAGCACCACAAACACCAAGCCCGCCACACCAAGTTTAGGGGTCGTGTAGTCGTCATCAAAACCACATCTGGTTCCGCGTGCGCGTGTCCTTGTTAGGCTCCTCGTCACTCTTGCCCCGCTTGCCCCGCCCTTCTCCACCCTTCTCCACCCTCTCCTGCGGCCAGACCCACCCCGAGTGGTCTCGCTTCCTGGATGTGGGGCTGCTGGAGGGCTACAACTTCACATTCCGAGGCGGCAGCGGGGGCGGCAGCGGGGGAATGGGGGGCAGCGGCAACAGCAGTGCTAGCAGGAACAGCAGCAGCAGCAGTGGCAGCAGCAGGATGCTGGTTGCTGCTCGGGGTTTCGTACCCACTGAGGAGCTGGCGAGGTTCCGGTGAGGGGGGTCGAATTAGACTCGTTTCGGTGCGGGGGGTCAAAGACCATACCGAACCATAGGAAAGGTTGGGGCAAAACGGTGAGCGGGGGGGTCAACAGGAAGAATGGATATTCCGCACTGGGCTGGAATTTGAAACGCATACAGCCTCCTTGACAGGGTTCGCTTGAAGGAAGCAACATGCAAAGTACCAACCGTGTTGAAGGCCCCACTAGCTGGCGGCTGCTTGCTGACATCATTGGACGGTAATGAATATGGCTAGCGATGTACAGCTGATGAGCTCCGCTATGCAGCTGAGGAGCTCCGCTGGCACGCTGTGGCTGGCGGGCGGGCGGCTGCGTGCACCTAACTTCCACCCGCTCCCCCTCCCTCACCCTTCCCTCCCTCCCCCTCCCCCTCCCTCAGTTTCCCTTATTTTTACCTCCCCCCTCCCTCCCTCCCCCGCCAGCTACGTCCTCGCCCTGGACGGCATCACCGCCTCCTCCCGCCTCGCCAAGTTGCTCTCCATGAACAGTGTCGTACTCAAACAGGTGGGAGGGGCTGTACGGCAAGACACCTGATGAGAAAGCCAAGGGTATAGGCTGTAGGGATACGCCGGCTAAATGATCGCGCATAGTATTGAAAGCATCGCATCTTATTTGCAACCGGCCGTGACCACGTGCGATAGTGACGACCTCTGTCCGACCTCTCATTATCATACACCCCGCATATATCTGCTCGTACAACCACCACAACCAATGTACGACCAATGTACAACCAATTCAGATCTTCGTCGTACACTCCGTAATTATGTCCCAATGCAGACGAGTCCTTGGATCGAGTGGTATTACAGATCTCTGGTTCCCGGAACGCATTACGTAAGCTTTTGGAACCACCACCGTACGGATGTACTGCAAGCGATAAAGCACATCCGCCATAAGGTGTGCGTGTACGGCAGAACGATATGCGGAGTTTCGTGGGCAGGGCAGTAGGATGGGGGCTGGGGCTGGGTTTGAGGTTTGGTCGAAGGGTTTAGTCTTGTCAGGTTTAGTTGTAGTTAATCCGCAAGGCAACAAGGTTGGGGTCTTGACGTACGGTGGTTGGGTTTTACAATTTGCTTCGTATAATTGTGTGTTCCGCCCATTCCGCCCATCGCTGAGCCACTTGACGACTACATTTTCCCTCATGTCGTACAGCTCATTACTTTCTTCCTTTTAACCCCTGCCCCCCCCCCTCACCCCACCCCCCAATGCGAACCTATCCACCCCGCAGGCCAAGTACTTGACGGACACTGCGACTCACGGGCAGGTGGGCGGTGGGAAGGGGGGTCAAAGACCATACCGAACCATAGGAAACCACAATTGGGAAGGGGGGGTGCAAAGAGGAAGAAACTAGAGGAGGAACCCAGCTAACCGGGTGGAGCGGAGGCAGGTGGGTGGGTGGTGTGCAACTGAGCCGGGCAGTGGGCGGGTGCGCTGGCTATTTAAAGACGTAAATCGAAACTCTTACCCATCATTAAAAGCAATCCACAGAGGCTTCTACTCTGTACGGCAAGCGTTGTATATACCCACCATGCATATACCCACCATATACCCATCATGCAGCAACTCCGTCTAACCACCTACCTAAACTCGCACTATCTTGGTATGAAGAACTGTACCCGCCACCTACCACCCTCACCAGGCGTTCGCCTACCGTTATTTGTCCCCAACCGCTCGGCGGTTATACTGGCGCCGTACACTGCTCGAGTACCGCAACCTGTTTGCTGACATGGACGAGTACCTTGCCGGGGTGGTGAGAGCGGGCGGGAGGGAGGGAGGGGGCTGATATCGGTAGTTGGGCTTTTGCCGTACAAGCTGTTCCAACTGCTTGCCATGTGTTGTTTTGTGTGTATGGTATGTGCCGTACGTGCCGTCATGGTTGACTATGTATGTCATGCACGATCTCTATCGCATACTGTGCCTGCTGACATGTCGCCCACACAGCTCGTGGAGGCGTAAACAGTAAATGACTCCGGGTATTCCTCTCCTTGCGCATCAGCCCTGCATCAGCTGCTGCTTCTTTCCCTCCGCCCGGCCTCTCTCCCACTGCCAACCCAGGAGCTCCCAGACACCGAGTAGCATTGTTAGGGTAGTAGTACGGCTTAACACGACCCGCACTGCGCGTTTCTCTGAAAATGTTGAAGTCGGAACGGTTAGACCGAGGTCCCGGTCGTCACTTCCGCACACCGCACACCGCCCGCTGCATCATGTGGTGTGCAAATACCCATGGGGTGCACAATCCGGTAGCCCCGGCTTGCATTGTGATGTGGTGTAAGATACCGTACGTACCCGTGGTGATGAGAACATGCGATGATGTGTGGCTTATAATCCTGCAAACGTATGGAGGGATATGAAGGTATTAGTAAATGGGAGCTGCGGGTGCTTGTTTGAGATTGAGGTAGGAATGCAGGCGTCACGCGCGAAATGGGAGCAGGTAGCGTATTGCGGTTCACAAGGACAGCTACGAGTTGAAAGGGACTCTGTCGTTCAGCATCTACCGGAAGCCAGGATACCCGCTGGATGGCTGCACCGCAGGTAGTGTAATTAATTAGCCGGCAGTCGTGCTCCGTTACCGGCGGATTTGCCATCAACCGAGGCAGCAGGGGTGGTGTTCCGGAAACGGAGCATGGCGCTCCCTGTACGGTGTTCTGATATGTACTGCATTTTTTTAATATTCAGTTTGGGGGAAAATGTACTAAAGGGACCTTGCAAAAGGTTGCCGTACGCTTGCAAGGCTGTCGTATTTTGAAGGAAACTGAACACAGCCGGGGCAGTCCAAACGTCCCGAGGGTTCGGGTTTCATGTGTAGATGTGCCCCCTATGGTTGCACATTTGTGGTGTCAATTATGGTGGCTGGGTAGGGGTTTGTGTACTAAAGCTTTGGGATGTGGTTTCGCTGTGGCGTTTCGGATATTTACCTCTGGAATATCTACAGTTAAATACTAAATACAAACCTACCGTTGTACGACATCTACCTCATTCGTGTTCGCTATGGTACATTTGTCTTTGCTGGGCAGCGGTCGGTTCCCTTTTCCTATATGAAGGTTACTATACTGACAATGGATGTAAAGATTGGTTCTCATTACACGACCAAAGTGCCATTAGCGTTCGGGTAATATTGTGACCGGAACGCTTGTTCGGCAGCTGTGCAACGCTGCTTTCATAACATGCGTATCTGTTATCGCTGATGCTGTGAACTGCTTGTGTTTATGCCACTATGGGTATGACCAGACGGCGCAGGATAGCTCGTCGGACCGTCGACGGCAACGAACCGTGAAAGTAATGGCAACGAGGAAGCGCGGCGAAAACCTATGCGGCTGACAACTGATCAGAGCAGGAGATATGTGACACGCGTGAGGGCATAAATTATTAAGCCATCTTGCTGTGGGCTTCTGGCAATATCCATTATGGTCAAAGTTGCACGGGCGCTCCAGAACCATTGTAACAATCACATAACCAGAAAATTCTTAAGCAAAGCTGGACGACACTGACAGGCAATCATCAGGCGGACCACCAAACATGGTGGACAGGTTAACCTAGTGGAAGCTAGGCTACTGAGGGGGCTTATGCACTTCTTTGGTTGCTTATGTCAGACAGAGAGGCTTCTGTGTGCGCAGCGGTTTCCAGGCATAGTGAACTGAAACGGTCCAGACTATTTTCTCACATTGACTCATTGGGGTATCTGCACTGCTCAGCTTAGAAGTGTAACGAGTCAGGTTGGGCGTTCCTTCGGCCAAAGCAGAGGTTACGCGTAAACACGTCCACTCTTCAAGCAACAGGCAATATGGATCACATACGGGATACAGGCAACCCTGCTGCGCTATCCATCGTTGTGGCAATAATGATTGGGTTGGTTAGCGTTTGCATCTTCGCGGCTGGCGTGCTAGCGGTTATGCAGTACGAGGAGAACAAACAGAAGAAATCAAATGATATCGCTACCTTGGAGTCCAGGGAAATGAGAGGATTGCGACCCAAGGTAAGGCTAGCGCATGGTGGGCCATACAACCTGACCCTTCGCCGCTGTTGCTTAGTACCTCTCCACGGCAAGGCGTAGACGAGCATTACGTCTTCTGCATTCCTCTGGTGATTTCCTAAATTGGACCTGGGCACGTGTCATAATGTGGTCCGCAGCTTAAGAAGTGGTTCAGAAGGACCCTGCTAACAACGTTGTTCGTAAGGCCGCACTATCACGCTCGTATGTGCCTCCCCTGTACATGCCTTCCACCGCCTTCCCTTTCGACTTTATCGGAACCCCGTGCTCAGGGTGAATCCATCCTTATCCCTTCCCCACTGTACCTTCTAGGGACAACCCTCAACTTCATTACCCGCTTCAAAAGCACCAGTCTCCCAAACCACCACTTCCAAGTTCGCTGTACCCACAAAGGCCGGGACTCCAACCGTTCCAACCGTCTGCACCGTGACCTCCTCCTCTCGGCGACGGTTTGGAAACGCCGTAACTGTCGCAACCGCTGCTGCAACGGCCAACGCCAGCGCTATGGCTGCGGCAACGATGCCTGTCAAGATCTCCAGTGGCGGAGATTGCAGTGGGAATTGCGGCAGCCGCAGGACAACAGGCGGCGGTACGACAAGCCCGCATCTTATGTCATCCTTGGACTGTACGGACGGGTGCAGCAACATACTCGACACGAATGTGGGTGCCTTGGACCTAGGATACGATAAGATGCGGAAGATTGGAATGATTCCGTTAGAGTGTTCTCGGACTTTGACTTCGTCACTGCTCCACTGTCGTACATCAAACCCGTGTGTAGCGATGGTAATAAACAATGCTCCAGTGTTCCCTGAAACTAGTCCCTCCTGCCAAAGAAATCACAATGTGCAGCACACGTGCAGTACTACTGCGTACCCAACCGCTTCCCTCACTCCCTGTCGTACAGGACACGTTGAACTCGATTGCTTCCATTGAGGAGGTCCTGGGCAGCGTGGACGCCAGGTGGGTGGGGGCTCCACATGCTGCGGGTGGTACGGAAACCGCGTGTGTATGTCTGTGGGGGTTGTGAGGGTTTGGGAGGCATGTGGGTGCCGGCAACGACGGCGCAGCTAACATCCCCTCGTACCTACTCGTACCGTTTGGCTGCTACCTGCCCGCGCCGCCCTGTGCACATGCCCCCAACCAACCCCCGTGCTCCGCGCCCCTCATGCTCCCCGCGCCCCCCCCCCCCTGCATGCCCCCCCAGTCAACTTCGGGAGACGCAGGCGCTGCTTGAGAGCTGCCAGTGGGACCTGCAGGAGCTGCTGAGGTGGGAGGTGGAGGGGTGAGGAGGAGAGCTGCTGAGGCGGGAGGTGGAGGGGTGAGGAGGGGGCAGGCGGAGGGAGAGGGATGGGCTGGCGAAGGGACAGGGGTGTGGAGGAGGGAGGGAAGGAGCAATAAGGGGAGGTCTGTGCCGGCGGTCCTTTCGTGATAATACTATACTTGAGAGTTGTTTTTTTTCATAATGATGATACTGCAATTAAGTTACTTTGTTTTCGAGACTTCCTGCGTTGAGGGTGGGTGCGCTGTACCGGGTTGCGCGCACATGGTTGCTGCTCAAGCGAACCTCCGAACATGCCTCCTGCCACCCGTGCGGATGCCGTGGGTGGGTGTGGGTGTGGGTATGGGCAGGGGAGTCGCCCGGTAATAGCATATGCACGTCGTTGGAATGTGAGACAAAAACAGAGTGCTGGAGGGAAGGTGATGCTGGAGTGGAGTGGAGTGTGAAGTGGAGTGGAGGGAAGTAGAGTGGGGTGAGGCGGGCGTGTTGCGAGGCGTGCATGTGCCCGGCCCATGTGTAGGCCGGGAGTGGGTTGTGTCAAGAGCGGTCTGCATGCGAGCGAGCGAGCGAACGGGGTGCGATTTGATCCTCATGTGATTTAAAGTGGGGGCCGCATGGGTGATGGGTGATGAGTTCCGCAGTGTGTTAAGGTGCAAGCGTGCGGCAGTAGATTGCTATGAACGTATACGGTGCTGGGCGGGGGCCCGTTTGGTTCCCGTTGGTTCCCGCTGGTACCGGCTCATGTTGTTTATTCAGAAGTTGGGATGGCAGTAGTAGCAACACATACACGCAAGGAATGGTTCCTGTTAATAAGGTGTTGCCTGCTGACGACCTCATCACCATTTCTATGATTCGTGCTTACCAGCTCACGAAAAAGGAAAAAGTGCCTTCAATGTGCCTTCGCAATGACAGATACACGACCGCAATGCTTAGGGCAATGCCTGGCACGCCTGGGCGATACACAAGGGGTGGTGTATGCAGAGGTCCTAAACACTGGGCTTAGGTGGACGACTGTGGATGCTGGTTCGGAAGAATGCCGGTAGTCGAGATTGGGTATACAATCTAAGCGTTACGTCATTAATGATGTGTGTTGCGTGTATGATGTAGACGAGTTAGTTCATTGTGAGTGGTTTGTGTTTTCTGAGGAGTGGAGTGGAGTGAAGGAGAGGACAGCAGAGCGGCGGCGAGTGTGTACGACCACAGAGCTAGCTACAGCTGACTGACTGCTGATGACCGGTTGTTCTGACCTATCCATTGCATGGTGCGTGCGAGGGGGGGAGGACAGAAGCAAGAAGGAAACCGGAAGGGTGGTGTGCCTACGTTTCATTCCCCGCATGTAATAAGGAGCGAGCGCGAGTTGTCTTAATTCAACCGTCTTAATGGCTGGTCACTGATCTCATGTAACCAGTCTAACCACACGTTAACAGCCTACCACCTGCTCCTGGTCCACTATTTCTTGCAACCAATCGAAGTCCCCCCCCCCACATCATGTGGGTTGCCGCCCCCTTCCACCACCCCCTTCACACCCCTGACAGACGCCCCTTGCTTGCACCCAGACCTAACAAGGTGTTGTCCTCCCACCAACTAGCCTGGTTGCAAACAATGTGTGTGTGTTGTATATCTGGCCGCGAGGCGAAACGTACTGTGATTGCCGAAAGAAGAAGTCCTGTGTGTGTGCGTGTGTGTGCTGTAGCCCTCCCTGCACGCCCTACAGATCGACATGCTCTGTGGCCTTTCTAGCCTGGCGGCAGAGCTCCCTGTAGTCCATGTAGCCTGTGGCCACCTCCTCCCTCCTCCTCCTCCTCCTCCTCCTCCCCGCACCCATCCAGCAGCAGCAGCAGCAGCTACCCAAACGTCGCAGCAGCAATGAGTGCCTGCGGGGCAGCACACAGCACACAGCGAGCAGCAGCAGCAGTAGCAGCAGCTGGGACGGGAGTGCAAGTAGTGCAAGCATGCGAGCCATGACCCCGGACTGCTTGGCACACGCGTGTGTGTGACGGTACAAAGGGGGGGCGGGGGTGCACTCTCACCCACATGGAAAAGCAACACTTCACTTCCATGGGACACTGCGGGACACTTCCAGCAGCACTTTTCCCCACCTGCAAGGTGCTCCTCCCAAAGCCAAAGCCTAAAGCCCCCTCCGATCATTTAGGAGACTTGATGTGGGATGGAAGACTCACAGCAGCGAGCACCCACGCACCGCGACCAGCTGGTACTAGGCGGTGTGCTGGGGCTCAAGACCTGCTGCGTCACACAAACGGGTTCTGACTCCGCCGGGTTGTGTGATGCACTGTTGCCCGCCTGGGTTGCAGTCCCGTACCTCTTGATGAGCTACGAGAGAAACGTTGCTGGCGAGGCCGTGCTAAAAGTTAACGCGAGGTTCAGTTGCTAGGCCTGCGTCCTTCCAGGACTCCTCCTCAGGTTTCGCGCTTAACTCCGGGTGGGCCTGACTTGCCAGCTGCTGCTGTTGACTTGCCTGCACCTCCCGGATATTTGTCTGCACCTCCTTGGTAGTTGTCTGTATCTTAGTCTGTTCGTCTCGCAGCTGTACAATCTTCGTTCCAGGCCGAGGCTTGTTGGTCTTCGAAGGTTTGTCTGGTCTCGGTTCCTCGTAACCTTCATACCCGCGAAAGATCTGTCTCCTCTGACGCTTGTTACCCAAAGGGTTAAAAGTATGAGCCATGGGAAACGTATATTGAGTGTGCACGTGAGGAGATTGCGCAGACACTTATTTGAATTTATTGATTAGCTTGATAATTATCCTTTCCAAGGAAGCAATGCAGTCCTACTTTGCAAGATGTGCTTTTGGAGTGCCGTAATAGACGATGGTGTGAGGAGTGCGGTTCCCGCTTCCCCTAAGGCATCAAGGTAAGGCCGTGGAACCACGCCGTACGATGCACCGCTAGCGCGCCAAGATACAAACCGCCAACGAGCTATCCTTCAACAGCTTAACCACAATACCCTACAACGGTGTTTATTAACGCCGCCGTATAATTGGCTATTACCTATAACCTAGCAGAAGCCAGGGCATGCCTTCCGCCTTCATATTCACAGCTGAACCTGCTCCGCAGCCGCGTAACGACCCCACGTGCGCCCCTTCACCCGCTCCTACACCACCACCTCATCCACCCGTATGTCCGCCAACCCTGTATACCCCAGATGCCATTTTGCCGTACTTCTGGCCTTTTGCCGTACTGTACTTGCATTCTGGTGACAGTACGCAAAAGGTGTCCCCACCGCTAGCTACCCCGGGGGTTGCTACCCCTGTACGGCAGAGCCCTCCCTGACCTAGTCCTGACGTACGGTGGGCCTGGATGGCCTGATGTATGCCGGCTAACCTGTCGTAGGCTGTCCTGTCTTTCCGCACCACTTGGCAACATGACGGCAAGGTGGCAACATGACAGCAACGGAAGCCGCCTCACGTCCCTTTCCCTGCATGCTTGTCATCATCCTTTTGCTTGTCTCTTCTCCGCCTCTTCTGCTCTTGCGCTTGCAGCCCTCTTCCTCCTACTCTTCCTTCTCCTCCTCCACCAGTCCACCTCAGCAGCAGCAGCAGCAGCAGCAGCAGCTACCCAAACGTTGCAGCAGCAATGAGTGCCTGCGGGGCAGCACACAGCGAGCAGCAGCAACAGCAGCTTGGGTCGGGAGTGCAAGCAGTGCACATGCGAGCCATGACACCCTACTTCATGGCACACGTACACCTAAACCCAATCCCGCAAACCCCCCGTTTTCCCACTTCGGGTGGGGCGGGATGTGCCGAGTCCAATGTAGCAGCCCATGGTAAAGCCCCCTCGTCATGCAGCTCGTCCGCTCCTTCCTCCTTACCCCCTCCCTCCCGCCCCCCCTCCCTCCTCAAGCCTTGTCATACAGCTCGTCAGTTGCTTCGTCAGTGTCTCATCATATATATTTTTTTCCCTCCTCACCCTCAGGTCTGCCAGCAGCTGCCCGGGTGCCGCTCCCGCCGCCTCCGCAGCCGCCGCCAGCTGCCCGCGGGTCAGGTACGGCAGTGTCGTACTCAGCAACTGCCCGTCCAGCAGCCCCCCGCCTGCACCACCCCCTCCCCCTGCCGTGCTGCTGCTGCCGGGGACGGGGGGAGGCGGGTGGTGGCTGGCACCGCCGCCCAGGAAGCGAGGGATGCGACAGAAGCGATGCCTGGGGGGGGACGTGTTGGGGGCATTGAGGGAAAAGGAGGGAGAGAGGGGGTGAAAGAGGAAGAAACTAAACAATGAGGGGAAACAGGTGTAGAGCGAAACACAGTCCCATGGGGGCAGAGCTGTGTTGTTATTGGTGGTTGGCGGTTTGGCGGTTGGTGGTGCGCCGCAGAAGGCCTCGTCTTGGGGGAGGTACGGCACAACTCTCCTCTCCCGCACCCCACCTCTCCCTGAGGGCACCCCTCAGCCCCCACCACCCCTCAGCTCCCTCCACCCTGCCCCCCCCCAACCCCTCAGCCTCCCATCCAACCCACCTAAAGCTCCGGGGGTTGAGACCCGCCACGTGGGGTAAGGAGCGCGATAGGTGGGTTTGTACGGCAGCAAGACGCTGTACGGCAGCCGGGTCGGCAATGGGTGCAATGTACGACAGTCCTCCCTCCGCGCTCCCGCACAGCAGCGCGTGCCGGTTCTTGCCGTCCGCGGTGGCCATCTTTATGCTGACGCAGCTGCTGACGAGGCGGGCCACGTGCAGGGAGCCGAGGGGGGCGAGGCGCTGGCCGGCCCAGAAGGCGGGGTTGGTGTTACGGGCGCCTTAGGGGGAGGGGGGGGGAGGTATGGATTTTAACATAGGGGAGAGAGGGGGGGTAAAGAGGAGGGTTTAGGTGAAAGAATGACCATGTGACGAGAGACCCCACCATCCACCTCCACCCCCGAACGGAGCGAAGGAGAGAGGGGGATGGTCGAGGTTAGCGGGGCGAATGCGTCTGTATGAAAAGGTCTAAGAATGACAATGACACAAGCTGCGCAAGGCCGGAGGGGGGTGGTGGAAGGAGGGGTGCCGCATGCCTCCAGCGGCAGTGGGCGGTGATCCCGCTACTTACTCACTGGGGCGCTCCCATGTCCCCCTCACTCCGCCCCTCACTCCGCCCCCCCTACCATACAGCTCGTCAGTTGCCCCGTCAACGAACTCTGCCTTTACCCCCCACCATAGAACTCCGCCCCCCTCCCCCCCCCACCATGGGACTCTGCCCCCCCCCCACCATAGATTCTATCCCCATTGTCTTGCCCCAACCTGTGGCTTCCTATGGTTCGGTATGGTCTTTGACCCCCCCACCATAGAACTCCGCCAGTGACAGGCTGCCCGCCGCATCTGCCGCCAGGAAGGCCAGCTTGGGCTCACAGATGAGCACCCCCGCCGCCACACAGTCCCGTGGGTCGAACTCCTTGGACATGAACTCCAGCACGCGGGCTGCGTCCTGGGGGGGTGAGGAGGAGGGGTGGGGAGGAGGGTGGGGACATGGTGGGGGAGAGCGAAGAAGTGGCGAGGGAAGGATAGGGACGGGGTGGCAAGGTTAGAGATGACCCACGGGTCGAATGGCTCTGTCCTAATGGCTCTGTTCTAATTCCCGAGTCCATTTGCTGTTTACGGGTCATATGTGTGTCGCGCACACTACGCGCGGCACTCCTCCCTCCCTGCCCTCTCGCACTTCCTCTCTCCCTCTGGTTATTACCTCTTCCTCTCACCCTCGCATCCTTCTTACCCTCCCTCCATTTGAACTAACGAGTAGCGTACAGGGTAGAGTCCCCTTCCCGTCCTCCCCACCCTGTCCACCCTCTCCCCCCTCCCCCTCCCCCTCTTACCGAGTATCGCACGAAGTGAAGTCCCTGGCTCGCGTCCGCTGCTAGCAGGTAGTCCTTCACCGCCACCAGCCCCACCACCAGGCTGGGCAGGTCGAAGAACGCGCGCTTGTCCAGACCGGCGGGGCCTCCTGGGGGCAGGGGGGAAGCAGGGGGGTGTGCGGAGGGAGCGTGAGCCAGCATGTGCGTTGGAAGTCATTGTCATTGAGTCATCATTGTGTGCATCGTGTTGTCGTGAAGAGGGAAATTGTGGAGGTACTTTGCTTTACTCGGCGATCAAGAACGGCGAGCCATGCAAGTTGCAACGACTGAAGTCTGCCTTAGCCGTTTCTTTCCGGAGCCTTAGCAACAGCTGGACCGGCGCAGTGTACACACACCAACCCTCCCCGCTCTCCCCAGATTGGGATTGGAACTCCGTTGCTTCACTTTTCATTTATCTTTCCCCTCTCTCCCCAGAGCGCCCCACTCACTCACGTACGGCAGCACTCCCCAACCGCCAACCCCCAGCCCCCACCCCCCAGTCAGTGTCTCTCTCCCTTTTTTACCCCCCCTCCCCCACCCCCACCCCCACCCCATGTGCCCTACCCCTCCACTCGTACAGCTCCACCCTGTGCCCGCACGACACCAGCAGCTGCGACCGGAACTCCTGCACACTGGTCACCGCGGAGGCCATCTCCCTCGCCGCCAGCAGCTGCCCGCCCCACCTCCTGCTCACATTGCCCCCGCCCAGATCCACCGTGTCGGAGCTGATGCCGTACAACAGGATCCGACCCAGGCAGGGGTAGTCCTCGCCTGTACGACAGGGATTGGGGGGAGGGGGAAGAGCAGGGGAGCATTTAGGGGGTGAAGGAAAAAGAGGCCAACTGCCCGTGTGCATGTAGATCCACCATGGGGGGTTGAGTCATGGTCGCCGACCCATCCAGCCCAGACCGAAGTGGGCTGTTTAGGGGGGGGGAAATGGGTCGGTTCATAATCTTCAAACCCGCGTTAGGTTTATTACATGCCGGACTGGAGCAGGTTTATCAAGGTGGGCTGTGAAGGAGGCGGGTACACTACCGTAGCAGAGGTTGTCTTTCCGACGTCATAAAAAAACGGGATCCGGTCCTGATACGTACTGAGTCTGAGTACCTTCCACAAAACACACCACGAACCCACCCACCCCTTCCCCCCCCCCAGCCACCCACCCATCGGGGAGCCGGTTCCAACCGCCAGGAAGGTGTCCGTGTCACCTGGGGGGAGGGGGGGGTGCCGTACAGGTGTGTGTGGGCGGGGGTGGGGGGAGGTGCCGTACAGAGGTGTGTGGGGTGAGAATGCCGTACAGAGGTGTGTGGGGTGAGAATGCCGTACAGAGGTGTGTGGGGTGAGAATGCCGTACAGAGGTGTGTGGGCGGGGAGGGTCAGAGAGGTGTACGGGGTGAGAGTGTGGTTACATGCGGGGAACGCGGTTAGTTGTAGAGGCATAGCACTTGCATTGCATGCGCACAGTTGCTTTCTAAAACACACACACGCACAACAGACATGCCAACATGAGAGCGCCCATCAAGGGTGCGTGCTGGAGCCATGCGGACACATCTAACACAACCCGTCAGCGCGCGTCTTAACGGCGAGACAGTTGCGAGTATACAAACCAGTCCCCACCCCGCCTCCCTCCCTCCTCCACCTCCACCTCTCCTTCTCCCCAACCCCTCCAACCCCCGCCTCCCTCCCTCCCTCTCCCTCCCCCTTCCCTCCCCCTCCCCCCCCCCCTCTCACCCGTCGCTCCATTCCTCAGCCGCACCACCCGCACACTCAGCGCCTGCTCCCCCGGCGGCAGCAGTCCCGAGCTCCACACCCGCGCACACCCGCACCCCGCGTCCAGCAGCCGCACCTCCCACGCCTCCTCGCGACCGCGGGCCAGCGCGGCGGCGGCGGCGGCGGCGTAGGCGGCGGAGGCGTGCGGGTCGCCGCCGGGCTCCTCGGGGGGCCGGGGCCTGGGGGGGGTGTCAAAGACCATACCAAACCATAGGAGACCACAGGTTAGGGCAAAGCAATGGGGGTAGGAGGCGGGGAGGGGAGGGGGTAGGTGTGTTAAGAAAATGGGTTTTGTGGGAAGAGTCAAAGCAATAGAGCCGTACAACTGAGACCGACACGGGGAATAGGCGTACAGCAGTAAGACGTCATTCCCATATCGGCTGAAAGCGGAAGAAGCCGTGCGTGCGTGCGTGTGTGTTTTGCAAAAGCTGACGTGGCGTGGCTTCGAGGTGGAAGATGAATTAAAAGTCCCTGCCATATGCACAACACCCCCCTTCCCCTTTTCCAATTTTGTCGGGTACAGTATAGAGACCGGCAATCACAGTACGTTCCTACTCGCGGCCAGTTTTCTTAACACACCTGCTGGGTACGATTCGCGAGGTAATTGCCGCCAGCAGCCCCCCCTCTCGGAACCAGGCCAGGCGGTGCGGGGTGGCTCGCAGCGGCACGCGGCGAGTGACCCATGGGCCATCCAGGCGGCAGTGCTGCGGCAGGACACACACCTTGAGCTGGCCGCGGGAGCTGCAGGCGGTGATGAAACCCTGTAGGGGCGGGGAGAGGGGGGAAAATAGATAAATACATCAACGGAGTCCCAATCCCGAATCCCGACTCATGCAGTGAGCGCATGGAAACCCAAACCACATGGGCAAGGAAAAGGGGATAGGAGGCGGGAGGGGAGCGAGAAGAACCATGCATTGAAGCTAGAGGGAGAGGGGAGGCGGGGTAATAGCCATTCGCATGATCTCCCGCGGGGTTGATGGGGTTAGGATGTGACTAGCTGCACTAGGCGCAATGACCGGGATCGTGCGCCAGCGTGCAGATCTCATTGCCCCTTCCACACGTCCATCTTGAGGTCACTGACCCACGGGTCACCCCCCTTCCGCCCCGCTCCCTCCCTCACCAGCGGGCAGTTGACGTTGTGGAAGGGTGTAAGGCCCGCCACCGCCCCCTCCACGAACATGGGGTGCGGCACCAGGCCCCCTCGCGAGGCCACCAGCCACAGCGGGCGGCTGCCGGACAGGAAGATGCCGCTGCAGGGAGGGACCTGGGGCTGCGTGGGGGGACAACAGCAGGGGCGGGGCAGCGGTTGGGAAGGAGGTGGGTGGCAGGACTACCGGTGAAGAGGGCGGTGACAAGTGGACAACGACGTGCCCGCTTCTCCCAACCCGCTGCTCCCAACCCACGTGCCCCTCATCCATCCACCACATCATCCCACGCAACAGAGCAACACCACTGCAGGCTAGCCATATCTGCCGCACCTTTTGTGTGGCCGGGTCGGTGGGGGCCAGGTGGTCGAAACGGATGAGCCGAGCTCCCAACGCGGTTGTCGTACCGCCGCCTGGACCTGTGGTTTGCCGTCGTACAATACCGATCACAGAAGAGTAACAGTAGGTCCAAGTGTTACAATTATATTAAATATACTGCCGGTACTATGCACACTACGTTATTACTTTCCAGGCATGTGTAATGTGTGGCTTTCGCATGCACGCCTCTCCTTCCGTACACAGTATCCTACATACTTTGTTGTTGTTGCCGTACACGTATTTACTTCATCTGCCGTACATGCATACGTACCTTGCAACGGCGCCGGCGCCTCATGTGACAGCGTTTCCAGCTGCAGGCGCCGGAAAGCCAGTGACTGGCCGCCGCTGCCGGCGACCCCGAAGCCGAATGACCCGTGGGTCGCTGCCGCCGCCGCCATTGCCGCCGCCAGTCCGTCCGTACCCGCAGACTGTTGCGGCGGCGGCATCAGGGGCGACACTTGCCCGCCTGAGGAGGCGGCGAAGGCCTGCGAGCGTGAGGTCGAGTGGGGTCGGGTGTGCGTTAGCGTGCATGGGGTGAGAGGGGCGTAGGGAGGGCATGGGAGCACTGATTTGAGTGCCTTAAGCACTAAGACAGCCCTTCCGCCTACTTTTGCTGTTGCAACCCCGCTTATATATACCCCCAATGGGACTGTCGTACTATTTGCCCCGACACGTGCCGTACTCCCTGCCGTACCTGGTACACCAGAAGGCTGCCGGATGCCGTAAGCGCCAGCAGTACGGGGCGCTCGCAATCCGGATGTACGGCATGAGGGACGCCGTTGCCGCCACTGCTGCTGCTGATACCGCCCTGCGATAGAGGGCGTGAAGAGGAACAAGAGAGAGGAAGGGAGGGAAGCAGGGAGGGTTGCTTAGTTTCTTCCCCAGTTCCCCACCTGAGCCTTGTCCATGTTCATCTCTCCTCCCTTAAGCACCAGCACCCACGCACCCTGAACCCGCCCTGGGGCCCTCTCCTCTGGAACCCTCCTCCTGGACCCTCCTCCTGAACCCTCCTCCTGAACCTACCCCACGCACCCTGCCCCCCCCCGCACCCCCCCCGCCCCCACCCTGAACGCCTCCACCCGCAGCTCCACCAGCGGGTCCTCCAGCTCGCCCTCTCCACCACCTCCACCGCCCTCACTTCCTCCACCTCCCCCTCCACCTGCACCTCCACCACCACCGCCACTGCCCCCAAACAGGTCATTCATGTCGTACAGGGCGGTAGGGCCCATCCGCAGTACCTCCTCCGCCGCCGCCAGACCCGAACTCTGAAACACGAGGTTCATGTACGGCAACCCGTAGCACTCCAACCGCCCAGATCGTCGTACAATCCACAAGTATACATTGTTACCGGTACCGTTACCGCTAACCGTTGCTGTCGTACCACTGCCTGTCGTAAAACTGTCCGTCGTACCGCAATGTGCCGCCATCCAGCCTGTTTCATCGCGCTGCAGGCAGGCGGCGGCGATGCGTCGAGAGGGGCTGCGGGAGGGAGCACCCGCCAGCTGCTCCGCTGCTGCTGCTGCCGCTGCTGCTGCAGCTGCCGTACCGCTGTCCTCACCTGCCCCGCTGCTGCCACTGTTGCTGAGGTGTCCGAGTGTGAGGCTGAGGGGGTCCCCCTCCAGGAGGCATGCGGTGCCGTCGCTGAGGCACACCAGCACGTAGGGGTCCGCGGACTGGGGGGGCGGGTGGGGGGTGGGGCGTTAGATGAAGAGGTGTTAGGTATACGTGCGGTGTTCGGTGCCGTGCAGATTGGTTGCAGATTGGTTGCGACCGTTGCAACGACAACTGCACTGGGGATGTGGGCGCTGTGTGTGGGGCAACGGATCTGCGGCGCCTGTCGTACAACGGACCTGCATGTACGTGACGGTTGGCGGTACGGCAAGCGGATGCGGCGAGGGGGACATGGAGCCCAGGACCTGTTGAAGGAGGGGAGGGAGGGGGCGGTACGACACATGGCGAACCTTAGCATGTACGGAGCGAAGCCGGAACCTACAGCAGCAACCCAGCTCCCCTTTCCCAGCATTTCCTCAAGACGCTTCCCCCACCCAGCTTCCCACCAAAGAGCCCGTATCCAAACACCCGCCCGGCCATGCGCTCAAACAACCTGCAGCTCGGGTACGGGCAGATCTTGCACCAGTGTCGTACCCTCCAGCAGCCGCAGACCCGTGGGACATGCCTGCAGCCGGGGCATACCGCACACGGAGGTTGATGGAGGGAGGGAGGAAACACCGGACGCAGGGTAGCCAAGTCAGCAACATTCCTACGGGGTTGGGAGGCAAGCAAGGAACGCATGGAACCAAGCGCTGCAGTGCTCGTCCCTACCTCCATGCGCACGTCTTCCCCCGAACTTCATGCCTTTAGCCTTAAATACTCTCTTTTCGCGCCCCTGGTGCCCCAAGTTACCGCATGGCGCAGGGAACCCTCCTACCCAGGAAGCAACCATCCCCCTCCCCAAACACTGTTAAGCAGGTGCCCATATGCGCACACACAGCCTATACTTTGCTCTCTCATATGTCAGCTGATGTCAAGTGTCAGTTTTGCGGCCGATCGATTTGCGGCCACACGCTCCTCCTCGCATTCCCTCTCGCCCTCCATTAGCCCCCCTCTCGTGGACCCCTACCTGCACTATGACGGCGTTGTGGAACAGGCTGCCCGCGGCCAGGGTGGGCTGGTCCGTGAGGAAGTCGCAACCGGGGCTGCAGGGGAGGGGGTGAGGAGGTGAGGGTGAGGGCAGAAGGGGGGCAGGAGGAAGGGTGAGGGGCAGGAGGGAGGTTGGTTGAGACTGGCGCAGCGGATGTATGGAATTACGAAAGCATGTGGGGGGAGACACGCTGATTGCAAACCAAATGGTCGGGTGAAGGGCTTAGCCGTGGTCATTCTTAGGATCAATGCTTAGGATCATGAGAATGCCAAGCGCGCTCTGTTAGCATGTCAAACAGCGCACTAAGAAGGCCGAAAGGGCCCTACGTGAGGTGGAACTACCGGTATGCCAATTCATCAGCGTACGGCACATCTTACTTTTTGGTAATGTCGTCGAGCCCTTCCGTACACCGCAGTACCATGGTGCGAGAGCGCCCCAGCGTAATGAGCAGGTAGGCGTGGTACGGCGGACCCGTGGGTCGGTTGGCCTTGGCTTGCGGCGGAGGCTGTTGTTGCTGTCGTACGGCACCCCCTCCTGCATCTCGGTCCCCGGCTCCCTCCGCCTTGCTCACTTTGCCAGCTACAGCCGGTGCTGCTTCCACATCTCCCTCCGGTGATCTCGCCCGCTTGACGCCCGTGATTATCTCGCTGATGCCAGATCGCTCTGTCTTCGCCTCCGGAGCCTCAGCGGGCTCCGCCTCTGGCACCGCGTCATCCTTCCCTCCCTTGCCCTCCGTAGCTGCTGACGTGCCATCGCCGCCGCTGACGTCACCGCCGCCACTGTCGACCTCCGGCGGTTCCGGCGTCATCTCAACCGTCGCTCGACCTCCCTCGTCATCGCCCTCGTCGGCGACGTCAATGGGAGCTTCGCCGCCGCCGTCGTCGTCGTCGCCGTCATTGGCAGGGTCAGCGACGACCCGTGGGTCAGTGCCGCCACCATCACCTCCACCGGCACCGTCATTGTCGTACATTACGTCATCATCAGCGTCATCTTCCGTACGGTGATGTACGGCAAATACCCCAGCGATACCCGCCAGGTTCACCTCGGAGAGCACATCCGCGATAAGGCCCTGGCGTGCCATGACAACCGCCCCCGTCTGGCCCTGTGAGCGGGGAAAGAGGAGGGTGAGGGAAAAGAATTGAGGCAGTGTGTTCCCACCTGGATAGGGTGTGAGTGGAGTGAGTGGTCCCCCAAGCCAGCCAAACCAGCCAAGCCAGCCAAACCCCTCCTCCCCCAAACCCTCCCCAACCCAGCCCCACCTGTCCCACACACAGGAAGGTGGTGGGTCCGCCCCTGCCCGGCGCCTCCGTCGCCCCGGCGGTGGGCACGTGGGAGGAGGCGGCGGAGGAGGTGTCCGCGAACAGCAGGTCACGAACGGGGCCTGGGGGGCAGGTGGGGAGGAGGGGAGGAAGGGAAGGAGGGGAGGAGGGAAGGCAGAAGAGGGTTAAGGAAGCACAAGACCATGCTGCCAATGTCAGTGGGGCAGCCAGTGGAGGAAGCCCCTGCTGCTGCTGCTGCTGCGTTCAGCGGGTGGGTGGCAGGAGAGGTGGGAGCAGGAGCTACCCCCCCGCCTCCGCCTCTACCCCCGCACCCACACCCACATCCCGGCCCGCATTGTCACCCATCTCCTCTACCCCAAAGCACAGCTCAGGAACCTCGGAGCCTGCAGGCCCCCCAGCCCCGCTTGCTAGGAGCGGACTGCCACATGCGCCCCGTGCACCCCCCTGCCATGCGCCCCGTGCACCCACCCACCTATGGAGGGCAGCGAGTCCAGCAACCTGAGGTTGAACCGCGGGGGGCCCCCCTCCGCCTCTCCACCTCCACCTCCACCTCCAACGTCAGCAGAGCCTGTCTTGGCACGCTTGGCTTCCCTGCCCTCGTCTTCCTTGCCCTCCTCTGCTCCCTCCTCCGCCCCTGCCTCCTTCCCTGACTGTTGCTGCTGCTGTTGTTTAGGATCTGTCGTACCAGCTGTTGTCGTACGGGGCCGTAGCTGCATGAGTACGGAATCTCCGGTCCAGGAGCCCAAAAACATAAGGCCCTTGGGACCCTTGTACGACAGGCACGGCGCCCCCGCCGCAGCAGCTGCGGCTGCTGCTGCTACAGCCGGCAAGACGGCTGTCGTACCGCCAGCAGCAGCAGTAGCGGCGGCTTGTACGGCAGTACCGTACGGCACTCGTGCTGCCGCCGTCATGGTGAGGCTTACTAATGCGGTTGCAATGGGGCCGCCGCCTGTCCGTACGGCAGTTATACGCTGATCCGGCGGCCCGTCAAACCTTAGATGTACGGCAAGCAGGACGCCAGATTGCAGACCTGTCGTGAAGGGGAAGGAACGGGAACGAGGGGAAGGAACGGGTACGACAGAGTACGACAGCAACTGTACCGGGTGGGAGGACATGGAAGGTCTCTCTATCAAGGCCCAATGCCCCCTCCTCAGTGCGATACCCTGCCACGTGCAGACACCCAAGTCTGGCTCAGCCGTCGTACACACCCGCACACAAGCCACATACACACCCCTCCTAACCCCTCTTGTCCCCCCACGTAATACCCCCCCATCTCCCTCCCCCCCACTCCCCCCCTCACCCAGTACACATGTGGTGGGTGACAGCCAGGCCGCCGCCACCCCCGCCGCCACCGCCTCCAGATCCGACATCAGCGCAGCGTTGCGAGCTAGGGCCGGGGCGCAGTCCTGGGGGCGACAAGGGGGGGAACAAGAGGGCAGCGGGGTAAAGAGGAAACGACTAACGAATCGTGTGATAAGGCGTCGCACGGTTCGAGCGGGGGTTTAGATGGACTGAGCCGCGAGAAAGAGGGGGTGGGAGCGCAGGGTTGGGCCGGAGAGGACCGAACTGGTGACGACAGCGGAAACCTGAGCACAAGGGAGCAGTAGGGATGGGTGGGGCGAGCAGGCGCTGTGCCGAACTACGCTGATCCCTTCCTCCCACCAACCCGCCCACGGCCCACCCCTCCCCCTTCCCCCTTATGTTGTTTTGGCTTAACTTAATCCTCATGAGATGGGATGGGCCGGGTCCATTGTAGCAACCCATGGTGAAGCCCTCTCTTCATGCAGCTCGTCCGTTTCCTCGTTCCTTTTCGCATTCAACACATTGGGTATTCTTCTCTTCCCTCCCTCTCACCGGGTGTACATTGAGTGCGAACTCCGCCGCCAGCCGCCCCGCGGTGACGGAGGGCGGCTCGCGGGCGGGGTCGAAGAGCAGCGGCGGGGGCACCTCACCGGGCAGCGCAAAGGAGTTGAGCGCGGCGGCATGCTGGGAGGCCTGTGCGGGGGGTGGTGGGGTTGTGGTGGGGTGGTGGGGGGGGCAGCATGGGAGCATGGAGGGGGGGGAGAGGAGACAGTCAGAGACCAACCAAACACAGTGATACCGCATGTTTGGGCAAAGCAATGGGGGGGACCTGCGCATCTGTGGCGTTCCTGTGGGAGGACTTCATCTCGCGGCAATCACATACCTTCCTAACACACACGCCAGTTATCCTAACACACACGCACGCACGCACCTGCGAGCTGAGCACCAGCAGGTTGGGGCTGACCACCAGTACGGCAGCCTTGTACGGCACCGGCAGCAGCTTGTACGAGTCGTACGGCAGCCCCGCCACCTTCCACAGCAGCGTGTGGCGCTTGAGGCGGAGGGAGATGGAGATGGCGGCCAGGCAGCAGGTGTCCTTGCGCTCCCTGGGGGGGGGGGAGGGGGGGCAAGGGGGGTCGGGTTGGGGTTGGGGCCTCTGTAACAAACGCCGCAATAAAAGAGCAATAAAAGAACCATAAAAGAATCATGGAAACGAGAACGAGGGTGTCTGGGGTTGCGGCGACAATGCAGTACAATCCCCCTAGTACTAAGCCCCCCACCTCTGCCCCACCCCACCTCAGCCTCCCCGCCCATGTGGCATCCGGCTCATGCAGCACCAGCAGCACTGGCTCCGTGTAGCCCGCCAGAAACACACAGTCACGGATCTGGGGGGGAGGCGGGGGGAGAGAGGAGGAGGGGGGTAAAGGAGGGGGGGTCAGGAGGGGGGTAAGGGAGAAGCAGTGAAGCACTGCAATCCCTAAGCAGTGGCCCGACTCGTGATCGAGGGGAGGAGGAAAGGAAGGAGAAGAGCGTGCGGCAAGTAGCAAGTGTTATTGGTGCGTTTGGTTTAAACGTACGGCATTGGAAGGTCACGGCGACCGAGTGATGTGATGACGAGGCCCTGTCGTACGCACCTCCCGAATGCCCATCATCTTGTGGAGGTTGAGGACGTAACTATTTCCAACCGCCGCCGCGCCGCCCGCATAACCGCCACCGCCTGCTGCTGCTGCTCCCAAGTCGAATGAGTTAGCCTGTGGTGGTGGTGGTGGTGGGGGAAGGGGGGGACCAGCGAGTTTGCATGCGGCGCGTCAGGGGGTATGGTGCTCGTGATGGGTGGGTGGGGGGTAACGGGGCTCCTCAGCAGGGGGGGTAGCACCCTTAGCAGAGGGGTGCTCGAACAACATGTCGCCGGCAGGTGACTACGACCGCATCCTCGCAACGCGGGATGTGCGGATCATGCGATGCTGAAATGCTGGCCTTGTGCCCTAATGGAACCAAAACAAAAACCACAGAAACCGGACATCCGCACCCTGCACCCTGCTCTGGAGGGTTCACGCAGCCCTACAGCCCACTGCCCTTCCGTACCGCTACTGCGCGTGCATCCTCCTCCCCCACCCCCACCCCCAACCCCCATTGGGACTTCTTCCCCCCACCCCCCGCTGCCCTCCCTCTGCTCACCTCCAGCGCAGGCAGCAGCGCCACCTGACAGAAGTTGACCGCCACAGCAGCACACCGACCCGCCGGGTCGGTCACGACCCTCGGAGGCAGCGCCGCCGCCGTCCTCCCTCCCCCCGCCCCTCCACACCCTCCTACTGCTGCTCCTCCTCCCCCCACACCTCCCGACGCCCCTCCGATACCCAGACCAATGCCGCCTAAGCCGCCGGCCGCACCGCCGCCGCCAGCCGCTGCCGTACCGCTGCCACCGGTATTACCAATGCTGCCGTACCCTCCGGAGGCGCGCAGCAGTTCATTGGCGCCCCCCTCCCCCTCGAAGCAGTGCATGGAGGAGGTACGCAGGCAGTGGCTCCAGCTGTCCCACTCTAACACGGAGAGCTTGGCGTCCCTTGAGTGGGGGAAGGGGGGGAAAGAGAAAAGCGGGGAGCTTTTGATGAAACACACGGGGTATGCAGGTAGGCCTTTTGTCCTACGGTGGCTGCGGTAACAGATGAAGATGAGAGGGGCAGCGCTGGAGAGCACTCCTATGCTCTCTTCCTTTCCCTCCTCCTCTCCTTGCAAAGGCTCCATTACTTGACTACTGACAGCCCACCCCTCCTAGAACGTACCTGCTATCGCAAAGCATGCTATGTTGTACGGCATGCTCGGCTCACCTGAAGGTCAGCAGCAGCGCATCCCGGCGCCGAGTTGTCACGCCGCTGAGTACGGCCATGCTCTCAACGACCCCATGCAGGTGGTACGACACAACCAACTCCAACCGTGTCGTACCACCACCACCACCGCCGCCACCTCCACCGCTGCCGCCGCTGCTGCTAGCCACATTGCCGCCGCCAGGACCGGTAGCGGTCCTACGGGGTGGGTGGGTGGGGTGAGGAAAAGGTGGAGGGAGGGAAGAAAGATAGCCTAGCAGGATACGCAATACGCGTCGTTGATCCTGGGGTTTGGAAGCGTGAGGCGCTAGGCATGCCGAGACCCTCCTAACCCAATGGTCCGCACCTCCCCTTGCGCCGCCTGTCCATGGAACACCCTAGACACGTTATTCCTTATCACTCACTCACTCCATCGTGTCACGGTGCTTTCCTTCCGAAGCCCACGTTCCTCCGAAACCCCCACCACCACCACCAACAACAAACACCATGCCGACACCAGCCATCGCATCCGACTCTTGCCACACACAGCAAGTCGGGCCTAACCCAGGCCATCCTTCACACACCCACCTCACACAATAGATTTCGAGTCGGTTGGTCCGAACCACCACCAGGTTCGGAAGCTGCGGTTGTGTTGGTGCTCCGCCTTGTGCTGCTGCCCATGCTTCCGCCGCTGTCGTTGCCGTACCATGAGGGAGAGGCGGGTGCGTGAGGTATGCTGCCTCCGCAAAGGTTACACCCGTGGGAGGATGACACTACGGGATTAGGGAAGGGCGGGGAGAGGTTGGCATTGTACAAGACAACAAAGGATGGGGGCCCCATGGGTTGGCGAAAAAGCTCCTCAGTATGCACCGGCATGGAGCAAAGTGCATAAAGCAAATGGGCACGAATATATGTGCTAGGTCTGCTTTGAAAGAGAATACTTCGGAGCGTGAAGGCAGCGATGGCAATGCGCTGTTGGGTAGCACTTACTTCCTTGTATAAGCAAGTTGTCATTCTTGTCACAAGAACCGACGCCTATGCCTAATGCTGAGTGATCATTTTGCAGTGAGCACAATCCAGAAAGGCTTCAATTAGCAAAATGCAAGATACGCCAAGATCTTGTTAAATGACGGCCTTCACAACCGTTACTATAACGGCATGTAGGTTGCATAATCGTGGGTGTCTGCAATAGCAAAGGAAAGCATGTGTACGGCACACTGACAAATGACCGTATAGTTGCTCCTTGCTCGGCAGGCATTGACGTAGGTGGCCTAAGCTGTAAGGAAATCTCCCGCAAGCAAAGTATTCATTATTATTTCTGTAGAATGACAACGGATTCGTCGGCTGGCCTCACTGATTGCGGTCGACGCATGCGTATCACTTTCCTGTGACTGCATGCCAATTCATCACAGTGTTTGGGGCGAACTACTGGACACGAGGGACTTCACACGGTGTTGTTGCAAAATGAATGCTCCCGCGAGTAAGTGCACTGCATGACTGCATGGCTATCATGAAGAGGGCCAGGGCTCTAATAAGCCGTGCCGTCCAAGGGAGTGGGGAGAAAGGAGAAGGCCAAAGGACTCGGTCAGCACAGGAAGGTTAGGAGAAGCATGCGCGGGGCTGCTGTGCCCACAGCACGCTGGTCACCTAACGAAGGGCTGCTGTCTAGAGCCCAAACGTGTACGTGTGCATGCGCAAGACCCGACCAACCTGCGCATGCAAGAAAGCACCAAGACTTGACCTCCAACCACCCGTGCATGATGTGTAGATCGCTAGGAACCGCCTTACCGTGTTTGTGTCATGCGCAAATGACACTATCCACACTCGTAGCCACTTCAGGGGCATACATGGGCGGGGGCGGGTTGAGGAGAGGGCGGGGAAGGGGATGGGAGTGCCTGGCGTTGATGTGAGGGTGGAAGAGGGAGTGATGGGGTTTGGGGTGCTAGGTCGCATTTACCGGTACTGCCCGAATGAAGGTGGAGACGCATGGGCGGCTCACCTTTTGCAACGTGAAAAAGCCGACAAGAAGTGTTTAGAACTGCCCAATACCATTAGCGTATTCAGGGGTGTACTGCATATGTATGCCAAACTTAGCCCGTGACCAGCTACCCAAGGGTAGTAGTGCATATCGTAACAGATCTGGAAGGGAGGGGGTCTGAAGGGGTAGGGAAACCCTGCCACTTCACGGCAGTCGGACCCACGGACCGCGAAGTGACTAGTTCTGCCGCAGCAGGCCAACTCCTGCTCTGCCCCAGGACCTTTGTATACAGCAAGTTTCCCACTACTGGTAAGCGCCACGCGAAGTGAGCCTGGATGACGAACTAACACTTTCAACTTTAGGTAACTGTTGTTGAACTATTTTCACCACTATCTTGCAGTGTCGGGCTCTGTATCGTCCACTGTCCCTTGCCTTCCGGTTGGAGATCACGATAACGGTCATTCACTCAGATAACGATGTAACCCAGTGAACATTCGCGTTCAAGGGCACGTGCCAAACTAATTGAACTTCTTTTTCCGCCAAACACACAACATTGGGACAGGTGTCCAGCCGTCAATGCGTGCAAAGGTCATAGGAACGGCCCTCTGGTATCTCTGAATGCTCAGATCGCCAGGGCAAGTTTTCCAGCCGCTAGTATCTGCGCATGTCGGTAGATAGAAACGGCGCCCCAGCCACTTAATTGACGCGCTTGCACATCTGCAGTTCAAACTGTTTCAGTTCCAGTATGAACATTGTGCATCTGCTCCAATAGAACAACAGACTCGACACTCGGCGGCTCAACTTCCATTCCCGTGACGCAACCGTTGGTCGGTAGATGCATCATTGCTAGATTTATCCAATGCATCTCATATTAGTGGCGTATCGCTAAATCGTCATGGGCTCCGCAACTTGTCATCCTCCGTTTGCCCTGGTCAATGGCCGATGACCCTGCTCTACAGCTACTCGTTTGTCCATATGTCAGGTCCCAGCATGTAAAGAATTTATCCTTTTCAATATTGTGGGAGTCAGCCGTCGTGATGTACCCCCATCACCTGGTGGTAACCCATTCCTAACCTCCACGAGCAGAGACCAGGAACACAATATTTTACACCCGTTTACACTTACATGCAGACGACTCAATACCATATTGGACAGCTGCAAAACGCATGTTGGATAAGGCACCTATTGAAGAACCCGCTGCCGCGGTACCGAACTTTTTGTCCGGTACATTACGTCTGTGTTACCACGCGGTTTGCTACCATGTAAAAGTAGCAATGGTGACCTCATTTTTACTGCATGATTTGCCAATGCTCATCTCAACCTAAACCCTGGTGTTTAAGGGCATCGTTTCGCATTCCAAGCATAGTGTAACATATGAATGGACCCGGCAACCTGCCAGCTCCTAACAGCAGCCTAGAACAATGTCAGCACTACAGCGGCTTCTGCTTGCGGGTGGCAGCAAGCGCTTTGTCGGATTGCACCGGCAGCAGGTCGTTTGGGATAAGTCTGTCGCCCCTCGCCGTTGGGGCTTAAGACCATCAGCGGCGCTTGGGCTCGGCGCCGCTATCTGCGGCGTTGGTTACATTTGTAAGTGGGAACAGCCAGTGTGGCGCGGTTGCGACGACATTGTGTGTAGGTCCATCGGTTTGCATGCGCCAGTTGAAAACGAGCTACCATATTACATCGATGTCACTTAAACGCAAGCGCAATGTCAAATTCCTCTCTATTTTCTTATATTATAATTAAATAACCACCATGTGCTCGCCAAGTGCGCTTCTAGAATACATTCCGCCTCGACCCTACCCTCGACCCTACCCGACCGTTGCTTGCCCACGCCTCCGCTCCCCAACAAATCACATCGGACATCGCAACCCAACTCCTCCCTCGCGCAAGGTGGCGGCTCAACTCCCGGCGGCACCACAGCAGCCTTGTCCGCCGCCCTGGTGATCAATGGCGCGCTGCTGGCGCACGAGGCCGGTCACTGGGCCGCGGCGGCAGCCATGAGTGTGGCGGTGCGGGAGGTGGCGGTGGGCGTGGGGCCGAGAGTGGCTTGGTGGGAGGTAGGTGGGCAGGAGGGAACGAGGGAGAGACAGGACGAGTGGGGCGTTGGGTTGGATGTGCAGGTGCGTTAGTAGTAGCTGGGCGGGATCCTGCAAGACGATCGTTAGGAGAGGCAAGGAACGCGTTGCTGTTTGTCCATGTTTGCTGTTTGTCCTGGTAACAGTGCACCCCTGCGTGCTCTGACTTCCTTTCTCTCACTTCTCGCCCTCCTCCTCCCCACCAATCTACATAACCTCCCCACCACCACCACCTCCATGCATCCTCCCCACCAGGGGCCCACCACCACCTACTCCCTCCGCGCTCTGCCGCTGCTGGGCTACGTGAGCTTCCACACACCCGCTACCGCTGGTACCGCTGCTGGTGCCGCTGCCGCCACCGCTGCTACTGTCCCCGCTGCCGCCACATCAGCAGCAGCGGCAGCAGGTCTTCACACCTGCTCCGCCGAGACAACCCACCACCTCCACAATCCCCACCACCACCAATACCACCACCCGCAGCAGCAGCAGCTGCGACGGCCCCTGCTCCTGCTGGATCAGCTGCCCCCGGGCAGGCGGGCGCTGGTGGCGGCAGCCGGCGTGGCGGCCAATTTGGCCCTGGCAGCGGCGTTGGTGGTTTGGCAGGTAGGTACTGCACATGTGTGGTAATGCAAATGGCCATGTGTGTACGTACGACAAGAGCAAGTACACGAGCGACAAGTGTTCGACAAATGTAGGGCAAGGCAGGCCGCAGAATGAAGGGGAGATTGAAGTTGTTCCGATGAGCTGTTACGGATGTGTTGTTGACCGCAATCCTTGTGTGTCACTCGTTAGGGGCGATGATGCTTATCGTGCGCGCGTTGACTTTCATTTGTTGTGTCGTACATGAAACCAGGTTATGTCGTACGGAGAGCTAGGGGTGGCTGTACGACAAGGGGCCAGAGTACTGCAAGCGGATGACTACCACAACCCATCGCAGTACGACAAGCAGGAGCAGCAGACGCCGCAACGGCAGGCGTTGCGGGATGAGGAGGAGAGGGAGGCTAAGCTGCCGCTGTCGTACGGCTCCTACGTAGGACAGAACCAGCAGCAGATGCGGGAGTCTCAGCAAGTGCATTACCAGGAACAGCACCCGTATGAGCATGTGCATCTGCACGAGCATGGGTCCGAGCGTCATTACGAGGGTCAACCACATCCCCCTTTGCATCATCATCATCAACAGCAGCAGCAGGAGCAGGAACAGCAGTGGCAGGGACACGGGCAACAGCGGCAGGAGCAGCAGCAACAGCCGCTGTTGTTACAGGCGGGGGATATCATCTTGGCGGTCGGGAGGCACCCGCTGCCGGCTGGGGTCGGAAAGATGGTGAGAGCGGGCGATTGGGCAGGGGTATGCGGATGGCTGCCAGGCACCTGGAGCTATTCATTGAGGGAAGGGATCGACGTTCCTGAAGGGAGGGGGTTTCACCAGCTTTCCGAGCAAGGTTCGGATTCATAGCATAGGTAGACTAGACAGCGCGGTCGTTTGAGTTCGTTAGGCAATCCGCGGAAGAGCCTTGGGAGGGGTACCTCTGCAATGCGTGTTCGTGCGTGTATGTGTGGTGTGCCCCCACTGCTCTTTGAATATTGTTAAGTCACTGTCATGTTTATGTACGGCAGGATGTAACATTAGTACGAGCACTGGAAGCAGCGGCGGCGGACAATGACAACCGCGACAACCGCAGTAACTGTAACGCAACAAACTCAGTAACGGCCGCTGCTGCCGACTGCATGAGGTGCAGCAGCAGCAGCAGTAGCAGTAGCTGGGAGGACGAGGACGATGACAACGCGGGTTACCTGGCGGGCGTGAAGATGCTCGTCTTCAGACCCGCGTCCACAACATCCTCTTCACCCCTTGCTAGCAACAGCAACAGCAACAGCAGCAGTAGCAGTAGCAGTAGCAACAACAGCAGCAATAGCAGCAGCTCCAGCTGGGGTGGCGGCGGTGGCAGCGGTGGCAGCGGTAACGGTTCCTATTTGCTCATGGACGCCGCTGACGTGTTAAGGTACGGCAACTTGGGGAGGCAACGATGGGATGGAGGAGGTTGTCAGTTGTTACCGGTGGTACGGCTGCCTTGTACATGCTTGCTGTGTACGTTGTATCAGCCCAGAAGGAGCCGATGTGACGCCGTACATGCAGCTTTAAAATCGGAGTCTTAACATGCTGAGGCGTCTGTTTTGCATGATGCTGGCTCTTTGCCGCACCCCCGTACATTAACGGTTGTCGTACTGTCGTATATTGTTCCGTATGTAACAACGTACATCGATACGCAGGTACGGCACGTTGGTAGTTGGGCCCAACACGGAAACTGGCTACATAAGGCCCTTTCTTCATGGGGACGAGGATGCTGGCGGTAACAACGGGAGGAGGACGAGGAGCAGCCCAGGCTCTTCCTCCCCCCCAGCGGAGCAGTACGGTAATGGCGGTGGTGGTTTCGGAGCTCTAGCTGGTTCGACTGAGCGGTTGTGGCGGTTGGCAACGGTGACGGCGAGGGAGCTCGAAGGGTGCGTACGGTGTTGTGGGTGGATGACGCCTACACGAGTCCACGTTTATTTACCGTTGCTGTTCATCATGCGTCTTGCTAGCCTACACCTACCCGCTACCGGTCATTCGATTCGTACCACTGCACTATCTACCCCTTACCCGAGTCTCTTCCCGTCCCTTCGCCGTGTCTGCCACGCAGATGGAGCCGACTGGTTTTAACTTCCTGGTCGACCGCCTTCGCCGCTGCTACAGCCTCACTCACCTCTAGCGACGCCGCTGCTACATCTGCTGTAGCTACGGCAAAACCAACGGTAACAACGGCAGCACCTTACAACCAGCACGGAACCACAAACCATGACAGCAGCAGCAGCAGCGGTGAACGTGGCAACAACGCATGTAGTAGCAGTAGCAGCAGCGGTAACGGCCATGGGTACGGCAACGGTGATACCAACGGTAACCAGGCCCCGCAGCTTGTGGGTCCGTTGGGCTTAGTTGCGTCGGTTGCTGCCGCTGTAGCATCAACATCTGCGAGGACAACGGCAGCGGTTACTACAACCGCAATAACGGACGATGAAAGAAACGGTGACGACTCGGCGGCGGAGATCATGAATCTGAGATCCGCGAATGACGGGGTGGTTGTGCGGCAACTGCCACCGTTGCTTGAACTGGGCATCCAAGTGAACCTACAGGTACGTTGGTTTAATATGTAACTCTTTACGATATGTAAGCACCAACAAGAACAGGTCGGCGGCTAGGCGGTTAGGCGGTTAGGTCACAGGCTATACCAGTACGGAGTTCCCAGTTTCATCCTGCACACAACCTTACGCCTGCAAGCACACCCATACCGGTACCCACACCCTTACCTCGCATTCCAAACACTACTTCACTCCTCCCCTGCCCCCCAGCTGGCCTGTGTCAACCTGCTGCCCGTGCCGGTGCTAGATGGAGGCCAGCTGCTGCTGCTGGGGCTGGAGGTGAGGAGGGGGGGTGCGAGGGTGGCGAGATATCACATGTGGGTAGGGGTGGGGGGCTGAAGATGCTTGTCGTATTATCCTTTATTCTGCCGTACAGTCGTTGATTCCTGTCGTACATGCACCCATCACATGCGCCCGTACGCAGGCCCTTCGAGGCGGTCGGCGGCTTCCCGCCTCCCTGGAGCGACCCGCGCTGCTGCTGAGTGGGCTGCTGGCGGCTGGGTGGCTGGCGGCGCTGAGTGTACGGGATGTGGTGAGTGTGTACGTCATACATAGTCATTATCACAATCGTACAGTTGCATCGTAGATGCCTTTGTACGGATGTGTCCTCCGTCGTACCTACCCTGTGTCATACGCACCCTTCCCGTACTTCACTCGCCCCCATGCACCTCCGCCATGCAGATTGCTCTGCTGGGCCTGGGGCGGTCGCAGCTGCAGCAGCCACTGGAGGCGGCGGCAGCAGTGGCAGTAGCAGCAACAACAACCCACGGCAATGAGGGCACTGGCACCAGCAGCGGTTAAACGTGAACTGGTGGGCATTGGGCATAGTCGAGGGGTGTGCGGCTGTAGGTACTGCAAGACGGCAAACGCGGTATTGCAGCAGCAGCAGCAGCAGCAGCAGTAGTTAAAGGTGCTGCTACTGTGGCTTTCACAGTACAGGGACAGCAAGGGTGGTGGGGAAGCGAGGAAAATTACGTGACATGGGTGATGGGTGGGCGCCCGTGCCGGGATGTATGAGCGGCCCATGTCTGTGCAATGGGTTGATGCTGCAGCTTCATTCGGGGGGTTCATATCTGCAATGCGGCATCTGCATCTGTATTGATGGTGGTGGACTGATGAAGGTATGGAGTGCTTCATGTTATGTGTAGATTGCTGTTATTAAAAACGGGTTGTTGTTACAAATTAGCATGATGTTCATGTAGATTATCTAGACATCAAAGATTAGGAACATTACCTATGTTTCCAGAACGTCTCAGAGGTCGAAATGGTTGCAATCTGGCAGTCAAGGTGTTGGTGGTGTGCCCTGACACGAATGGGGGAAAGCTTGTGCCGTACGGTTACGTTGTACGAGCGGTAACGAACGCCGTAGCGGGGAGGGTGGAGGTGAGAGGTGTGACGAGCGATTAGTGTGTGAGGGGAAGAAAAAAGGGTACGACACTTACAGCATGGCATATTCGGTGCATGCACGTGTTTGCATGGTACCACAGCACTAGCACGGTATAGCGGTGCAATGCCCGAGGCGTGGGAAGAAGCGTGCACGTGAGTGGCATGTGGAATTTATGCATCATCTTGCATCGGAAGCAGTCCAATTATGTTGAATGGTGGTGGTGGTGGTCAGCATTGCTTTAGCTTGGTATGTATCAGAGCGATTCATTCGGCGGTTTACTGCATGCTGTTGTTGCATATTGTCCGGCATTTCTGACATTGGAGTAATTGGGGGCAACGGGGGTAATGCCTGAGCTGATGCGTTATTGCCATGTATGAAGGGGCTTGGTAACAGGTAGGCCTCAATGCCGAATGTATGCTAGGCTGTGGAAGTACGGAAGTCCAAACACCTGTCGTACGACACGCAGTAGACAACACGGCGCCAATCCCGTGCTCATGTGTCACTTGGGTCCTGGTTTGGATGGTGCCATGGGATTTGCCGTGGGAACCACTTGCCGCGGCAATGTAATGTTTAGGGCTGTAAGATGACACGGTGCCGCTTAGGAGAGTCAATTATCGAACGTACCTGAGTGGCACAAGGATATCGGTAATCAGACAAGGCGGGGTCCGTAACTTTTCTTTTCACCCTCCGGGTGAAGAGCAGCAGCAGTAGCAGCAAAAAAAGGAGAACGTGTCAGGTCTAAGGTGCCGCAGCTGCTCCCGTGCACAGCCCGTCGGTTGCCGTAGTCCAGCAATACGTGACGTGGACGCCCCGATGACTCGATATATTTTCGGAACTTGAATTGATTTACTCGTTTACCTGAGGACTACCTGAGGGAAACGTTTAGCAAAGCACATTACTTCTTAGGCCTTAGATGGCGTTGTCGACCATGCCAACAACAGAAAGCTATTAAAGCCCTGCAAACACTCGCTACGGAACGCTTTGCGACTTATTGTCCGTATTCTGGCATACTTGAATTGCGTCTACATTTAATTAAAGGCCAAGATGGCTCGAGGGCGTGGTCGATCTGCATCGCAGGCTGGGCAGTCGTCTGGAAGGGGCAGATCAGGAACCGGACGCGGATCTAACTCGAATGGGGATACTGCTGGTCGAGGCCGGGGCAGATCTAGTCGCGGAGGACGCGGCGCAGGTCCTTCGTCGCGACATGGTACGCGGTCGTTTCTCCCCATGGCCCATACCTTGCAGATAACGATAGCACCGACCATCGTTTAAAAATTTAAATCATGACATGCGACAAAACACGGCCACGCTTGCTTAATTAAAGCCCTAATTCCAGCCATTTTGTTTGTTGTCCAGCCGGGGATTTTCGCTGAACTTGCTTCGTCGGGATTTAGTGACTTTCCTGGTAGTTTAACATGCCGGGAGGCTTGGGACGACGGGAAGAGGGAAACGTAGATATGCGCGGTGATGCGTGTACATTTGCCAAGTTGCCATGCGCATTCCTGTTCCACCCTTCTCGTGTCCTCCACTTCACGGAACCATAGGCCCCCTTGCTAGCGCTCTTAGGCCTGGTTACTCTACCAGGGGTAACGCGTGTTCATGCCCCACCTTAGCTTCGCCCTTGACCCGCTTGAAATGAATCACCGCGTTCTACTTGCACCCTCCCGGCGCAGGCGACGCGGGCGGCGGTAGCGGTAACGGTCGCAGCAAGAATCGTACGATAGGAGGATATCCCGGATTGGGCACTTCTCCGCCGTACGGTGGCAGTACGACACCTCAGCAGTTGTACGGACGAGGTGGCCGGGGTGGTGGTGGCGGTGGCGGGAGGGGCGCAGCAGGGCCGACAACGCCGTACGGCGGACGCGGCATTCGTACGGCAAGTCCAGGAGGCGGCGCGGCAGGGTTGTACGGCACACCTCCGCCTTCCTTGCAGCAACCGACCTTATACGGCATGGCTAATCCGTACTTGTTCGTGGAGCTCGAGAAGGATGGGGTGTGGAAGGTGGGTGGGTGGGTAGGAAGTTAGGAGAGAAGGTGAGGGCAGGTGAAAGGGTGGGGCTCACATCGACCCGTGAACGTGGTTTACCGGTAGGGTTGGGCCGCAACCGGGCGACAAACTGAGCTCCTCCTGCTGAACTCCGCGTCAGGCGTGCGTCCCCAACGGTCAACGGTTCGGCAAACCGTTCCTAGCGGGTCTAGAGGTGTGGGCGCGACAGCTGCTGGCAGGTGGGTTAAGAGGAAACAACTGACTGACTGGGTGGGTGGGTGGGTGGGTGGGTGGGTGCATGTACACGTGTTTGTCGCGGGGGTTACAGTGGTAGCTGGGCCACCCGCGGGACCCCTGGGCGTGGCTTGCTGGCGTCGGTGTGTGTGTGCAGCTGTGTTCATGTGTGGCGCTGCTGCCGTACATCCTTGACACGCCCCAACCAACCAACCGTCCCCACAATCATTAGGCGAGGGACCCGTCCTCCAGCGCTCCATCAACCTCGCACCTCCAACCACCAACCAACCGCCAACTGCCGCCGCCGCCGCGACGCCACCGCCCCTCCCCAACGTCATCCCGCCGCCACCGAGTGCGGCACGGGGCAGCGGCGGCGGCAGCGGCGGCGGCGGTGACGTCAGCCGCGGCAGCGGCCCAGCCTCCCACCCCATCACCTCCCTCACTGGTAGCGGCCTCCCAGCCCTCGACAACCTGGGGGCTGGGGTAAGCGGCGGCGGCGGCGGCAGCCGTCGTACGACCACGAGTTTGGTGCCTCCGCCGCCGTCACGTCCGCCGCCGTCAGCACCGGCAGCAGCAGCAGCGGTGGCGGCGGCGGCGGAGCAACAGGGCAGCGTTGACGCCGGCGCTGCCAGCGGCGGTGCTTTGGATTTCGTGTCCCTGCTGCAAACCCAAATGGGCCTCACCACCACCACCACCACCACCACGATGAACACGACGCCGTCGGGTGCTGCTGCTGCCGTCGCTGCCAAGGCTGCTGGTGGTGGCGTTGGCGGCGACAACTACACCTCCGCCGTGCGGTTGGACGGCACTTCGGGTTCGATTGCCGTCGGTAACGCCTCCGCTGATACAACCGCCGCCGCCGGCACCGGCACCGCCGCCGGTGAAAGCAAGAATGGGTCAGAGCCGCCGCCGCCGCAGCAGCAGCAACCGGAGGAGGAGCAGCAGCAGCCGCCACAACAGACGTCGGGGGAATATCGCGGCCTTTGGGCTTCACTTGAGGAGGAGGAGAAAGAGGGGGGCAACGGTCAACCGTCAACGGCCTCGGCTGCTCATGCGGCGTACTTTGACCATGAGGACCAGGAGGCGGATGAAGAAGAGGAGGAGGCGGTGGGCGAGGAGGAGGAGGGCGGCTATGAAGAGGGAGAGGAAGGTGAGGATGGAGGGTGGAGGGTGTCGGTGGGAGGGAAGCCGAGGGGTTTAGCGTGAGTACGACATGCTGTACAAACCTTTGTTGCCGTACACATCGTTCACCTGTACCTAACCGTGGACCTTCACGCAACGGTATGTCCCTTTGTCCGCCCATCCTCGTCATTCATCCGCAACTATTTACTCAGGCCAAGTCGACAACGACGATTACGACTATGACGATGATGAGGAGGAAGATGAGGAGGAAGGGGAGCAGGAATCGGAGGACGAAGATGATTACGAGGAGGACGAGGACGACCTGTACGACAGCGAATTGTACGACAACGAGGAAGATACCATGACAGAGTACGACAGCGCGTCATCGCCGCAGCCACCACAACGGCAACCGGTGCTGACGTCAGCGGCAAGGGGCGCACAAATGGAGGCGGCGACAGCAGCAGCGCCTCCATTCCTCTCGCCGCCCCCTCAACAAAACTCCCAGCAGCAGCAACAACAACAACAGCAGTTTCGTTTGGCGGCATCGAAGCCGTTGACGGTTGAGCTGTTACGGCAGTTGAAGAGTCTGGACGAGCGTGGGCGGCTGCGTGTTTCGTTGCGGCTGGAGCGACAGGTGAGTGGAAGATGTGTTCCAGCGGGGTGTGAGTGAACGGCTCTTCTAATGTTTCTCTAGATACTGCACATTTAGCTTCTGCATCTTTAGCTGCTGTATATTTAGCTTGTGCACCTCGGATTGCTGCAAGAGGGGTTGTTAATGGGGGTAAGTTGGTGTCGGCACCAACCGCCTTATTCGCATGTCATGTCGTACCCTGCCCCCCCACCTGACAGGGTTTGAATGACACGGAGGTCGAGTTGCTGGCGGAATGGTACCAGGTGGGGGGGGGGCGGGGGGGGAGCGGGGTGGGGGGCGGGGAGCGGGAGCGGGGTAAAAAATATATAATGAGACACTGACGAAGCAACTGACGTGCTGTATGACAAGGAGCGGGGTGGGAAGCGGGGGTGGAGGTAGGGGCGGGGGCGGCGGGCGCCTGGGTGGGGGCAGCAGATGAACCAAGTGCCCGTCACCACCACCTCCACACCCATTGCGCCTCTACCATTACCACTACTTCCCAAGACCCGGTACTGCGCTCAACCTGTGGTGTATCTCACAGCGACCTCCACCGATAGACCACCTGACGACCTTTCCGTCTACTTACCTTCCATCTACTTACGTTCTCTTGTCGCCAGGAGCGCGGCCTGTCTCTCCTGGAGCTCTCCAAGCTCTGGCTGTACGACAACCGGATTTCGGATCCAGGGGCCGCCGCCGTGGCCCGCTGCCTGCTGCACTCGGGCTTGCAGGAGCTGCACCTGTCGCACAACAGCATCGGGGATGAGGGTGGGTGTGTACGGCATGGCGTCTGGTGTGTACGGCGTCTGTACGGCCGGCGGAGAACGTCAATAGGTTACAATACTGCAATGCGAGGTGAAACCATTTTGCCTACGTGGTCCGTGAGCCGCTTGGACCCCCGACTCTGCCGGGACGCCATCGCACCCACTTGCTCACTCATTGACCCACCCATTCCCCCCCACTCCTCACCCACTCTCACACACCGACTCACACCAGTTTTCCTTAACACACCCTATCAAGCCCTCATCCACTCACCTCCACCCTACTCGCCCACTCACTCACACACTCACTTACATGCAGGCGGCGCTGCGCTGGTGGCGGCGCTGCCGACCGCCTCGGAGCGACCCGCGGGTCTGCGGCCGCTGTGGCTGCGACTGGAGTGGAACGTGATGGACGTGGCGCAGCTGCGGCGGCGGCTGGACGAGCAGCGGGAGAGGCGGGGGCTGGGGGCGGACATTCCCCGGGTGAGGGAGGAGGAGGGGGGGGGCATCACCCGTGTCCCTTGATACCTCGTCGACACGCCGTTTCCGTCGTTTCCTACCTCCCTCCTCCCCTCTCCTCTGGAATTTCTTTTTCCCCTCTCCTCCCCTTCAACCTCCATTGCCTTCCCCTATCTACCGGTACCGGTACTGTCCGTAACGGTTAACGTAACGTAACGGTTAACGGTTTTCTTGACTAACAGTGTAACGGTTTCCCTCGTGCCCCTCGTGCCCCCACCAGGTGGAACCCTCCAAGGGCACCTCCGCCTCCCCCCCGCCGGGAGCCGCACGCAGCAACAGCTACAACAACAACAACACCCCCACCCCCGCCAACAAGACGCACGACCTGGCTCTGGTGCTAGGGCGGGTCAGCGGTACGGCAGGCGGTGGTATTGCCGTACGACTGCCCTGGCTGGAGTGTCAGAAGCAGCCGCCCACCGAAGCCGCCGTGCTGCTGACCGTCAAGGGGTTCTACGGGTGTGTGCGGGTGGGGTTGGGTGGGCGCGTGCGTGTGGGGGTGTGTACAAGTGATTGAGCGTCAGTCCTGACACACACACACACACACGCACACACACGCACTGGGGTCGCCCGGGATGTGCGTAAATGGGGGGCCCCTAGCCATGTGAACTACGTATCCATGTTGGTGACCTACGTACGGAATGGAGGGTGAGAGCACGCAGGGTGTGTGTAGCAGGCGCCATTTGCGCTACAGGATTGCCTGCTGGCTACTAGTCTTACTAGTCTGTCACCCGTAGCACATCATGGCACTGTGTTTTATCCCCCCCCCCCCCCCCCCCCCGCCCCACGCACCAGGTCACAGCAGCAGGAGAAGGCGCCGGCAGCACCAGCAGCATCGACGGCCTCCTTAGCCACCTCCTCTACGGCAGAGCGCCGTACGGCACCTCCCGCCATCCCTCCTCCTGCCGTACAACCTCCTCCCCCGCCTCCGCCGCCTCCTTCAAAGGCGGCTGGCATGGCTCGCCCCGCCGCCGGTGACGAGGGAGTCCGTGCCAGCGGCAGTTCCGTCTCCTCCGTCTCCCCCGCCTCCCCCGCCTCCCCCCCGCCCGGCGGTCCGCTGCTGTTGTTCCCGGACACCTCCGCCCTGCTGGCAATGCTGGGGGGCAATGGGCCGCTGGGGAACGGTGGCGGTGGCAGCTGCAGTGGAGGAGGAGGAGGGGCGGGGGCAGGGGCAGGGGGTGCCCCGCCGCTGGACTGGTCGTTGCTGCTGCGGTTGGCGGCGCAGGGGCGGTTCGGTAGGAGCCTGCCGTTGGACGAGCAGGTTGGTTGGTTGGTTGATTCGGTTGGGGTTGGGTATGGTTGGGTGTTGTGTGGTGGGGTGTGAGTGCGTGCACGAGTTCAACTGTCCGTCGTCACTCGCACTCTCACTCTCACTCTCACTCTCACTCTCACTCTCACTCTCACTCTCACTCTCACTCTCACTCTCACTCTCACTCTCACTCTCACTCTCACTCTCACTCTCACTCTCACTCTCACTCTCACTCTCACTCTCACTCTCACTCTCACTCTCACTCTCACTCTCACTCTCACTCTCACTCTCACTCTCACTCTCACTCTCACTCTCACTCTCACTCTCACTCTCACTCTCACTCTCACTCTCACTCTCACTCTCACTCTCACTCTCACTCTCTCACTCCTCAGCTTGCCTGCCGTACCTACAGTCCAGCACAGCGAATCCGACAGCCGCACACTTACCCCTCTCCCCCCCCCACACACACACCGCGTTCCGGCACGCGGCCAGTTTTCTTGACACCCACACCCACACCCACACTCCTGTTGGGCAGGTGTTTATCGTGGTGGCTGATTCCGTTATGAAGCAGCTGGACGGGCTCAAGGTGGGGGACTTGGGTAGGGGCGGCAAGGGGGGGTTGCGGGGGGGAGGTGTGAAGGGCGTTAAGAGCCTCATGTTGAGAATGGGAGGCGGGGCGTTGACAGGAGGCGGCGAGCATGCGTCAACAACTCGCTAGTCCCGCGCATCTCCACTCTGACGCGCATACACAACCTCTCTCCCCTCTCCCCCACTCCCCTTCTCCTTGTACCTCGTCTTCCCCCCCTGCCGCAGTCGCTTCCCGACACACGTGTGGCAGTACGGCGCTTCATGAGTGAGGGATTGGAGCAGTCGGGACCCGCGGGTCAGTTCGGAATGGGGGGGGATGTCCAATGCCGGGATGCGTCATGTGTCGTGTGCTAGCAGGAGCTACAGGACGCGTCTTCCGAAACGGCCGGAGACTGGGGCGGGTTATGTCTGTCACGCTGTCAACTGTGTCAACTTGGTTTGCAGGAGCCTCATCATCTCTGCTAACCAGCACCCTCTGCTACCCAGTCTCCTTCACTTCCCTTCATACCCGTGAAGCCTCCCACCCCCTCCCTCCCTCCTTCTTCCTCCCAACCGCCCCCTCCCACCCTTCCAGGCTACGATTTCCTCACCGTGCTAGGAGCCCACGAGGGCGAGGGTCTGGCCCTGGCTCCCTCCCACGGGGGCCTGCTGGGGCTGGCTGGCAGCCGCTCGCCCTGGCTGGCCAGCCGGGGGCAGGCGGTGGACGTGCGCATCGTGGAGGTGGCGCTGTTCTTCCAGGCGGAGGTGGCGAGGTGGGGGGGGAGCGGGGGGAGGGAGGGGTAAAGTGCCGGGAAACGTGTGTGTTTTTTGGGAGGCTGCGCTTCTTGGCACTCTGGCACGGAAATACGCCTGCCAGGTGTGTTGGTTGCTTGTGCGTGTTGACCTGACGTGATCATGCGTTTTGTTTGCCGTACATACCCTCACCTCAGGGCCTACCAGAAGGGTAACGGTAACGGTAACGGTGAGGGCGCCGCCGCTTCTGGTTCAACTGCTAACGCCGGCAGTACGACACCCTTCCTGCCGGTGATCTTGCTTTCTAACGACAACGCCCAGATTGCTGCGGCCAAGAGTCACGGCTTGCCGGCATTCAGGTATGCTTGAGACCCATGGTTCAGTTGGGCTGTAAAGGGATAGCTTTACGGTCTGTTTCCCAATCCTGCTTTCCTGCCCATGTGCCCGCCTACCTCCTTCCTCTTGCCTGACTCCTAGACCCCTATTCCCCCCCCCCACCTAACCCGCTCCTCCGCCCCATCGCCTGACCCTTTCTCCACACCCCGCCCCACCTGACCCGCTCCTCCGCCCCACCCCCAGGCTCTCCTCCGCCTCCGACCTCTCCTCCCGCCTGGCGGCGGTGGAGGCGGGCGGCGGACCCCTCACCGCGGGGCTGCTGAGGAGCTTGCTGGCGCCGCAGGTACGATGAGAGCTGTACGATAAGCCTCCCCGCAGCACAGCAACCCTGTCGTACACCGCATGTTGTAGATTCGTTAGGTTCGTAAGAGTAGGTGGTAATCTACCAAAGGTAGTACCGACTGTCTCAGGCCGGCACTGCCCCGGCCACAACTCCGAAGAGTGTGCTCCAGAAGGTAAAGCAACGTAACTTAGCCACTGTTCTGTGAGCAGAGACGAATTAAGCCATAGGATCGTAACTTCTGGAGTTCCGTACAGATTCCGGGTAAACCTCATCATAAACCTTCCGTTAGATTATCCTCATTCTGTAACATTACGCTACTATAATCTTAACTTCCTCTTTAGTAATTAAACCTACAAGCATTATTCCTTAATAGAGTTTCCTTAACATGTCTATCGACATGCCGCTACAACATCTGCCTCCCTCCCCTTAAGCGCCAGCGTCCTCGCGGCGTTCAGGGTGGTTTGCCCAATATTCTTCAATCACATGTCGGTCCACAAAATCCTTTTCATCGAACCATGTGTTATGGGCATGATCGTAACCCTGCCATTTCACATAGAAACGGGTGAGGGTACGTTTCCTTAGCTTCTTACTTCATGATTCAAAATCTTCTCCACATTCCATACAGGTCGATTTGTAATGAATTCAAACTCTAATGGAGTTGGTGGTTTAACTGAACCTCCAGGGACATCAGTTTGATATATAAGGCCGTAACCAGGGGGGGGGTAGTTTCGCCGCAAAATGACCCCATGCTTCAATATTAAAGAACTGAACGAGAGCATTCCAATTCCGCTTTCAGAATTGTAATCGGAGTTGTACGGAAAAAGTTATAGGCTCCCAAAGTTGGTCGTACGGCAGGGGTGGGTAGGTGGGTCCGGATCCCCAATGACTTTTTTCTTTGACCTCCAAAACTTTTTTCCTAGGTATCGTTTCGCCAAACGGATAGCAGATTTAGTATTCCTGTTATAGTATATGCATATTATGTTAATATTAGAGCCTTTGTGTGGAGTTTGCGGGTGGCATGTCCCCATGGAACACCCTAGCTGGCCCAACATACACGGTATGGCTTCTCCAGAGGCAAAGCAAGCAGCAGGGACAGGGGCAAGGTGGAAGGGGCCCAAAGAGGAACCAAACGAATAAAGTCACAAAGTTAGGGCAAGGTTAAAGGGGGAGGGCACGCAACAGGCGTACTGACGACACACCCCTGGCAGGTGGAAACATGCGTGGTTCTGCATCTGGTGCTTAGGGCGATGGGGTGCAAGCCCAACCTGCTACCCGGGGGAGGGGGCGCAGTCGTACCGATATCGGGGTGATGCGAGGGACGCAGTGGCAGGTTGGCTGGAGCACACTTACCAACGCAACCGTGCACTCAAGCATCACAGCAATGCATGTAAGGTTTAAAAGAGATGTGTATCGGCTGCATACCAGAGAGCATTGAGTCTGGCAGCCTGCCTGCCCCCGCCCCGTGTGGCGAGCGACTCGGACATGTTGCCAAATGGTACGCCTAACGTGAGAACGACGAAGATAATCTGAAATGGAGTCGAATGGTGCTATTTTGGGGCGATTTTGCGAGGTTTACAGCGTTGTCGTACAGCAAAAACGGTACGACAGGGTGGGTGGGTGGGTCCGGCACCCCTTTCTTAACTTTTTTAGCATGGGGTTTGGCAAAGACTTTTTTACCCCCCCCCTGCCGTAACAATGAAACATGAAACACGTTATGAAACCGATATTCAGGAGGCAAAGTTAACTTGGCAGCAACTGGATTGATCATTTCTTAAATAGGGAAGGGTCCAATTAAATTAGGCATCATCTTCCGGGTCCCACATCGAACAGCAAGATTCCGAGTACTCAGAAGTACTTGTTGCCCAACAGTGAAAACCACCTTACGTCTCTTACGATCCGTATCACTCTTTGCACGATCCTGTGCCGCCTGCATACATTTCTTAGCAGCTTCAATACGGTCATGAAACATAGTAAGATACCGGTAATCCTTAGCAGCAGGTACAGCATCTCCAATCTCACGATGCAAAGGTGTCCGTGGATGGAAACCATAATTCAGATAGAAAGGAGAGTGACCAGTAGTTCAATTCTTAGGGTTGTTGATCGCAAATTCAGCAGCATCCAAGTACTGGTCCCACTGTGCGCCGTCCGTTTATCGATCACCGCTAAAAGTCCAAGACGGCACATATAAAGCATCAGTCAAGGTCAGCTGTATCCTGTAACATAGAAACATGGGCACAGGGATCACAGTGGGACCAGTGCCTGTGCCCATGTTTCTATGTTACAGGATACAGCTGACCTTGACTGATGCTTTATATGTGCCGTCTTGGACTTTTAGCGGTGATCGATAAACGGACGGCGCACAGTGGGACCAGTACTTGGATGCTGCTGAATTTGCGATCAACAACCCTAAGAATTGAACTACTGGTCACTCTCCTTTCTATCTGAATTATGGTTTCCATCCACGGACACCTTTCTTAACAGAGTTTCCTTCACATGTCGACATGCCGCTACAACACCGCATGAGCGCCGTACGGAATGGTGATACGGACAGAGACAAGTTCACGAACGCGTTCGTGACAGAGGCGTGCCCTCAAGTTCCTGCTTCATTTATTTTAGTTCGGAGAGTGCCTAGTTGGCTTCTTTATGTGCGCAAGCGTACGACACCTTTCCGACCATGCCCTCCCATGTTGACACGTACGACAAGTGCCAACACAACCTTCGCAAAAAGGCACCAACACAACTCCCGAAAAGCCACAGCATCAAAGGGCCAGTAACACAACCACGTTCATCAATGCGGACGGGCTCTCAAGCTCATGGGCATCATCACTAGTGACGCTCGTCCCAAGAAAAATGCGATTTGGCCTTGCTACAGAGTTCAATACTCGTACATCAACATTACGAGGTTACACTGCCTGTGACAAGCAGCCGCGCACAATTACGCAATGTACTACTATGACATTGCCCCTAATAAAGTGTATACCGAATACTATGGGTGCCCGTACTCGGGCACGCCAACGCCTCTCCAAACACAACACCTCAAGCTAGGATGCTTCTTAACTTGAGGTCTCCTCTGGTACCCTCTCCTCTCCTCGTCGTGTCATGCATGATAGGCGCAGAGTCCCGCGCGAAGCCCTGCACAGCCCTCTCGCCTAACCGACTCCATACCTAGACCTTCAACCGTAAACCCATGCATGCCGACTCCCGCCCTCATGAAGACCCCTCTCCGACTCCCCCGCAGGCCACCAAGGCTCTTGGTACGACGGCCACTCGGAGCATTCAGGTGGGGGTCGGGGGTGGGAGGTAGTGCGGGGTAAAGGGGTAAGGGGGGGGGGGTAGGATAGGGGGATAGGGGGTTAGGATAGGGGCGGAGGGGTGAGAGCCGGTGGGGTGGTGGAGTGGCCTCACAACAGCAACAGGTAACAACCACACCCCTAGCCAGAACCAGTCACAGCCACATGACGACAACCCAGTCCACTCCCCCCTCCTCCGCCCCCCACCCCTGCCCCCCTCCCCACAGGACCAGTTCGACAGCGCCGTAGGCACTCTGCGGGGGGTGGTGGGGGCGCTGGGGGGGATCATAGCGCCGCTGGAGAGGGTACGGCAGCTGGCGGAGGAGGGGGCGGCGGGGGCGGGGGCGGGCGCTGAAGGTGGTGACGGTGGTGGTGGTGGTCCTGATGCGGCGGGAGGAAAGGCGGCGGAGGTGTTGAAGGCGGCGGTGGCGGCTTTCCAAGAGATCAGGTGGGTGGGTGGGGAGGGAGAGAGGGTTTACATGGGGAAAGGGTATATTTGGGTTTCGTCGAGAACAGTGTCCAGTATGCGGGTGGGTGTCGCGCTTCCGTCGCGCTTCCTTCACACACACGGGCGCGGCCAGTTATTTTAACACACGCTCCCATGTTAATATGGCAACATAGTAAACATGAGGTTGGGGCACACAAGCCTTAGCGCGGGTTAGGTGCTTGCGTGCTTCACCCACCACGTGTGCATGTGCCATGCATGCATGCAGTGAGGTGCTAGGCGCAAGCGACAACGATACCAGTGATCACAGCAGCAGCAGCATCAACGGCGGTCTGCTGCCCGGGCTGCGGGCTGTGTTGGCGGGCCTTGAGGGGCAGTTGGTGGAGTGGGAGGGGGTGGTGCGCAGCCGGCAGGCGCCCTCGCGACTGGTGCAGTGGGCGGCACTGGGTGGGGGAGGAGCAGGGGTTTAGGGGTTGAGGCTCGGTTTGGGTGGGATAGGGAGGAGCAGGTGCAGGAAAGACGGCCATGGCTTGTGGTCGTGATGTGGAGAGTGCTAATTGGGGGATAGCAGCAGGGCTGGGTGAGGAGGAAGGGGGCGGGTGGCGCGTGTGTAGGTATTGTGGGCTCCGCTGACAGGACACGTGTAGCTGACGTGGGCATGGAGGTGATCGGTGCATGTAGCTGGGCGTTCTGCAGTGCCTGGCAAGGAGATCTGGGGGGCACCCGCGCCTGTGCATGGTGCCAAACTGCCAGTATCGGTATACCGGCGTTTGAGTGGTGCCGTACGGACTTCTTTGCGCGGCTGGGACTACTGTGGGTCTAGCCGACCTCGTCGCGCTTCTAGACATAGCATTCATGCAACTCTTGACATCCTGTATAAAGCATTTAGCAGGCATGACTTGTGCGTCGGAGGCGGTACCACTGTATGGTCAGTATTGTCGTCTCCGCCGATGTATTTCTCTCCCACGACATGTTTGGAACGCCCCTACCCGACCGCATGACACCAAGCAGTAGTGCAATCGAGCCCTGTGCATGAGCCAAGAGGACTGAACTTTTCAGGACTCCTGCTGATTCTGACTCAGCCTTGCAAAGCAGTAGCAGGCTGGTACGAATCCAGCTCGACAGGCGACTTCTTCTTCGAGCGGGCGGCCTCTCGTGTCCACAGCCCCTCCCGCACTTGACTTAAGCCTACTGGGCTGCCCCGGCCACATCACCACAAGGGAATGGGGATGGGGGGGATAGCACGTATTCGAGCGCCGGTATCGTGCCCCGTGTCGGCACCTTTTACCTCCCCCTGAATCTTGAGCCATATCAACCTTATAACGCCGCTGCGCCAGCGCTGAGCACACCCATGCAACATGTGCCCATTTGATAAGCCGTGGGAGCAAAGGGACTGACATGAGTGTACGACAATGCCTGCGTAACATGTTGCGTACAAGGGCTGGTTGTGAACGGGAAAGAATAGCAAGGAGGTTTGTTACCGAGTCGTTGGACGTACACTGGACGCTAATACAGCGGACAAACAGCCACATTCACGTCAATAAGCTGGCAACCATCCATGTACGACCACTGTACGACATCGCTTTCAACGAGTCCTAGCTAGTTAACAGCGTGCGTTCTCTGTCCGCACAAGTGCCGTATAATTCAGTAGCCCACTCCACACACGCTGTACGGGCAGCAGTACGGCATTGCAACGCAACGTCACAAAACTACGGCAAGTGCTGTACGACAGCCCTACATATCATTGTTCAGTGCTGCAATCATCATAGCTCGGTTTTTGGTTTAGTAACCGTTCTCAAAGTACCGACAGCACTAAAACGCAATATATCGCTCAAGCCAAGCAAGAGGTCCGTTAGCATCCAACCTGATCCTGCACTACCTGGCACTACTCCCACTTAATTGGAGGTAACTTGCCTTCACATACGCCCCGCCTGGCAAACAAAATAAACCCTATCTTTCCTTAACAAAAGTCGCGCATGTAAGCTTCCGGCATTCCGCCATCATTGGAATGACACTACGATCGTCTGCTGGCATGAAGCCCATGTTGACAGAAGCCCGCTCGCCACCCTGTAACCTGCCGCCCTGAAGTTTCCCGGTAGTACGGAAACCGTCCACATGTGAGGACACAATAATGGCAGCTGGCCACAGCAGGTAATTTCTAAAGCCATAACCGCAACACCGTAACCGCATACGACACACCTGCCAGAGGTAAGGAGCGAAGCCTACACGACAAGAAATACACAAGAACACGCAACACACCAACAATAACACGACCTTTCTTGGAGGCCGGTGTAACCAGCAAAAAGGCACATCAGCAGCAGCCTTGTTCCCCAATTCAGCAGTACACAATACTCTTAACCTATCAATCGTACAGTTGCAATCGTACGTACGTTGTGTTGAACTGTCCGCAACGCTTCCCTCCTTCCCTCATTCGTTTGTTCTACCAACGAATCACCCGCCTACAAAGACCCGTGTCTAGCAGCAGCAGAACGGCAGAGTCTGCCTTCACGTTTCACTTCCAGCATCATTTCGCGACAACGACTCTCAAACGCACCAAGCACAATCCTCCAGCCCATCCATACCTCTCAACCCCTCATACTCAAGCCCCGTGGAACATCTCTCTCCCTCTCGTTGCAGTGCCCTCCTACCCCACATTGCTGCTGCCGGCATCGCCTCTGCTGCCACCACCACCAACAGCTCATCGATCTGCGCGCAACGCACCTTGCCACCGCTACATCGCCTCCCCACTTCCATGCTACGCCTAGCTGTATGTCACTCTTGCCGCAACCCTCCCTTGCGAACGCTGCTGTTGCTGCTGCCTCGTACAGCAACTCCGCTGCCGCCAACGCCACCACACGCAGGCAGCCGCTGTCCTCACCACTCGCAGCCATGCGGTGTGGCAGGAAGAGCGGCAGCTGCTGATGACGAGCTCGGAAGGAGCCAAGGAGGAGCCTGCTTACTGGTGTCTGGAGTCCTTCCGCTGCACCGGGACCAGGGCAATTGCTTCTCCTCGCTCCAAATCCCGCGCCCCGAACCCTCCTGCGACAGGAGAGTCTTCAGGGGAACTGAGCCCCGCAGCGGGGGGCACGGCAGCCGTGGTGGCCGCAGGAGCACCGTTAGCAGCACCGCCTGCCGCAGCCGTTGACTTGCTGTTTCGGCTGTGGCTGCTGCTGTTGCTGCTGACGTCCTTAGGAGGAAGATGCTGCTTGCTGTCGTCGGTAATATCAGCAGTAACGGCGGCTTCGGGGTCGGCTGGGGATTTGTCGCCGGCGGGAGGAGAGGTCGGGGTGCTTGGGAGGGGCATGGCATCGCCATGCGGCCACCAAGATGCTGGCCATGCGCCTGCCGAGGGTTCGGTGACCCACCGCTTCAGCGGCTTGCGCATCAAGCTTCCGAGTAGGCACTGTGTGGCGTGGTAGATGATGAGGGGCAGGGAGAGGATGCCGGCGTTCGGGGTCTTGCCGTACAGGACGGTAATGAGCGGCATGCCCAGGGCGAGGGTCTTAGTAGCGCCGCACATAGTGACGGCCACAGCGTCTGGCTTGTCCATGCCGAATAGGCGCTTCAGCGGCACGAAGGTCGCCAGGGAAATGCACAAGACGGAGAAGAACAGGAAGAGGCCAATTTCCAGGAAGAGCATGGGCACCCAGGACTTGGCTGCAAGGTGGATCTTCCTGTGGAACGTATTGCAGAAGGTGTTCCACACCAGCAGGATGATCATGACGTTGCTGATTTTCCCAAAGTTCAACCGCTCCTGTGCCCACTTGATAGCATTGGGAAAGAAGTACTGCGCCAGCTGGCCGACGATAAGCGGCGCAATGATGGTGACGGCAAGCTGCCTAATGACATCGGCATAAGGCGCCTGCCCTGACTTGCCGAGGTAGACATACAGCCAGCCGGGAGACACGAAAATCCCAATGATGTTGCCAATAACTGCGTTTACGAGCGCTACTGCTTCGTTTCCTCCAGACTGCTTCGTAAAAACGACGTTTGTAGATATAGTTGTTGGCATCACCATAGCAACAACAAGGCCGTTCACCAAGTTCTTGTCCATGCTAGACTCCATCAAGCCGCGCGCAATACCATAGCCTATTGCTGGTGTAAGAACCAGGCAGATAGCTTGGATATACAGGTGTAGATGCAAGCGCCCCAGGACTGTCAGCAAGGCTTTCGTCTTCATGGAGCAGCCTGAGAGGAAGAAGATAATGATGACAGCGCCATACTTAATGGTCCACTCCCCAGCAATCCATCCTTCGTTACGCCCGAAATCGGGCACTGCGGCTGCAAAGCCTATCGCGAAGCACAGGCTCAAGATAAACCAGTGCTCGCAGGCGAGGTCCCAAACCGCTGTGAGCCACCATTTTAGCTTTGCACATCTAACTGGCTTAGTGGCAGACGCCTCATAGCTCTGCTCCATAGAAGCCATGGCCTACAATGATAGCGACCAATACGTTACAACTTGAAACGGCAGCGCTATAAAGGCACCAGGAGGCCCATTACTAGCAGCAGCGGGCCTACCTGAAGGCGAATAGCAGCGAGACACGAGCCTACCTAAACTGCCTTAGGTAACGGCCGTCGTATTATGTAAGGCGACGCAGGCGACCGAGGCAAGAGTTGTAGGTTACGAAAGCAGCTCGTGCTCCTAGCTAGACCAAGCTCCGCAGTTCTACCTAACCTGTGTTACGTGTACTCGGCGATGTGGTATTCTACGTGTCGCGGCAGGCCGTCAGGCCGCGGCACAGCCGTACATGAGCAGTTGCTGCGCTTGTTGCTCACCAGGGTGTGACAAAAGTATGTTCTGTAAGTCCGGTAGCCCCATAGAAACTCCTTTCGGCCTGTTTGCCGAGCGTTGGCCCCATGCCATGGTTTCGGGGCCACTGTTTCGATGAGCCCCAACGCATATCGAGCGCTCGGCGTGCATCAGCCCAGGACCAGCAGCCTTAAGCACCCATCACCTTCTTTCCACCAGGTAAACGCCGAACAGGAAAGTAATGGGATGCAAGAGGCCTTAAGAGACAATATCGGTACTCAACACGGGTGTTCACGCTGTAGTTGAACCCAGCAACATCAACCCGTGCCTCCCTTCCCGACCAGGGTTCTCTCCATGCTAGTACCAGAACGTCGGCACAGGACCGAACCACGGGTCAGCCTGCTCTATGCCGAATGTTTAGATTCCGGGTTCCCGGAAGTTTTACATTTGCGCCCTTGTCTTAGCACGCAGCAGCCTGATGCTGTGAAGAGCAGTATCCTCTGTTATTCACAGCAAGCGTTACTGCAGGCGAACTGCAGAACCCCCTCACATCGTAACAAAGATGGGAATTGTCAGCGAGAGGTTGCCCTCGTCTTAATAATATGGGAGGATGTTGCAATACCAGGACATCACAAAATCACAGCAGCCATCGCCTCTTTTATGACGGAATAGCTATCATACGATGATACGAATTGCACATACCTAATTCACGAGCAAAGCTCCTTGGGGCTTATCCCCAGTTGCACCGCAACAAGGACAGCCACGATATTAATAGGAAAAGAACAGTCCGTGCAGACATATACGTGTGAACACACAAACCCCTCATAACCCCCTTCTCATCACCGTGACTTAGCTCACTGTCTGAAGAGCGCATACCATGTTGTGGAAAGCGAAAAACAGTTGGGTCCGACAGGCCACGACATAGCAATCTTGCGTCGGTTTTTTGCTTTGCAGCAAGTCAAGAGGCGGTGTGCTGAATTGAGCACAAATCTTCTGGGTAGAGATGCTAGCTAGCAGCTCTTATCCCTCTTAACTCCATTCAATTGTACGACAGTCGTGTGATACGGCAATACCTGAAACACGGCACATTTCCGGACTGTGTACGACTGGCCGTCAAACGACCATCTGATATGTGGGCTATCAGTACGAAACCCATAGCTACAGTTCGACTTCAATACCATAATACGGTGTGTTAAGGTAAGGGCCCCGAGTGTGTGTGCACACCAGCGACAGCAAACCCCGTACGACAGCTATTGCGGTGCTGTACTGCCGTACTGCCTTCAGACAGTCGCCGTACTGTAGCCCTTCAGCTGTCGCAGCATATGTGAAAGAATAGAGCCGAGGCATTAGGACAGTCCTCGTTAACATAGGACACCATGTTTCAAATTACGTCAGTGTGTCGTTTTCCAAATTTCCAGTTCATGATGGGAGGGCCATACATCCGGAAGCAACCAGACATCTCTGTCATATACTTAGCTCCGGTATCACAGCATCGTTGGGACCAGCCGCAGCCGGGGCGGCGGCCCTTGCTGCTGCTGAGGCTGCTGTTGCCCTGGCTGCAGTTGCTGAAGCTGCTGCTGAGGCTGCTGTACGGCAACGTTATACGGGAGATCTGGTCCCCAAGCAGTAGCAGCAGCGCCTGCCAGTTGGTACGACAATGATGCGCGCCGCCGCCGTTGCCCCTCACCCATCCCCTCCGCTACCGCCGCCGGCGCTACCTTCGTCGGCGTTACCATTTGATCCGTAATCATGACACGGCTGCCGCAAACGCCACCGCTACCTGCTACAGCAGCTGAGCGCCGTATGCCACCCCCGGCTCCAGACGCCACCGCCGCCGCGGGCCACGCACTGCATGGCCGCTGCCGCTGGTCCTGACTGCCGACACCACCGCCAGCTCCGCCAGCAGCGATGGTACCACTCGGTGCCCACATGGCTGCCCCCTCCGCGGCCACTGTCGTGGCTGCAGCAGCAGCACTCCCGGCCCGACGGACCCTATCAGCAGACATGGGCCTAGCTGCCGCAGACGCTGCATACTGCTGTTGCTGCTGGTACTGCTGTTGGTAATGCGATTGAGCGGGCAATTGTACGGCAGCATTCACGCCGTTGGGCTGCTGTGACATCACCGCATAAGCTGCTGTATGGGAGGGTCCCCGGATGAGCCCTGGCGATGGAGGTGGCGAGGGGTAGGGGGAGGCGGAGGCGGAGCGTGCGGCAGGGGAGGAGGGCGCACTGCTGCCACACCAGCCCCCTCCGAAGCCACCGCCTCCCTTGTTAAGCGCCAGCATCTCGGGGGGCAGCGTGTCGCAGGGCGGATCCGGAACCAGGTACGGCAGGTAGGGCTTGGCGTCAGGCAGGATGGTGCTGGGGGCCTGCGATGGGGAAGGGGCGAAGGGGTTTGTCCTGCACGGGTTAATACATGCGGATAGGGCACCTCCCACAAGCCAGTGCAGCAGCACAAGCCCGCGGAGCCCTTTCCCGCTGGTACCTAGGCTTGCGTTTTAAGGTATCGGGAATGTAGGCAAATACATCTTTCCCCTCCTCACCGGCGGCACCCCCGCAGCCAGTCTGTGCAGGTCCTCCAGCAGGCCGGTCAGGGGCGCTCGCTCGCAGTGCGCCAGCGCCTCCTCGAACACCAGGAACCTGACGAAGGGGGGTGAGGAGAGGAGGGAGGGGTTGGAGGGGAGGGAGACGGGGAGTTGGGTTGAGGCCGGTGCCCTACGCTTTCATCCTAGACCATTCATGCATACTCCTAATTCTGCGAACAATTAGGAACAGCAACGGCCAGGTCAGTGTGGACAAGTCAGCGGAGTGCCATAACATGAGTCAGTGGCACGACATGGGTGTCCCGCGGGTCGGCCAGCGACCCACATCACTAACCACCGGTAGCTCCCCCCGGCTCCCCACCTTCGCGACATGCCGGGCAGCACTCGGAGCGCCTCGATGGCCTTGAGCCAGTTGGCGCGACGAGCGGCCTCAGTCAGGGGCCTGCCGGGAGGGGGGGGAGAGGATGGGAGTCGTGGTTTGGTCGGGCATGGGAGGATGCATTGCAGGAAGCGCATGTGCACTTGCGCCAGGAGCCCCTTCCCGCTCACCTCCTGTGTGCCCCCACGATGGGTTTGCCGCTCAGGTTTGACACCAGCCAGCAGATGAAGGTACCGTCCTCGAACATGGACAGCAGCGAGGGGAAACCCTGAGAGAGGGGGCGGGTGAAGGGGGGAGGGGAGAGTGTTGGGTACAGAGCCCTTTGAGTCTCGCTACAATGGAGCCGCGGAACCCACATGCGTCGTCCCCCCCTGGCCCAAAACTACAAGGGTGCGCCTGCACAACGACCCAGTGTCAGAGCAAGGATCCGTCACACCTGTAAGCCCCCCGGCAAGCATCGCATTCTTTCACGGATCCCCTTTCCCTCTCCATTCCCTTCTCCCCACGCACTTGCGCCGCCTCCCGGTGGCTGATGGCGCCCGCCTCCGCCAACCACCTCAGCAGCGAGCACTCCAGCGCCGCCAGCTCAGCCGCATTGTACGGCAAGGATGCTAGACGCGGCCACAATGGGCGGTACGACAACTGGGGGTGGGGCTGAGACTGGGGCTGGGGCTGGGCTTGGTTCTCCGCGCCTGCAGGATGGAGACCCATCGCTCCAGCGCTTGCAGCAGCCCCAGGCTCTAGGGGTTGCTGTTGTAGGGAACCGGAGGTGGTGAGGGTGATGGTGGTGAGGAGGGGGTGGCCGGCGGGGAGGACGGAGCCCTGTTTGGAATGGGAGCAGCGGGAAGGCAGGGGAGGTGGATGAGCGACATGCTGCATAACGTTGCTGTGTGCTGCCTAGTGCGGCTAGATTAGCAGAGTTGCATTTGGACATGGCAGCATGTTGCATGGGACAGCAAAGCACCGTACTACGTGCGAAGGCTGAGGGCTACCGACTGAACCCGAACTGACCCGTGGGTCGGCGACCGCTCCACCGGGCTGCAGCGCCCCGCCCCGGCAGATCTTCACCGGCGACACACCCGCCGCCAGCGCTGCTGCGGCGGCTGCGGCTGCTGACATGGGCTGCTGCTGCCTGGCGGGGGAGACGTGACGACTGCCTGCCCCACCTGCGCCTCGGCCGCTAGCCTTGCGAGCACCGGCGGCTGCTGCCGCTCCAGATCCCAACCCCGCAACAGCCACAGCACCAGCGGCCACAGCAGCTGCTTCTACCGTCATGCACTGGGATGGGCCCTCAGCCACACCCGGACCTCCGCGCACGTCGAACGTCCTGCAAGCGGGGTTGCGAGGGACAGAAAAGGCGATAGCAATCGTTGGGCGGGCAAGCCTTAGGGTCCAGAAGGGGCCAGAGCGACAGGCGCGTGGCCAACCTACATACCGGTACGTATACACCCGCACACTCCCGCTGGTCCCTCCCGGACCACATCCCCTGCTGCTCACCTGCGTCCGCCCCCACCCGCCTCCTCCTCTCTGCCTCCTCCTGCTCCCCTGCCTCCCGCTGCCCTGCCTCCTCCATGCATCGGCGCGGTGGCCAGGCGGATGTAGTTCAGCAGCCCCCAGATGCTGTCCGGCTGCCCCGCCAGCATCGACTCAACCTCCGACACCAGACCCAGACCCGCGCGCAGCTGCCGCTCCTGAGGGGTTAATGTGGAGGGGGTATTACTTGAGGTTAAGAATCACGTATTTGGCTGGATTATAGGATAAATAGGATTGCGTGGAGTCATACTTGTTGGGAGGGGGGAGGAGCGGGGATTTGGTGGGGGACTCGGAAGCCCGCCCACCCCAACCCGCACCAACTCCTGCATGCTCCCACCTTTAGTCTCAGCGCGTAGCCGCGACCCGCACTGCCCAGGGCCTTGATGGCGATGATACCCGAGGAGCCTGAGCAGGAGCAAGAGGCGGGTACGGCGGACAACACATGAGATTGTACGGCAGGTTGTAGCAAGGCGTACAGCATGACCCCGTGTCTCTTTAAGATATACAAAGGAAAGACATATGGCAAAGTACAAAGCCTTATTGAGACAGCATAATCCTTATTGTCTCAACGGTCCAGCCGGGTTACCTGCGGTTGGACCCGTGGTGGCCCCGCCGTTAGCGCCGCCACTGTTACTACTGATGCTGTTGTTGCCGCCGCTGTTGTGGTAGCCCGTGCGGGCAGGACTGGGGGAGCGCGAACGTCCCATGCCGCCTCCGCCACCTCCTCCGCCTGCCGCTGACGCCACTGCGGCAGCCGCCAGCTCCGCTGCTGCCGCCTGCGCCCGAGCGCGCCGCTCAGCATCCACGGGGGGAGCCTAGGGGGGCGGTGGTGGGCCATGGGGGCATGCATGGGTTTACAAGGAAGTTTGGGAGATGTATACACGCACGCCACGGTCTAAACGTCATCGGCCTCTCACACATGGCGCTCACCCGTACCCATATTGCCGCACGTATACATCGGTATGCCCTTGGTTTAGCAACGCAGAAGGGCCCTGCCACTCACCCACGGCGCCGCCAGCATGCCCATGTGGTCCAGCGCGCACAGGATGTTGGTGCGCGCCGACCGCACATCCCGCGGCGGCGCGGTCACCACCCCGCTCGGCAGCGGGCAGCGGCTCAGGCGGGCGGCTAGCGCGGCCAGGAGGAGCCCATTGCGGAGCGGGTTGTCGAGCAGCGGGGCGGACTCCTGGGGGGTGCATGGATGAGGCGGGGGTGGGGGTGGGAGATGTGGAGTTACCGGGATTTGGGGCAATGTCAGGAGCCGGTGCAGGCGGCGTGGAGGCGGTTTGAGCTGGGGCTTGGGGTCGGGTGCGGGTGCTTGAGAGGCCGTTGCGGACGCTCTTTGGCGCTTCGTAGCGACTGTGCGTTGTATGTACGGGCTGTAGTCGGGTTGCTGCACTCACCTCCGAGGATGAGACCATCAGACCCAGCTCTGCTAGCCAGCGCCGAGTCTCACGTTCCTGCATGCGGAGGGGGGGGGGGACCGACAGGCCATCCATTCAACTGCTGCATTGCCGTGCGAGCAAAACGTGCAAAAACGCAGTCCGAGCAGTGAGGAGGGTGTCTCTACATCGGCATGTAAGGGAAAAAGCAGGTGTCATCCACCCTGATGTACCGGTGATGAGCAACGACGTATTTGAGCGCTGTTCCAGCAGCACCCTCACGCTTACCTGCCATGCGAAGGGGCGCTTAATGGTGATGCACTCTGTCTGCGGCGCCTGCGCCAGCACCGACGGCGGCGGCGTCACGGTGGGTCCACCACTGCCGCCGCCTCCACCCCGGGGCAGCGGGCGGTCCAAGATGCTCCCGCCACCTCCGCCTCCACCACCACCACCACCACCTCCTGCTCGTCCTTCACCATGTATGGGGCTCTTGATGGCGCCACCAGCGGCAGCAGAAGCACTGGCAGCAGGCGGAGGGTGGGACCGGGCCGGAGAGCGCTGAGGCTGGGGTGACGGAGCTGCCGGCGGGACAGCAGCGCTGTCGGCGGCGCGAGCAGCCGCGTTCCTGTAGGGTGACGATGCGTAAGTTGCTCCGCCCGCGGCAGTGACGGTGTCGGTAGCACGGGTCCGTGCAGGCGAGTTGCCCATGCGTGGCGTGACGGGAGCTGAGGAACCGCCTCCACCGCCACCACCACCACCACCACCACCGCCGCCGCCGGGCCGTCGTACGGCACCTCCGATGGCCGCAATGGTGGGCTCTGCGGCAAAGGTTACACCACGACGGTGCCTGGGGCGGGCGGGTGCCGGCTGTGGCGCCGCCGCCGTCGCCGCTCCTGCAGTGGAGGGCTCGCAGCTGTCTTGCCCGGAGGTAACTCCTCCGTCCGCGCTGTTCCCGGCGACGCCACTGGTGACGTCAGCGCTGCAAGCCGAGCGAGTCGGTCGCCGACCGGCGCTACCGCTGCGAGTGGCGCTGCCTGAGGCCGCCGACGCCGCTGCTGACGTCGCAGGCCGCGGCTGCATTTGTTGCTGCTTGTGCTGCCCATCCGCCGCCAAGAAAACAGAGGCAGGAAGGGCGCCGGTGCGCTGTTGTACAGCATCGTACGGCATCAGCTTGGAAGCCAGTACGGCCTGCCAGTCCGCAGGAGGCGCTGCCGTACCAACTGCAAACGGCGCCGCAGTAGGAGATGCAGTGGTTGCTGTGGTACCGCCACCCATTGGGCCGACGCCATAGCCGCTGTCGGTGCTCTTGTTGCTGTCCCCAGAGGCCCCAGCGTTGGGCTTCTGCTGCTGATAGTGATGCTGTTGTTGATGCTGGTCAATCAACAAGGGCTCTTTGCTGCCAGGCTGGGCCGCAAGAGACATCCGCTGCTGCCGCTGGTCGGGTTGTTTGGTATCCGTCAGGGAGTAGAACGAGGTAAGGTATGGCTGCTGCTGGGGTTGCTGATCCTCTTGCTTCCATGCCTGAGCTTGCGGCTGCTGCTGCTGTGGCGGCGGCTGTTGCGGGAAAGGCTCCTGCTCCTGCCCCTGCTCCTGCTGCTGCCCGCGTTGCTGCTCCTCCTCGGCTTCCCTCATGAGGATGGCGTCAATGTGGCTCCGAATGAGGGCTGCCTGTGCGGCGATATCCAGACTTCCTCCTCCTCCTCCCATCGCCGTGCCTCCCAGCGCAGCCAGCGGCTGCAAGGCCTCAGTCGTATCGCCGCCAGTACAGTCAACATTGCAGTTCGAAAGTACAGCATCGCCGTACAACTGCCGTGCCATCTCGATCAGCTGCTTGGCGGCATCATCGGAGCTGCTGCCGTACACATCTGCTACGCCGGTCATGCCTACTGGAGGTGCGTTGTTGGATTGTGCACCATGCTGAGCGGAGGCAGCGGCGGAGGGCGCAGGCAGTGAAGGCCCGCCCTCCTGCACACACTGCTGCTGCTGCCTCTTGGGTGATCGCAACTGATGCGACGTCGAGGGCAGCTGATGTTGCTTGGGTTGCTGGGCAGGGGCGTTTGCCGCTGCTGCCCGATCGGATGAGGCAGCTGAACCGCCACTCCCACCACGGGGCGTGGGCGTGGACCTAGGCCGTTCCTTTATCGGTTGTGGCAGTTGGAATCGGTTTTGGCGTTGTTGCTGTTGCTGTTGACGTTGCTGCTGCTGCTGTTGGTAGTAATAGTCGTTGCTGACACGCAGGGAGGGCGGCGGGGGTGGCGGCGGGCGGTGCAAGGTGCCGGCGGAAGGCCCCCAGGGGGACACGTCATCATCGTCCATGTCAGCATCCTCCGCTGCCGTACGGAGCTGCGATGCTTGGCCCAACAAGTTGCCGTCCTCGCCGCGGCTGCCAGTGGCGCTGCCGCTTCGGCGAAGCGACCCATGGGACCCGGCGGCCACAGAACCCTGCATGCATGCGTGCATGAACCACGTTATAGAGGCAGAGAGCTAATAAGGGACCAGCTCACGACGACATACCAGCTGACGAGGTGTTTGGAGCGACTCCAGGATTCGAATGGGAATGCCATATGGAACGGAAAGCAACCAACACCCACACACGTGTCACACATGCAAGACATGCGCAAAGGCACTGTGGCAGAAGCAGTCCTCCATTCCTAGACACGCATGTCTACCGCTACCAAACTCGCTTCTTGCAGCACAACGCCCTCGTCCCCCCCTCCTGGGTGCCGTACCACTCACCCGGATGGACACGCTGCCCACACTCGATGAGCACCGCCGCACCAGCGCACCCCCTGCCGCTCCCACCGCCGCTGCCGGTGCCCCCTGGGACACTGCCGGTGCCCCCTGGGACGCCGTTGGAGCACACATCCCCGCACCCGCCCGACTCCCCAGCTGCTGTTGCCCCTGCAGCCCTTGTTGCTGTGTTACCTCTTCGCGTGGTTGTTGCGTGGCACTTTGGAGTTGTGCAATCGCGCGTGTCTCCCGCTCCGCTGCACTCTCCTTTCCAACGTTCTCTTGCTGCTGTGCCTGTAACAGCAACAGCAGCGGTTCCGGCCACTGCATCGCAGCGCCGTCTTTGCTACTGTTGCTGCTCAGGCTCAGGCCGCGGTTGGAGCCTGTATCGGCCCTGGCAGCTGCAGCAGTCTTGCTGCCCAGGCCACCGCCGCCAATACCCAGCGCCGCAGTCATGTGCTGCAGCTGCATTAGGATCTCGTCAAGCTCCGAAACCGCCTGCGCCTCCAGAGCCGCCCGCGCGTCCTCGTCCACATCGCCACCGTCACCCCCCTCCTCGTCAAAACCGCCGCCGTTACGGCTGCCGTTGTTGCTGCTTCCATCGCCATTACTGCCACTGCTGTAGTAATCGCGGCTAGCAGCATCCCCAGTGGCAGTGGCACTGCCGCCGAGAACCGCATTGTCACTGCCACCATCACCAGAACCGCTATCGCTAGCTGCAGCAGTAGCAGCCACACCTGCATGCCCGCTGCCGTCACGACCGCCGCCACTGCTTCGGCTGCGTTTCTCACCCACGTTGTAGTAGACGGGTGCGGGTTCGACGACGGGGACATCGATAGCTTGCCGACTTTCGGCGGCGGCGGCAGGAGGCGGTGGCGGCGGCGAAACGATACCCAGCCGCTGCACCTGCTGCAGCAGCTCCTCCAGCGGGAACTGCAGCACCCGCGGCAACAGCTCACCCAGCGGCAGCTGCTGCTGCTGCAGGTCCTGAAGCAGGGCGAGGAGCTGCTCTGCACCGCCGCCTTGAGGCTCCGAATCCGCACCGGGAGGGGGAAAAGGAGGGGCGTGTGCGTTGGGGATGGTAGCAAAGGCGTCGGGGGTAGCGGGCGACGACAGGTCCACTGGGGAAGCAGCCGCCTCGCCCTCGCCGCCGCTCTCCTCCTGCACCTCCTGCAGACTGGAGGGGATCACCGCGGGGATGATGACTGCAGGAGGAGGAGGAGGACGGCCCCTGCCCGCCTGGGCCATGGCTGCAACGGCATTGGTCCCTCCAGGCCCCAGGGCCGCAGATGCGGCGGTGCTAGCACTGCCCGCCACGCTGGCAGCGGAGACCTCCTGCCGGGGTTGCTGCTGATGATGATGCTGCGGGAGGTGGGGGCGGTGTGAGGCCCATGGCGCTGCTGGTACCGCCGCTGCTGCCCCTGCATGGCTTTGGAAGGCAGGCTGGACAGCACCCCGTGTGGTTGGCGAGGAGGAGCCCGCGGTGGCATGCTCCAGGGAGTAGTCCGGCCGCTGTGAGACAGAGGCAGAGGCGGCGGCGCTGTTGGGAGGCTGCCTGGGCGGGGCGCGGCCATGGGGGCTGTTGGAGCTGCTGTGGCGGGTGTTGAGGGTGTTGCTGCCGCTGTCACTGGCGCCGGCGTCGATTGCCTCCAGCATGGGTGCATGCGACAGGTGAGAGCGCGGCTTGAGGAGCTTGAGGCGGTCCGCGGTCACCTGTGCGGGTTCACACCAGGCCATTCATCGCAGGTTAGGATGACATGGAGTTGCACGGTAGCAACAAGAACGGCGTTTTGGTAATGCATGCTGCGGTTGTCCGTAAAGCTACAAGGGTGCGAAGTACAGGGCAAAAAGTGCGGCGTGTTGCTACTAAACCCTCAGGTTCCAAATCACCTCAGATTCCATCGAAGCCATGCTTGCAGACGGGCTGGTTGATTGCTGTCGTGGGTGGTGATGACTTTGCGTCTGCGTAGCCAGGAGGTATGGCGGCAGCGGCAAGGGCAACACCCGTCGGCCGACGGAGGGGATGTCCGGCTGCTCATGCTGCTGGAGCTGTGAGGCTGGCGACGGCACCGGTCCCGACATTACTTGCTGTGGATGCTGCATGCGAGGCGATTGCGAGGAGGGATCCGAGAGCATCCGTAGCCGACCCGAAGACGGACCTCCGATAGTCGTGGCGGCACCGGCGCTGCCACCAGAAACGCCACGACGGCTGTTACCACCGCCCCCGCCACCCATTGACAGCGCCAACGCCTCCAGCCTTAGCGCTTCCAGCCTAGAAACGTTAGGCCTTACGTCATCAGCGCTGTCCCCATGCAGACCTGCGCCGTCGACTAATGACCCGTGGGTCAGTCGCGTGTGCACTTCGCTGCGAGCGCGCCTGTTGGCCAGTTGGTGCAGCAGACGGTCCAGGTCAGCGCTCACGCTGGCAGGCGACGGCGCAACCACGCCGCCATCAATGGTGGGAAGGCCGGCGTCGGGGGCAGGCTGGGCTGCGGCGGCGGCAGATAACACGGCGACAGTTTGGGCATGAGCGAGCACTGGGGGCTGCCAGAGCGGCGCCTCCGGCGGCAGCGTCGTGGCGGACAGCAGGCCGTCCACTCCGATTCCAGCGAGACTCAGACGCGCGATGACGGGCGCAAGAATGCCTGCGGAGCTACTCGATTCCTCGCTGGACAGCGGCAACATGAGGCTAACCCGCCGTGAAGCCTGCTGCTGCAGCTGCGGGTGCGGCACCGCACTGTGACCTTGTGGGACATGCTGCGCGTACTGAAGGTGAGGCTGGGGGTGCGGTTGCTGCTGTTGTAGCTGCTGCTGATGGCCGAAAGATTGCTGATGCCGAGCCTCGTTCATCTCGTTCTTGCTGGGTGCTGCGGCAAGGACCTTCTCCTCGCCAACCTCTTCCACATGTGTCGTGGCTGTAGCACCGGCCCACCGAGGCCTCGACGCCGATTCCGCGGAAGCCAACCCCGGTGGTGGTGCGAAACTGCCGTCTGCCACACCAACGCGACGCCCGCTGGGCCCTATTGCCGTCCCAGCTGCCCCGATTGCTACCGCCGACGAAGCCCATGTGGCCATTTCCGAGGCCTCCGCCGGCATGCTGTCCACCCCACTTGGCGCTCCACCGCCCATGGAAGACGTCGGCGTCCCCAGCGATGCCGCCGTACCACCCATGCTTCCCGAGCCCTGCGGTCTAGCGGCAAAGTCCGCACCCTCCTCCGCCCAGCTCCGCACCCGCTCATCCCTGTCCTGCTGCGGTACGGCACCCAACACCGCCGCCAGCATGCCGCTTCCGGAGCTGATAACCGCTGGCGGCGGTGATGGTGATGGCGCAGCGGCCACGGCGGGGTACGCTGCGGCTGCGGCGGTGGTAGCAGCATGTTGCTGTTGCCATGGGTTCTGGTGCTGGGTGGCTTGCTGCTCCTGCTGACGGCGAAGGAGTGAAGCCAGCGGCAACGGCGGCACTATTGCGCTTGCGGCAGAGGCAGCGCCGGCCGCTGGGGAGCTCGGAGAAGACCTTGGCCGCAACGGGATGCGTGAGGGGAAGACCCCTTGCGCCCCCTGCATGTCCTTTACAGCACCCAGTAGCCGCGTCGCCGTCGTACCCGCCTCCGCTGTCGCTGCGGCGGAGCCCCAGGAGAGCGGCCGCGGGAGCGAGGAGCGCCCAATCCCGCCACTACGCGGCCCGCTGTCGCCGCCGCTTGCATCATGGGTCGCGACAGGAGCTGCAGCCGCCACTGGCTGCAGCTGCGGTTGCTGCTCAGGCACAACAGCGCCTCCTACGCTGCCGGTGTTGCCTCCACCGTCGCTGCGTCCTTCGGCGGTAGCACCACCATCCGACAAGGGGTCGAATGAGAAGAGAGGGTTCGAGAAAGTCCGACTCCGACTCGCGCTGCCGCCGGCTTCTACACCCTGACCGCGCCCGCCATCACCACCGGCACCACCCGCCGCGGCTGCACCTCCAGCAGATGTTGCATTGCCACCGTCGCAGTCGGCTTCACCACAACTTCCAGGACTCGACGGCCCGAAGCAAGATAGCGACTCGCAGGCGACGATAGGTGCCGCACCAGCGGCGACTGCTACGCCGACACCGGCGGAGGCTCCACCGTCGCCGCCGCTGCCGGCGACGATGACACTGCCAAAGCTCCGCCTACCTAGTGCCTGGTGTGGATCGTCGACCGCAATGTCAGCGCTGCCGCTACCACTTCCGCTATCATTCCGAAGGCCCGCGGCTTTGGTAGACTCGGCATCAAAGGAAGCCAGCAGAGCCCCATTCGGTGGTGTTCGTTGCTGTCGGTGATGCTGCTGATCTCCAACCGCCGATGAGGGTTGCGGCTGCCTCTGCTGCTGCTGGGAGAGCTGCTGCTGCTGTTGGGTTGCTTGCTCGCTGTCCGCTGAACTGCTGAAGGTAGCGGCGCTGAGGGCCCGAGTCGGCGCGGATGCAGAAGACGACGGCGGGGGCGGATGCGGAGGCGAGCGGGGTGGCGACAGCCGCGGCGTTTCGTCTCCATTTCCGTCGCCGAAGCTTTCAGACTTGACCCGACTGTTGTGGATAGCTGCGAAGATGCCGTCCGAACCGCCGATACGAGGTGGCCGGCCTGTGGAGGCAGTCGATGCTGTCGTCATGCAAGCACTGGCAGTAGCACTGTGCCGCTCTCGTAGGGAGGTCCAATCCGATGGCGCGACATAATCGTCGTACCCGTACATGTCGTACCCCGACATGCCTCCGCTGCGATTGCGACTGGCAGTGGTGGGACTGTCTGGTAACCCTCGGCCGGAACGATGCGTCCGCCTGCTACCATCGCCCCCGCCCCCGCCAAGGTTGACGTTACCGGGACTGGTGGTAGGGCTGGTGTAGGGGCTCATGTACGACAACTTACTGTTGTCATTGTCATACTCGTCGGGATCTGGGTTAAGGCCCAGCGGGCTGCGCGGAGTGCTGGGAGTATCAAGCTCCGAAACCACGGCGGTCGTGAAGGACATGGGTGTCTGCGCGTTGATTACGTCCACCACGGCATTGAGGGCGGACTCGGGGATCGAGTAGATCGAGGAGAGGTCTGGGAGGGGATGAGGAGGATAGGGGAAGAGAACGAACGTCAGCAGCATAGCCATGCGTTGGGTTAGCACGCACGTGATGGAGGTGGCGATTCGAGTCGTTGGAAATGGGAAATGAGCAGAGCTGCAGCACACCGCTATGCGCAAGTTAACAAACGCGGGAAGCGCCATTCCTGAGTGCCGAAGCAAGCAGCATGCAGCACATGCGAGCCCCTAGGCGTGCACCCACCGGCCCCGCTCTGCGCTGCCTGGGAGGCGACGGAAGACTGATCGCCATGGAGGGAACCGCTGGTGGCGACTGCAATTAAGGGGATTTGGGAGCACAACGAAGCGTAGGGAAGCAGGCGCAGCTCGTGAGTTGAAGAAACATACCGGTACCGGCATTTGCATGGTGCGCCATCCACTCTTCGTCCTCTTTGTTCGCATTTCCCGTCCCAGCACGCAGTTCCCTCCATTTGACACAACCCTCCCTCCCTGCCCTTACTCGCAACCGAACAGCACTAATAACAACTACTAGAAGAACTTACGTTGTGGGCTACGCTGCTGCTGGCTGGGACTTCTCACAGGACTGTTACCCAGCAGCCCAGGACTGCTGCGGCCGGCGCCACCGCTCATACAGCCGCTCGCACCGCCGCCATTGTCCCCTGGCGCTCCCCCTGCACTACTCCAAGGCCGCGTCCCACGAGCCCTTTCCGCAGCAACCGCAGGCCGCGGCGATGATTGAGATGGCGGCTGTGCCGCGTCTAACTCGGCCGCCTGGAACACCCCAGAGGAAGCATCTCCGCTTGCGCCTGCACCCACACCGGTACCTGCATGTGTCAACTGCGGCGGGGCTCCAGCGGAGGAGGAGCAGACGGAGCCAGAAGCGGAGGCGACGGAGGCAAAGCCGCCGAAAAGCTCGTCTCTCAGCGCCTCAAGTGGACCTCGCTGAGATTGCGATAGCGATTGGGCCACGGAATGCTGTGACCGCTGAGCATGGAAGGTGCTGCCGCTGCCGTTGCTGCTGCTCCGTCCGCCGACGCTGCAGCCGCTGCCGGCACTGCTGGCGTGGGGACGCGTGGGGAGTCCCAAGCTTCCTCCTCCGCCGGCGGCGGTAATGTGGTTGGGCGCAAAAGGAGGAGCGGGTAGGGATGCGGACAACGTTGCTGCTGCTGTTGGAGCAGTCGGCAACGTTATGGATCCAGCCGCCACAGGGGCCTTTGGGGGTGAGGGGAGAGCTGGTTGTGTTACCGGGAACATGGTGGCACCTTGGGCATGGGCGGCGAGGTCATTGGAAAGAGTGTGCTCTTGGGGAGGCACGTGGGCGCTTGCAACGTTCTTGGAAGGTCCCAAAGAGGTTGCAGCAGGGAAGGCTGGATCTGGGTCAACGGGGCTGGAGAGAAGCTGGCCGTGGGCGCGGGCTGCTACTGCTACCATGTGCTGCAGGCTCTGATGGAGGGCTTGCAGGCCGGGGGACTGCATAACAGGTGCCGCAGCTGCAGCAGAGGTGACTGGAAGGGACGATGCGGGCCTTGCAGTTGTGGAGGACGGCTGGTCAAAGGAGGGAGGTAAGTTGCCTTGCCTCCGGAAGGGCATTGACCGATGCTCCATGGCGGTGGGATGGCTGTCGTCCTCATCGCTACTGCTGCCGGTAAACAGAGATCGGTCATATCCTTCAGGTGGTGGACTTCGAAGCAGCAGTTCTGGAGGGAGCTGAAGGACACGAGCAGGCCTATCCAGGTGTGTTGGCGAGCCGAACGCCCCTCCGTTGTTAACTGTGCGCAAATCCCCATCCTGTGCAGCTGCCTTTGGGTAGAAGCTAACTGTTTGATGAAAGCTACCACCTTGACTACTCATCCTATGGAATAGGCCTTAAGAAGCGCGGTCAGCTTTTTGTCATCGAAAAAGAGGGTCAAACAAAGACCACAGCTGACCGCAAGATATGTGAGGTTATATATATGCAATTTAACATCATATACAAGTAAGCTGTTTGCGCTACAAGGTCTTATCAAGGCTGCCTGAGAGGACGCTCGTCTAGCTGTGCACCGGCGAAACTTACTGGCGTGTGTCCATCTGACTAGAAACGCATCATGTTCAATCTAAAGAGTACAGGAGGATTGAAGTTCCTGGTCAACGTGCCGCATTGGTCAGGAACGACGGTTAGCTGCACGGCATAGCATGCTGCAACTGACTTGCTAGCCACGTCGGAGCTTCAGGACGCGGAACTCGATTGCATGGTATTCGCTGCGTTTCATTTAAGTTGCTAGGATAGTATACCCGCAAGACAACCTATACAATGCTTACCTCATTCCGCGCAGGACCCACATCCGTTCGAGCCTCCAGGCAAGTTATGCAGGCTCCCTTTACAGTCAGATATTCTTCTGGACTTATGCCATGCGCTTTCACGGTGCCCAGGTCGACAGCTCGTGTGAGCTCGCGTCCAGGTGCCATTCGCGTGAAGGCCTTCTTCGGCACGTAAGTGCAATGTGTGCTTTTAAAGTATTCTGCGTGGCACCTGCATGTCGTGAAGGGCTCCGAGATGCCTGGATGCTTTCGCATGTTGTCACGCAAGCATAACCTTGCAATAAGATCCCATCACCCAAGCGCTGACGCGTGTTTCATGTCTGTTTAATGAGCGATATCAATATGTTTCTGAGATCGCGGGTGCCAGTGAGATCTTTTGCAACTGTGAAAGCAGCGTTTTTACGTATTGCTACGATATCGTGTGCAACCTTTAGAGGCATCACCTAGGACTCCCTCGCCTCTTCCATACAACTACAGGAGCGCGGAAAATGAGCGTAAGAAGGAGGAGCAGTGGCAAGCGCAACAGGAGCTCCTCGCAGAGCGACGCGCAAAGGTATCGGGAGCATGGTCTAGTGCAAAAGCTGTCCTCCAGGTCTGTGCTTTTCGGCCTGCCAGGCGCTCCGCGAGGCCCCTGTCATGGAAGCCAGGGAACAACCCTAGTGATACCCGGAGAATTAGCCATAACACTGCTACCGCCAGCGAATTAGCGCGTTGAACTCCCTTACTACCGTACGGGATGTGGACTAGGCATCGGGGTCTCAGACCGCGGCTTTCAGGCTTTCAGGACCTCCGGTCCCCCTTGTAACTTTCGCATTCTCATACCCTCACAGACCCCTAGGCATCGGGGTCTCAGACCCTCACAGACCCCTTACTACCGTACGGGATACGCCCGCCAAGCAAACCATTACTGATAATTCCAAACCCAAACCGCCCTGTGACACAGCCGCCCTGGCCCCATTACCACCGTCCCCATCCAATTTGCTTCATCCCGAGTTCGCACCCGCTGAACAATGATACCCCGCCCCTCCCTCGACTCGCCTACCCCTCGTGCACAGCGCGAGAGGATGATGCAGTCCTTCAACCGAAAGGAAGCCAAGCAGTCGCCAGCCCAAGGCAGCGGCAAGGCGGCAGCTTCCCAGCAGCCCCAGCGGTCTGCGCCGCCGCCTTCCAAGCGCGCCACCGCCCAGGAGGTAAGCCCCCAGCTGTGGTGTGAAACGGCGAGAGAAACGATGCAAGTGGAGCTCCGCAATGTCTCATCTTGGGCGCAGTAAGGCTTACCGACCCACGGGTCTACGGTTGTGGCTTGGCACCTGCAGTTCCCTTGCCGCCTCTTATTGCCCCTCGCGTTCCTATGATATCAGCTGGGAGCTCTAGACCTGCTGTGCACGTGTGCAGTGTGCTAAGCTCCAGGCTCCATCCTCTAAGCTCCACCCGGCGTAATGGCCCCCGTCACCAGGTGGTGGTGGTGGAGGAGGAGGAGCAGCCGGCCAAGGCGGCTGGCGGCGGCAACCCCCTGTCTGGGATCTTCGGTGGGCTGTTTGGCAAGAAATGAAGCGAGGGAAGTGCGGGAAGTAATGGGGGTTTTATGAGGCGCATGGGTTGTATGTAAGCTCCGTAGAGGATACAGAAGACGTGCTGGATGGGCGAGGGGTGAGTTTTTTGGCTTGTTCTGTACAGAGTGCACAGTAGGCGTGACGAGCTCAGAATTGCTTAGTGTTTGTCGGTGTAAAAATATTAGGTGAAGAGCGTGGGGTTTGGAAGCAATACGTCGTGACCTCGTGAGAGAAGGAGGAGAGCTGGTAAGGTATCCAGATGACGACAAGTCACTTGCATGTGAGGGCTTATTCGTGTTCCCTTTGTCCGTAAGCATATCGTACTATGCGGCGCAAAGTATGGTCCTGGTATAATTATTGGGAGGGATTGGTGCAAAGCATACCGGTAACGGCAGCATACATCATATTGAGATGCCATGGGTGGCCGGTGGCGGATAACGATAGGATACTAGGATCAAGTGTGGCACTATCAGTGCCAAATCAAGTGTGGCTTGATTGTCACACGGCTCCCTTAATACATAGCAGCCCGATTACATGGGGGTTTCAACACTGAGGCCATGCATGGCTCATGGCGCACACGCCATGGTGCATCGCCCATACGTTGCGTGTTCCTGCCGTGACTCTGTACCTACATGTTCAAGGCATAAATCACCAGGTTTGGTGCATGCCTTGAAACCCCTTGTAACACAGACATAGTACCGTACACAAGCTTGCATGCGCAGCATTTCCGTCCATTCACCGCCGCACTGGACGTGTGGGGCTGCGCTCCTGTGTCGTCAGCACGCATGTGCGGATCGTGCGCCAGTTCTTGCTCCACCCCCTTTCCCCTGCCTGCATGTGACGCCCAACCGTACCCATTACTCCCTTCTAGCGTCCCCTGCCTGACATTTGGCAGGCACGGGTGCTAAAGCAATTGCCAACCTGTCGGAACCCGTCCGAACACCACGCAGCTCACACGCACAGACATGCCCTAGCACCCACGGCAACCGGAACAGGCACTTCGGCGCTGCACCCAGACTCACCTGCACCCCGCGGCCCACCTTATTGCGAAAAAGCGTACCTGCGCACAACTGAGCCCCTAGGGCTAGGGCAAAGCTTCGATCGGCTGATTTTGCAGCCCAGCATGCCTCCCGTTGGGGACCGTATACCGATGTACGGCGACGGACTGCATTACCTCGGCCCGTCCTGAGGAGGCCCCGTAATGCCCATGGGTTGGAAGGAGAGGCAGCTGCAGAGCGAGCCTTGCAGTTTGCGCTGATGGGAAACGCAACGAACCTCGGGAATAGTTCAGGGCCAGGTCCACAGTACATGCGCGCATGTGCAAGCGGCGAAGCCGGGAGTTCGTGTTGCGGTTAGACACAAGCGATGCGTGTTTCTACGCCCAAGTGCGCATGTTTGGGACTCCGGATGCACCCAGTCTGCCGGAACGGTTGGGGCTTCAAGTAACGCCTGATGTCTGCCGTGCCTTGTCCGCTTGCTTCGACCCCCTGTCGATCTCGTAGCACGACTACCATAGACGGGGAATGGACCGACCCACGGTCCCCACTGCATGTCGAGCGGCGTTTTCCCAGTTCAGTGTCATTGGTCGGCTAGTTTGCTTGAGGATTTGGAAAGGGCTCTGTCAGGTGCGAGGAAACTGGGCCGAATGAAACGTTTTGAGCTTTGTAGCGCTGTGGGAGTGACGTTAGGAAGGGGGACAACAGCACCCCATTAGCCACGGGCATTGCGTACCTAATGGCTTAAAGGAGTCTCGAAGACCCCAAATGCTGCGAGCATGACGGGCTGGGCACACAAGCAAGCATGATGAACGTCGCTGTACGGCAGGAAGCCAACCAGACGCTCGATATGATAGCGCGCCTCGCATTCGATGACCAAGCTTGAACGCAGGATAGCAACATGGATACCATATTCTCGTTGCCGCTATTTATCCTGGCGTGCTGCCAGGCGTTCTTCACCTTGCTTCACTTAGTCCCGGGCTTGGGCTTGCCTGTGTCCCAAACTCTGAGGTCATTGCGGCGCAACACTGCTTCCAGGGCAGTGATATATACAGTCGCGGCTGCGCTGGGGCTTCTCAGTGCTTCGTCGTTGTATGAGCTCTCAAAGGGTGCTGACAAAATCCGGTCTGGCAATTTGCGCGGGTGAGGAGTTGATCGGTTATCGCTTGGATTTGGCTCCTCCACACCGCGCCTGAGCTGTTCTTAAAGCTGCGGCACTTTTCACGTCGAACAGGGAGGTCATGGCAACAGTCGATTACCTTCGCGTGCAAGTCTCTTGCGCGTTAAGCCTGTCCAACCTCCTTATACTGCTCCTCAATTTGGTGTTAAGTTCAGAGCGGTGTTCGTTGGACTTTACGCAAAAGAACCTGGCCGCGATGCAGCGTCAGGTAAGTTGACCGTTCGGTTCGTGCTAGTGTGTTAAGCACTTTGGTGCATAGGGCACAAGGTGCACGAGTATTGGGGGTGCAGCCAGGTGCAGCGGGATTGTAAGGCGTGATTCCAAGATGGACGGGGGATTGGGGCTTAACTGCTTCGCCGCCCCTCAGTCAAGCCCACCGCCATCCCTCCCAGGCTGCCTTTCCCGCTTTGTTCGTATGCTACACGAGCCTGCGTGAGACGCTTGTACTTTTGTATGGTACACAACACACACACACAGTTATTTTAACACACAGGTGAAAGGACTTCAGGCCGAGTACGAACGTGTTACGGCAGCATCCAAAGCCCAGGGCGCGGACAACGCTGGAGGCGGTGGCGGCGGCAACACTCGGTTGGCAGTGGAGGAAGCGGCGGCGCTGAAGAAGACGGTTGACCGTTTGATCGCGGAGAAGCAGCAGCTACAGGTAACTGATAACGGAACCTTAAGGAACCGTGTGACGAGGAGTCTCTTGCGAAAGGGGGGTTCAAAAAAGGGACTCTCATGGGGATCGCGCGCAGGAATTGTGGTGTTCTGGACTTCTGGTTAGTGATACACAGCGGACAACCGATGTTGCGCTCATGCCTTGGACCGGTCTGTTGGCAACAGTGGTGGTTACAAAGCACACTTGCCGTGCGGCTGTAGCGGACGTAGTACGCTGCTGTGCGGTTGTGGGGTTACCAGGGGTTGGATCTCTTCCACACTCCCCACACAGACTTTGCATCGCCTTGTCCCCCCTCCCGGCCACACCTCAACAACTCTTCCGTTCATATCTTCATATCGGGCGGCCGCTTGCCACCCTTTCCCGCATGCGCGTCTCTCGCCTTCTCACCTCTCTTGGTTCGCCTCTCCCTGCTGCAGTCCTCGGCGGATGATGCGGAGAAGGCGGCTCAAAGCGCAGAGGCTCGGGTGACGGCCATGGTGGCGCAAATCAAGGTGCGCGGCGCATGTGCCAAGAGCAAACAAGGCAAAGGGATATGTATGCAGGGCAGAAGGGATTGAAGGAGGCAGGGTGTCTGTGTGGTGTGGGGGTTGGCGGGCTAGGGTTAGGGGGGCGGCACCATAATCGAAATCCTCACTGTAGCTAATGCCTCCTCCCTCAACAGGGATTTGACAAGGAGTTTGACCGTCTGTTGGACGAGAATAAGGCCCTCAAGGCACGAGTGCAGCAGCTGCAGCAGCCAGCTGCATCTTCGAGCCTGTTTGGGGGCCTTATGGGTGGCCCGGCAGCAACAGGAGGTGCTGGAGGCAAGAAGGATGACTGAGGCGTATAAAGGGCTGTTTAGACTGGTGTGGGAGGGTTGTAGCAGGTGGGTAAGCGGTGGGAGGGTTGCGTCGCGCTTGGAAGGGAAGAACATGGGCTTCAGGTAATTAGAAATCCAGGGTCGTGTGTTGCGGTTGGAAGGATTGGGTCTGGATGGGTGTAAAGCTAGGGAGACTGATAGGGTATTTGGGCCCAATGAGATTTTCCTACATACGGAAGAAGGCATGCGTAGGATGCTGCATGGCATTGTTGCCGCACCGGCTTGCGGTCATGTGCGTGGTTCAGGATGTGGGGGTCATACCGGTACGGCAATCCTAAGGCTTGCATGATCGAAACCTCAATTTAATGTTGGCTGGCCACCCGGCTTGTATGCGTCATGCATGTGGGCCTGTTCACTACGAAAATGTACACGAAAAATCCGCTCATGCAGCGCTTAGTGGCGTCTGCGAAGGTGCTATAGATTCTGACGGTTGACATGCGCGGCTCATTCCTGCAACATAATCGGCCTTGGCAGGGCGGATGATTAGAGACTTGTAGTGTTACTGTAATAAGATTCCCCCAAAGGAATATACAATCTAACTCGATTATATCAAAACATGTTCCAGTTGAGGCCAGAATTTGAAGATGACAGCTACGACGATATTGAAGTAAACGTGGTATCGTAGACCACTTCCCTTACGGGCGTACGGACACAAGATTTAGCTTTGCAATAGGTCAACCTGGTTCCTGGTTTGATAGGGCGCGTCGGGCCGCTTTAAACGGAAGGGCTGACATAAGGCGACGAAAAAGCTTTCCAAAATGATGCTAACGATGAGAGGATGGTGCTGTGGGCTGAATGGTCATGGTGGTGCAATTCTTGGGCCTGTATCTCCGGTTCAAGGCAGCTTGCCGGCTTGCCCGGGCATATGCCCGGTCCAGTGTCCGGTCCCAACCGCAACGCCTCCTGAATGCTCGTCCACACTGCTCCCGCTTCACCGCATAGCAGCGTGAGTCTATGTATGTTATCCTAATGTCCTTTATAACACATCTTCTGTTTTCTGTACGTTAAAAGCCCTGTGACGACGTGCAGCCTACCACCCCCGTGCTTAATAAGACTCCCCTAAAGCCCAATACACCCGATAGTCGTAATTTTTAGGCAAATCGGTTACACTCGCATTGACGAACAAACAGTGCTGGCGCAATGTTTGGGCTCAGGTGCAAACATTCAGTGGAGCATCTGAAGCAGCAATAGAGCTCTGAGGTATGAATATCCCTTCCCTTGCTGCAGTACCCGCAATGCCAAGACGTTTCGACCCAGGAAGAGCACGCCCGTCGGCAGTAAGGTGTGCTATCGCCGGGATCCACATGCAACCGCTTGGTCGACGAAGGACGGGCAGACCACAGATGCAAATTTCTACGCTTTACCGAGTATAGCTTGCTTTCGATTCGGTGTAACAGGGCTTGCAGCTTAAGCGACATATCGATGCGACGCTTGGCAGCGGCAACATCATGGAGGCAGTTAAGCTGCCTCCAGGAGAGGACTTAAAAGAGTGGCTTGCCGTCAATACAGTAGACTTCTACAACGCGATCAGCATCCTGTATGCCACGTTGGAGGAGTTCTGCACGGAGCGGTCATGCGAGGTCATGTCGGCAGGCGGCAAGGTAACTTGGCATCCTGTGTGGCGCGGAAGTTCAGTAACGCTGTCCCCCGGCGATGAGGGGCAAGTGACGGGGATTTGTGGGACGGTGCCAAGCCAGTCAGCAGGGGAAGAGGAACTCTGCCCCACGCCAAACCGGGGCCCTGCTTAACACGTACCGTATGTCCTTCCATGCCTACATCCATAGCTTCCCCCGCAAATCCGTTGCTGAATGTTCTTAACCAACCAGGCTACCTTGCTTCCCTGATTGCCAGGCTCCCCAGGCAGCCCCCTTACTTCATGAGCTGGCTCTCCGCCTACCCCTTAACCCCCTGCCATTCATTCCCTGCTCCCCTAATTCTTTTCTGCTCCCCAATGCCCTCCTCTCCCCTGCAGTACGAGTATCTGTGGGCGGACGGCGTAAAGGTAAAAAAGCCGGTACGGCTGTCCGCTCCAGAGTACATCAACAAACTGTACGACTGGATCGAGGAGCAGGTGGGGTTTGGGTTGGAGGGCGGAGCAGGAGAGGAGGGGACGATAGCATTTGGATGAGGTTCCGTCCCACTCCATCCGCCGTGATACCATGAAGAGATGCACCCGGCGATTCCAACACGGGTCTCGCTACCTGTGGACGCGCCCCTCGACCCCCAACAACCGGCGATAGGCGTATGGTTACACCTGCATTAGTGCGTGCAATTATACCCTTCCGGATCCCCCAATCCTCCCCCTCTACGCCCGCGCATGCAGATCGACGACGACAAGATCTTCCCGCAGCAGTTCGGATCGCCCTTCCCGCCCAACTTCATGGAGGTAGGTGCCGGCCTCCTCCTCCTCCTCCACCCTATCGTCGTGCCCTCACTTGTGGTTTGGTTTGCCTTATCCCCCTCCTCTTCCTTTGCCCTGCTACTCCCACCTGTGTTGCGGCGGTGCGCACGCTGCTTTGCCCTGTGGGCCTTTCGTACTCGGGCCTTCGGGCCTCACCTTCGTACTCGGCACAAGCTTCAGTACAAAATGTCCGCCTAGCCTGGCCACACCTTGCGATCCTACATCATAGAGCTCGCCTTCATGCGTTCCTGGTCCCATCCTACCCACCAACGCCCCACTTCCTGAAAACACGACATCAACCCCTTCGCCCACCCTATTCCCCAATTTGAAGCAAGCCGAGCTCCACTGTGCCCGTTCCCCATCACATCACATCTCCACCATGCCTGCATGCAGGTGACCAAGACCATCTTCAAACGCCTCTTCCGCGTCTACGCGCACATCTACCACTCGCACTTCAAGGCCATTTGCTCGCTAGGGGAGGAGGCGCACCTCAACACCTGCTTCAAGCACTTCATCTTCTTCGTCACGGTGCGTGTGAGAAGGCGCTAGGGCATACACATGCCAGTTTTCTTAACACATGCGGTTGTTCGCTTATGAGCGTCATGGTATGCTTCATAGTGCAAGATCCAGGGTTGTCGTGGCTGGATGCATGCACATGCTTGGACCACTCTTTACCTTGTTCCTCGTCAAGCTGTGAAGAGTGGTGTGTGTTGCACGCACGGGGAGCCTTACACGGCTGGTACACCATGTATGCGTGCATCCCCTGAAGGGATATGCACCGACGGGCTTTCGTCGATGGCTGCTCACTCAACGCGTCCCATAACAGGGCTTGTCTCGTACTTGGCAGTTCGTGTTTGGTCTTGGGGCCATCCTGCTTTACATCATCCGCGCCAATGTGCCCTTGGTAAATTCCTTTCCCCTGTGTCTCCGGCCCTTACGTCTACGCCTCAGCACTACAACCTAGTGGACGAGAAGGAGCTCGCGCCATTGCAAGAGCTCATCGACCAATTCCTGGGGCGAGCAGGCACGCCGAGCGCGGCCATGACGCAGTAAGCAACATTTATGTTGCAAATAAAGAGGACTGGGATGAAACTGTGGTAGATTCGGGATGCGGCTTGTGTGCAGTTAGGGCTTGTGAAGCAGCAGGGGTGCAGAATTTTTGGGAAACAGATTCCATATCACGAGGACGCTAGGGTAGGCTTTCGTCATGTACAGTTGGTACTACTTGAGAGACTCAGCGCTGAGATTTTGCGCGCCGGATTAGACTGGATCCACTACGACACAGGAGTGCTCGGAATTCAGCCGACGCCGGTGACTATCGGTGCGTGACACGGTTCTGGTTAAAGCTTTTGAACATATGAACTCATGAACATATAGATGGCGTTGAAGGTGCAGGATTGCATTGTAGCTGACAGTGAGCAGTTGTTATCGATGTGGAGCCGCTCGTGACAGGTTCACCAGAACCTTATTACCTATTGTTATCTGCCTTAACTTCGAAATGCTTCGGGAGTGCACCAATAGAGGTGTGCCTGCGGTGGTGAAAACGTTCCAGCGCAAGCAAAAGGTGCGAACCCGATATCCCACCACTTTCATACTTCTTAAACGCGTTCGCTAGAGAATCGTATTGTTTTGTTACTTGTTGCAGCAGCCTGCCAAAGACGACCCAGCAAAAGCTGCGGGAGTGGAACGCGACTTGCTGGCATGTACCGACAACATCGCCAATACCTCAACTGCTGATCATGTCGTTGCCAGCCGAAGTAAACGTCCGAGCGCCATCTGTCGTCCGAATGCCAATGGCTTGGCAACTAATGCGCCCAAAGATGCGCGTGGCCCCAGCTGGCTGCGTAAGGGCCTCAACCAAAAGCGCTGCAGTGTATTCATACAGTCTGCTCCTATGCCTTTTGCTGCAAAGCTGGACGCAACACTCACGCGGGGGAGGCGTGAGACGGCCAAGCAGCGTGCGGAGCGCCTGCGGATTGTAGAAATTATGATGGCCAGAGCGGCAGAGGTGCGCTGTGTGGCGCTTCAACCTTTAACCCTTCACTCCACCCCTGTCATTAAGTACGAGCCCAGCCCATTCTCAACGCATTCCGAGTTTCCTCCATCAACTTGCCTCCAATTTCCCCTCCTAACTAGGTTGACGCTTTCGACCTCGTGGTTGAGAGTCCCGGAGCCAGCCCCGATCCGCCCAAGCGCACCAGCAAGCAACATCACCATCATCACCGCATTGGCATCCTGCCCGGGCTGGAGGGGGCACGGAACTTGGCCCAACTTGGCATCAACCGTCGGGGCCTCGGTGCCGTCGGCAACGCGGGCTGTATTGAAGTCCCCAAGCTTGCCGTACACGAACGCATTGATGAAGAGGAGAGCGACAGTGGTGGAGCCGTGGCTGGTGGTGGTGCGCCCTCTGTTCGCGGTGTACAGCGTACAGAATCCGGGCTAGGCGATACAGGGCCAAGCGGCAGCCAAGGGGATAACGGCGCTGGACCCTCATTGGAGGCACTGCTTCACCACGTGTCGGAGCTCCGGGTAAGCGCCGCCTGTTCCAGTGCCTGGTCTCAGCCACAGCCCCATTTGCGACCGCAGCCATCCCGGCAAGCACCCAAGCAGCAGCAGCGCCAGGGCTCGGATGCCGAGGTCGGCCTCGACCCACATCGGCATCGGGCCTCCCAGCCAGCCTCCTCACCATCAGCGTCGATGCAATCCTGCCAGGAGCCCCGGCATCAGCAACAACAGCGAACTGGTCATGCGGCGTCCGAGGTTGCCTCGCCGCACCAGTCTCCTTCGGTGCTACAGTGGCAACACCCGCAGGAAGAAGAGCAAGGGAGCGAAGAAGCTGCAGGGACTCCTCCCGCTCAAGGGGACGATGTCCGAATGGCTTTACGCTCACCCTTGGCGCCATCTCCCATGCAGCAAACGCCGCTGGCGACGCCACTACCCGCCTCGCAACGCTTTGCGGCCCTCCGGGAAGACGACATGGACGTCGCCGCAACGCCCGTGTCCCTAGCAGCTAGAACGGGGCTACTAGCAGCCACGCCTGTGTCACTTGCCGCTAGGACGGAGCTGGGAACTGCGGCAACGCCAGCAGCAGCGACAGCGCCACCCGCGGCTGACCCGGTTTCAGACCAGGAAGCCAGCCCTAGCTCAGCAGCACTTGCGGTCTCGTTCGGCGGCGCCTGCAGCATGCTCAGTCCTGCTGTTATGCATGACCACCGCGCATCAGATGCGGATGCGGAGGAGGAGGGCATGCTGGACGCTGTTGTGGAGGAGGAAGAGGAGGAAGTTGATGAAGGACGTGGACAAGGCCAGGAAGCGGCGGGCAACGCCCATGCAAACCGTGCGGAGGTGCAGGAGGAGCCGCAGCGGCAGCGAGGGAAGCAGCCGCAGGCACGGGAAGCAGTAGCACAGGAGGGCCAGCTAGGAAGCAGCAGGCGGGTACGGAAGGCGGTGGTGGCGACACCCGGCAGCCTCCCTCGGGCCAGGACGAGGGCTAGGACCCGGGCAGCGGCTGCACCGGCGGTAGGAGGGGCAGCATCAGCGGGGACGGCAGGAGGAGCAGCAGCAGCAGCTGAAGCCGCACCAGTAGAGCCAGCGCCTATGCCACCAGCACCACAGGTTACAATGGACAAGGCCGCAGCAGGCGTGGCGCCTCACCTGGCTGCCGCTTCTGCTGCTGCGGCGGCGGCGACGGCCCCAGATGCTGGCGATTTGCCTGCAAAGGTGGTAACGGAGGGTCCAGGGGCGGGTTGCAAACGAGCGTCCAGGAAGGCTCGGACAAACACAGCTGCAGCAGAGGCCGCTGCGGCTGTGGCAGGGGCGGCGGTGCCCGCTACTGCTGTCGCTGCGGCTGCAGCTGTGCCTGCCGTCCCGGATCAGGCAGCAGCGTCTGAGATGATAGCTGTTGAAACATCAGCAGGGGCGGCTTTGGATGCTGCTGAGGCCCCGGCGGCCGCCTCAGCGGCTATGGAGGGTGTGGATGAGTGTGCCGTGCAACAGGGAGCAGCAACACTGTCAGTCGAGGTCAGCGAGGTTGAGAAGGAGAAGGCGGAGGCGTCCGGGCCGGGGCCAGCTGCGGCGGCGGCAGCAGCGGGCGGTGCTGACTGGGCGTCATTGGAGGGGTTGACGGACCTTCAGCGGCTGCTGGTGCTGTGCGGGCAGCAGGTGGGGTGGCGAGGGGTGGGTGAGCGGGACCCGGCAAGTACATTACAGTACACATGTTACACACCTGCATTGCATTTCCCTCCCCTTGCCTCTCCACCCGCTTCTCCTGTCCCTCCTCCTCCTCCAGCCGCACACCAGCCCCGCCCAGCTGCCGTCCATGGACCTGCTGCTGGCCCGACTGGGGGCGCAGCTGGCAGCTGAGGGAGGGGAAGCGGCAGGAGGCGGCTTGGCGGCGAACTTCAGCCTCGGCCTCGACACAGCAGCGATGGGAAGCTCCACTTCCGCCTCCGGTGCTGCTGCTGCTGCCACTGCTGCTCCCCAGCAGGCTGCCGGCCGCAGCAGCCGTGGCAAGCAACACTGTGCGGGTGCCTCCGTTCCACCCGGGCCACCCATCCGGGTGGTGAAGGTGGGCGAGGGCAGCTATGGGGAGGCCTTCAGGCTTGAGCTGGAGGACGCGGTGGGAGGAGGAGGGAAAGGAGGAGGTGCAGGAGCTGCGGCTGCTGCCGGTGGAGGCGGACGAGGGGCCAAGGGAGGCAGGGGCGGCGCGAAGGGCGGTGGCAGGGGAGCGGCAGGGAGGGCAGCTGCATCAGGGGCGGCAGGCGAGTGTGGAGCGCATGCCTCATGCAGCAGCAGCAGCCGAGGTGGAGTAGTGCTTAAGGTGGTGCCGATCGAGGGCGATATGCACTTCAACGGGGGGCCGCAGGTGGGGCACGCAGTGGGGTGGGAGAGGGAGAGCATGAAGGGGCTGGGAAGGCGACTGGGGACCGGAAGAGTTGGGGAGGGGGGCTCGGGTGGAAGGGAGGGATGGGGGCGGCACACAAGGTGTGGATAAGGATGTTAGGAATGGGTTGGTAATAAAAACGGGCGCATGTGGGGACGTGCATGCGCCGAAGGAACCAAAGGAGGAATGGGGCAATGTGATGGCATGCTGTGTAGGGACGCATGTACGTTCCAGTCGACTTACCTCTTAGCCGCCCTCCAACCCTCGAAAACCCTCCTTCACCCCCTATCACACCACACTTTGGAATTTCTTTTTTCCCCTCCCTCCCCAGCGAACCGCTGCGGACATGCTGTCCGAGACGCTCATGTGCCGCGAGCTGAGCAACCTGGGGGAGCTGCGGCGGCCCGGCAGCTGCAGCGGCGGCGGAGAAGCAGAAGCAGGTGCGGTTGAGGAGCAGAACTGGGAAAAGATCTCTCCTCGCACCTTACCATGGAGTTCTGCTTGCTACCAACGCCGCCGAGACGCGCATCTTTACGTCCTGCACCATGTTTTGCCGCCCAGTCCCAACCCCACCCCACCCCCCTGCATGCATGCAGTGCACTGGACCCCCGGCTTCGTGCGCACGTGGGCGATGGCGGTGTGCCGCGGGCCCTACTCCAAGCAGCTGGTGCAGGCGTGGAAGAGGTGGGTGAGGAGAAAGGAGCCGGGAAGTGCAGGCAGGGGATGCTGGCTTCTGCAGCAAGGCCGCGGTGGGGTAGGCACGTACTGACTTGTGCCGTTCACAGAGCGTTTGGTCCGGAACAGGGTAGCTTGTACGACATGGCACGCTGCAATCCACACCCCACACCGCTGTCCCCCACCCGCCCTTCATGCCTTGAGTCGTGAGGCTCGTGCGGCACCACTCACCCCCTCCCCCTTCCCTGCTCCCCCCAGCTGGGATGCCACACACGGCTCCGAGAACGACTGCGTGAGCCGCCTGCCGCCGCAGCAGCTCTACTGGGTGATCGCCATGGAGGACAGCGGCACCGACCTGGAGGAGTACCCGCTGACCAGCTGGGAGCAGCTGCGCAGCGTCATGCTGCAGGTAGGGGTGGCAGGGAGGGGTGCGGCTGCATGGGGGCATGTGGCTGCATGGGGGCTATACCGGTGACCTTTGCGGTAGATGGCTGGGGGCGGAGGGTGAGGAGGATGAGGAATGAGGCACCCGCGTAGGATGCGCTTGGCTGGCTTGCTTGAGCGATGGTTCATCCCAGTCATTCCGCCCTCCTTCACTCCTCCCGTTCGCTACGTGTGCGTCTGCTGCTATTGACAGGTGGGACTGGCCCTGGCCGTAGCAGAGGCGGCGCTGGCATTCGAGCACCGAGACCTGCACTGGGGCAACGTGCTGGTGCGACCCACGGGTCACCAGCCAGCAACACATGCAGCACGAGGTAGCAATGGGGGTGAAGACAGCAGCACGAGCAGCGATTGGGTCGAGGCTGGGCGGCTGGGCGGCTGCTCGCTGCGAGTGCGGCACTGCGGAGTGGCCGCCACCATCATCGACTTCACGCAGAGCCGCCTGACCACCCCCCCTGCATGCGGCGTGGGGCCGCAGGGCGGCAGCGGCGGCGGCGGCGGGGGCGTGACGGCCTACTGCGACATGGAGCGGGACCCCGAGGTGTTCCAGGGCAAGAAGGGGCACGTGCAGTTCGACACGTACCGCTGCATGCGCGCGCTGGTGGGCTCCGACTGGTCGGTCAGCTGCCCCGCCACCAACTGCCTGTGGATGTCGTACCTGGCGGAGGTGCTGGCGCAGCGGGGGGGAGGAGGCGGCAGCGCGGTGGGGGCGGCGGAGGCGGCAGCGGCGGTGGCGGCGGGAGGGGTGCGGCTCGGTGTGGCACAGCGGCGGCAACTGAGGGAGTTCAGGTGGGGAAGGCGGGGGAGTTAGGGTGTGTTTTTGGGGCGCTTGTTGACCCATGGGTCTTTCCCATACTCCACCATGATTTTTCTTTGCCACGACTGCTTCTGCGCTGCATTTTGCCCAAGCCATCATGTACCAGCGGCGTTGTCCTTCTCCGTCTACGCTGCCGCAAATAACATCTGGCCTGACCTCGCCCCACCTGGCCTGACCTGCGGCAGGACTCGCGCTGTGCAGTACTCCGACTGCGGGGAGCTCATCCGGGACCCGCTGTTCCAGGACCTGCTGCTGCTGGAGGAGGGGCAGCCGCAGGGGGCGGATGAGTGACGGGAGGCGACCCGCGGGTCACTACGGCGCCACGTACTGCGATGGGAGGAGGGGGAGGAGGTGCTTAGCGGCAGTACGGTAGAGATGCGCATACTCAATTGGTGGACTGGGGATGTGTCGGTGGGCGACTTGGGCTTCTATTCACGAGCTGGTTTGCACGGTGCTATTCATCAAATGCCAGTCGGCCAATCGTGACCAAGGATGTGTGTCGATACGGGATGGGCATATGAGCTGCATTAACGGTGGCTCCTGGCTGCTGCATGGTTGACGTGACCTGCAGCAAGTCCATGTCATGGGGTTTATCGGCCTTAGCGGCGCGCGTGTTACTGCAACTGCATTGCATGACAGCATGAGGCATAGACCAGTTTGCGTCAGCAGTAAACACATGCCAAGTCCGGTAACAGGACGGCCTGGCATGCATGCGCGCGTTTTCCCAGGTCCCAGGCGGAGGCGCAGGATGAAGCGCGGGTCGGGTGTGCGGAGTCGTACTGCGTCTGCAGGCTGATAGTGAGGCTGCTTGATTCGCAATATGAGTATCATGTTACCCCCCTCTTACCAAAGACCACGACCTAACGTAGGCCGCCGTATACATGCAGTCCGCATCAGACTAGATGCGCTGTGCCAATCGCACGTTGAGCGCTGGTTGCCGAGGGTTCTTACACGTGGCAAGGGTGCGGTGAGGTGCGGCGGATGGGCGGGAAGGTACGCAGTCTGTATCCCTTCGCGACCAACAACCCAACCCCATTACTCCCCCTTCAACATTCACATCACCGCCAGGCACTCCCTTACCCTACGTATGCAGATGCCGCATCCCCACCCTCCTCAACCCGCCCCCATGTATGCCCCTACTGCTGCGATGCCTACACGTACGGACCAAGACGTACAATTGTCAACGATCCAAGCCGCCTTTAAACAGTCCATGCCGAGTCGCCGTCGTACATTTCAGCACCCTGTCACCTCTGCTTGCCCGAACGCCTTCTCCTCCCCCTGCTGCTGCTCCACCTCTTCCTCCCCTTCCCCTTCCTTCTTCTCCCCCAGGTCCGGCAGCCACTCCCTCTCCGGCCCCAGTCTCACGGGCTCCAACACGAACCCCTCCCCCTCCGCCGCCTGAGCCAGCGCCGCCGCCTGCTGCCGGCCCCCCGGGCACAGCACCACCACCGCTCCGCCACTGCCGCTGAAGTTCACGCCAGCGCCCACAGACCTGATTCAAGGAGCAGCAGCAGCGGACGGGGCCGTTTGGTACTGGAGTAATTCGGTTCGGAAATCGCACTTCTATCCCAACAACCATTACGCTGCCGTACACACCTCCCGCTCGCTCCCCACCTGGCCAGCTCCACCATGCGCAGGTTCCGAGCGCCCAACACCTCGTCTCCGAACAGCGCACGTCTGGGGGCGGGGCGTGCACACGTTTCTAATAGAACGCTGCTACGTTGTCAACGAGTGTTTACCATATTGATTGGAGTTGGGTGTGGAGTGTGGAGATGGAAGCATGCAAGGCTGACCCGGTACGGGCCAAGTGCCAGATACCGGTAGAATGCGGAGGTGCTGTTGGCCAGGCTCCATGCAGGCTAGGGGAAAGTCGGGAAGCATCACAGTGCGCCACTCAGGGTGGGACATGGGAGGGCACTCAGGGTCCCGCTGCAACCCCCCTTACAGAGCGACCTCGGGAACCCTGCTAGCGCGTTAAGGCACGTCTAGTAGGCAGGGGCGTCCAAACCCAGGCCCCAACCAACCGACCCACGGGACACATTACCCACCGCAGCTCGAAGTTGGCGGTCATGAGGTCTGCCAACCGTCGCAACCGCTGCTGATGCCACTCGTCCGTCTGGTCATCAACCGCATGCTTCTGCTGCTGTTCCCCTGGTGGTGATTGCGGCCGTGGTTGGCCCTCCTCTTCCTGCTCCTGTTGTCCTTCTTGTGGCTGCTGCTGCTGATGCGGTGTCGTCTGTGCTTTCTTTTCATTGTACGCCAGCAGCAGCCTTAGCCCCTCGTCCGCGCAGCAAGCAACTTGGGACATGAGCGAACGAACCTTTCGCAGGGGGGAAGGGTGGTGTGAGCAGGTGATGTGTGCAGTGGGTGCACCCCCACGACAGGAGGAGTCGCATGGGGGGGCGGTAGGAAGGGGATGGGTTGAAGGGAAGGAGCGGAATACCGTGCGGGCGAGTGGGGAAACGCGCACCACCGCCCAGCCACCCGCTAACCGAGCTCCCCTTCCCCCACACATCGGGTCTTTCTTTCTCCCCCACACCTGCGGATTCCCGGCCAGCCACCTCGCCTTGACCCCACTGTGCACCTGGTGCAGGAAGGGAGAGTGTTAGGACTTGAGTAGGTGGGGTGGGGGTGGGCAGTGGCGGCATATGCCCCCAGGTTGCATGAGCAGCATGACATGCACGCTTAGGGCAGGAGGAGGTTAGGCAGTAGTAGCAGCACAGGCGGGTGGACAGTTGCACCATAGCGGTTAGCAGCAGCCGCGATAGCGGAAGCAGCAGCAGCGACCGCACTACAGCAAGGGGACTGCCGCTACAGGGAGGCCCGCGGGAAGTCCCGCACCGCTAGCCCTAACTACCGTTCACCCAGCCCACGCCAGCGCCCAGGCATGAGGCAAGCCCTCCCTCGCCACTTGCGCCGCCTTGTTCCCCCTCCTCCCCCTTCCCCTTCGGGCTCCGACTCCACGTTTGTTCCCCTTCCCCCACCAGCCCCCGTCCCCTCTCCTCACCTTTCCGCTCTCACTGGGGTTGTCCGAGTACATGACCCACATCAGGTGCAGCGGCAGCAGCGAAGCAGGTAACCGACGGTAACGACCGTTGGCAAATGCTACAGCAGACGCCGCCGCTGGTGACCCATGGGTCGCTGCCGCCCCCGCTGCTGCCTCCTCATTAGGCCTAAAGTCCATGTGTACGGCCCCTCCGTACACCTGCACGACCCTGTCCTGCAACCCCGCCGCCACCCCCAGCTCCTCCGCCTCCACCGCCAGCACCAGGGAGGGGTGTACGGCAGGAGGCAGCTGTACGGCGGAGATGCCGTACCAGCGCAGCAGGCACTGCAGGGCTGTGAAAGAGGCATCAACACGCGGTTGCCACGGTTTAGTAAGACCCAAACGCGTGGGCAACCTATGTTCATTTCTCAACCGAATCCAGTCTCCCTCACGCTCCCTGATCCTTTAAACCCCAGACCCCATCCTTACCCGAGTATATGATTGCTGATGAGCCCGCTAGCCCCGTCTGACGAGGAATGTTGGTGTCGTACGACAGCGTGAAACCCCGGTCTGCATGCTGCTGCAGGGGGATGTTGTGCTGCCGGCAGTACTTGACGAAGCGGTTGCAGGTGGCCTTAGAGGGGGGGCCAGGGGGAAAAAGAGAATGGAGGGAGGGAAAAATTGTATTAAGTGAAACAACGAATCAGGGGCAGGCGGCAGCAGCAGGAATGAGGAGGATGGAGAGATGGGGGAATGCAAGGGAAAGGGGGTGGGAGGGTAAGGGACACTGTATGGCGCCGTGTCTATGTGATGTGTCTATGAAATTAGCAAGAAGCGGCAGAGGGGAGTGTACGTTCGGCATTAACTAAAAAACGTGCAACAAGGAGCAGTTAGGGTCCTACTAGCAGCACGGCCTCGTATCTCCGTACATCCGTACACCCCCTTCCTCCGTACCGCCCCACATGCAGCACCTGCTGTACAGTGTAACTCGTCCAACGCCCTCCATACCGTACCATTTCACCGTACCGTGAGCAGTCGTACTCCTCCGTACAGTCCCTGCGTGCTCGTCCTACGTTCCAGATCCTCCATGCTGCCGTACTCGCTGCTGTCGTACACGGGATGCGGCGCGATGCGTACGGCAGGGGAGGGGGGGTCTGAGGCGGGGTTGGGGGTGAGCGTCACCTGATGGTGGGAGGGCGTGGGAGGGAGGTGAGGGGTTAATGGATTGTGGCCGGGTACCTTGAGGGCCCCTGTGGGCTTGACATAACCCCTTTCCCTTCCTTTGCTGCCCCCTGTTCACCACCACCCCATGCTGCGTGCAGGTATACCGGTATGCCTACTTTGCTTGCTAGTAAATCTCTTCCTCTTTATCCCCTCCCCTCAGCTCCCCTCCGCTACTTGTCGCCCCTCGCCTGGCCGCTTGCCCCACCTCCGCAAAGAAGTTGGCGAGCGAGAGGGCGATTGTGCGGCCGCCGTACTGGTCGCTGGGGTTGCCGAACAGCCCCGCGCGAGCATACGTGCGGGCCGTGATGGGGAAGACATCGGTGCTGTTGCCATCCATGCTCGCTGCCATTGCCAATGTCGCTGGGGGTGTTGCTGCTGTTGTTGCCACCGCTATTACCAGTGCTATATTTGACACTGTATCATAGAGCTTTGTGTGAAAATCACCTAAATCCTAATGTCTAGTGCACTGCGATAAGCCGAAAACGGTGCCCATCCAACATGGAAAGGGTTACATTCAGTGCGCCATTTCGACGAATGTGATTACCGAGATACCATGTACAATAATGGCTTGCGCAGCCGGATGGCAAGAAACTCCCAAGAGTGTCTGATCCAAGTATGTTACGTACGAGCAAGCAGTAGAGCTCTTACATAACATAGTTGGTGGGTTAGGCTGCACGCCACGTCTAGAGATTTTGGATTAACAATGCTGGCAACAACGCTTCCCAACCTTCATTGCGAAGCGTGACTCGGGTTCATTCGACGAGCGTCGTTACAGGATAGTTCGGTCTGGCGTTAACCTCAGGCAAACATGAACAAGTCATACTAGAGACCATAATACAATGATGCCGTTATACACATCTACAAAGGACCGCGTTCATTTCGGTCATGCTACTGCTGCTACTGCTCATGCCATTTGCTTGCACTCAAGCTGCTTCTCACACGCCTCGTCCGCCGGTGACCTCATACCTAAGAGCCTGCACAGCTACCATGCCTTCACAACCGATTAGAAACGAGAGGCAAGGTCTACGACCGTCTCGTTTTCCCCCTTCGCAGGAGATGGGCACGTGCACTGGCGGACCTTTTCTGTGCACTGCGGACAGCAGCCCCGTCAGCCGCTTGGGCACTCGCGAGGATAAGAGTCGTGTATACCTTTATACGCTTTTACGAGCACATACCGGTACCAGCACATGTTTTCATGCGCGCATGGCTCAGCCCCTCGGCACCATACCGTATACCGGTATGCCGCCTTAGCTGCCCGCCCTGCATGCTTCCTGCGGAACACGTCAGCCTGCCTCTCTCCACAACCGATACCTCTCTCATTGCTGCCCTCCTTAGTGCCATCTTACCAGCTGTAGGCACGAACCGAACCCACTCATCCACTTCAGCAGCCCCCACCACCTCCTCATGTGCCTCCCCCTCGCTTCCTGGCTGCCCTCCTTCGTCGCTCCGCCAAACTCACCTCCCCTCCTTCTTGCCTTTCTCCGCCCCCAGTGCCCCCGTTACCCTCACCCACCCCGCTACCCTCACTTCCAACCTCACCACCCCCGCCCTCAACCCCGACAGCACTGCCGCTGCTACTGCCGTACGGCAAAGATGCCGTGTCACCGCCAACAGCAGCAGAAGCCGTACTGTACGGCAGTCCATAGTCGTACTGCAGCCCGGGCTCTTCTCCTTGAGGCCTCATGCCACCCGCCGTCTGCTGTGTATGCCCCTCCCCCAGCTCCCGCCCCCCTTCATGCCCCCCCTCCTCCTCCGGGGCTGGCGAGGGGGCCGGCAGCAGCGGTACGTCCTCCACCTCAGCAACCCAGCCCCCACCACCGTTGGCCCACTCAATGCCGTACAAGCCGTACGCATCTTCCCCTGGACCGCCGTACACGCCTTCTCCATACTGCCCTCCTGCGTACGCTTCTTCTTCTCCTTCTCCTCCTCCTCCTCCTCCGTAGTACTGCTTTTGCTGCTCCCACTGCTGCTGCTGCCAGTCCCCTTCGCCAGCAGCCCTCCAGCCCCACTCGCCACCACCAACAACGCCTCCAGCACCCCCGTTGTCGTCGTACGTTCCTGTGTTGCCATTGCCGTACGGCAGGAACTCCTGACCAGCATCCCCCACGCCCGTGTCGGTAAACCCGACGCCACCGCTGTTATCAGACCCATCGACGTAAACAGCCAATTCCTGTCCTTGTTGCTGCTGTTGCTGCGGCTCCTGCGGTGGCGGTACCGCTGCTTGTTGCTGGGATTGTTGCAGGGGGGTTGCTGCTGGTGACGGCAGTTGCTGCGGTGTTGGGAGAGGCTGTACGGCGTACGGCATCCCAGCTCCGGCCCCCGCCGCCGCCGCTGCCGCATACGCCGCCGCCAGCCCTCCCGCCGCCGCCGCTCGGGCCCAGGAGCCGTCAGTCGCTATGTCGGGCATAACGGCGTTGAGGGGGGATGAGGTTGAGGCTGGGGCCGAGAACGAGGCGGCATGGTGGGAGGTAACAGCTGACGCGGCACTTGTACGGCTGTTGTTGTCGTTGCTGTTGTCGTCGTACAGTCGTACAGGGGAAGGCGTTTTACTAAAGCGCGAGCCGGGGGGCCCGGTGCCCGGTTGGGGCTTTCCCCGGGCTGGGGGCTTGATCTGTGTGTTTTAGGAAAAGGGGAAGGGTTGAGGGGCGGTTAGTAATCATGACAAGTGCATCTATAATGTGTATACTGCCGACCCCAATTCCCCCCTTCCGTAAAAGGAAATCCGAGCGTGGTCGCCTATATCCTTCCCAAGCGCCCTTTCCTTCCCTCTCCCTCCTGCCCCTCCCCCCTCTCACGTGCGCCGGGCGGTGCTCCCCCACTCCCGGGCCCAATGCCGCTCGTAACGCCTCCCGTACCGACCGTACGGCAATAACCTGTACGGCACCTCCAGGGCCGCTGCTGCTGCCGCCGCCTCCCTCATTGGGAGAGGGGGAGGCGAAGGAGGCGGCGGAGGAGAGCAGCTGGTTCCATTCGGCGGTCTGAGAGGGGGACGCGATGGAGGGTAGGAGGGCAGGAGGGAGGCAGAGATAATGGGTTCAAGGAGTAAGAGATTAGCAGGCAATGCGGGATCAGCTCTAGAGGCCTCCTTACCCCGCTCCACCCCTCCCCGCCCCTTATCACGTCCTACCTTGGGCACCCGCGGTACGATGATCCTCCGAAACCCCAGCTTGGCCGCCTCCCGCACACGTGCGTCCAGGCGCTTGAAGGAGCAGCGCACGCGGCCGCTCAGGTCCACCTGGGAGGGGGGGAGGGGAGGGGGAGGGGGAGGAGGAGAAGGAGAAGGAAATGGCTGCATAACTTGCGGTTTCATTTGAAACGGTTAGGTTTCCCCCATCTCCGTCCCGAATCCCACAACCCCACCCCATTCCCGGGTCGGCAACCCTGATGCACCCCCCCATTGTGGAGCCGGCATGTCACACGGGCAGTTGGCCTCCTCTTCCTCCTCTCTGCGCTCCCCCCCTGCCCGCCTGCTCCCGCCCCTCACCTCCCCGCACACCGCCAGGTCCCGAGGTAGGCCCACGTTGTAGTAGGAGGCCGCCACCGCCACCGAGATGGCCAGGTCGCTAGCTACGTCACGGACCTGAAGGGAGGGGGAGTGGAGTGGGACGTGGAGGAGGGGGCGGGCGGATGTGGTACCAAGACCGGCTGAAGGGGGCTAGTGACGTGGGTTAGTGAGCATTCCCGCCATCCTCCTCTACCCCTGGCTGAACCTTTGCTGATTCCTTCCCTAGGCTCCTGCCCTCCTCTCCTCTCCACCCGCCCCACCCTGCTCTCCTCTCCTCTGCTCTCCACCCGCCCCGCCCCCCTCCCCGCGCCCTCACCTGCGCCCCTCCCACCACATTCACCATCACCGCACAGCTCGCCAGCTCCAGGGTGGGCACGCACTTGTCCAGTACGGCACACAACGTCGCCAACCGCTGCTTGTCAACTCCCGCGGCGGAACGGTACGACAGAGCGGAAGACGAAGCGGCGGCTCGCTCACCCAGCGGGGTTACCAGGGCCTTTCGTTGGCATGGCAAGGTGAGGCGACGGCGTTGTGTGTTGTGGGAACACGGGAAATGGTATGTAAGAGGTGTTATCAAGTAACGGGCGGGCGGTGGGCGTGTTTGTCATGGTTTTGGATTGGGAGATATAAGAGTGTCAATGGTACAGCAAATCATCACTGCAGCCCCCACGGTGACCCATGGGCCACCCCCCTACCCGCTCCCCCCCCTCCCCCCCTCACCTGCACCTCCACCAGCAGCGCCCGGCTGCCCTGCATGGTCATCCCCACCACGCTGCTCGCCCCCTCAGCCACCGCCTCCGCACCCCCCTCCCCGCCCTCAGCCCCCTCCTCCCCCTCCTCCATGTCGGCCAGGCGGCTCTCGAGGAAGAGGGCGCTCTGGTTGGCGACTGCATGCAGGCCTGGGGGGGGGGGGGGGCAAAGACCATACCGAACCATAGGAAGCCACAGGTTGGGGCAAGGGGGGGGGAACGCGTGTGCGTGTTTTGGGGAGAGGGGTTCGGGGTCTGAGGGGAGGGGCGGGGCTCAGAGGGGGTTGGAGACTCGCATGTGGGCAGCAGCACCCTTTCCCCGCCTCCCCCCCCATCGCGTAATCGCGCCCCATTTCCCTCTCGCAACTGGACCAACACCTTTCGCAAACACAACGAGTTAACGACCCATGGGTCACACGCCGCTCTTTCCCTTCCCCTCATCTCCTCCTTCCCTACACCTACACTCACCGCTGCCATCCATGGTAAACACACCGCACTCCGCGTCCGAGCCGTGTCGGTTCTTGTGCACCCGCAGCAGCCGTACGGCCTGAGCCACGTCACCCTCCAGGTACAACACCGTGTCCACCTGCATGCCGTACGATACACATGCCGTACGATACAACAAGGGAGGGAGGGAGGTGTCGTACAGTTTGGGCGGGGGCTGCGCTGGCAAGCATGCGCACACATCTGGCAACGCACATGCCGGCCCCTCCATACACACATGCGAACCTATCCCAACTGCTTGCTCTTATTTCCGCTCAACTACACACATACCGGTACAACACACGCTTCCCCCCATATGACCCCTCCCTTACACCCGCCCCCCCGCTCCCCCCCACCCGTTTCCCCCTCCCACCATGTGTGCCAGTGTGTTTGGCCCCGCCATCTCTCCCCCCTTGGTCACGTGCCCCACCAGCAGCACCGCGATGCCATTGTCCTTGGCCAGACGCAGCAGCAGCTGACCACACTCGCGGATCTGATGAGGGCGTGGAGCGGCGGGGAAGGTGTGCACGACTGTACGATCGCCCCCAACATTACTCCCTTCACCCAATGTAACACTTTACAACGGATTACATACCGGTATACTGCTGCGTTACTGCTTCGTACATAATGCGTCATGTTCGTACGCACGAAGGAGTCGTACGGCGGTCGTACCCACCCACCTGCGTGACGGTTCCCGGCGCCTGCGGCAGGTCCGACAGGTAGACTGTGTTGATGGAGTCGAGCACCACCGCAGCGGGCCGCAGGTCCAGGATGGCACCTGCATGGGGGGTCGGGGGGGGGGATGATGAGGGGGGGTGATCAGAGGTTTGTTGTACATCTGTGCAGCGAGTGTGCTTGCGCTTGGGTGCTCTCGTACGGCAATTCGAGACACGTACAGATTTGTACGCCTCTAAACCCGTTGCAATCAGCCCGCTGCAATCAACCCATGTCATTGCCGCCCTCCTCTCACAAGTGTCACGACGTTATCCCCCTCCAGCCACTCACGGGATATGGCGCCCATCTCGCTGCGACACAGCACCGCCACTCCCTCGCACCGCTGTAGGCCCATGCGCCGACTGCGACCCACCACCTGCTCCCGAGTCTCCTCAGCTGTCACGTACAAAACCGTACGACGCTGTTGCTGCTGTTGTTGTCGTACTTCTGCTTGGTGGTGGTGGTCGTGGTGGTGGTGGTGGTGGTGGTCCTGCTGTACAACATGTTGTACTTGTCGTACATCGTCTTCATTTCCTAACCGGTCGTACTGCAAAAGCTCTTCATCGTAATTCTCATTGTTTTCATCGTCGTACAACTCGCCATTGATGTCGTCGTCGTCTGTGTCGTACGATGAGTACGGCGGATCCTCATCTTGCTGCTGCTGCTGTTGCAGTTGCTGTCGCTGCTCTTCTAGGGCATCGAAGTCCAACTCCGGATGCGCCATCATAGCCGCGACCTGTAGGTATGTGAAAGAGAGGGAGCAGCGACTTATGCCTTGCAGTACAAATAGGATGCAGGTACGACAAGTGGGACATAATAACGACATAAACATATAATCCTTGAATAGGCTATCCCCCTTGACACGAAACAGGTGGACCATCATTGACCGCTCATTCCTCGTTTGTTCTGTGTGTCCGCTCGTTCCTTCCCCATCCGTTCGGTTCTGTTCAATCCTGTTCAGCAGCCCCGAACGCTCTCAGTACGGCCCTCCCTCCAACAAACCACACACCTGCAGGGTGAGTGTGCTCTTGCCGACCCCCGGGTCACCTCCGATCAGCACCAGCGCACCGGGGACCACTCCGCCGCCCAGCACCCTGGGGGGAGAGGTGCATGGGGGGGGGATCAAAGAACATACCGAAGCATAGGAAACCACAGGTTGGGGCAAGACAATAGGATAGGAAGCGACCGGGTGCCACAAAACAAGTGCATAAGGGGGAGGAGGAAAGCGTGTAGGTAGGGCTGATCTCAATAGACCAGATTATTGCTTGCAATCAACCGCATTACCAGTATACAACCCCCACCGATTGATACAACCATAACCTGATCCTAATCGGGGTACATAGCCCCCCCACTCACCTCTGCACCTCGGCGCCCGTTCGTCCGCTCAACGGAATGCGTCCGCGTCGCCGACCCAACTGATCGGCGCCCATTCGCGACAGCGCGCGAAGTGACAACGGAACATCGTCCCAATCCGCCTCACCATTGCCGCCACTACCGTTGCTGGCGACCCAACCCTTGGACCGACCCATCGACGGGGGCCCAGTTTCATTGGAGCCGCTACCAGCAAAAGTGCCGTACATTGACGTGTGCTGACCGAGATCATGGGCGTTATGCCGTACACCGGCGGCGGCGCTGCTACCGGCGGCGTAGGCGGCTTCAGACTGGATTCGCTCCAGGGCGCGGACTCCTGCCGTACGAGCAGTACGACAAGTTAGCAGAAACCAATGGTTAACCAAACGCACGGTTACATACTGTATTGTAACCCGCACACACAAGCCACACCAACACCTTCCCCGCTCTTCCGCCCCCGCCTCCTCCAACTCCCGACGCCAAACAACACGACCCCCATTATTTTAATAGCGTGTGCAGCAGTCTACCCGCCCCCCCAAACACGCACCTGCTCCTCCTCCGCCTCCTCCCGCAGCCGGGGGCGGCTCCTGAGGCACCCCCCGGGGGTCCAGAGTCTGGAACTTGCCGCACCGCTCACACTTGCCTGAAAAGGGAATTGATAGAGCCTGGGGGTCCACTCCTAGGTGAATTCCGGTAGGGGAATGTCCCACCTTGTTCCTGAAATACATCCTCACACGCCTTCCTCCGCATCGCTGTTGCGTCCCTCTACCAAAACAGCCCAACTATTCTGTCGTACTGCTTTGCCGTACACGACCCCTCTGCACTATCACGTACCATAGTACTTCTTGTGCACGTGGCCGCATGCCGTACAGGGAAACACCAGCCGAACCTTCCCGCCTCCACCTCCACCTCCACCTCCACCGCCGCCGATTGTGGCATGGGTTGTAAGCCCGGCAGCGGGAGTACGACAATGACTAACGGTGGCGACGGTTGGCACCGCAAGCGGGGATGCCCGCAGCAGCCGAAGCAGGCTGCCCGCACTGCCCATGCTGCCGTGGTGCGGTGCAATCATGATGCCGTGCGCGCTGGCTGCAGAAACCCGGCTGGCATGGGTACTTGTGGCGCGGTCAGCGCAACCTCCGCTGGAACAGGAACCGCAGCGCCTACTGCTACTGCTGGGAGTCTTGCTCAGGCCACAGGAGTCAAACCCTGAGATGGCTGAATACGGAGTCAGGGCGAAACCCTTAGACCGTCGTAGATACGGTCCCGAGGGCCATCGAGTTGCTGGGGTGTGCAGCCGCCCATCCATAGTGCCAACTGTTGATGGCGGAGGCCTTAACGTACTAGGTTTCGGCGGACGACCGCTAAGCGCTTGCAGTGAACGCCATGCATGCTACCCACTGTAGGTAGGCTTTACAGCTGCGGGAGTTGGCGTTTGACGGTTGGCATGGGTCGATGCCGGAAAGCGACTCCTGGTCAGCCGACCCGCCGATCAACTGATGTGCACGTTTAACATGCGCTCGCGTTTAGTTATGCACTCAGTGCAATGCTTTACTCCAGCTAGGTGCCCCAACTGGACAATCCTGTTGCCAGCACCTTTCTATATGTCCTACAGGAAAGGACCTCAATGTCAACCCTAACGTTCACAAGCAGTGTTGGAGAAGCTACGAGAACCGGTGTTGTTGGCGCCTGTGCTCATTATAATAGAAGCTGTGTGGACATACCTCACAGAAAGAGGACATAGCAAGATTTGCGGTCTTCTCTTAAGCTTACGACAATCCTTAAGTTCTTGATACGCCCGACTGATGACATCAACGGTCCCGTACTTCACCGTACCCCTAACCGTATTGACACTGAGTAGCAAGATGTACGCGCTCGGCAAACTTCTCCATATCCCCAGCTGTCCTGCGCAAACCTCTTCAACCGTTTATGCACCAGGCAAGTCCGTCTTTCCTCGTGCTGCTGATGCCGGCATGTGCCCCGACCAGGGGGGGCGGGTTACACCTGCATACACGCTCCCAGCAGCCTGGTCGTTAGCGGAGGAAACGTGTTGCTTTTACCGAATTCAATCTGTCCCCTGTCAGTGCGCCTTTGCCAGAGGCCATGTCTCAAGCGCCTCCGCATGAGATACTTTGCTGTGTGTACGATGCATGTCCTAACACCGGATGGAGCCACAGTAGGTCACCCTCATTTGGCTGCCTAGCTTGCCTTATCTTACTGTACGCAGAGGCAAAAGCTGAAATTGTTGGTGTTCTTCCTGTACATGACGTTAAATGGAAGCATGCAGCCGAAGCTGCTGCATACAGAATCCAAACTCATGAGGCACACGATTATACTGGATACCGGTGCACTATGACGATATCACAGTGTGCCTGCCTGCCTGGCCGGTACCTTGCTGCCCCCGAAACATGTTGGGCTGCTAAGACCGCTTTCATAAGCAACCATAGCAATCGACACCGCATCATCACCACCAGCCTCTTCAATCTCACGTAAGAGAGCTTCCGGACCTATTGAAACTCCTAATCTCCTAACGCGTTGCTGTCTTCCTCTGCCCCGTAAGTAGCCCTGCCACATCAACCATCCCAACCCGATTTCCGTCCTCGCGCGGAGAAGGCTACCTGGCGCAACGATTATAAACGGAGGGACGCTGGCCCTTTGTTTGCTCCCTTCCACAAACACCGGGCGGTGCACCCCGTAAAGCATCAGTCCTACAAACAACCAAAACCCGCTGAACAAAACGGCCTGCGACACCTCTTGTTAAGCCCCAAAAGAGCGCCAACCAAACAAGCTCTGGCCGAAGCGAGATCGCCGAGGGAACGCGCCAAGACAGGCAACACTCGCATCAACCTTGGGGGCATACAGATACCCACGCCCAAAAGAACGCACCGAGGAAAGGAGCCCGTGCATGCCAGCCTTTTATGTAGGTGTTCGCGGGTGGCATACATGCTCCTTAATGACGACCAAGGCAAGCAGTCGTAACACCCGAAATGCGTAATGTTCCCGCAAAGTGTGTCAACAAAGCTGATCAACGCAGCGTGTTCATGTGCGCGCGAGCGTATGTTCACACTGAGCCAGAATTGATTGCCCACCCGAACAGACCGAGCCCACAGTCCGAATGAGAATCCCGAGGAGATGCGCACCCAAGGGTGATCCCCTGCGCACATTCAATTTCCCTCCCTACCCCCTACCCGTAACAGACCCCACGTACACATCACGTGCCAACACCCCCAAGGCATCATCCCCACTCTCTACGCCTACCCATACCCCAAACCCAACACACTCCTCCCCCTCCCTCCAGTACACACACCTAGTGCCGCCCAATCAACACGAACTCATGGTCCTCCATCACACGCACCCCCTGGCAGCCCGGGATGTGCTCCTGCACCGACGCCAGCAGCGCCGCGCCCTTCTCCCGCTGCGCGCGGCTGAGCGGCACGTACGGCAACCGGAACACGGGCTTGGCCAGGCCGCACATGGAGAGCGCGGTGTTGAGCGCAATGGGGTTGGGCTCGCAGAAGAGCCAGCCAAAGAGCTCCTTCAGCGAGGCGTTGAGGGCGGGATCTGGGTTGGCGCCGTGCACGAGGCGGTGCATGAGGCCGGGCACCACGTTGGAGGCGACCGAGATGACGCCCACAGCGCCGCTGGAGTGCCGCGCGTCGTGAGCCTCGTCGTCGTTGCCAGACCTGGGTGGGGTTGCGGTTGAGTCCAGGGGGGCGGGTTCCGGGGTGTGGGGATGGACTTGGGAGGGTGCGGTTAAGAGAGTGAGGGGGATGTTAGGGAGGGACGGGGGGAGTAAGGGCAAGGTGATTGGGGTAAGGGCAGGATGAAGGAGCCGGTTCCGGCATGCTAAAACCTAAAAGAGGCTGTGCTGTGACAAACATGACGGCACGGGTGCAAGTCCTTCCAACAAGGATGGCAAAGCTGCTATGGTTGGAGGAGCCTCGTGATTGAACGCTGCCGGTTGAATCGACCCACCAGCAGTTGACGCCACGGCTAGTGTAGCTCTTAATCCGCGCGTTGCCGGTGCACTCCTTCATGCCCAGGAAGTTACTGTGCTGGGAAATCTCCAGCACCACATCGTCCGGAATGTCTTGGCCGGTGCGGCCAGGGACATTGTAGACGATGGCTGGTCCCTCGTTCAAAACGGCGCTGAGGTGGTTTAGCAGGCCAGTCTTGCTGGTCTTGCCGTAGTAAGGGTTAATCTGAAGAGAGGCGTGCATGCCCACAGCAAAGCCCTGCTCCGTGGCGTGAAGCGCCTCGCGAGTGGAGTTGGAGCCGGTGTTGCCGATGACGGCAATTTTGTTACCAAACGCGTTCACGGTGTGCGCGATCAGCATAACATGCTCATCCCAAGACATCAAATGGCCCTCTCCTGTTGTCCCGCCGACGATGACGCCCTCCACACCGTTCTCAATCTGCCTAGAGACCAACGCATCGTAGGCTGGTATGTCGAACTTGCCGTTTGCGTGATAGGGAGTCTTGACAGCGGTAATCAAGCGAAGCTTTTTTAGCCTATCTACAGTTGACCGTGTCTCGGAAGCAGGTAGCGGAGAAAGCACGGAGTGAACCTTGACGGCGCTGTTCCGGCTGCTAGGCCGCCGAGGCGCGCTGGCGCACCCCGGGGCACGAGTTTGCGCAAAGAAAGTAGTTTGGGGTGCCATTGTGGTTTAGTAGCGTGGGTTGTGGGAAGATTTTGCAAGCAGTGTCGACTACCCCCCTGCCTATAGGGCCCTTTGACAAACGGTTCCACGTCCCCTAAAACTCCTAGAGATTTAGGGACTGCAAATAAACAAGGAATTTAAGGTAGTCCCCACCAGCTTTATGCAAGCCATGAACTATGAACTCATGCAAGGCTACGACACAAAGGCGATAACAATTACAAAGCCATTAACTTGAACATTTTAACTTCATCCAGATTCCAGCATACGTCCGTACCAGTTTATCTCAATAGACAGCAAGATAGCGCATGCTGACAGGTTTCCCGGGGTCGCGAACGCATTCGAGTGCACCTTTGGGTTCCCTTCTCATGAAAAGATATATAGTGCGCATGCCTACACTTATTCCAAACTACGCCTTGCAACAGTGTACCGTCGGCAAGAGTACTATAGTCGTGCATCTGTTAACGGTCAGGTTGGCTACTGTTGCCATCAAGCCTATTCTTCAACATTGACGCATCTAGGTAGCCAAGTACTTGCCAGTGTACTAAGGCTGGATACACGCTACTCAAGAATTTGCGTATTGCAAATTTCGGAGCACGTGCGCTTATAGGAGAAGCGGAATACGTTGAACTCCTTCAAGACTTGCCGCTAGTTAATTCTAGGAATGGCCACTTGGCCCTACGCCTGTGTAACCCTGAGGCACATGCGGCCATGAGCAAGGATAAAGAGGAGCGTCGGCCGCTGCAGCGGCCGGAGAGCTCCCTTTTATACTCTTCGGGTTCCTGGCGGCCGCCAGGGGGGTTAGGCTTACTGCCTACACCCCTTAACAGCCTCGGTCGACAACCGAGCGGAGTGAGGGCGTTGCGGTCTGCTGCAACGAGGAGGGAGGCTTCGCAGGCAACAGTGAACCCGTTACCTCCTACCCCCAGAGCGGTGCCTTCATCGCTGCTTGCAAGCGCGTCTCGCGCTATCGATGAGGTAAAGTGCAGGGCGCAAAGGGCAACCATCTGAAATGGCTGTGCCCCTTGCCAACCGACCGAGCAGTGGGTTCGCAGCCAATACTCCTGAGTGGCTTACTTCCTACGCCGAACACAGTTACTGTAGCAGCGCACGTAGACTCCCTCGCTGCTCTTCTAGTACCCGTGTCTCCCATGGCCGACCCCTGCAGGCCGACCTGTTCCACCCTTTTGAAGTTATCGGCAATGCCTATGTTAACAGCGCAACGGTGGAGGAACGCGCCATTGAAAAAGAAATGCAGCGCCAAACGCTGCTCTTCACTGACCAGGTCAGCATGTGTCTGTGTTGTGTACGGTGTGTTAAGCAAATGGCCGCGGTAAAGTAGGGGGCCTGCGTGGTGGAGAGTGAGAGGGTGAGGGAAAGAGACGAAGGGAAGGGAGGGTCGGTGTACGACCAGCGTTACCGCCGGTTGGTGTTCGGCAGGGCGGGTACATCAGGCTAATGGCCTGTGAGGGCATGTGTCCGGAGTCTCCCCATCCCTTTCCAACCACTCAACCGCTTCCCTTCGCTTGCCGTACAACACCCTCCCTCCCTTCCTTCCTTCCCCTCGTTCACCCCAGCCCCGAGTCACCCGGCCCAACCTCGCAGCCCTGCTCTCCAACATTCCCATCACCGCTGGAAACGGTGGCAGCGGCATCCCCGGCAGCCCCGCCGCTGACGGTTATACGGCAGATGCGGTGGCGGATGCATTTGGGGGCGGCATCAGCACTGGTGGTCTTGGGTTGTCCATGGCGGGGTTTGACGCGATACCTGAGGAGACTTCAGGTACGGAAGCTGTGTGCGAATGCAAATATGTATGTGGTCCTGCGACACTAAAGTGGGGATATGGTATGTGGACAGCTAAGGGGACTCTGTGTGGCTGGGTGGCTGGGTGGGTGTTAGCGGAGGCAGCTGTTGGGCTGGGCTGTGTGGTTGGTGGGCCAATGCAACATATCAAACCCTTAGTTCTCGGAACCTCCCATTCGCTCTCCCAACTTCTTTTTTCCAACTGCCCCTCAGCTGCAAGCCTCCAATACGCCGCCGACAGCCCGTTGCGGTTTGCAGCGGCGGCGGCGGCGGGTGCAGCAGGAGCGGCAATGGAAGCAGCGGGAGGCCCCATGGCGTCAGCAGCGGCTGCGACGCCGACCGCGGGCCTGGGCCTCAGCAACGGCGTTGACAGCGGCGGCGGCCGCAATAGCCCTGAAGGTACGGCAGCAGCCCTTAACAGACAGCAGCCGCCCGCGAGTCCTCTGCAGCGACCGCCAACTGCCAAGCTGCAGCAGCAACAGACAGCTGCGCCAATGACGCCTCGTAAGACCACGACGGGCGGTGACCCATGGTTCGGTCCGCCGAGCGCCAACATTGGTAAGACGTCGAGTGGAGTTTGGCAGCGGCCGCTCAGCGGTCGTCCGGCGTCCGGCGTGCCGTCGTCGCGGCCAGTTAGCGCACTTGGCGGCGCTGGCGGTGTCGGCGGCCAACGGACGTCACCAGCACGTCCCGATTGGGAGGACACGGTTACCGCTGCGTACCGACGTCGTGCCGAAAGCCCGCCAGGGCCAAGCACTTTTCGTCAACCCTTACGACCGCCATCGGCTAGTGTTGGCGGCGTCAATGGCGGTCGACGGGTGTCGTCGACGCGTCCTGAATGGGAAGATTCCGTAACCGCCACGTACCGCCGGCGCGCTGAGAGCCCGCCGGGGCCGAGCATCTTCCGTCAGCCATTGCGGCAACCGTCGGCAACTGCTAATGGTGGTGGTGTCGGCAGCAGGCGCGCGTCGGCGTCGGCATCGTCGCTGGCGGCGGCAGCGCGGCCCGTCAGTGCGCCTCGTTCGTACGGACGCCTTGGACGATCCGTCTCAGCCCATTTGGATGCCGCCGTGTCAGCCACCACCGCCGCCGCGGGCGGCGTTAGTGGCGTCCTCCGCGGCGGGGCACGACGGCCGTTGTCGGCATTGCCTCAGCAGGCAACCGCCGCGACGGCGGCAGCCACTGCAGGCACCATCACGACGCCCATGGCCTCTTTCCGTCAAGCGTCGCTCCTTTCCCCACGTGTTATTACATCTCCAGAAAGGTCGCCGCAGCCACCACCACCACAGCCACCGCCACCACTACAGCCGCCACCGTCACAGCCATCACGGCAGCAGCAGTCTGAGGAACAAGTACGACAGCAGCCACAGCAGCCGTCCGGCACAATGTCGCCGACGCGGCGGCAGCCCACGTCGCCGCCACGAGCCGCTGCCGTTGGAGCGTCGTCTTGGATGCTCACTCGCGCCGGCAGTCCGCCGGGCCGCGACGGTTCGCCTTCGCCGCCGCGGCGACCGCCGTCGGCGGTTGCGACGGCCAGGTCGCGACCTACGAGTGCGCTGTCCATTGCGGGTGGCGGGAACGTTCCGCCGGTGATAGCTGCCGCCGCCGCCGCTGCGGCAGCGACGGTGGCTGATTCCATGGGTCCGCCTCCTGTGTCGTACAGGCCACGGAATGAATTCCTGTACAGCGGCAAAAAGATCCCAAACGTGAGTGTTCTGACAATTGAGGGACGACGTGTGCAGGATTAGGCGGACACACGCAGTATTATGTTGGGAATACTGGGAAGTGACCCATGGGTCTTTGCGGGTATGTCCTATGTGAATTGTCCGCATGATTAGGAATGACGTAAAGCGTGTTCCCCAACCGTAATGGAGCACGTAGACGTCCCTAACGGCCATGATTTGCGTGTTGTACATACCTACATTTCTAAATGACGAAGCCACGCTACCATTATGCATTAACAAAACGCAGAGCATTCGTCCGTTCAGTGCCTTCAGCACTTTGGGTAGTGCTGCGATGGCGGTTGCCGCGGCGTCGGATGACCCAACTTCCCCAACCAACTTTGCCGCCATGGCGAATGACGCCGGAATGGGCGCGTTAATGAAGGAGCTGTACGAGCAACAGCCGGTCTACCACGGAGGGGATGGGCCTATCCGTACGGTAAGCCTGCGGGACTAGTGCGAGAAGAGCCTGAGAGAGGAACTCGTGTTTCCCCCAGGTAGTTAAAATCACCCCCCCTATCGTTCAGACAATGGTGCCTTTTAAATCCCTTACCCTTCAATTGTCATTTGTCTCACTAAGAATGCTTCCTTTCCCACTTTCCCTTGCTGGCACTTCCCGCACACCTTTCCTTCCGAACCACGAGTCCAACCTTCCTTACCTCCTTGACTCTCTCTCTCTCTCACGTAATTGGTATCCTCTTCCCCAATCTCCTCTTCCTAACAAACTGCTGTACGATACCGCATCGTTGTACGGCAGTCGTACGACGTGGTGGAATACTATGCGAAACAAGGCCAGAACGCGCAGATCAAGCTCTTCTACCTGAATGCCCGCAAACGTGAGTGTGCTAGTTAGCTACGATCTATGAATTGTTGGAGCACGGGCGTGTTCAACAGTCTTCGCCATTTTGTCGTCGTTGGACAAGAAGTTTTGAACACGTGTCAGGGAGGCGCAAAAAGGTGACGGGAACGTGGACGGGTGCTGTACCGTACATGCCGTACACTTGCCTGCCTGTCTCCTCGCTCGCTCCTCGCATCTTGACTTTGCCGTACGCCTGCCCCTTGCATGCCTCATGCTGCTTGAACAGCCTCGGGGCCGCTGGACGTGGTGAGTCCCTTTGATCTGGTGGTTGTGCCGTACGAACGGATCGACCGTACGGTGTACTGGACGATGTCGGCGCTGGGTGTCGTACAAGTGGAGCAGGGGAGGTCCGACGAGGGGGAGTTCACACCGCTGGGCGAGTGGATCAGGTGCGAATACGGTAGCGAGTCTGAGACAGCGTGAAGGTATACCTATGCATATCGGAGTACCAAATCTACTGGTGGTAATGTGCCTTCTACAGCATTGGTGTATGGCAAGTTTGATAGGCCAACGACGGTATAGAAAACCAGATGCTGGGTGTTGTTTAGGGGCATGCGTAGTTACATGCCCACATGAAGGGAGCGCGGCAGTTGTCAGTGAATACCATCCGCTCCCTTACACCTTCCCCAACCTGAGCACCCCATCATCCCAACCGCCGCAGCTCCTCACCCCCCCTGGCCATTCCACCACCACCCTCGCAGGCTGACCAGCGTGTACGGCTTGCTCCGAAAGCTGCGCTTCTTTCGGCACTTTTTGTTGTGTCGTACCTTCCAACGGTGGCGACGCAACGTCAATCGTCGCGGCTACGAGCGAATGCGGCGGCGGTTGGCGGGGCGGTTGTTGGCGGGCAGCCCCATTTTCCAACCGCTTCTGTTGCGCGCGGGACAAGTGCTGCAGACGATGCGGGAGACGGCGGTTGTGGCAGTAAGTATTAAGGGGACGATCTGTCATTAACCAGTTAAATCCCGTAGCGTTTCTTCTCCTACGTCCACTTCACCGCCTTCGACACCATCGCATCCCACTACCATTACCACCTGCTTTATACCTGGCACACCACCGTGCACCCATGCTATCATTGCAGTCCAGGCATTGGAACTACGACCCGCGTTGACCGCCGTTTGATGTCCGCTTGGCCCCTAATACAATTCGTACAAACCCCAAGCACTGAAACCACCCCCGCTTCGAAACTCCCAGATCACCTCAAGGCTGGACCGGTTGTATTCGTTAGAGGAGTTCGTTGGGGAGCAAGACCACCGTCGTACGGCGGTACGTGTGTGTGTTTTGGGGCGGGTTCAGGGACAGCGAGGGTATGGGAAGAAGAAAATGACCCGAATGTCGGGCACGGATGCAGAAAGGTGGGTATCTCCCTATGTACGGGTATCGCACTTGGCCGTACCTTCGCCTTAACGTCCTAAACCCGTTGAGACTCGGGCCCTCCGGCTGTCACTGCATGTGGAGCGGTTATGAGTCATGTTATTCCCATCGTCGTCATCACTTCTGCCTGTCGTTTTCCGTACCGGTATTACCAACGCATTTGCTGTCGAACATGTTTCCTTGCCCACCATCCCTCCCTTATTGGCCCTGCTGCATGATAACAGGTTGCCGCTCCGCAGCTGTCAGTGCAAGTGCAGCAGTTGTGCAACGAACTGATAGCGGTTGGTTCGCGGGTGATTAGCGAGCGAGAGCGAATGGAGCGACGGATCGACATCGCCGCCCTGAAAGCCAATGCGGTCGTTACCTCCATTCCGCGTGGCGGTGGCGGCGGCGGCAGCAGGAGTGGGAGTGCCGAGAGGAGGCGGAAGAGGGCGGTGATGGGAGTGGCGGGCATATCGGAGGGAGAGGGGGGTGACGAAGAGGGAGAGGAGGAGGATGAGGAGCAGGAGGGAGGCGTGGTGCCGTTGCCGCTGCTTGGCGGCATGTTCGGAGCAGCCACAGGAGGAGGAGGATCAGGTGGAGGAGCAGGTCATGGCATTCCGGCCTACAAAGCAAAGTCCATTTCAGCGCTCAAGGTAAGGAGGAGAATGGGAAGAGAAGGCCCCTGCCAACCCCGCCCTTAGGATTCTTACCAGTGCATTCGCGGAGTTCGCCAACCCTCATAACCCTCCCTCACATCGCCCCCACAACCCTCCCTCACCCCAGGCCGAGAAGGCGACCATCCTGGCCCGCCACGAGGCCTGGGTGGCCTGTGAGGCGCGCATTCCCTCTGTCGTACGACTGCTCGACTACCTGGTGGCGAGTACGGCAGTGGAGCTGGGGGTACGGGGTACGAGGGAGCTGTTGTCGTACCTGGACAACCCGGCCAAGACGAGGGTGAGTAGGCATCGGTGTGTGTGCTGGGCGCGGCGGTGTGTTGGATCAAGTGGAGAAGAAAACACACCGCCGCCAGTAGGAACGTACCGGCAGTGTGTTAAGAAAACTGGCCGGCAGTGTGTGTATGTGTGTGCTGAAGCGAGCGGAAGAAGAGGAATGGGTATGTGGACACCTATGTCCATACATACCGGTATGTCCAAGACCTTTCATGACCTGCCCGGGGCAAAATTGTTGTCCTGGAACCCTTTTCCTCCACCTCCGCCTTTACCTCTTGGTTCTTCTCTTCCTCTGCAGGGCGTCTTGTCGGTTACCGTTTCCTTCGAGCCGCCTCCTAACCACCACCACAACCATCACGGCCACAACCACCTCCTGCAAAACCATAACAACCACCACAGCCACCACAACAGTCCCAACCACCATTCGTCGGTTAGCCACAACGCCCGCTCCTCGACGGCTTCGACCTTATCTTTCTCAACCGCAACATTAACGGCGACAACTGCTGCAACCGACGCCCTAATGGCGAATACCGGCTTCGGTTTCTCTCCGCAGCTCCGACAGGTACGAGCACTGCAGGGGGTGGTGGCGGGAGAAGGGGTAGAGTGCAGGGTAGCGGGGAAAGAGGTAGAGTGCAGAGAAAGCGAGGCATCGGGTTTTGGTACAGGAGACTCGTGGGTTGGATTTCCTTGGCAGTTGCGACATGTGGGAAGAGGGTAGCCCTTGGCGACGTACTAAACAGGATTAGCTCTGCCTTCAGAGTAGGGAAGAGGTAAAGACGGCGGGAGGGAAGACATGCCGTGCAGTGATGAAACAAAACAAATATTGAAATATATCATATATCGTACGGGTCAAGCATTAACTGGTCGCACGCTACGTGGTAGGGACATTTGGGGTGCTTGGGGTCTCGGGACATCGCGTGGTACTTTTCTTATTATCAGCTCATCACTAACACAGAGGGATCGACTCTTGCACAAAGGACATACAAGTATACGGCATCCCGGCATAAACAGAATGAGCTCTGCCTTTAGAGTAGGAAAGGGGCAAGGGCGGGGAAATTACGGGGCAAGCATTACCTGGTTTCCAATTTCTGTCCCTTTATGCCACGTGACATGCTGCGAGGGAAGAGAATGTGGAGAGCATGGGCCCCGCGGTATGCATTAATGTTTTTCCTGTCATCAGCTAAGCACTAACAAAGGGGAACAATCCCAAGCACGATTCATGTTCAAAGCAAATGCATATGTACGGCATCCCTGCATGTTTGTACATTACCACCAGCGATTATTTTGAGTAGTATTTAGTATTATTTTGGGGTAATAAATAGTATCTTCGCTCGTCGGGGGAAGTATTAAGGAAATCGCAAGCACCGAAGGCGCACAGTACTGCTATTAGCATTGGTGCGGCAGTTGGCCACTTCACGTGCCGTTGAGCTGATTGTTGGCGAGTTGGACTCACGCTTCGCTGACCATACCCTGCCGATCTATCATTATGTGCGAGTAGAACCAAACAGAGAAACACATGCAGCAGCATTACGCATGGGACACAAACGAACGTTTCTGTCTGGCATGAGAGCATCTTAATGTTAATCATCCAGGTAATGCTGTCAAACTCAGTTGTTAGGCACGCTGAAGTTGGACTACAGGGGGGGAGCCCCCCCAGTGCTTTTTTGAAAGAAAGATCGCTTTTCGAGCGATAAATAATTGGTCCTAGGGCCGTGAGAAAGCGATAAGGTGTCTATGCCCAGGGTATCTTATCGCTCACACCCCCAGTGCCAAACCCTCTACATGCTAGGGATTTGGGACCAGGAGGGCACTGGGACCAGTGAGAGCGCCTCCGCATTGGGGTTTAGGGGGCTATGGGCACGTCTGACCCCAGGAGGCCGCTTTAGGAAGTGATAAGCCCCGAAACCCCTCGGCTTGGCTGGTTGGGAAAGCGACAAGCGATTGTCCAGGCCCGATTTCTATCGCTCTAGCAGCGATAAAAATTACCCCCTCGAAAACGTTAACAAATTGCTGGAGCCCCCCCAGTGGCAAACGTTTTGGGTGTAATAAAAAACCAGTGGGACCGGGAAATTTATTACTCCTTTCGTTTAAAAATAAGTCCTCTCGGAAACTGAAAAAAAACGCTGATTACCACCTACATTACTCTTTTTTCCTGGACATGCATCACCTTTTCTGTCCTTTTCTTTTCAGAATTCCCAAAGTGTTCTCTTATCCTTTGGTCCTTCACCCATTTCACATTAAAGGTTACCGAGGGCCTGATGCACGTGATGGATTCCCTGGTCACAATGCTGTCGGAGATGCCGCGGCCCTCGTCGTACAAACCCGTGGTCAACAGGTACGTAAGGAATAGGAATGTAGTCAGGCGTTCCGTCGTACAGACTGGGCCCCGTCATGCTGCTTTCTTTAAAAGGAAAGGAGCCCCATTTGCATGTATGCGTCCTATGCACGGACCGGTGCGGGCTTTGCACTACCTACCCTGCTGCAAATGAGATGATTCCACCCGACGACCCGCCCAATTTTGATAACGCGACCTAGCATTGAACACACCGGTACCCGGAACGTATTAGTTTGCATGTTTGCGCGTACAACACATTCTGACGCTTCCACTTCCGCCCTTTACGCTCCCTAACGTCCTATGTTTTCGTTTGTCATGCTGTGTCTTGCTTCTCCTAAACACTGCCGTTCAAGGTACGTCGGATCTCGCGAGATGTTTATGAACGTCGCGGACATTATTCGACGAGAGCACCCGCAATACAAGGACCTACGGTCTGCCGTACTGGAGCATGCGGATACCAGCTATCACAAGGTATGTACTGCACTAGGAAGGAGTGCGTCGTACAGCAGCAGCCATGCGGTGAGTTTAGTGAGGGTTGAAACAGGCAAGGCGCATGGACCCAATGTATAGGTACCTGTGAGCCATGAATCAAGAGTCTCTGTTTCTGGTTCCTCAGGCACTGGACTACGTACGGGCTACCTTTGAGGACAAGCGACCTATCTTCGAGTTTTCGCTGGCCTGGGATGTAGTGTCGTACGCTAGCGCCTGCGAGACGGCTATAGCGGCTGCAGCAGCCTCTGCTGCAGTCGCCACCGACTTCGTAGTGGGAAACAGTAGCAGCAGCAATGACGGCAACGCAGCTACCGGTGGCGGCGGCGGCAAGTTAATGATGGCTGCAGCTGCTGCGGGTGTCTTGAGCGGCAGCAGCAGCAGTAGCAGCAGTGAATTGCTGCTGCAAACGTTCAGGAAAGACCTGATGCAGCAGCGGCGGTGGAAACGACAGGTAATGTGCGGATGGTATGGGTTCTAGTGCCTCCATGCTTGCTGGACTCAGCTGTTGCACATAACAGTAAGCCATTAATACGGGTGTGGCACAGCGCTCTGCATTTGCGAGAGTACGTGTGTAAGACTGTTAATCCGGGGCTGAGCTATGCACACCAGTCACTCCTAGGCTTAACCGGAGGAATGCCCGTAGAGTCTGCCTGCTCGTGCGTACGATGGATTTGGCAACATCGTATACTGTCGTATGACATCGGCCATGAGAATGAGGTGCCAGCGGGTCTCATGTATTAGGAGTTTGCAGGACATACTTGTGTACGACACCCATGTGAAACACAGGTGGAGCAGATGAAGATGAGCAACACGGTGGGCATCCTTTTCGTGGACAGCAAGAAGATGCGCGCGGGGCTACAGGTAACCACAAAATAAAACGCACACATGGGCCCCTTTATTTTATTCCAAGCCCGTTTGCCGTACAGCTATCCCCTTTCCATCCCTGAATTTTAGACCCGCATAGCCACCTGCATAAATGCCGCTCCTACAGGCCCGCTTACCAAACGCTAGAAGACCCCGAGGCCTTCTGCTTGACCTCTAATATGATGTCAACGAATGGAATTACACGGCGTGCACACGGTAGTAAAGCAAACCCATCCCACCCCCCATCCAACAGGACTCCATTGAGCGCACGCTTGAGGACCTGAAGGGCTGTTTGGTGTCCTCAGCCCGCCGAGCCGTAGCCATTAGCCAGGAGCAGCTGAGGTTCTGGTCGAGGGAGCTGGACCCGCGACCCGCGGATCTGGACGGGTACGGCGTTAATTGTCTCACAGTACACGATGCACATTGTGTCGTACGTTGTATGGAATCTTTACAAGAATTCGTGGAAACGAATACAACACATGATGACAGTTGGCATTTTCAATGACATGTGTGTATTTAGGGCGTAGGCGCTTGTGAGGCTGTTCGTGCACGCAACCATGTGTACATATGTACTTCTGCAGGTATGCGAAGATGCGGGAGCTGTACGACAACCTTCTGCTCGTACGGGACAGCGCATACAAGGTAACAAAGACAGAAAAAGACGACACCGCAAGCCTGACGTTACCGACGTTCGCTATATGTGGAAGGAAACCAAAGATGCTCTTTAAACCTGCAGAGAGAACCCCCCTGTACCATGTAAGACCTTATACCTTTCATGCCCTCTGTACCAGACGGTGGGCGTGCGGGCCGAGCTGTACGGCGGGAGCTTCCTTTCCCTTGTCCCAAACAGTAAACCTCCCCTTTCCCACGCAGGCGGTGGACGTGGCAGCTGAAATGTACGATCTGTACCGCGATTACGGCGGCCGCACGGATGTGAAGGACGCGGTAGCCTTGGAGACCATGCACGAGCTGGCCTTGCAGGTGGGGGCCAGGGAGGTAAAGAGTAAACAACTAACTGACTGAGGGATAAGGCGTCGACATGGGTTGCAACATGTGAGCCAGCCCGACCCGCCCAGCCCGAAAGAGCGAAGCCAGTACGTGTAATGCACTTACCAGGGAGGGGAAGGATCGGGGGGACACGGTGCGCGTTACGTGCATGCATGCTTACCTTAGGCCGAACGCGTATCATATAATTACTATCGCCTAAGTATCTTCTTCCTGGTTCCTTGATTTGACTCTGTTGACTAGGTCCGGCACGCCTACTCCAGTCGTTGTCGACTTATGCCGCTTTGCTACACGTCTTTCCCGTCGCCACCGAGGCCGCCAGTGCATCTCTCCTCTTGTCCCTCTCTCCCCTTGGGCTATGGGATTGGGGTTCGTTGTTTCACTTTTATATAATTTTCTCCCCTTGCTCTTGTCCGTTTAGTACATGCGGTTCGTACATTGAATGCACACACTCCAACTCTTGCACTATGTGCACGCATGTTGCGTGTAGGTCCGCGGCCAGATCCACGATTTGGGCGTGTGGGTCCGAGACCGCGCGACCGCAATGACCATGGACCTGCGGGCGGCCATCCAGGTATGTACGACAACGCCTTTTGGATGATCGACGCAGGGCACGATCAAGGACAATGGGAAACTTACACACAGAAAACGCGTCTTGTAGAGTGCAAGTAGAATTGGGGGCAATGAGTATCCTGGCTCGGCTGGGCCTTACGGGCCTGACGCCTGTATCTGCATGCGTACATTTCGTTTCGTCCTGTTTACCTCGCTTGCTTAACGCTATTTCATGGTGCCAACAACCCAACATGACCACATACCACATACATAACCACTTGAGACGTACGCGTACTGTACGACGACGCATACCCTCTTACAGGACCTTTCGGCCAGTATCGTACAGCTGCTCAACGACCTCACGAACCCCGCATTGGCGGACCCAGACAGCGACGTGGGGGTGAGTGTGGGATACCGTATTTGGGCGCATCATTGGCATCATAGGCGGCGCGATGGAAGGCGGGGATGGTGGTGGTAGGCGAAAGCCAGCTTCCATACATGGCCGGAGGGTAAAGATGTGGGGCCGCAATTCTGTCCAAAGTGACTTAAACGCTGCTAGCTCCCTCTTAATAATACATGTAGTCAAGTATTCTCGAGGTCGTCCCCTTTCACATGGGAAGATACGAATTTCCGTATGTTGTGCGGCGAACTTTCCCACAGGAGATCCTGGATGCCATATCGCGGCTGGGTGTACGACTGGAGGAGATCGAGGAGGACAACCGTCGCTTCATCCACTACCAGGTGCGCAAGCTCACATCCAGGCCAACGGCTTAGCATGAACGGTGCTCAGCGCTTTAAGGCTTAAATACGGCTTAAATGATGAGCGCGTGTGTTTTATTTGAACAATTAGCAGGAATTAGGTATTTAATTTACGTTCTTGGCTGTCTAGTGTGTGTGCCGTTGGGTTAGCATAGAGTAACCCGGCGGCTTTTGGTATTACATAAATCCAAAGTGAAGTGAAGTGACAAACCTCACTCCTCTTCCCTTCCCCAGCGCCTCTTCGACCTGGCCCCCGAGGAGCCCAGCAACCTGGTGCTGGCTAGGCGGGAGTTCGGGCGGCGGCAGGCGGCCTGGAACACCCTGGCAGAGTGGAGTGAGTGAGGGGTGGGGGCTAATGTGGAGAAGGGTGTTTGAGGTAGGGGGTTGGAGAGGGACGGTAGGGGTGTAGATGACGGGGTGGAGAGGGCCGACCCCTCATGGTGAGTGGCGGTAACGGGTGTTGGGCAGTCTGGCGGGAGCGGCCTGGCCGGATTAACCGAGTAGTGGAGGGGTCTTGGGTGTTGGTAAAGGGTTTAGAACCTTAAACCATGGCTGGGAGAGAGCGGTGAGGGGGTGGAGTGGTTAGGTGAAAGGAGGTATTGGCAGGACATGTTGGAGAATGGGGTAAGGAGGGGGTGGGTGGTCTGTCTTAGAGAGGTCTGCTTTCAGAAGACCCTGAAATTCTAACCTTCCTCATCGACTTCCTACTCCCCACAGGCGACCGCACGGCAACCTGGCTTCACAGCCCCTGTACGACCCTGGATGCTGAGGCGGTCATTGCTGCAATCGATGAGTTCCATCGCTCAGCATACAGGATGGCTAAGACGGCTCGGGAGGATCCAGTAGTGGCGAAGGTGAGTTACGTGTCCCGGATGTAGTCCCGGTACCACATCCTGCATTTTGCCACACAAGCCCACAGCTCACGGACGGCAACAAATTCCTCCTCGAACCGCTTCACACTAATATTATGCCCATGCTCATTTCTCTACCGGTAATCTATTCAATCTCTTTATCTAACGTTTCATTACCTAACAATGCAATTATTCCCCGACGACCCCCAACTACCCAATCCCTCTCCCTCACAATAACAACAGCTCAAGGACGACATTGAGGCCTTCCGGCGCTTTACGCAGCTCTTCACGGACGCGTGCAACCCCGCGCTGCAGCCTCACCACTGGGAGCAGATACTGGCACTAATGGGCAGGCCGGGGGAGCTGGTAGGTTTGGGAGGAGCGAGCGGGAGGGGAGGGTTTGTGTTTTGGGGCGCCTGTATGTTTGGGAAGATGAGGATGAGGCAGGCAGGTACTGGCGCTGCTGGGCAGGCATATTACACTTTGCTCTTCATCCTTTGCGTTGTCGCGCTGCAGGATCCGGACGATCCCATCACAATTGCGGATCTCATCGAGTGGGGCGCGCTGGACAACGCCGAGGTCAGTGTGTGCCGTGTGCTGTACATGCGTAGCCCGCCGTGCCAAGATTGGGCAGTATTGGATTGTAAACCCACTTCGTTCTCATCTTCCCTGCCCCCTCCAAAGCAACTTTGCCTTCTATGCCTAACGTCCCTCTGACCAAGTTGCCTCTATCAATCTCGCAAATTGCTCGTGTGTCGCTCACATTGCTTAATCAGGCTCTCTCCGCCATCAGCGGCGCCGCCTCCAAAGAGCTCTCCCTGCGCAGCGCGTTGCGGCGCATGAAGCAGGAGTGGGAGGGGGTTGTGTTCCAGATGGTGCCATACAAGGACACCGGAACCTACGTAGTGGGCCACACGGACGAGATCCAAATGCAGCTGGACGAACAACTTATGAAGGTCCAGGTGGGTGGGTCGTGGGCCGATGAGGTGACCCCCTGGGTCACTCCGGGGTTCACATACACAGCGGCGCTTAAAATTATACCTCGTTCCTGTCACTATCCATCTCGTTTTACCTTGCCTTCCTCCGTCATCTTCTTGTTGCCCTGCAACTTACAGCTTTAGCCTCAAACCTTACTCCTCCTGAACCTAAACTATCTCTTTCTCTGCTTCAACCTCCCTGCCTGCGGCGGCCCCGCTCCCATCCCTTCCCTTGTTCCCCCTCTTCAGGCCATGAATGCCGCTCCATTCGTGAAGCCTTTCCAAAAGGAGGCGGAGGAATGGCAGGCCACATTGGAGGGACTCGGGGTGCGTGTTACCGCCAATCTCATGGATGGTGGCACTCCTTTTGCTTGCGGCGATCCATCAGACGCTATTACTGCCAGAGCCGACCCAAGGCGGCCCCTTACCTGCCCGCTGCCCCTTACCTGCTTGGTCTCCGCCGTCAGCCAGCGGTGATTTGCAGAACTTACGTTGTTGACATCTGGTCGATCTTCCGGTGTTATGGTGTTTACTTAACTGGGTACCCCACGGCCCCTTGGACTTCCCTCCCCCAGGAGCTGCTGGAGGGCTGGTTGGCGTGTCAGGCCACCTGGATGTATCTGGAGCCCATCTTCAGCTCGCCGGACATCGTCAAGCAGATGCCGGCGGAGGGCGAGAAGTTCGCGCAGGTGGGGGGGGGGGCGGTATTGGGGGGAGAGGGTTGGAGGGAGGAGGTAGTCCGAAAAGGGACGGGTATTGTAGGGGTTTTCACACGCACGCATTAAGGGCAGGGCATTTGGCGGTTTGGTAGATCCTGAAGGAGGGTTCTTTCCTCTCAAAAAACTACACATTTAGAACTGCAGTACTTATCTGGATGCACCTAAATCCCTAACACAGGTGGACGTTACCTTTCGGTTGTTGGTTGATGACGTGGTCGCAGCCCCTGGAGCCATCGCTCTGGCCAAGGATGCGGACCGGCGAGTCGCGCTGGGCATGGCTAACCGACTGCTGGACGTGAGTTAGTTGGGTGGTTGGTTGGTTAGTGGGTTAGTACCACACACCAGTCTATCGTGTGTGGTACACTCGAGTCACCTGGAAATGAGGCGTCGTCGTTCCCCTCCCAGCCCCTCCTTCCCTCGCTAAAACCCTCACTGATTCCTTGTCGCCCTTTTCACCCCTACTCCCTCCCTTCTCCACCCATGTCACCCCCCTTATTACTTTCCAGGAGGTCCAGCATGGCCTGTCTCGCTACCTGGAAATGAAGCGACTGCTCTTCCCGCGCTTCTTTTTCCTGTCCAACGACGAAATGCTGGAGGTGAGGTGTGGCCTGGTGTGATTGGATGACTGGCTACGTGCCGCCATCTCAGGTCTTGTCCCTTGGCTAACTCTATCTGCCTCCGTCCTAGGACAAATCGTGCCATATTCCAATGTACCCACTCCATTGTTACCACGCCCCACTTCTCTTCTGTCTTTTCACCCCCTCTCCTTCCTCACCCAACCACAGATATTGTCCGAGACCAAGGATCCCACCCGCGTGCAGCCGCACTTGCGCAAGTGCTTTGAGGGGATACACCGACTGCATTTCGAACCGGGGACCAACGGCCACGTAACCGCCATGCTCAGCCTGGAGGTAGGAACTACTGGACAGGGCCATTGTTAGTGATAGCGGCAGTGGCAGCACGTGATAAAAATCCATTGACAGGCAGTGAAGGAAGGACATACATACATTTCGGGAAGTCGATACTTTTTACCTGGGAAAGTCAGCGTCGTTGTCAATCTTATCCGTTAATAGCCGTGCCCCTTGCCTATCTTTGTTGCAAAAATAACCGTTCGCTCGCGCCTAATTATTAGGAGACCGAGCAATGCCTTCCGTACATTGTTTTGGTATTCCAGCCAGCCCTCGGGCTCCAACAGGTCCGACCACCATATGCATCCCCATACCACCCATACTACCACACACATTTCCCAACCCGCCTCTTTCTTCCCCATCTTCCCCTTTTTCACAATCCTTCACATCCCACATTGCCTCTTCCCCAACCCCAGGGCGAGCGAGTTTCCTTCCTGCAGTACATCAATACTGCAGCAGCCCGGGGGCAGGTAGAGCAGTGGCTAGTGGAGGTGAGAGGTTTGGCGGTGATGGGAGGGGAGGGGAACAAACTGGGTTGGGGTTGTGTGTTTGGTGGCCCCGCACGTGTTGCAGACATTCATGTCGGTTAAATCAGTTACCGCTGCATACCCCCTTCCGATGACACAGCAAAACATAAGCGCCCACGTGGCCCCACGCCCCACCCCTGGTTTCCTCTGCCTCAATAGGTGGAGTCGAGCATGTTTGAAGCGGTGCATGACGTCACGGGCAAGGGCATTGCAGACTACGCAGCCTCCGTGCGCAACGCCGCAACCACCGCCGCTGCAGCAGCAGGCACCGCCTCGACTGCTACAGCCGGGGCTGGGAGTGGCAGCAGCGGCGGGGATGGTGGGAGTAGTAGTCGGGGTGCAGATGCGGATGGTGCTGAAGACGGAGGAGCAGCAGCAGCGGCGGCGGCAGCGGCAGCAGCGGAAGCGGCGGGAGGGCGACGGGAGTGGGCATTGCGGTGGCCCGGTATGGTTGTGCTGCTAGCGGCTGGCGTGTTCTGGACACGAGGGGTGGAGGAGGCGATTGCGGCGGGGAAGCTGAAGGTACGGGTTGAGTTGGGTTGGTCTTAACACACTGTAATGTTGCTCTGCCGTGCCACTTCTGCTTACCGCAATAGATCGACATATTTCTTCTTTGTGCCTGCCTTTGAATAAGAGGTACGGCCACACAGTCGTATGCATGATTGATTGTTCTGCGCGGCCTGCTTGCGGACTGGATAACTGCATTCTGTAGTACATTCATGTACTGATGTCCGCTTGCAGGAGTTTGAGGAGCAGTGCACGGGAGAGCTGCGGGAGGTAAGTTGTGTTGTGTTGAGTTTGATTTTGTCACGTTCTTTTTATCAATAGGCAAGGTAGGATGCGCGTAATAATTGGGCGCAGCAACACAACCGGCTCTTCACTGGCCCTGATCTTGCACTTTCCGGTATTACTTATGGGGGGCTTGCATGCAAGCACATCTGGTGCAAACACAAACGCGTCCAAACTATGCTCCCTCTTCTGCCTTTAACCTTCACAAACTGTGCCTGCCTCCCACCCTGTGCCCCAAACAAACAGATCGTGGACCTGGTTCGTGGCAACCTCACCTCCCTGCAGCGAGCCACCTTGGGTGCTCTGGTGGTGATGGACGTGCACGGGCGGGACGTGGTGACCGGACTAGCGGAGGCGCGTGTGGCGGCGGCGAGCGAGTTCGACTGGCAGGCGCAGCTGCGTGCCTACTGGCAGCCGGGCGACGTGGGTGTTGGGAGCAGCAACCGCACGCAACTCTTTATCTTTTGCATTCAACTAATGTGCCAAACTCACAGCAACCATGATACCCCTACTTCAGCATAGCCATGATCGCACATATGGCCATGATGATAGGGTATGCACTAGGGCAGGTTCGTCCTTGGTTGTTGTTGTTGTGCTTGATAGTATTAAAGAGCGTGGAGAAGAGTTGCCGCAGCAGCTTACGGATGCTGACTGCAACCTTGCACCAGCCGGCGGCTATACAAGCCCACCTAACTCCGTCAAGCTGGACTACCACCAATGCCTCCCATTTAATCCGTCTCCTTTCCCACTGCCCCCGGCTGCATGCAGGGCAAGCCTATCCCTGGGCAGCCGGAGCGGGAGTTCACTGCGCGGTGCTGCATGATGAGCGCCTCCCTGGAGTACGGCTACGAGTACCTGGGCAACAGCTCAAGGCTGGTCATCACGCCGCTCACGGATAGGTGAGGCGGTTATCCAACATCACCTCCATGCGTGTGGTTTAATTCAGCTGGTTATAAAACCCCACAGGCTAACATTATTTCCTCCACTCCTGTTTCAGCTCTTGCTCCCGCTCATCTGCTCCCGCTCCCACCCGTATGCTCCCGCAGGTGCTACCGCACGCTGATGGGCGCCATCCACCTCAACCTGGGAGGAGCGCCGGAGGGGTAAGTTGGTGGGTTGGTATGCCGCGTTTCAGCGTTTGGTGAGAGGTTAGTACCAATTGATGCTGCAATGATGCCCTTAACCCTCGCTGGCGGCCCCTCACCACACTCTTCGCACGTCACACATGCAATCGCTGTCCCTCAACTCAGAGATCCCCTCGACTGTCCACTGCACCCTCCCTGCCCAGTCTCTCTTTGCTGTTTAGATGCCCACGAACACTCCAGACGCCCCCTCCCTCTCCTCCCCAAGCTGACCTGAATCTTTCCTCCCTCATCTCTACAGCCCTGCCGGCACCGGCAAAACAGAGACCACCAAGGACCTGGCCAAGGCGATGGCGCGGCAGTGTGTAGTGTTCAATTGCTCTGACACGTTAAACCACCTGGTGGGTTTGGTGGTTAGGATATTAGCTGGTTTAGTGGTCAAGGGTAGTAGGGGTCGTAGCTCATTCAGTGAATAATAGCTGGGTAGGGGAGTAAAAGTTAGGGCTACGGGGTTTGGGACCCTGCGCAGGTTAAATTTAACAGACTGAACCTTCTGCTGTGTATTTATTGCTCAAAAAGGACATGGCCAAGTTCTTCAAGGGCTTAGCGGCGGCGGGCGCCTGGGCATGCTTCGACGAGTTCAACCGCATTGACCTAGAGGTGCTGTCGGTGGTTGCACAACAGGTGAGTGGGTTCGCGTGTCATACAAAGTAAACGGCATGTAGCAGCCCGCTGCACACAATTATTTACAGCAGTGGTGGTCAGGAGGGCACTTAAGCATATTTATGTTGCCCCGGTTGACAATTGGCTGCCCATCATCTCCTTGCCATACATCTCTGTTACCTCGCCGCAATCACAGGTATTGGAGATCCAGCGCGCTATCGCGTCGCGACTGACCGTCTTCTCTTTTGAGGGCACCGAGTTGCCGCTCAAATGGAGCGCCTGGGTGGCTATCACTATGAACCCGGGATACGCGGGCCGTACGGAACTGCCGGACAACCTCAAGGTATGTGTGACACTGTACATCTCTGTTGCTAAATGGTATGTAATTGCAGTGTACGATGTAATTACGACTCAGCCATGATCAACAGGCGCTGTTCCGGAGTGTCGCTATGATGGTTCCTGACTATGCCATGATTGCGGAGATCATTCTCTACAGCTACGGCTACATGGCGGTGAGTTTCTTTTGGTTTATGGAAATGTTTGCTGTCCTGTAGAGTTGGTATGGGCAGGATGTTGCGTAGTGACGCATTTAGTTGTGAGCATTAAAACGTTCACAGTAAAGTGCGTCTCTGATGTGAGCGTGTCAATGTATTTGGGTGCATCAGTGTTGGTTGTGGGTCAAGAGCAATACAAGCTTTTTTCCGTGTTCTTTAGTAATGTTAGGTACAAAAGATGTACAGTACTTTTTATTCATGTCCGCGCACGCACTCACAACCACGTTGCCCCTCAGGCTCGCCCTGCCGCCAAAAAGATTGTTGCCTGCTACAAGCTCTGCTCTGAACAGCTCTCAAGTCAGGACCACTATGATTACGGTACGGCATTTCATACACCTGTGCGGTAGAGACTGTAGAAATATGGCATGATGGCCATTGTCATATAATTTGTTTAGACGGCAACGACAATGCTCTTTACCTTGCCGTTCATGGCGGTTAGTTTGTATAGATAGTATCTAGTGCCAGCTTTGCAAGTCTGCAAGGCTGACTCAACAGCACCATCAACAACGCGCGCGTAGCCAGAATCCTTACTCCAAACAATTACATACGTCCTTCAACCTCATGTGTGGACGCAGGCATGCGTGCCGTCATGGCGGTGCTGAGGGCGGCTGGCAACCTCAAGCGGACTGCCACTGCTTCCGCCTCCACCACATCTACAGCTGCTATTCCTGCGAAGGAGCTGAGCCAGGAGGAGCAGGTGGGTGTTGGTATGGTTATTTGGTTTCCGAAAATGTTGTGACATTACAACATAATAGTACGGAAGTTCTAGAGATACTGGAGCGTTTCTGTTCATATTGGTGCCTACCGATCAGCAATGGGCTTGCTAACCGCATCCCTATCTCCAAGTCTGACCCATCGCCTCTGTCCATCAGCCAACTATGTGTTAGTAAGACATCAAAGGCATCCTGTGGGTAAGCGTTTCACTGTTCCATTCTCACTATTTTATTCCCACACGCACTGTAAGTACGGTAATTGACACATGTACTACAACAGGAAACCGAGGAGCTTCAACTCATCCTAAGATCCATCGTGGATGTCAACCTCTGCAAGTTCCTGTCCCATGACGTTCCGTTATTTAACGGAATTGTGTCCGATCTTTTCCCAGGTATGGTGCTGTTAGTTATACAAACATCGGTGGGCGTTCTGATGGTCGCCCACCGCGTTCTGATGGTTGGGTGTCACAATGTGTTGTTGTTAATGTTGTAGCGTCATCATTGTTGCGCCTGTTTTTCCTAATGGGCAGCATTCTGAAATATCCCCGAAGTATAGGTGCGATGTGGGCGGTATCACAGTGGGGTGCTCTGGTGGTCTGCTCGCATCTAATGTCCTGATACTCACAACAAATGTCGCTTGGAGCCGATGAATGGCACTGTAGCTTCTTCTGATCATCGCGCACTTCCCCTTCTTGGAGTTATTCTTTAACATCGCGCAGCGATGCAAGGAATTAATTTCAGGTTCGCGCACGGATACCCCTGAATTAAACTAGTTTCACGCAGCCAATGTCTTTCCCGCATTTCGACCGTAAAAACCCTACATTGTAAGCTCAGATTGCCAAGGCAGCTATACCTAACACCGATGCTCTTCGCTGGGCATACGAGCATGCAGCCATGTGTTGGGCTAGCTCAGTTGGAATGGGGTTGGGGCGTGTTGGGGTGGGGTGTAGGGTCCCCCAGGGGTTTCCATAACTTCGCGCAGGCCAAAAAATAATAAAATAAATTTTCTGAATTTGCGCACCCCTTTGAGATATTATTTCATTTTGCGCGAAAATGCAGATGTTTCCATAATTGTTTATTTTTGCGCGATGATATTGCACAACTACGGTAAATCACTTTAAGCGCCCTATGTATTTGAGTACCATCAATCATCTCTACGCACGGCAGGCATTTCTCTGCCCCGCACCAATTACGGCCCACTGGCGGCGGCGCTGCGGTCCGCATGTGAGGATGCCAACTTGCAGCCCACCGAGTACTTCCTGCTGAAGGTGAGTACATTACGCACGACATAGGGAAGGTAGAGGGAGGAGGAATGTAAGGGGAAGTGAGAGAGGCGTTACGTGAAAGGGGAAGAAGGGGGGAATGGTGCGACGAACATGGGATGAATTGCGGTGGAGTCCGTTGAGATATCTGAGCGCTTGGTATATCCTCTTTGGTTACCCCAATAATAATAGTAAGCATGTTCGCCACACGGACGACCCCATGCAGGCGACTCAGCTGTACGAGATGGTGCTTGTACGGCACGGCCTCATGTTGGTAAGTGATCCCATCTTGCCACCTTGCTTGACCACTAAATTCGCCCTTGGCATAATCCACCTTCACTATGCATGCGTGAGGTTGCTGAAGAAATATTGCATTTAGGACCTTCCACGCCCATGTGCGCGCATTATCTGCACATTGTTCACGCAAACTCAACACGTCACAGGTGGGCCAGCCCTTCTCCGGCAAGACCTCTGCCTACCGAGTCCTGGCAGCGGCGCTAACCCGGGTGGCGGAGGACCGAGCCGCCATGTCGCGTCAGAGCAGCAGCCGCTACCACCAGCGCAGCAACAGCAGCCACCACCTCGCCCGCAATCAGAGCTCAAGACTCCACCGCCTGGCTAGCACCAAGCAGGGGCAGGGGCAGCAGCAGGGGCAAGGAGTGGGAGGACCAGGGGGAGAAGGGGGAAGCAGCGACAGCTCCAACCCGCATGCGCATCAGGTGGGTCCTGGAGGTCTGTGAGGGAGTGGGGGCAACGGGATGTGAATCGTGGGGTGTGCCGGAATAGACGCGGTTGGGAGGGTTGGGTTTAAAATACCATGGCGGAGGAGAAGGTATTAATTTTGGGCTTAAATGCTGCTCGCCTGCTCGCTATGAAAAGCCCAAGGGCGCATTACACATTTCATTCCTTTCCTTAAACCTTATTTGGCACCTTGACCCGCAATCCGCCGGCAGGTCCGAGCCTCGGCATTCGTGCTCAACCCCAAGGCCGTTACGATGGGGCAACTATACGGACAAACCGATCCGGCGAGGTGTGTCGTACAAGAGCGGACCAGCTGTACAACGCCGACATCAACACGCCGTAATTTACTTCTATTAACCCGAACAGAACCGATAAACTTAACTCACTCGTCCCCTTTTTCGCCTCGGCGCCTCTATTCTCTCCTGACACTCCCCCCATCGCCTTGGACTGTCCCCTTCTGCTTCATTTCCTACCCAACGTCTCCCGAACCAACCCCTATCAAACACTTTGCAGCCAAGAATGGACCGACGGTGTGCTGGCAGTGCTGTTCCGCCACGCAGCCGCCGACCCCTCCCCCGACCGCAAGTGGCTGGTGCTTGACGGTCCCGTGGATGCCATCTGGGTGGAAAACATGAACACCGTGCTGGACGACAACAAGAAGCTTTGCCTTAACAGCGGCGAGATCATCGCCATGAGCCCGCCCATGAATTTGATCTTCGAGGTACGGTGTGCACAACGAGTGGCTCATTTACCTTGGCTCAGTTAGCTTCGTTCAATGACCATCAATGCACGGTGTCATTGAGGCATCCATAACCACCAACAAATTTAAATCGCACACACATGCAGGTTGGCGACCTGGCTGTGGCCTCCCCCGCCACCGTCTCACGCTGCGGCATGGTCTACCTAGAGCCGCACCAGCTGGGAACCGCCCCGCTGCTGTCCAGCTGGCTGGCAGCACTGCCCGGACACATGGGAGGAAGCGGAGCAGGCGCAGGAGGGGCAGGAGGGGATACCGGAGCAGTAGCAGGGGCAGCAGGGAACTTTGAAGGAGGAGGGGCGGCGCCGGAAGCAGGAGGGGCGGAGTCGCCGCCAAAGTCACCCACAGCTGTTATGGGGGGAATGTCTGCAGCAGCGGCGGCTGCGGCAGCTGCAGCGGTGGCGGCGGCAACGGCTGCGGCTGCGGCTGCTGCTGGATCCGGGGTGCGACCCCGGCTGACGGCGCTGTTTGAGGGGCTAGTTATGCCCACCATCAGGTAAGCATGGCGAGACAATGCCGGTAAAAAGACAATGCCGATAGAACGAAAAGGTTATTTCGCTTGGATAGTATCTAACTGGTTCACTAGGTAACCGTGTAATATTGTAGGCTAACTTCCAAGCACATAATTTTGCCTCACGGAAATGTGTGGATCGTCTTTGCTACATAACGCAGTATATGGTGGAAGGCCGCTCCCAGACGCCCCAGCCGCTTGATGTTATCATGCATTTCTGTACTAATTCGCCCGGGCCCTTGTACGACACAGGTTTGTACGACGTGAAGTGAAGGAGGCAGCTCCTTCTCTGGATGCAAACCTGGCTATGAGCTGGATGCGGCTAACAGAGGCGATGCTGATACCCGTCATTGGTGAGTGTCACCCTAGGGATTTTTCACTGGGAATTTCGAATGGGAAGTAAGGTCCACTACACGCAGTACGGTGACGTGGTTGTCTTACACGGTAACGATGTGCTGCTACATGTTTTCATTGACCGGCTCTGGCTACTAGGCAGGGGCAGTGATGCTGAGAATGGCTGATGGTGAGTGATGTATCGGAATTAGCAGAGTAAGGTTCCGCATGACTGTATGTGTACATGCATCTGGAGCCTGTCGCTAGTATCCAGCCCTGCATGGACAGCAGTAATATTTGCTCACCTCTCAAAATGTATGAAACACGTGTTTTTCGTGTGGTGTACTTTCGCTCGCCACCGTACAGGCACTCCTGACCTCCTGCTCAAGGCGAGCGCCGAGGGGCGGCTGTCAGCGCTGGTGGACGGTGCGGGCCTTATGGCGCTGGTGTGGGCGGTGGGCAGTACGGCTGCTACGCAGGTGAGAGCTGGGGTGACAGTACTAGTCACTATTGTACATCAGTTCCTGCATCGTTCCTTTATATCCTTTATATGCTTTCTAAACAGTCTTTCACATGACGGTTTCTTCTGCATGAGCTGGTTCCACGGCCCCAAGTCTTGGCCACAGATCCTCACCAACCCCAACCTCCTACCAACGTAACGTCACTTACCGGTATCTTCATGATGATGAGGCGTTGGTCACCAAGTGCTGAGTTCCTTCCATATGTTATGCACTCACATGTTACTAACACCTTCCAAAACTCATGTCAACCATTTCCTACTGTTGCAGGAATGTCGAACCCTGGTCGACGGCTTCATTCGTCGCGCACTGTCAGGGACTCTAGCTGGCCTGGAGGTGCCATCGGGCCGCCACTACGGCATCACGGACGCGCCTGTTGTACCACTGCTTTCCCCCGCTGCTGTACCGCCTGAAAAGGGGCTGCTGTACGACTACATGTTTGACATGTCGGAAGGCATCTGGGTTTCGTGGACGGCACGGTTCGCATCGGGGTCCCCCGCCATTCCCCCAGATGCAGCGTACGGCAGCATTCTGGTCCCCACGGCGGATACGGCAGCTGTGTCGTACTTGTTGTCGACCGCCATTGGTGCCAAGTGAGTGTACGGCACTTCATTACTCAAGCATACACCTTCCTTCACTACCCTTGCCATTGCACTCTTTTCAATACCTTCCCTCCCCCCCCATGCTCCCCTTTCTCAGCCCACTTCAATCCTTCCCACCTCTCCCTACCTCTACCCCTCAGCATTTTCTCTCCATCAACCCTCCCTCCCTCCTCTAGCAAGGACAAAAGACCTTTAAGCCCTCTCCCCCTCTCATACAGGTACCCCTTCCTGCTAATCGGCCCTACCGGCACCGGCAAGTCGCTCACCATTACCCGGCTGCTGCTAGGACTCGAGCCCGCTACCTTTGCGGCGCCCAACTTCCTGGGCTTCTCAGGGCAAACCAGCGCCAACACCACGCAGGTGGGTGGGGGATGTCGTTGGAGTGCCCTCAAATGGGAGCAAGCCCTGTTAGCAAGGAGGTTTCGTACGTTCTGCTCTTCCTTGCTGTCAAGACCATGCGTCCAATCCCGGCTCCTAACAAAACATTCTACACATAGACAGCTTGACAAATGGACTGGAGTGGCCACTGTTGTCACATACATGCTTCCCCACCGCTCGCCCCTCATCTAGATTTCAACCCCCTTCCTCTTCTCCCCATCTTCTTAAACCAGGGCCTCATTGACGCCAAGTTGGAGAAACGGAGGAGGGTGGGTGGTGGGGCCCCATGCGTGTTATGCAAGTGTGTCTGACAATATATCACAATTCCTACATTCAATTCCTGTATTCAATTACTTGGATGTAAACATGTTAGTGACACCATTACCAAACCGTCTGCCGAACTGACGTCATGTTATTTTTGGCAGGGAGTGTACGGCCCTGTGGGCGGTCGTAGAGGGGTCGTCTTTGTGGACGACCTCAACATGCCACAGGTAAGATTTGTTATGGCCGCCAGGTTTGGGGTAAGACGATGGACATAAACGACGAAGTACGGCACATGGTCAACGCGTTCAAGATAGTAAACAACTGTAAAGACTGTATTGATATTTCTGGTTTTCGAGTATTATATTCTTCTCATTACAACAGTAGTATTAGGAAAGAACATGGCCCCTAAGGAGCATGCGCACGCTATGGAAGGAGCACTCAGGAATGCAGGACGTTTTTATGCATTGGTTATTGCATGTGCCGTGTTGTTGCTGCATGCCACTCCCCATGCAACAGAGGGAATTGTACGGCGCCCAACCGCCTATTGAGCTGTTGCGTCAACTGCTGGATCACGGCGGTTGGTACGGCAGGGACAACTCCTTCCACACCATCCAGGTTAGTGTCACAGTAGCCATGTCGCGTATGCTCGTTTGCACCTGTTTGGATTGGTGGTGTGATTAGGAGGCCTAGCATATGGCCCGTATACGACAGTGTACGTCCACCTTCCTACAACAGCCTTTTCAATTTCCAGTTTAACGCAACAACTAGCTTTGGATTCTGCAGGCCTTTGTAGCCTCTATCATTTGTTCCAAAACTCGTCCGGCCCCTCTAAGGAACCCTCAACCACCACCACCACCCTTGTAACAGGACACATTGCTGGTTGCCGCCATGTGCCCACCGGGGGGCGGCAGAGCGCCCGTAACCTCCCGCTTCACCCGACACTTCAGCTGGCTTTGTTTGCCAGAGGTGAGGAGGGAACAGATAAGGACGAGAGGATGCAGGTTTCTTGTTCGGCATTAGGAAGCCGTGTCCACGTGTATTGTTTTCCCCACATTCTTCCAGCTGGCTGTGGGCATGCTGTGTTGTGTGTCATGCAAGTTAATTGACAAGTTAATTGACACTGATGGCAAAAGAAACTCATTCGTGCTGCTTATCCGGTTTTACACACGACTCCGGGCGCCTGGCTTCATATTTGCTTTCATCTCATTGACATATTCATATTCCCAACGATAAACCCCATCCCGGCCACAATGTGGAAACCCTCAGGCCTCCCGCGCAACCCTGACGCACATCTTCAGCACCATCCATGGCTGGTTCCTCACGACCCGAGCCTTCCCGCCTGCAATAGTGGAGCTGAGGTGAGGAATAGAGGCAACGGAGAGGTCGGAGACTGGAGGCGTCGTTGGCTTGCCCTTCGAAACCATGAATTTACTGATTAATTTACAAGTATCACACTGTATTCTACACGGTGAGGAACGCTGTTACAATCACATCCACACTCACGCGCACGCACCGCTTCATCGCTTGTGCACACATACAGGGCTTCTGTCCTCCCGCATGTATGGCTTCGCTACCCTTTCACCCCCTGGACTCCCAAAAGTAGTTTACGTTCCCTTCAGAGCGGAGCCCATCCATGGCACACGCCCACAGGGGCTTCTTCATTGCTGCCGCATTGCAGGTTGCTGCTCACCCCACGGCTCGCGTTTCCTCTTCGTTATCTTAGCTTTCATTTTATCAAAGCCATTCCCCTTCCCCAAACATGGTTGTGGCATGCTGCCGGTATTTTATATTCCTTTCACCCCTCATCACATGCACAGGGATTCCGTGATCGCTGCCACTCTGGAGGTGTACGGCACCGTTGCCGCACAGCTGCTGCCCACCCCTTCGCGCAGCCACTACACCTTCAACCTGCGGGACTGTTCCCGAGTGGTGCAGGGCATGCAGGTAGGGAGAGGCGGGGGCGATTGAACCCGTTTTATAATTTGTTTTTGCGTTCGGAAGTATGCAAGTTTAGATAGTGCGCGGCAATCGTAGCCAGCAGTGTACCGCTTAATGGAGCAAAGCAAAAACGGTCCTAACGGCCCTGACGCTAACAGGCCCAAGACGCCAAAGCGCTCCAAAGATCGGTAGACATCATGCGGCCGTACATCAGCCGTACAGCTGCTGCACCACCGGCTGGCGATATGTACGGTCACAATGCCAATGGGTTTGAGGATAATGGCGGTGGCAACGGCAGTATAAGTAATACATCCAACTACCACAACATCCATGCTAACAACCTGGCCCTTCGGGAGGCGCATGTACGGCTGTGGGTTCATGAGGTGCTGCGAGTCTTCTACGACAGGTGGGCTCGGCTGCCTTCCTGGGTTAGGGCGTAACCTTACAGAGGAAAGAGTCACGACCACAGACGGTTGTCAGTCTTCCATACCGCCCACTATCTTTAATAGCACTCTGGACATTCCGGCTGTGCGTGTATGCGTGTTATGCGGACAACCATTAAGCGCCTGCTTGTTGTACGCATGCCCATGCGGCAGGTTGGTTGACGTTTCGGAGCAGCAGTGGTTCTTGCAGTTGCTAGGGCGGTTGGTTTCGACGCATTTTGATGTACAACTGGACGAGCTCCTTACACACCTGGCTGACGAGGAACAGTCGGCAGCAGCAGCAGCAGCAGGAGCAGGAGCAGCGGCAAGGGAAGGAGCGGCTGTGAATCCGGACACCATCCGCAGGTGCTTGTTTGGAGACTACATGACGGAGGGAGACGAGGAGGGTGAGAGAGGGCGGGACACGGGCTTTCGTGCGGGGGGCACATCCCTCTTTGGGCGGGCTGACGCACCAAGACTCTTAGGATAAGTGGTGTGTGGTTGTATTGAGCTGGAAAACCCGAAACCCAGCAAACAAGTTTCATTGCAAAAGATGGACGCATTTTTGCCCGGCTTTTAGGATGTAGTTGTGCATTTAGTATGTTTGCTTGGGGTAAGCAAACTACAGCATATAGCATACAAACAAGCACGTACCACATGCGATGAAGAGACTCAAACTCCCAGGCAGAATGCACCTGTAAGAGCAGACATGAGTCCATGTGTAATGTCTTGTCGCACCACTCTCGTACTGCAGGTCCCAGGCCGTACTTGGAAATTCCCCGGCCAACAACCAATGCGGTATCCCGGCTAGAAGACCTCCAAGCGGATTACAACGGTCTGGCAACAGGCGGTCGACAGCACCTGAAGCTGGCAATCTTCTTGTATGCAGTGGAGCACGTGACGAGGATTGCGAGGTGTGTATTTTGAGTACGGCCGCTTGCTTATGTAGCATGCGTGTCCGAGTACGTCAGACTTGTAACATGTTTTTTGTTTCGTGAACCAACAACCATATAACAAGCCATCTGCGCACTCCATACATCAATCCCTTTCCTAAAGCATTCCCTCCCCTATCCCCCAAAATATTCTCACCCCTCCCTCCTCCCCACCTCCGTCTTGCAGGGTGTTGCGCCAGGAAGGAGGTCACGTGCTGTGTGTTGGGGTGGGCGGCAGCGGGCGACAGAGCCTAGCTAGGTTAGCGGCCTTCACATGCGGCATGGACGTGTTCCAGGTAAATGACCTACAAAGTAACATCCATCACATTTTTTGTTTGACGTGTATAGTAATTTACAGCACTCCTCTTTCTGTACGTCACTGCACGTAAATGTCGTACCCGGGTTTGGGCGACCAGAGGATCGCGGTTATCCATTCCTCCCTCCATTGTGCTCATCATTTGTGAATGGCAATCCCATTTCTCAGCTAGTCCAGTTCGCAAGGTAAACCTGAAAACAGAACACGACGCACTTACTGATGCGTAAGAATATTTAAATGCAGGTCGAGATTGCACGCGGATACGGCTTAAACGAGTGGCATGATGACCTGCGGCGATTGGCTCGCCGTGCGGGTGCCGAGGGTCGCCCCACGGTGTTCCTGTTCGGTGACAGCCAGGCGACCCAGGAGAGCTTTGTAGAGGACGTAAACAGCCTGCTAAACAGCGGGGAGGTAATAGGGGGGAAATGATAAGAGGGGTGGAGGTGCAGAGAGGGGGAGGTGGAGATAGGGGAATGCCGTTGGCAATGGCGGTGAAAAATTGCGCTTATAAGTTTCCTTTATCCGACATATTGCTGTTACCAGACCTAAGCCTTATGAATGCTACCCTTTATACACCCCAGCGCAAACGCCTCTCCTCATGTTTGCATCACTCCAATGCGTGCACATGACAACACAGCCTCCCGCCCGCCCATCACCCCCAATGGTCTCTGAATGCGCTCACTGCATGAGTCGGGATTTGGGATTGGGACTCCTTTGATGCATTTATCTATTGTTTTGACCATCAACCCCAACACGGTTCACCCCGCCGCCACCCGCAGGTCCCTAACCTATTCCCCTCGGACGAGCGAATCGCCATTTGCGAAGCTGTGCGACCAGCCGCACAACGCGCCGCCGCAGCCGCAGCCGCAGCCGCCTTTGCCGCCGCAACGGAAGCGCACATTAATGGCACAGCCGACAAGCAACAGCAGGCAACTGCAACATCTGGCTCAACCTCATCTTCATCTGGAAGTTCCGGGCACGACACACCGGCGGCACTTTGGGCTTTCTTTATTTCCCGATGTCGCGCCAACCTTCATGTGGTGCTGGCATTCAGTCCGGCAGGGGACGCGTTTCGGGAGAGGCTGCGGAAGTTTCCCTCGCTTGTCAACTGCTGTACGATTGATTGGTAGGGTGGTAAAGCGACGGTTCAGACTTAGCAGATACTGGTAGTGGGTGAATCGGTTCCGGTCCATATGTACACGGTTCCGTAATGGGATGTATATCACTTGACGGACACCCTAAGATGAATTCAAAGGAGGACACATTTCACGTCCAGTCACCGGTTAGAGCATCGTAAAGTATTTTGCCACCTCTATGGTGATGCCCCCAACCCTCCGCACTCTCTCCCCGTTGATAAGTACTCCCCACCATACTTCTACCGAGCACCGACCCCCCCTTCCTGATTTTACGCCTGGCCACTATCGCAGGTTCCACGCCTGGCCAGATGATGCGTTAGAAGCGGTTGCCGCCAAGCTGCTGTCGGAGGCTGACATGCACAAGAGTGAGTCCTGTCCCAGTCGTGGTACGGTCCCTTAATAGCACGTATGCCCTCATTATCTAGGGACATCCAATCCCTATCCCGTGCTACTACATCTCCAATAACCCGTGCACTCCCCGTCGGCCCCCTGCCTCCTTCCCTCCCTCTCTCCTTCCCTCCGCCAGGCCTCCTCGTTCCCATCAAGGGGCTCTGCAAGACCTTCCATGCGCAGGTAGGGGGCAATGTGATGGGAGAAGGTGTGCCGTACGGTATCTGGCTATGAGCCTGGATGGCAGAAGTTCGAGGTGTGAGAAGTTTGTTTGCCTTGTCACGCCGTGCCTTTGCGGTTGCAGCTCCCCATCCACAAGGCTTTCTTTGCCTTCTCGCCGTACTGTAACCTCATGCTGCTCTTTGCGGTACCGATGCCATACCCGGTGTCCACCAGGTCTCTACCGTATCCGACCAGTTCTGTCGAGAGACCGGGCGGTACAACTACATAACGCCCACCTCCTACCTGGAGCTCATTAGCAGCTTCGTGCGGCTTCTGGCGCAACGCAAGGCGAAGGTGCTAGGGGAGCAGCAGAAGTATGAGGTATGTATGGGCTGCACGTGCGAATGGACATGTGGTCGCTCAAGGAACCCAAACGCATTGTTTCCACGCCCCAAGCAATTGTTTTCGCAACCTCAACTAGAGCGGTCCGCTACGTAACTAGCTTCAGAAGATTACGGTTTGCAAAGATGTGGTTACGCAAACACTGCCGTTACTACATGCTGCTGTGACCCACAGAACGGGCTTCAAAAGCTGCAGTCGACGGCCGACCAAATCTCAACCATGCGGAATGAGCTCAAGGTGGGTAGTAACGAATCTGTGTGTGTTAGGGAGGATTACATTAGCAGTGAAGCACTGGAGGGAGGGGGGCAAGGTAGGCCGCCAGTCAGCAAGTGCCCTGATTGCGGGGATTGTGTAGGTACATATGCATTTGTGTTATACCGGTAGTTTATAAAATGTGTTGTGTGCAAAATGTTACAAGGCAGACGTTTGCGTTTGCACGACTATCGACAGGATCTGGGTCCCGTACTGACTCGTACGGTGGCGGAGACGGAGCAGCTTATGAAGGAGATTGCGCGGGAGAAGGAGCAGGTGAGGAAGGGGTTTGGTGGGGATGGGGTAAAGGGAATGCTGGCCAAGTTTTGCGTGCCTTCCTGGGGTTAAAGCATTGCGTTTATTGGCACGGCAATGGGGTCGGGCCATTAACATGGCTGTATAAAGCCATGGGTGTCCTTGGGTGTTCTTGTTCGCTTATGGTCTTTGGCCGCCGCGAGGTTGAGGAGCCGCAGACCGTGACTCGTTGGGCCCCACACCTTACATGCCCAGGGCACCGGCATAACCGTCCCCGTACAACTCCTAACTGCCGTTTCCGCACTGCAGGTTGTGGAGCCGCAGCGTGCGTTGGTGGACTCGGAGGTTCGTGAAGCCGACAAGACGGCTGCAGCCGCCCGGACCATCAAGGAGGAGTGTGAGACCATTCTGTCGGAGGCGCTGCCCGCATTGGAAGCTGCGACACAGGTAAACGAGCGAACCGATTCGGGGGCAGGGGGCTGATAATGAGGAAAAGGTTGGCAAAGGGAGAACAGTAAGTAATGGCGGAAAAGTGACTGGAGCTAACGCCGGAGAAGCCTGTTCATTACTTAGCACGTGTGGTCCTGATCTCCCCTCCTGGCTCTTTGACCCCCCGGGTCCCTACGCTCCCCGTCCGCCTCTCCCACTCCTCTCCTCCGCGCCGCCCTCCACCCAAAGGCCCTGGACACCATCAAGGCTGCGGATATCAAGCTGGTTCAGACATTTAAGAGTCCGCCTGCCGCCGTAAAGCTGGTGCTAGAGGCGGTGTGTGTGCTACTGGACGTGAAACCAACACTGCTGCCCGATCCCAATGTGCCGGGTGAGTACTGATTTTACAAGGGGGATTCCTGCGGGGTGCAACGTTGTTTCGCACGCAAGCATTAAACCCTGGGCCAGCTTCACACCAGGCTGGTAGGCTAACTGTACGTCTCCACCTTCCTCCTAACCGTATTCTCCTCTTGCTCCACTTCCCCCGCTCCATGATTGTCCATGTCTGGAGGGCGATCTCTGGTCGTCTGGCGGTGTTTCCCCTCCTGTTGTATTGCAACGCTAATTTGCAAAACAAAACATCTGAGCCATTCCACCCCGCTTCTGCCAACGACCCATGGGCCACCAGGTCGCAAGCTCGTGGACTGGTGGGACGCCTCCAAGCGCCTGCTTATGGATCCCACTCTCATCCCGCGACTTAAGGAGTACGACAGGGACAATATCCCTCAGAAAATTATTGACAAGGTAGACTTCCCATATATTTGTGTGTTCGGAGGAGTCCGATGACCCAAGTATTGAACAATTAAGGAGAAAAAGACTTTGCAGTCCGACCCTGTTGCAGGCTTTCTCCGCAGACAAGGATTGTGTCGGCATGATCGACGCTCAATACATTCCCTCATTAAGCCGCTAATTAGAACAGCGTTTCAGGGGCATAACCGCCAACGGTGGAATGTGAAATAAACGAAAGAAGCCGGGAGGAGCGCGCAGACGATCGAAAGCAATAGTGCGGTGCAGGACCCATAAGCTGAAGGTGTAACCCCTAACCCCACAGGCCACAACTTGCAAAACGAAGCTTCACAAATTACATTTACTGTGTCTCTCTACTAACGAAATGGAGCTGCTCAGAGTCTGTACGCCATTACCAGCACTTCAAGATGGCATTATGTTAATACCGAACATAATGAACCACCCTAAACTCCCAGCCCCTCTTGTCTCAAACCCCAATCCCCAGGTCCGCAGAGAGTACACGGGAGACCCCGAGTTCACCCCAGCCAACGCTGCCAAGGCCTCCAGTGCGGCTGAGGGGCTGTGCAAGTGGGTGCACGCCATGGACCAGTACGACAGAGTGGCCAAGGTACGTTACAAAACACTCTTGTTTGGCCATTGGATTGTGGTGATGACAATTTGCGCAATTTCCTTTGGATCCTGGATGATATTAAAAACCGGTACACATGGGCTCTCCCTGTTGCAGTGTCTTGGGGTAACAAAGAATGCAAATGGCAAAATGGGTTGCCACCCGGTTACATTGGCCTGCCTGCATATGGGTCACTTGATAGATTGATCCATGGGTTTGCCCAATTCTTCCCCCGCTCCATTTCCTTCAGGTGGTGGCTCCCAAACGCGCCGCCCTGCTGGAGGCCGAGTCCAAGTACAATGCCGTACTGTCGGGTCTGCACGGCAAGCAGGCTGAGCTGCGGGAGGTGCAGGAGCGGCTGGAGCGGCTGGAGGCCAGGCTGGCGGAGAGCCAGGAGCGCAAGGCGAAACTGGAGGTACGCGCTGGCGTATGTAGCGGCAGCATAATTTCTTGGATTCATGGGTGAAACTGAAATATTCCCCTTAAAACAGGCGGGCGAAACACCATGATGCCTGGGCATAAGGCATGAGAGCATATGTCCCCGACATTCATTATTGTCGAAGCATGATGACGCGGGACCTCATGGTTTTCCAGACTCCCCTCCTCTCATCCCTCTTCCCTCCCACCTCTTCATTACCCAAAACCCCATCACACGCCCTGCTCGCGGACCTACTGGGTGGACCCTCCTTCCCAATGTGTGCCAGGCCGAAATTGCCACCTGCGCGGTTAAGCTAGAGCGAGCGGAGCAACTGCTAGGCGGTCTGGGCGGGGAGCGGGAGCGCTGGCACACCTCTGCCACCCGTCTAAGGGCCCTGCAGGGGGCGCTGGCGGGGGACATGTTGCTGGCGGCGGGGGCGGTGGCCTACTTAGGCGCCTTCACTATGCCTTACAGGTACGGGAGTAAGCGATACCCTGGTACATGACAATGTCGGCTGAATGACTTTTATAGGACTTCCCACAGTCAAGTCACGACGTGAATTTTTGTTTAGGGACAGCAGATACGTTACAGATGCATGCAGCCCAACATGGCATAGGTTCCTTCACCCACTCCCTCACTCGCACTGCAGGGACCGCACCCTCGCCCTGTGGAGCGCTGCGGTTGAGGCGGCGGCCGTGAGGACCTCAGCCAGCATGGCCCCCGCTGCTGCTGCAGCTACAAGCGGCGGCGGTGACGGTGATGGTGAAGGTGGTGGAGGCAGCAGTGGTGCGACTGGTTTCTCCCTGACTGCGGCCCTGGGTGACCCGGTGACGGTGAGACCCTGACGCTGGTTATGGTGGGCATCTAAGCTTGCGTGTGGATGTATGAAAAGCTGTGTGTGGGAGTGTTTGGGGGCGCCTCCGCTACTCCCTCGGTTCCCCCACTTGACCCGTGGGCTCGCGAACTGAATTGGCCATGGACCGCCCCTTTTTTTGCATAATCACTAACTTTCCCGAACTCACTTCAACATCAACCCACCCTGCCATGCCCGTCATTACCCTTTACTGCAATATGCCCTCTCCTGCATTATGCCATTCCTAATCCACTCCTGTACTCAGATTCGCGACTGGGTAATTCATGGGCTGCCAAACGACTCCTTCTCCATCGACAGTGCCCTCATCGCCGCCGCTAGCCGCCGCTGGCCGCTGTGCATTGACCCGCAGGTAACGTGCGAGGACAGCTAAAGGGGACACATCCTAAACGGGGTGGGGGGTAGAGGGGGTAGGGGGCGTCGTCCTGGGCGGGGGATCGACATGGTGGCTGACCCCCTAGGTGAAAGAAATTAGGACTCGTGGAAGGAAAGAAGGAAAAAGGTATGATGGAGGGGAAGGGGGCAAGCTATTTATACCATCGCCGTACTGTACGCTGTTTTCACGTCTCACACCTTAGCGAATACAATGCACGGCACAGATGTATGGCAACTTTGTACGACAACCACGCAGGGTCAAGCTAACCGTTGGATCAAAGCCATGAACGAGTCCAGCAAAATAAAGGTGAGTTGTTTACGATTGTTGGAGGTGGTTATAAAAGCGAAGTATTCTCCACTAAAAACGGAACTGAACATCGGGCGTGTCTTTGGTTACTCCTCGGCAGTCAGCCACTTGATAGAGATGAACTCTGACAGCCTAAATTATGGTTCATATTGTTTTGCCCTGTCTACAGGTGCTCAAACAGAGCGACCCCTCTTACCTCCGCTCTCTGGAGTCCGCCGTGTCGCTGGGCCTGCCGGTGCTGCTGGAAGGGGTGGGGCAGGAGCTGGACCCCTCCCTGGACCCCCTGCTGCTGCGACAGACCTTTAAGCAGGGCCCTACACTCGTCGTACGACTAGGGGACAACCTAGTGGAGTACAGCCATGACTTCAGGTGGGGTTTCGGGTCGGTGAACGACAAAGGTTGTATGGGATGGGATGGATCATACCACAGAAGGGTTTCAGCGTTTGCTTGACTAGAAGAAGGCAGGGCTTCATTTGGGGGAGGTGGTTGATGCGATGAGGTGTACGGCAAAGGGTGGAGTTGAGGGAGTTTTTATGGCAAGGGTTATACCACAAGAGTTGTACGTTATCCGCTCACCTGCAGACGACGAACACTCCATGGATCCAATCACTTCAAACGCATGAATGAGGAGGATATTCTTGTATTTCCCCCGATCACCTTTCCTGTCGCCTCCCCCATCCATCCCTTTTCCGACACCTCCCTCGCTCCCCCTCAGGCTCTACATGACCACCACGCTTCGAAACCCGCACTACCTGCCGGAGACTGCGGTGAAGGTGCATCTGTGTGTTCAGAAAACTGGCCGCAAGTGTGTGTGTGTGTGTGTGTGTGTGTGTGTGTGTGTGTGTGTGTGTGTGTGTGTGTGTGTGTGTGTGTGTGTGTGTGTGTGTGTGTTCATGGAAAATAAAGAACTTTGCACCTGCTATTGCGTACGCAATCTCCTCAGATCCTTTATAACGCCATATGCATGCATATGCTCCTGTTCGTCATGTAAGCTTGTGTAAATGCAATGTTGCCGATGACCTTACCTTGCCGTACAGGTGACTCTGCTCAACTTCATGATCACCCCCGAGGGTCTTACGGACCAGCTGCTAGGGGTGGCGGTGGCGGCGGAGGAGCCGCAACTGGAGGACCAGCGGCAAACCCTGGTGAGTGGCCCATGGGTTGGTGTGAATCCTTATCACACATGCCGTGCTGCATCATAAAGCCAGCCCTCACATGTCCCTTGTGCCACAGAAAAACGTTGTGTGTCGTTGTACAAGCCTTAGCACAAACCACCATGTGTGTCGTTGTACAAGCCTTAGTACAAGCCACCATTTGTCAATAATGTGTAACATAATATAGGTTGTCAGCGGTGCGGAGAACGCCCGGCAGCTGGCTGAAATTGAGGCTCGCATTCTGGCGGTCATGTCGGCCACTGAGGGGGACATCCTGGAGGACGCCTCGGCGGTGGGGGTGTTGTCGGAGTCGAAGAGGGTGAGCTTAAAAAAGGGGGGAGCGGAACTGAAGAGGGCTCACATGGTTAGGTTGGGCAGTACATGCAAATCTTTTCTGTTCTGCTGCTTGACAGCTTGGCTACACCCCGCTCTTCGGTCTTTGCCCCCTGTTAATTTCCATGTTGTTACAACTGGGTACCTTGCCCCCATCGCCACCACCACCACCGCAGCTCTCCAACGACATCTCAGCCAAGCAAGCCGTGGCCGAGCGGACTCAGGTGAGATGCTGGAGCCGTGGATGGAATGAGGGCGGTAAGGTGGAGGCGCCTGTTGTACAGCCCATGCTCGTCACTCACTCCCAATCGCACAAACAAGCCCACCTCTTCTCCCCTGCGCCCTTACCTGAAGCCTTTAGGGCTCCCCTCGCCCTCAGCCAAACCCATCCTTCAGGTCGCCCATGACTCTGCTTGTTGAACACCTATTTTAGCTCCAAAGCCAAAACCCCCATGCAACAATTACTTTTCCGCAGGCCGCCCTGGACGCAGCCCGGCGGCGTTACGGCCCGGTAGCCGAGGTGGCTGCCACCGTGTTCTTCGCCATCGCGGACCTAGCGGGAGTCAACCCCATGTACCAGTACAGCCTGGGCTGGTTTATAGGTGAGGGAAAAGGGGTGAGCGGAAAGGGAGAGAAGGTTGGGAAACGTAGAAGAGAGGAGAGGGGAGCTAGAAGAAGGTTACTACGTGGGTTTCCCCAAGCTGCCAAACACGATTCCATTATGGGTGATTATGATACATTCCTGTGCATTTCGCAATGTTGGCCGCTATGTTGGCGGATCACTATTGCCCTCGCGCCCTGCCTCCCATCGCTTAAATTCAGGTCTCTTCATTAAGAGCATCCGTAACAGTGCAACAGAGGCGGCAGCTGCTACCGCCGCTGCTGCTGCCGCAGCCGCTGCAAACTCCGTCACACCGTCCATCTATGGTGGCGGCTTGGGCGGACCGCTGGGAGGAGCAGGTGGCGGCGGAGGAGCGGGAGGGCCATTTGGTGGTGGAGGGGCTGGAAGCGGTGGTGGGCTGGAGGGAGCGGCTCTGGAAGCTCGTCTCGCTACCATTGAGAAGCACTTCCTGCTGTCAACCTACCGAAATGTGTCCAGGTAAGAGGTCGATGGCGGGTAACATGCAGAAAACTAGCTGACCGTGTGACAAGGTCGAGTGGGGGTGCGTGGGTGCGCGGGTTTTGTTGGCTGACTACGGTAATCGGTGTGGTATGACATTATCCATCTAATATTTTTCAAGAGGTTTAAATGTGTAAAACGCTCCTGTCCCGCGTATGTCCTCCCTGTTCCTGCCACCGCCTCAGATCCCTCTTCGACCGACACAAGCGGCTGCTGTCCGTGCTGCTGGCCACCCGCCTGGCCCAGCGCCGGGGCAAGCTGGGACCGCCTGAGCACCTGCGCTTCCTCATGCACGGGGCTGGGGCCACGGGTACGGCAGCAGGTGCAGCGTCTGCTGCGAGACCCTCAGCAGCCGGGGGGTCTCCGGTTCGGTCCAGGTCTTCGACTGCCACAGGAGGAGGGGACATGTCAGGAGGAAGAGAGGGGCTGCTGGGACAGCCCCCAGCGGGTATTCCGGAACGAGCCTGGGCGGAGGTGCATGCGCTGGCGGCCATGCCGGTATGAGCGGGCGACCTGGCAGCGGGAAGGGGTGCTGGGGGTGAAGGGGGATAAAGGTTATGGGTGCTGGGGTGGTAGGTGAGGATACGGCGGGTTAGAATGGGGAAAAAGAAGCAAAAACAAACGTGGCGGGCATGGGAGAGAGGAAAGGACAGTGTTCGTGGTGGTAGAAATGGAGGCCATAAAGGCCGGAGGAAAAGGAGGAGGGTGTCATGTGCTCCCCGTCACAACCCAATCGCCTTCTTGTTCCCCACCCCGTCCCGTCTCCCCCTTCTCTTCCTTCCCACTTGCAGGACGGCTCCTTCTCCTCGCTGCCCACCCACATGGCCATCAAAGCCGAGGAGTGGGCAGCACTGGTTGATGCGGCCGACCCGCACGTCTGGCCGCTGCCCGACCCAGTGGGCAGGTGCGGATGATGTGTCATGTGAAGTGCATCGGCCTGCTCTTATACCGGCCAATCCTTACAATGAGCTACCCCTAACCTCCAGCATGCTTACCTGTGCAGTGCTTACCTTTTAGCCTGTATCCGGCTGCACACACGCCTACCCCTGCTTCCCTCCCTCTCGTTCGCTCCCTCTCTACCCCCCACCTCACCTCAGCATGCTGACTCCATTCCAGCGCCTATTAGTGTTTTGCTGCCTGTACCCTTCTTCCCTCCCAAGAAATCCTGCCCGCTCCGACAATCGGGTCGCTCTAACCCCTCCTTACCTCCTTCCCCCACTCTTCCCACAGCATGCTCACCCCCTTCCAGCGTCTTCTAGTGCTCCGCTGCCTGCGCCCTGACAAGCTGCTCCCTGCGCTGGAAAGGTGGGTGGCCGCTGAGCTCGGCCCCGCCTTCATCTCCCCGCCCCCCCTGGACCTGGAGGCGGCGCTGCAGGAGGCAGCGGAGGATGGCAACGTGGCCACACCCATGCTGGTGGTGCTGGCGCCGGGAAGCGACCCATGGGTCACCATACTTCGATGCGCGGAGGCGCACGGACAGGCCAGCAAACTGCAGGTACGATGCAATTGAGTGTGGGCTGAGCGTTGCAGTGGTGACTTGCTGTTCATAACAACATCATCCAGCATCTGCGTTTTTACCCTTCAAACCGTCTAGCCCTCAAGTATGCCCAAACCAGGCTTCGGCCTTATCCATTCCTCCTATCCAGGCATTGGCTGTATCCCAGCCTCCCGCCTGCCTTATAATGCCATCAATGTAATCTATCCCTATCCCATCACCACCCCGCAACAGGTAATCAGTCTGGGCCAGGGCCAGGGCCCTCGTGCAGAGGCGCTCATCGCTGCCGCCCGGCGCATGGGTCACTGGGTCCTGCTGCAAAACTGCCACCTGGCGCCATCTTGGATGCCAACCCTGGAGCAGTGCTGGGAGGCGCTGCGGGCTGAAACCACGACCTCCGGAACCGCGGGAAGTGCGGGTAGCAGCGGTGGCGGAAGCGGTAGTATGGAGCCTGGGTTTCGGCTTTGGCTTACTTCTGCGCCTTCGGCCGCGTTTCCGACGTCGATGTTAACGGCGGCGGTCAAGGTCACGTGGGAGCCGCCGGCCGGATTGCAATCAAACATGTTGCGGAGTATGGGAATGGAGCCCCTGTCCGACCCGGCGTTTTGGGAAAACCGGCATCACGCTGCGATTGATGGCAAAAAGGACGACCCTAGCGACCGTCAGCAGGCACGACCAGGACAGCCTTTTCAGCAGCAACAGCAGCAGCGCCCCTCGTTCAAAAGGGGCGGCAGCAGGCGGCAGAGCGGAGGTAACACGAGCGTGCGAGGAGGAGCAGGAGGAAGCGGTGGTGTCGGTAGCAGTAGCAGCAAGAAGCGACACAACAGCAGCGCTACGGGTGCTACGGGAGCTGCTCGATCCCCCTCACCTCCTACGCTTCCTCCTTGGCACGAAGCAGAGGACGATGCCCAGAGTGGTGCTTACGGCGACAGCAAGGATCCCAGACTGAGGAGGCTGCTATTCGGGCTCGTCTTCCTGCACGCTGTCGTACAGGAGAGGCGGCGCTACGGGCCCATCGGTTGGAATGTGCCGTACGGTGAGTGTGTAACTGGGAAAGGTGTGACGTCGCCCTTTGCCGGTGGGAGTGCAGTTGTGTGGTGGTAAGGCGCTAAACCATGCATATCCAAGGTCCAGGTGGCAGGCGGCATGTAAGTAGCTGCTTAGTTATGCATGCCGGAATACTTCAAATGGCCCTTTCCTATCGCTGTGTGGTATACCGGTAGGCTTTCTTCCTACCCTAGCCTGCTCGTTCCATTCCAACCATCCAGTCCTGTTCCGATTGCCGACGACCTTTCCCTACCCTATCTACAATGGCCTCTACCTTAACTGACCCGTAAGGCTTCGACGACGGCGACCTGCGTATCTCGGCTCGCCAGATGCGCATGTATGTGATGGATTGTACGGCAAGGGGTAACCCACTGCCGTACGCGGCATTGCGGTATGCCATTGGGGAGTGCAACTACGGTGGAAGGTACGACGTGTATACGACAGGGTTTCCAATAGCCTTTGTGGACTAATGGGGAGCGGAACAGCTGTTACGGTTGCAACTTTACGTAAGGTTAGACATGCCGTACGTTTCGCAACTGTGCAGGGTAACGGATGACCGAGATCGACAATTGCTGTCGACGTTACTTCGCCGGCTCGTGTCCCCAGAAGTCGCGGAACGACCCGGAAATGTATTGCTGGCGACCTCCCAACCATCGTCAACGGACAACTTTGATGGTGGCGGAGCTAACGGTAACGGTTACAGTGACGGATTCAGCTTCAATCCCGTTGGTGGTGGCAGCATCAGCTTCAGGGAACGGAGGGGTAGTGTAGAAAGCAGAGGCAGCAGGGGCAGTGGGGAAGGAGGAGGCGGAGGGGTTGGTCCACCGGCACCCGCAATAGATGCGACAGAGGCAGCACAGGCGGCAGCGATGTCATCATCCGCGGTGTCGAGGGTGGCGGCCACATCGGTTGGGGTGTGCGTGCCGCCAGATGAGGGTGGCGTGCAAGGGTGGGTAACGTCTATCGCACACATTTCTCGGTCTTGTCACTTCGACCGCTGCAAATTCTCTCCACAAACTGGGTTTCCAGGAATAGGGACGGATGAGCAACAGAATCAGTGCTTCACTGCGTATATGCGGGAACTCTTGCCTCTGTGGCCATAATCTGGGCATTTACAACATAAATGTTGATGCACGGCATACCCGCAGGTACACGTCGTACATTTCTTCGCTGCCAAGCTCTGTGCTGCCGGAGGTGTTCGGACTGCACTTGAACGCCGATATCGCTAAGGTGGGTATGCGAGCAGGTCGGTATTGGTAAACGTGCCTCAGGTGTCTAAGCCCTCATCCCCGCGGGCGTGTGTGTGGCGTGTGCCTTACTTACAGTTGTCAAAGCGTATGTGATGATGGTGTCCGGATAGGGGAAGTGTGTTTGCGTAATGCCACATGAATGTTGTTTAAGTGTTGCGAACTGGCCGCCATTGATGTGGCACTTTGGATACCTGTAAATTCAGCTTTTGCTACAACCTCTAACTTGTAGCAAAGAGCTGTCGTTATGGGACAAACTGCTCATCTGCCCATCTCCTCAAACAAATCGTACGGGTATCCGCCGATGCATCCAGGCAAGCATATTGCTTGCTGACCAATTTGCACAAAGAGTAATGTTATTCAATTACACAAAGGATATTGCTATGCATGTGCTATCCATGTCCCAACATACAAGCCACCTTCCTGCGATGCCGCTATGAATCCCCAGTTTACCCCCGGGCCCACCCACCACAGGACCTCTCCACCACAGCTGAGCTGCTTTCAAGCCTTGCTGCAACAAACAGTAGCATTAGCAACGGTAATCGTGGCAGCAGCAGTAACAGCAGCGGCAGTACCAAGGATAGATCTTCCTCCTCTGGCGGCGGCTCTTCGTCTTCTTCAGCGGTTGCGGAGGGGGTTGGGGAGCTCTTGGATCGGTTGCCGCCAGATTTTGATACTGAGGCGGCGGCAGCTGCCTTCCCTGTGCTGTATCATCAGAGTCTGAACCAGGTATATGCGAGGCTCAGGTCCTGATGTTGAGAATAATATCATCTAACATATTGAGAGATATAGTGTTGAAAGATGAAGTATTCTGGTGTAAAACAGCCATGGATTACTGCATTTGCCATCGATTCCTCCAGCGCCGCCTTACTAACCCCGCTTTGCCCACGTTTGCGCCCGCTTTGCCCACGTTTGCAAACAAACTACAGGTTTTGATTCAGGAAATGGTACGGTACAATCGGTTGCTGTCCGTACTAAGGTCCAGTCTGACTCAGCTCTCAGCCGCACTAGCAGGCCGGCAAGTCATGAGTGCAGATCTGGAGGGCCTTATGGCTGACGTGGCGGCAGGGAAGATGCCGAATGCTTGGAAGGTGCGGGAAGGAGACCAGCTGTCGGGTCTTGGTGATCCGTGCGGTTCTGCCTTGCTTGGATCTCAAGTAGGCGGCAAGGGTGCTGATGTCCCACTGCTTGTGGCCTGCGCGCTTAGGAAATTGTTTTCAACTCAACACCCCCTTTTCCCTCACTCCGACCCCCGCACAGCCTCACTCCTACCCCAGCCTCAAGCCCCTGGCCTCCTTTATTACCGATCTGCGGCAGCGCACCGGCTTCCTTTCTGACTGGGTTGCGGAGAGGGCGCCGCCGGCGGCATTCTGGCTCGGCGCCTTCTTCTTTCCACCCGCCTTCACAACGGCGGCTCTTCAGGTGAGGCGTGAGGGTGGCGAGCCGTTTCGTGGTCGTAAGCCAGGGCTGGCGGCCAGACTGACTTCGTTGGGCGCCACTTGCTACCATCCGCGCGCCCCTGGTGCCCCTCCCGCATCACGGAACCCCCTGACTCACCCCTATCTATATTTTCCCCCCTGGATCCCCGAAGTCGCATGCTCTCCTTGTCGACCTTGTGTTTCACACTATGTGACGTTCAACTCTGTAAATGGTTTACATGGGTAACTGTAAACCCATTTAGGTGGGTAAATGGATAATTGTCCTTTACTCATTTGCCCCTCTCCATGTTTCCCCACTCCTCTCCCTGTCCAACCAGAACTTTGCTCGCCACCACGTGCTGCCCATCGACGCGGTGGGATTCGATTACGAGGTCCTGCGCGTGCAGGTGGGTATTGGGGCGTGTGTGTGTGTTTGTGTTGGGTGTGGAGTATGTGTTGGGGACAGGGTTCGCTTGTTTTTAGGAACGAGCATGTGTGGACGTCTCATGTGTTAACTCGTGCATGCTTCCATAACAAGCAACGCAGCCCCCAAAAGCACCGTCCCACTTCTTCCCCCCTTGCCTGCATCTCCACTCCCTGCACAGGACGCCTGCTCGCTCACCTCCCCCCCGGGCAGCGGTGTCTACGTGTATGGCTTGCACCTGGAGGGCGCGGGCTGGGACCGCTTCGGCTGCTGCCTATCAGAGCCCGCACCCAAGCAGCTGCATTGCCCTGCGCCGCCCATCTGGTTCAAACCCGTCAAGGTGGCGGATATGAGGTAAGGAAGGTGTGACCCATGGGCCTGTCGAGGGGCTGGAGCTGCACTGGCCCGCTTCGCCTGACCCTTGATGCTGCTACTCGATCCTGAATAACACCTGTCAACCAGACCGACCGGACATACGTTGCTTGTTACGCTTCCACCATCTCCCTCTAAACCCACGTACTTCCCAAGGACCTCACGGCCGTCACGCCCCTCACGACTACTTTGTCTCTTATTTTTCCAACCAGAACGGCTTCTCCCTCCCGAACCGAGGCCTTCTGCTACCGATGTCTGCACCTTCTTCCGCATACATGTCCGTATCAATGAATGGGTCCCGCCGCACCGCTTTTACCATGTAGGCCGTCCGCCTCCTACGATTGCCCCGTCTACCGTACCTCTGAACGCCGCGGCACCCTCGCCACCACCGGCCACTCCACCAACTTCCTGCTGTCTCTCAAGCTGCCGCTGGATACCACTGCTGCACGACCACGGACACATGGATCAGTTGGAGGAGGAGCAGGAGGCGGGGATGCGGAGGAAGAGGAGGCGCAGTGGCAAGCGCAGCTGCAGCGGCTGAGGGACCATTGGGTGCTGCGGGGCGTGTGCGCGCTGGTATCCCTGCCGGAGTAAGGTAGCCTTAATGGGGTTGCTTACTTTGGGAAAGACGGGTAGCGGAATGGTGTAATGTGGATTGGGCTTGGTGAGCTAAGGCTTGGTGAGATGGAGGAAATGAGGAAAGGAAATGGTTTAGGCCTTACCAAGGCGAGGAGAGGTGACAGAGGGTACGTTTGCAGGCCGGGAATAAGAAGAAGAAGATAGGTTTTGGGCGTAGCATAGGGTTGCAGCCGCCTGTATCATTTCTAGCCATACGGCTTTTGCGGACATCTGTAATTACCATTTGAAAAAATCATTATGTTCCTTCGCTAGGAATTTACATACCTATCGAACAAAAGAAGTGCGAGGTAGCCGTTTAATGCGTGTCCAACCGGCCATACTTCCGTTGGTGCACGCATACCATGACATGACATGTGCATAACCTAGACATGACCAACTGTCCTAGTTTACGCAACGGAAGCCAGCGAACCACACACTGGTTCACTAGGAATTCGAACCAGTCATATCACCATGCAGCACTTGGCAGATATAAACCTAGGAATGAGCACTCAACAAACAACAATAACTGTATGTGTTTCTTCTTATCCTTTCCCCAAAAGCATTACTAGCCAGGGATACACCTCACGTACAACGTCAGCTGCGCTATGGCGACCAGCCGCCTGGTCTGTCGTCCCAGACGCTCCCAACCTGCAGCGGTTGCCGCCAGTCTTATCACAACGCTCATCCTTCTGCTTGCAGCATTTACTCTCAATGCTTCAGCGCAAGTGACCGGCGTCGCCAAACCAAAACTGAAACTTCCATCCTCCCCGTCAAAGCTGGCACCGCCGTCACCTAGGCCACCTTCCCCGAAGCCGCCTTCCCCGAAGCCACCTTCGCCAAAACCGCCTTCACCATCACCTCCCTCGCCCTCGCCTCCTGTGCGCTCGCGTCCTCCACCCTCGCCGCCTGTGCGCTCGCGTCCTGCAGCCTCGCCACCTGTGCGCTCGCGTCCTCCACCCTCGCCTCCATCACCATCGCCTCCGTCACCTTCGCCTACGTCACCCTTGCCCCCTTCACCCTCGCCACCGTCACCCTTGCCTCCGTCATCACCCTTGCCTCCTTCGCCCTTGCCGCCTTCACCCTCGCCTCCGTCGCCCCAACCTCCCTCCCCGGAGCCACCTTCCCCAGCACCACCTGGGACATCTTATCATGTGGTAAATGTGCCTGTGAATTCGGTCCTTCCTGAAGTCAGGCGTACGTACATCCCGGCCAAAGGAGAAGCCTCTGTAATCATGGAGCCAGTGGAGCTAAGGGTGCGTGGCTGCACGTGCCAGCTGGGGTTGCTGAAGTGCCTGCGGTCCTGTGTACGTGGGTGTGTTTCGCTTTGCGGACGGCGGAGGTACACAGCCCCTGTAGTAACTTCACGCTTGTGCAGCATGCACTGCATGTATGTCAACCCAGCGGTTTCCTATCTGCCATCTTTGGGTTACATGGCAGCAGAGCTTGGCAGCATGTCGCATGTGAAGCCCTAAGGCGTGCCCTAACAATCTACCTGCGTGCAGATGTACCTTAACGCCACGGAGCACCTTTCCTTCGTAACCCCGCGCTACACGGTTAGCAACAGCGGGCCCACAGACATCCAGCCGCCAGCCCTTATCCTGACCAGCATGTGCAGCCCTTTCTCTATCCGGCTGACCAACCGGTGAGCAAGGTTAATAGTACGGACATCTATCTAGCCACTACCGTCTTGAAGCTACCTTGATACGGTGCATGCATGTTGTTCCTTTTGCTGGTTTAGTGGCTGTTATGCATGCCAGCTATGTGCTTTTGTTACTGGCGTTATTTGCATGTTGCTTGATGACGCTGCCCTCTTGGATTGCTCTGTCCTGCCACACTTTGCGGCATGTGTGCAGACTGCCCTTCAAGGAGTTCCACACCTGCGCGGCACCCGATGGTACGCCATCTACGGCTCCCATGAACGGCCCCAAGGATTTCGATTGGACCAACCTGCATACCCATGGTCTCAAGGTACGTGTAGCATGCATTTGGACGTCTTAAAATATCGGGCTGACAGGTCGACTAGTCCCCATTCATTTAGCAGAGCGGGCGTTCATGCACGCTTCTTGTGGACCTCTTTGGCTTTGTAAACCTGCCCATCTTCCTCTGCACTCTTCAGGTCGATCCCGGAGCCATGGACATCAGCAACGTATGCGAGCCCACCTTCCCTACCGCTGGCTTTCCCGACCCACTGGCTCTCCCAAACACAACCCTATACTACTGCGACGCCAACACGAGCTCCGAGCAGCTATGCGAGGTGTATGGTGACAACATCGTCAGCATTGATCGGCCAGACAGCAGTGCCATGCCCTTCCGCTTCGGTCTGACTCAGCGTCCGGCTGCCACGTTGCGCTATACCTACCCTATGGATGCAGTCGTGCCCGGTATGAGCTGGTAAGCAAAGCAGCGCGGGTATGTGGCCATATGCAGGATCGTGCACATTGGTGGCGGTGCCTTCTTATACGTACTGAGGCAGAAATGCAGGCACTAAAGACCATCCTCTACGCTCTTCCTCCCAGGTATCATCCCCACGTGCACGGTTCTGTGGGTGTCCAGACACCCACATCTGCGGGGCCTCTCATCACGCCCGAATCCTCCCTACCCAGCGGCCTAAGCGACCTGTACACGCCAGCGAACAATTCGACGGCGTCCAACTGTTCGGAATTGCTGCAGGTGAGCACGAAGGTTGTCACGTATTCAGAACTGTTCCAAACTGTTGCCACGGCTCAAAACATTTTGCCCCCAAGCGTCCCATGAGTGTGCAGGCACTGTACGATGTTTATGCTGTCTTGGTTGTGCAGACGTATTTTTCTAAAGCTATGCATCATCTGCATGTGTGCCTGATGAATGTTTTCCGTGACTGCTTGCATGCATGCAGTACGGAACCCTCATGCTGCATGCCATCCACGGCGTGTGTCATCCTTTACCCATACATGCTGTTCGGCTTGATGACCCTACGTACGCAGGTCATGAGTCGCACCCCTTTAGAGGATAGCACCATCTTGCAGATTAGCGGTATCTGGTTTCGAAACCAAACCAACTCTACACTCCCTGATGACGACTCCCTTGCGTAAGCAGGGGTGGGACTTGAGGTCGTGACTCGAGGGCGAGACAACTGGTCTCCTTGCACCCGTGCTCGGTTAACATACCTGTCATAGGGCTGGACAACCCGCGCCCCACACTTACATGCATTGGCTGTAGCAGCTTCAATTCTTGATTTGTCGCCTATAATTAAATGTTCTAACTTCTGCGTTCGTTCCCAGGTTCTTGGGCTTGAGCACTGACCCCGCCTACGCCAGCCCTCTGCTGTACACCAATGGCGGCAACTCGTCATTGCCTCTGTTTGACAACACAGCGGGGCGCGATTGGGGCCTGATTAATGGTGCTTTTCAGCCCATCATCAGCATCACCGCGGAAAAGTGAGGCCGCCTGCTACTTTGGGTTGTGAACTCCGGAATTTAGATGGCCTGCTGTGTACGTAACAGCGGACACGTATGCTTAATTTTAATCCATGAAAATATGTCGGCCACGAAATAGTGTCTGGTCCTCTGGTGTTAGCTAGGCGACATTTGTCTCCCAACCATGCCGACATAGGTATACGCGCTGGCAGCTGCTCAACACGATGACCATGAAGTGGCTCGACCTTACCGTCCAAAAGGTGCGTGCGACCCATGGGTCGAAAGTCAGCACATGTCGAAATTCTACATAAGCATTGCTTACGACTTCTTGCACTTTTATATTTTTATGTTTGCCGCGATAATATAGGTTTTAAAGCAGCATTTTTTGACAGCCTCATGTTAGCATGTGGATGGGCTGCCGTACTACTAGATAGTAACTGTGCGCACATGAAATTTGAAATTTTGTGTTAGGCCATGGATCTTCACTTTTCTACTGCCCCTCCTTGCTGCTATGTTTCCATCCACAGGTCTTGGCCGACGGCTCGCTCCAGTTGGTTGATACGTGCAAGTAAGCGGGTTACATGCATGCAGGAGTCCTTGCAGGCACCTCATTACGAGGTTGCATGTATGCATTCTTTGCTAAGCGACAATCGGCTTCCCTCTTTCCGACGCTATTGCGCAAGCCCTATCCTGCCAACCCTGCCTTCCAACATCCATGCAGCTAACCATCCTGCCCTTACGCGGGTTACACCTCTGTACGTGGCCCCTAGGTTTCACCTGCTCGGCAGGGATGGTGTCCCACTTCCGTCCATTCCACGGACCCTGAGCTCGACACCCGTCGGCAGCACCACGACAGCCAGCGACCTCATCCTGGGCCCTGCGAACCGAGCTGATGTTCTAATCAAGTGTGACGTGCCGGGAACGTATGTGCTTGCATCCGCTGGTGCGAGCCCCTTCCGCACCAACTATGCCGGTACGTCAGGTCGCTGACAACTCTATCTAGAGCCCAATGTGGCAACAATATACGGTTGCATATAACACGACGTAACCGTAACCATGAGTGTTGTGCAACCTGCGTTTCCTACCTTACGACGCAACGGCGGCCGCGTTTGCATATGCCTTAATGCAGCCTGCGGTGCGACGCACTGTGAGAGCTTTGGTGATGCTCCTGCCACTAGTGCTTCTCTGCGCCCGGCAAACAACTTGTACGGAGGCCTGGAGTTGGATGCCGCCGTACTCGCCACCCTCACGGTGAACCCCCTTCCCAGCACCGACGTGTCGGACGTGAACATCGCCAACGATGTTTGCATCAGCAGGTGGGTGCAACGATGTTTGCATCAGCAGGTGGGTGCATGGTGCTTGCCCATGCTAGCGTTTTTTTGGCGTTTACATTTCCGGTTGCTGACCTCGCGTGTTGTTAAAAGGCGATAGGACAAACTGATGATGTGACGCGAAAGATGGGACTCGCCACATGCGCGCACAGGTCATCCAAAAGTCCTTCCTCCGTGTCCACAGGTTGGAGCGTTTCCATTACCTGGACTACCTCAACTTCCCCAAGAAGACCGAGAACCAGTGCGTTTCCTTTATGAACGCACAGTTCGGTGAGACTTTGGGGCTGACTAAATGTAAATCCAGATCCAGCACCGCATCGTTTCATTGACTACTGTGCCCGCCGGCTAATGGTACTGACATCCGTGCATGTGATGATGATAGACACAACTCATAGACCACCCCTTCACTTTCTGCTTGCAGGCGGCATGTGC